TCAAACTCCCACGAAAAAACCCGAAATACCCCAGCACGGAGGAACGGCTCTCCGCCCTCCGAGCTGCTCAAGAAAATACAATTGTAGCCCATAATCACGCAGCCGCGGCAATGGCACGAAGATCACCAGGACAGCTCGTCTCATTCAAGAGAGGAGATAAGGTCCTTCTAGAATCAACCAACCTCCGCCTCCCGTACCCACACCGGAAACTGGCACCCAAACGAGAAGGACCCTTTGTTATCACCGAAGTCATGGGACCTGTAACGTTCAAATTAAACCTACCACGCACTTGGAAGATTCATCCAGTCTTCCATGCCACGCTCCTGACTCCGTATCGAGTCACCAAAGCACATGGCCCGGACATGCCACGTCCACCTCCTGACGTCATAGACGGCGAAGAGGAGCATGAAGTGGAAGCTATTCTTAACCACCGAATGAGAGGACGCAAACGAGACAAATTGGAATACCTGGTGACGTGGAAGGGCTGGGAGTCAGCAGAAAACTCATGGGAACCCGAGCACCATTTGAAGAACGCGCCCGATATCCTGAGGGTATATAAGAAGAGACACAAGCTCCTCTGACCCTCATCCCACTCCCACCTCGAATGCGCTTCTCAAGATGCCTCGCCACCACCGCTCTACTCCTCGTCGCGCTCCCCGCCTCTATCCCATCCGCCTCACTACGCCGGACATCCACGACACCCCCGACTTCATCAATAACCGCCCCCAGGTCAACTACGACCACCTTCCGACTCTCTATCGCACTAACGAGAGTCGCGGAACCCTCGGAGACCGCATCGGGTGGACCATCGCGCACTCCGACCTCCACGGCCACGTCCGCTACCGCACCCAACATATCCCCCACACCGAGCCCCTCGTCAACGAATACCGCATCGCGACCGAGGCGTTCGACGTCTGGAAGACGGTCGACCACTTCGTGCAACGCGCTGGAGCCCCTGCCAGCCAGAAGGCCGTCGCCAAGGAGGCCTCGCTGACCCTTCGGGCCCTCATCGCGCGAGCCGCAGACGTCGCACTCGACCAGCTCACCAGCATCGAGGTCGCGGCCGCCCTCGACGACCTACTGCCCACCAATCAGCAACACCTCCCCCCCTGGGGAAACATCCCATCCGACATCGTAGAGTGGGGGTCCCCCAGCGAACCCGCTCCGGAAGAACGAGAGCGCAACCAGGCCGCCTGGAACGCCCTCACTCCGGTGAACACAGGCACCACGGACGACCTCCCACCTCTCCAACCGATACTCGACCTCCCTGCCGCCGTGACGCGCGCCCAAGACACCTCCACCCCACTGCCTCCTCCGGTCCCCACCGCCGACCTCCTTGCAGCTCAATCCCTCCTGATGGTCCACCGTAACTGGGTCCGAGCGCAGACCGCGAACGCGGAGCCTGGAGTACAATTCGGAGTCCTCAACCTCCCCCCTGGAACCCTCGCAAGCTCCTCGCGTCTCACCCTCACTGGACCTGACGAGTCCCCGCGCCCACGCCACCACGACGCCCTGGACGACATCTTCGCCGAGCTCAAGGCAGAAATCATCGACTACCACGACGACGAACTCGTCCTCGTTCACCCCCCTCCTCGCACGCCCCGATGGCGCGTTCAAGCAGCATCGGGTCGATACGTCATCACCGTCCATGTCGGTGTCGACCACTACCTCGGTGCGCGTATAGACTCCTGGCCGGAACTATTCACCCCCGCTCGCCTCTACGAGTACCTCGAGATAGGCTTCCCCCAAGTCCACGCGAAGATCCGACGGGACCTACACCTCCTAGTCGCCGAGGCTATCGCCCAGCACATCGACGCCTTTTGCGACGAAGTCATCGAGAACCGGATCGTCGACTCTCAGCCATGGAACGTCTATCGCGAGAAGTTCGACCAACCGATCATCACCATCCTCCAGAACTACGAGGGTGGCCACCTCCCCCTCCAGGAGTACGTTGATCGGGTATCGATTCAGATCGCCTCGGACCTCACGGCTGTGGGCATCGGACACGCCCCCGCGGTGAACGCGACAACGTCGACCAACGCGTAGAAGGTCGGGACGACCCTCCCCGGGAGAGGGAGCTAATGTTACGATCAGTGACACTCGTACGCTGCCCCCATTTAATTTCCATCCATAACCCCCGCTCTCCCTATATGCAGAACTATTACCTACACATGCTGTACCTTCTGACTCATACATACTCATCACTACTCATCGTATACTCGCCCTGACTCCTCCTGCGGTACCTAGTCACGACGAGTCACTACGACTAGGGCTGTGTCATGCGGACTGGTGATGACTCGTAGATAATATGACTCCCCACTCTCGCTCCTGTATATAAGGACGACGCCCCAGAGCGCTCCCTCTCCAGACTTGAATCTCCTCTGTATACTACATCTACCCCAGCTACACGCAATCTTACTCTCTTGTCGCTCGCACTCGCTCGATAGCACGCAAGCGCCAGAGCATAGCCACCGTAACCACCAAGCGCCTAGGCTGTATTCCATCCGGAATAAAGCTCGAACGTAACAATCTGTCTAATGCCGGCCATCTGTTTATCACCGGCCATCCGTCCATTGCCACCTAGTGCAGTGTCGGGCTTGCACCACTGCCTGGCTGCATTGGACCCCAGTGCTCCCCGGTATGTCTGTCCTTGGACACCCACCTCCAAATATCAGAGGTCTTGAAGGTGGCTGCTACATGCTTGGGTGGGTTTGGCCAGACCTGGGTGACAAAGTTCTGTGCTACAGCGCTACCCGTGTGGTGTATACTTCATAACTATCAAACCTGGAGGCCTAATTGATCATATGAAGCCCTACATACACCACACAGCATGTTTTATGCATGCTACACTGTATTCACTTCGACCAGGTCCGGCCGGGCGGCTCCCCTGGGAAAACCAGGGGAGTCCGGCCGAACGACTCCTCTGGGAAAACCAGGTGAGTCCGGCCGAACGACTCTGCCGAGGTAACCGGGTGAGTCCAGCCGAGCCCGGGTGCACGGTACCTTCGGCAAATGGCGGTGTCCCGGCTGACCGACTTTGCCGAGGAAAGCCAGGACATGCACTGACCTCTCACCCCTCAAAAATGTTCTCCTCCCACGACGAGAAATCCCGAATATTCGGTGCCCGAATAGGACCTGGAACATGGTACTGCCATGGAACCTGTCACGGTCACGTTCTTTGTCTGGTCCGCGCCGGACCGGACAAAGAACAGGAATCATGGTCGGCCCGTGGTCTGCGCCCGCCTGGGGTGGCGTAAGGCATCACGATCCGCCCCCGACCGTGCAAAGAACATGGTGGGTCCACGTAACCTGGCTGACTCATGTTCCGAGCCTGATATGCGCGCCACTGGGTATCATGGAATCGGCCTGGTCTGCCGCAGACCAGGTCATGCCCAGGATTCATGGCCTCAGCCTGGTCGGCCACTTACCAGGTTTTATGTTCGGCACCGAGACGTGTAAGTAGCGCCTTCCTTTTGACTCTCTCTAAACCCGATCGTTAATGTTTCTTCACCCTGCCGCTCACGAACCAGCGAGCCCAGCATCCGCACCCACCCATCCGCACCCACCCACACGCCCATCGCCACCTGCTCGATGCCGCTGCCACCCGCAAATCTCTTAGGCCCACTCGAGTGAGCTCTAGATCGCGTAAGTCATGTTGGTTTCTGTACGGAATTTCACTGATGTTTTGCGACAGAATTGACCGTCATCACCATCGTCGCATGCGACAATTCCTCCCGTGTGCGTTTAATTAGATCCACTGTTAGCTAGTATACAACGTTCTACTACCTGGTGTTGGCAAGCTCCTCAGAATTTTCGGCACCAGACAGACTCGTCGCGCAGTGCGATAGGACTACCATCACATGCGCCCGGATCGAAGCTAATCAGAGCCTCAAGCAAGGAGGCGAACATATTGCTGCAGTGGGAGCTACCGGCCGGTAGCTTCCAGCGCAATCGCATCGCAGTGCGATTGCGCTGGAAGCTACGAGCGCAGTGGCGCCTAGAGCTATGAGCGCAGTGGCTCCGGAGCTACGAGCGCAGTGGCTCCGGAGCTACGAGCGCAGTGGCTCCAGATCCACGAGCGCAGTGGCACCCGGAGCTCTCATAGCTACTATTCACGAGCGCGCCTTGCGGACGTGCGCTACAAGATGCAGTATGGAAAGTCAGTATCATACAGACTACAGAACAATACACGTTACTGACAAGATTACCTCTTCATGCACAGAACGCTCAAGGTTCTACTCCGGGGTGAAGCTCCTCGACCGTAGTGAGCACGGCACAGATTATCGCTGGGGCGGGAGCGTGTCTGGGAGAACGCTCGACTGAGATATCGTGAGCGCGAGCAAAGGGATACGTACCTGAGCTGCGTCGATGGTCGAGCGGAGGGTCAAGCGCACTGGTGGGCTTGAACCGGATGGGAACGCACAGTTGAGCGCAAGGTCAAGCCTGAATGGGCTTAGCGGAGTCGTGAACGAGAGTTCGACGAGCCAGGTATGGGGCTTGAGCGAATTCATGGGTGACAGCGGCATCGAGCAGGCGGCAATGGTCGCGTGGGTGCGGACGATGGGCTGAAGGGTGGGCGATAGAGCGACGAGGCGGGGCCGCTGGAGAGGACGAGAATGTCGGTAGCACTGACGGCGCTGGTTCGTGAGCTTACGCATACCTGGCCAAAGGATGCGGTGGTGTACTAGTCGGGTAAAATCACTTCATAACGCGCGACGATTCGGAGGAGCGTCAGGGTTTTCAAGCGCGAATTTGCCAGATCCCACGCTGTAAAAGCGATGAGAATGGCAGTGAGCCATCCAAGAGCTCCGTTTTTCACGGCTGCTTGATTCACTGCTGGTCGGGGGCTTCCGATACATTCGAAAGTTGTTAAATATCTCTAGCGCTGCTAGAGGGGACAGTGTTACACAACATCATATACATCATGGGTATAACATAGACGAGCCACCTGTCAGTGGACGTCAGCATGTAGATCGTAGTTGTTCTTTGTTCACTCACGACTACTTGGAGCGCATGGCCTTACGCAATGCCTTGGCATTGATCGAGTTCGGAAATGGTGTCCTGGGCCTGAGAGGCAAGGCGAAGTCGAAGTCTTCGTCAATGATCTCAAGCATGGCGATCTCATACGGCTGACAAACCCTGAGCCACTTTCGATCATAGCAGTTGCGCCACAATCCCTTCGCAACGGGGCCGATCTGGTCGGGGGCGTTTGTGGGAAGGTAGCGGGATCGGGGCGGATTGCCTGGACTCGCTCGAGCGCCTACTGGCGTCTTGAAGTTGTCGATGTGCTGGCAGCTGAGTGTCCACAACCACTCGTTAAGTTGTTGACTACGCCATGGAACCTTCTTCATGCGAAAGAGGGGAGGGTGAGTCTTGACTTCGTCATCCGTCTCGTCTCCACTCATGTGGCCGGGCAGGAGTTTCTGCAGCATCTTGTTGACACGGTGGATTTTGAGCTGTGCGGCGATCGATCGTCGCGTCTGAGAAATCTGAGAAGCAATCAAATAAGCTCAAGTACTCTACAAGAAGCGAACTCCACTCACCCCGGACTGCCGAGAGCGCATGGCTTTGATGCGTAGCTTTTCGTTGCGGGCCTCTTCGGAAGGCGGATGGAGGGCCTCCTTGTACTTGGACCGCTTGCCATCCATGTGTTTATCCAAGATATGCCCGATGATCTTCTTCGTGCGCAAAACTGGAGAGATGACGATCTCTGAGTCCAGCTCGTATCTGGGCAACGCGGTCAAGAAGTGATCTATAAAGATCTCACGAGGAAGCTGGTTGAACGGTGTGGTGGTCCAAGGACGTATCCACAACGCGGAAATTCTCAACCGTGCAGGTAAGAGCACCGTGCAAGTTGTCGTTGAAATCTTCGACGTCTGAATCGCTGATCGGAGGTTGCTCCTTAACGAGCTCTGCTATCGATGCAATGCTACACATTGCATCGAGGTGTTTGCGGACGCAGCTCTGAGCGGGTGATGAGTACTGCAAGGATACTACAGAGGAACGGTTGCTTACCTGGAGGAACAACTTCGCGTTGTAATTGGCAGGATCACTGAGAGCCATCGCTACCGACTTCTTCTTCTTCTTGGTCTTCTTGGGACTTGTCTCGTCATCTGCGTCTGAGACAGACGCGTCACCTCCTGTGATAGGTCTCCCACCTCCACAACCGCGCCGCGCGCCATGAGCTGGAGCTGTGGCACCTTGTTCTGCCTCGCCGCTCTCGAGGCGGGAAAGAACACGCGTCATCACGGCCCTGTGCGCATACAAGAATCAGTCGATAACACAATAGAATGACGCATATGGGTTCGCCAACTTACCGGGTATCCCGACTCTCCTTGATCAATGTCTCCATCATGGTTATCATCGCGGATTGAAATACCATCTCACCGCCGCTTGCACCGCCAGAGGATGGGCGATAATCACGCTGAGTTGGCGTGGCTTCACGCTCCAGGTGAGCGCGCTAGAGACATGGATTAGCATCCATTGGGAACACCGTATGATAAGGAGCTACTCACCGACGGCGGTTGCACAAATATAGGCGAAGGGACTCTGTGCTGCTCAGCACTGGAGTGATGTTCACCGTTGAGGGAGGTGCTAGTGTCCGATTCGTTGCTTTGATTCATCAGCGCATAGCTTCCATTGCGTTGTAAAGAACGAGCAGGATGAATGGATGCGATACTGCCTTGGGGGGACATGGAGGGCTGAGGAATGGGACGAGGTGCGGTAGGAGCAGGGCGTGGACGAGGTGCGGTAGGAGCAGGGCGTGGACGAGGTGCGGTAGGAGCAGGGCGTGGACGAGGTGTGGCGGGAGCGGGGTGTGGGCGAGGTGCGGTGCTACTTTTGGAGGACGGTGGAGGCCGCGGGGTGGGACGAGTTGCGGCGGGGGCGGGGTGTGGAGGCTGCTTGACGAAACCATGGGAAAAGAAGGAAGGGTCCGAGGTGTTGAAATAGTTATACGACGAGTTTTGAGGGCCAACATACGGCGATCGAATACGGGGGTAAGAGGGCTCAGGACCAGAATTGTCCCGTAGCGCACCTCCGTGCGGCGGTACTCCAGGCCCGGCAAGGGTGTGCCACGGTTTGAAATATGTAGAAAGGGGGTCGGCGACAGGAGATAAGGTGAAGATGCTGAGAGAGGGAGTCGTACGTATCGGCTGCGAGCCGGACATTGACTGGAATTGGGATTGAGACTTTGAGTTGTCGGCGCAAGAGGGCCGCGCGCGACCCTTCTCGCTACTCGACTGGGGATCCTTGTCAATGGGCTGCGCGCGACCGTTGGAGTATAAAGCGTCGTCGTCGCCGGGCTGGGGGTCCTCGTCGATGAGCTGTGTGCGACCGTCGGCGTCCATAGCGTCGTCTTCGCTGGGCTCAGAGTCTTTGTCGGTAGACTGCGTGTGGCTGTCGTCGTCCATAGTGTCTTCTTCGCTGGACTGGGAGCCCTTGTCGACAGCCTGTGAGCGGCCGTCAGCGTCCATAGCGTCGTCGTTGCCGAGCTGAGAGGTTTCATTGATGGACTGCGTGCGACTGTCAGCGTCCATAGTGTCTTCGTCGCTGGACTGGGAGCCATTGTCGACAGCCTGTGAGCGACCGTTGGCGTCCATAGCGTCGTCGTCGCCGGGCTCAGAGGCTTCATCGATGGACTGCGTGCGACCGTCGGCGTCCACAGCGTCGTTATCGCCGGGCTGGAAGTCTTCGTCGATGGGCTGCGCGCGACCGACGGCATCCATAGCGTCATCGTCGCTGAGCTGATGATCTCTGTCGACTGGCTGTAAGCGAGCCATGGCGTACAAAGCGTCTTCGTCGCTGGACCGGGGGTCTTCGTCGATGGACTGCGCGCGACCGTTGGCGTCCAGGGCGTCTTCGGAGCTGAGCTGATAGTCCCTGTCGACGGGCTGCGAGCGAGCCATGGCGTACAAAGCGTCTTCGTCGTTGGACTGGGAGTCGACGTCGACGGGTTGGATTGCGTCATGGAAATCCTGTTCACAGTCCATGAACTGCTCGCTGTCATCCTCTGAGAGGACGTCGTTGATGTGTGCGTCCATGAGAGGCTGCTCTTGAGCGGCGTGGCTATCGATGCTCATGGCCTGTTCAGGTTGAGAGTGCATCGGTCTCGTGTTCAGGGGGGTACGGTGTACAGGCTGAACTGGACATGTTAGACGCCGCAAACACCACATCGACGTGAAGAATCGGCGCACGTTGGCTTCATGTTGGCTCTCGCTCGGCGTCGAACTCAGCGTCTCCTGAGAGCTGGGAGCGGGCATCGGCTGAACGCTACGCCGAGGTTTTGGCAAGGGAACAATCCGCAAGACCTCTCGACGTGCGGTAGGCACAGTGGGACGCCAGATCTCGACCTTGAAGAATCGGTTCATCAACACAGTTTAAGAGCTATGCACAGCAATACTCACTCGGTACTTCGTAACGGGGGTAGTTTCTACAAGCTCCAAAGGCCGTGCGTTATGGTCCTGGTGATAGTGATTAACGTGAATATTCAGCTTTGCAATAAAGTAGAACACACCATATCAATCTTTTTACTCTTTCCATCACCAACAAATCTATGGTGGGACACAGCCGTCAGTCTTCTCTTCGAGAGAACGCTGACGCTGGGGCTCGGGGGGCGTCGTTGGATGGGTGGGTTTTGAATAGGCTGGTGCTCTTGGGCACCGATGTGTGGGCCATGATGTTGGCCAGGATCTGGAGGAACCATGAGGGTGTAGAGAGATAGCAGGCAAGCGGAGGGTTTGCTGATAGGACAGTGGCTCAGGATGGGGGGAGAAGTAACGAGATGGGGCTCACCTGAACAACCCTCATCATGTTATCACTGCTGCATACGAGGAGCAAAGATCTTGCCTTCCTTGCTTGCCAGTATGTGACCCTTTGTACTGCGGCTCACAACGACTAACTGGAGGCGCCAACGCATGGAGAAAGAACATAGTAATATGGGCGTCAAAGACCTGGTTCAGGACGTACATTAAAACAAGAGTTCACCGACACGAGACATACTTCATATGACACTTCGTTGTAGGCAATTTAGAAAGGCTATCAAAGTGTGTGGCTTCCGGAGATGGGGTAGAATTGAGTGAGCGGAGGTAGGCACTGGAAGAGATGAGGCATACACACATGCTCGAGGAGGGGAAGGATCTCATAACGTGTTCGTAAGGGAGCTTCGTAGAGCGATGCCGAAGCTTGACGACTGGATGGCAGACGGGCGTGAGCAGAGCAAGCGAGATAAATGGGTGGACGTACGGATCCAGAAGCACGCAGCGCGCTAATGACGTTCGCCGAGCACCCGAGTGGGAGCTCCGCGATGTGACCTCGATCACTAGTGGGCCGCCGATTGATGGAAGGGAGTGCGACGCACGAGAAGCGATGAGAGGTAGGAGTGAGGAGTGAGGAGACCGGTGTAGGACTCCGAGACGAAGTCCCAGGACCAACGTACCGGAAACGTGTGTCACGCACCCGCAAAGTCCCTATAAAGGATCGTAGAGGTAGAGGTGCTCCTCAGAGCCATCTTCGTGTCTGACTGTTGGAGTTTGGAGAGGAACAGGACACAGATGAAGGGCGTGAGCGAAGAGTAAGTAGGAGGACAAGGTGGGCGCACCAGAACACAGCACTACAGGTCGGCGCAGTATCACCACATAGTATCTGAGCAGACGCTCTGCGGTACAGTCTTGGCATATTGCAGTTGAATGTGGAACGCGAGCAGGAAGCGGAAGAAGTAAATGAGTCGAGAGTGGGCGGTAGAAAAGGCGTGGGCGTACCAAAACACTACGCTCTGCGCCAACGCAGTATCCCGCAAAGTGTCCGAACAGATTATTCATGGTGCGGTCTTGGTGTGCGATAGTTTAACAGCGGAGAAAAGTGGCATTCGAAAGAAGGAATTGAGCGGAGAGTTAGAGGGAGTGACGAGCGGACGTACCGAGATCGCGCGCCTTGCGCTTCAAACAGCTCCATAGATGACCCAGTGCATGCTCTCCGGAAATTTCTTGATGTCCGAATATCGGTAGGGGATAGGAGCGGAACGGAAAAAAGGCATGGGTGAGGAGTGGGTGGGATCGGGGGAGACAGGGCTTGGGCGCCGAAGAAGCGTGCTCTGCACTAGTGTACCACGTCGTAGAGCATCCGAGTGGACACCCCATGCCATTTTATTCATCGTTGGCTATTTGTGGGCCGCAGGCAGCGTGACGCGGAGGAAGGATATGAGTAGAGAGTGCGCGGGGAAGAAGATGCGGGCGCACCCATACGGCGGGCTCTTTGTGGGCGCAATGATCCACTGGGGATCCAACAGGTGTCTCGTTGCGCGGTCTTGACATTTGCTGGTTGGATAGCGGGAAGGCGCGACATGCAGAAGAAGAGGGTGAGAAGAGGGTGGCAGGAGACACAAAGTGGGCGCACCGAGTCAAAACGTTGCGGTCCGATAGAGTAATCCGGACAGTATCTGAGCAGATCCTAGCTTCCACAACTTGTACACTTCACTAGTGCTTGATAAAATGGAACGCGAAACAAAAAAGGGCGTAAGCGGACAGTAGACGGGAGAGACGGCGCGGACGCACCAGAACAGGGTGCTCTGCACTAGTATGACACCGCAAGGATTATCCGAGTTGGGATCCTATGCAATGATTTTCACGGTTGAGTGTCCACAAATGGAGGAGAACGCGGAGGAGAAGTGGGGGGTGAACGGAGGATGTGAACGGGAGACGGGAACAACATACAGACATAGTCAGCTCCGCATCGTCGAAAATGACTCGATTTCAAGCCCTCCAAGTGCGGTCTTGATCTACGGTGAACGGAGAGAACACTGGGGTGGACCACGGAAGAAGGACGTGAGATAAGAGTGAGCAGGAGGATGGAACGGACATACGAAGCGATGCGCGTTGAACAGTCCACGTACAGAGGTTCCAACAGAAGACTCCGAAAACAAGATTTATGACAAAATCTTGATTTGTGGGTTTTGGTAAAGGGGCGAGGGCAGGATGCGCAAGAAAAACATGATCAAAGCGGCTGGTAGAGACGTCGAGGCGGGCGGACGAGAATCTGAGCGCGCTTCGAGGTCACGTGACCCTTTGGCACCCTCTGTGTCTGAGCGCATTTGTATCGCGCCATCCTGAGGCCTGAGTCCTGAGTCTTGATCACGGTTATATGAAAGCAGGAGCAGCGCGCACGTACTAATCGTTGGGGCTGCAACACAATTGGGTTCCGGACCGCTACATTAGAGTACAGTAACATTAGTCGATACCGATGCCGTATGGATACAGAGAGTAACTAGCGCTTCTAAGTTCTGAGAGATGAAATGAAACACAACGTACATATCTACTGTACAGGCTCACTTTCCATACACCCCCACTGACCATGATGCTCGCGCTCCCAAAGCCGCGTGCACCTGGGGGAATCCTCCTCAGTACCGTCTCTCAGGATGAGTACAATGCAAACGAGAGAAGGGTGGGGAACAGGACGGTTGCTGGTGCCTTCTGCCCAGCCCATGACGACGTCCCCCTGTGGCGTCTGCCTGGTGCCAATTCGAGCGCAAGTGGAAATTTCCAAAAACCACAACTGTGGAAGACGAAGAAGAGTCTTGTGCCATTCCTCCACATCTTTCCATGGGCGGCGTGTGCTCGGTCCAAGACGCTGTGAAGTCTGAGGTGAGCAGCAGTAACGACGCGCGATGCGAAGAATGTACTCCATCCCTAGATTTCTCGTGAAGCTTCAGCTTCTCCAAGTTCCACATCCGGTTGCACACTTGAGTGAGAATGTCGAGGTCATGAGAGTAGAAGTCGAGAACGAGAGAGGTGAGGGGGCTGGACGAAAGGCGTCTTAAGGCGGGGTACAGAGTTGAACCGACGCGAGTCAATCGCACTCTGGCCACGCCCACACGGGAGCTCTTGATTGCAGCTGAGCAGCGCGCAGGACACACTAGCTCGAGGACATTTTTGAAGGACGAGTCACTGCGGTTCAAAGGGGAGGTGCGGGCGCGGCCACAGACATCGAGAGATAGATACTTGATGGTACTGGAATGGGCGGCGAGGAAACTGACCAAGGCGCGGTGCGGAAGATTGGTGGCGAAGGTGGTGAGGGCGTAGAAGAAGACATCCTTCAATATTGTCGGAGGTGATGGAAGCGGGACGTGCAAGACCAAAGTGCAAATGGAAAAGCAGGGCCTGAGCACTTCCCGAAGCTAGGGTTCACCACGGGTGACCCTCGGGTGATTCTGACTCAACCCGCACCCGTACCCGCTCACACCCGCACCCGCAGACCTGAGGGTCAGCATGCACACGGGTCGGACGGGTATCTCACGGGTGTACACCCGTGGCGGACACCCGTGGGCCTGGGACGAGTCACCAGTGAGGTGTTGCACGCAAGAGCGTGCATGCGATACCGCATGCGCGAAACGGCATGTGCGAGACGAGCTGCACGGGACGGCACGCACGAGACCAAGATGGCGACGCGCAGGAGATGGCGCAAGGGAGATGGTGCGAGACGGCGCGAGAGAGATGGAGTGGGTGAGACTCCAGTACGGGCGAGAAGGTGCGGGCGAGAAGGCGTGGGCGAGAGACGGTGCGTGCGAGGGAGATGGTGCATGGGAGAAGGGAGGCGGCACAGGCGAGAGACGCTGTGCATTATTATAGATGAAAATATATTTATTGTACGCTACGGGACAGATGGAGGGAGGCAGAGGGCGGCGCCGAGGCGGGCGAGGCGGAGGAGGGCAGCGTGCGGGCGGAGGTAGGCGACGCGGATGCGGGCGAGGCAGAGATGGAGGAGGGCTCGAGGGAGGAGGCGCAGGGCCGGGACGAGGCAGAGGAAGTGGTGTGCGAGGTGGAGGAGGCGAGGCGGGAGGAGCTGAACGACGCGGAGGAGGGCTTGAACGCGGACGCAGGCGAGGCGGACACGGGGGAAAACGATGCGGACGCAGGCGAGGCGGACGCGGGGGAAGACAATGCGGACGCGGGCGAGGCGGACGCGGGCAACATGCGTGGAGAAGGGCAACGGCGAGGCGGGCAATGCGGAGGAGGCGGGCAACGCGGGGGCGGGCGGCAGGAAGCAGGTGGGCGGTGCGAAAGGGGCGAGAAGCGTAGGCGGAGCAGGGCGAGGAGGAGCAGGACGGGCGAGGAGGGTGGAGGCCAGCGCGGAGAAGGGCGAGGCGGGCGAAGGAGCGCGGTTTGGAGGAGTGTGGTGCGGAGGCGGGCAACGCGGACGGAGGCGGAGGTGGGAGGGTGGCATGAAGTCACGGGGGTGGGCGGCGCGAAGGAGGCGACAGGGGCGGGCGGAGGAGGTGGCAGGAGCGGGCGGAGGAGGGTGAGGAGAAGCAGGGCGGCGTGCGCAGGCAGCGCGAGCGGAGGAGGACGAGCTCGGCGATGCAGAGGCGGGCGACATGCGCAGAGGAGAGCGGCGCAGAGGAGGAGGGCGACTTGGAGGGCCGAGAGGAGGAGGACGTCCGTGTAGTTGTCGACTGGGCGGCAGGGAGGACGGGTGGGCGTTGGGAATACGGCAGGGCAGGGCGGAGGACTCACCAAAACAGGGGCTGCGGTACATCGCCGTGGCCCCCATATTCCAATCTCCATACTGGTGACATCCGGATGGACGTCCTCATGCGCCCTCGACGTTGTGAGGGAGGCCGGTAAGGTGGGTGAAGGACGGCATGGAGGACCGAGGTCGAGGTCGAGGTGGGGGAGGGGAGAACAGTGTCACCAAGTGACACTGCAGTCCAACAGCAGACGGCAGACGACTGTGTAGTCGCTATCGTTTGCCTGGACAGACGGTGAGGCTGAGCAGGGAGCAGGCAGTGGAGGAGAGCAAGGAAGGGAGGGACGCGTGGCATGCATCACTCGATGCGCGCCACGCGTCCTTGCCGCCCACTGGGGTGCTGAGAGACGGCGAGGGAGACGGCGTGGGTGAGGGAGACGGTGCGCGGGAGACGGCGTGGGCAAGAGGGTGCAGGCGAGAGACGGCGCGGGCGAGAGACAGCGCGGGCGAGAGACGGCGGATGCAGGCGAGGGACGGCGCGGGCGAGGGAGACGGTGCACGGGAGACGGCGTAGGCGAGAGACAGTGCGTGCGAGGAAGACGGGGCGAGGGGGACGGTGCGTGGGTGAGAGAGGGCACGGGCGAGACAGAGCACTGGGCGAGATGGTGCGGGTGCCGAGACAGTGTGTGCGAGACGGTGCACATGAGGGGTACCGGTACCGAGTGGTATCCGTACATGTACTTTGTCCGGCCTCCAGCCACCCTTACTAAGCAACTGTATAGCTAGTAGTGTTCAGCCTGGTGTTCAACGTTCAGTACTCCTCCTCCTCACGGGTGCCAAGGGTCCACGGGTCCTGGAGATGAGACCCGGACCCGCACCCGTGGTACCCGCACCCGCGAACCCGCACGGGTCACCCGGACCCTTGGTGATCCCTACCCAAAGCAGCCGGGCGGGATATCCCACTTCCTGAGGGGGTAGCTGGATAAGAATGTCCTCCAGAAGGAAGCGAAGCGAGTGGTGTTCGGCGATTGCGACGGAAAAGGCTTCGAGTCCCCGAGAGGTTCTGAGGGTCAAAGGGCCCTAAGGAAGGATAGTCAGCACCGTAGGCTTCGCAGCCTTGTTGGAGTGAACGTACCGAGTGCTTATAGTCACGAAGAACCTATGAGATAGGGAGTAAGCTCACAAGTCCACGTTCATGTTCTCGCGTGAACGAAGCTCACCGATGCAATAGCAACCTTGGCCTCGCTCCGCGTGGGGGTCTTGATACATTTATCCCAGAAGGTCATAGCCAGATAGGACGATTGAGGAGGTAGATGAGAAGTATTAGGTGTAAAGGAATGATTCGGATGGCGGATCTGGCGAGATTTAATCTGGCGAAGATGATGGGGTATGAGGGGATGATTTAGAGGAAGGAAGGGCGGCGTAGAACGGCACAGACAGAAGTCGGTGGTGAGGGGGTGTGTAAGTACTAAGCGCACACAGTCCGCACGGTATACATATGACCACGCATCTATGCATGGCCTTTCACCGTTGTTCCTTTCACGCCACTCGCGGTTCTCTCTCTCTTTCTCTTTTGTAAAATCGCAATGGGGCCCCCTAGCACCAAAAACTCGGCTCCACTGATAAAGCAGCCTCCGTAAGTACCATTTGACGACCCTGAATACCTTTCTGACTGGTTTTATCAGAAACTCTGTCGTCAACGCTGTTAAAGAGGAGCTAGACAATTTTGAGGATTTGTTGCGCAGCATCAAAGACAAAAGGCAAGTTGCCTTGGAAAAAAGATCGGTAAGGACACCTTCACATTCGTCAATGGTGCCTGAAGATGGTAACGGCATCGTTCGAAGATCACCCTTCGCGTGGGTAGTCTGGAAACCGACGCTGTTCGTCTCCGAGAAGATTCCATCCCTCGACTGAAACACATCCAGCAGATGCTGAAGTGTAAGCGCTTTGCACTGACAAGGCTCGTTTCGAAGGCTGATTACGTTACGGTTTTACAGCCAGTGGCTTAGAAATGAGCACTGCAGTATCGTCTGCCGCTTCCGATCTAGCGGAACTTCGGGTGCAGCTTCAGCAGACATCAGCAAGACTTGATGCGCTCAGCGAGGAGGTTCAACATCTGCGAGCTGCAGCAGAGTCGGAAGTGAATCAGCGTTACAGCACCAGATTGTGGGCTATAGGTCAGAATATACTGGGCCCTTTATCCAGCCTTCCACCCCGTGGTTGGCGCGTGCTGTGTATGCAGATTGAGGTTAGTAGTAAGTTCTTGTTTCCTTCTAGCCTGTGCCAAAATATCTCTCTAGCACTTCGTCATCCAAATGGCTGGCTGGGCTGCGCAAGTCAGACTTAAAATTGCTCAATAGGCGAGCCACTTTTAAACTTCTATGCCCAGCGATGGTCTAACTCGCCTGGCATGGATACAGATTCCATTTCAAAGGACGCTCCCAGCCGTCATAGCATGTACCAGCCACTTAAGTTCGTTGATCCATGTGGAGACCGTCTTTCAGTTCATCACACAAATCCTGGTCACCTTGCTTCTCAACCTCATATACAAACAACTGTACTATTCCAGCGAGCTTCATGCATCCGACGACGAGTTCCCTCTATGGAATTCATTCTAATAGATATCTATTTCAACGGTTCTTACTTGATGAGCGGGATGTCCCTAGAAGAAGGATCCGACAGAGGCGGCTCCCTGCTTCACAGCAAGGATGCCATGGGGCAGGCAAAGGCAGTGCGTAGCTCCGGGTTTAACGACACCGAGTGCGCGCCAGTAGCGCAGTAGTGCACGACGCGTATCTGTGAGGGTTGCACAAGGTCGCGTGCAATCCGGGGAACCCCAGAAGCAATGCTCGTACAGCGGTAGTCGGAGGCTGTCTTCACCATGCACTGGCATCCTCATGCAGACCGTGGTTCACGGCGTCGAGATCGCGAAGGACAACGGTGGGGGCACACCTCGGACAGGAATACAGGCATAAGAGGCGCATCAATGAAGATGTCCGTCTAGAAGTATATCCCTGCTACGCGTGAACATCCTCGACAAGAAAACAGCTCACGGTGCACAGATCGCGAGGGACGGTGAGCGAGTGGCACAACAACAGCTACCGCACGGTCAAAAAGATCCTGTTCGAGAGCTGCAATGAGCGGATCGCTTGTTCGCCGTGCTCGCATCAAGTGAAAGAATACCCCCGCTTTTCTCCGGCATACTTGACGAGATAGCAGCCCACGGCGCGCAGATCGCGAGGCACCGCGAGTGAGTGGCGCGAGAGTAGCTACCACGCCCAATACTAGCTGCCGCGCTGTGAGTGGGTCCACCGCTGAAGCTGCGACGCACGGCTTATTCGTTGTCTCGACATTATGACGAAGGTGTTTTTCGCTGTGCGCCGGTGCCCTCAGCAAAGCAGCGCCGACGACTCATTGCGGAGGGGGTCGCGAGGGTAGCTACCCCGCCCTCAAAAGATCCAGCGCACTACAAGAAGTAGGTCACCTACTGCTCTCGCAGCACATACAGCACAGCGCCCGTCATGCGCCTGCATCCTCGACGAGGCAGGACCTCAAGGCGCGGGGCTCCTGAGGGCGTGGGATGCTAGCGGCGTTATCAGAGGAGCTACCACATCCTCGAAGAGTTCTGGGCCGGAGCGATGACGAGCGCTGCCATCGCAACATACGGGGCAGCTCCTAATATGCGCTGATGCCCTTGAAAAGGCAGCAGCTCACACTAGAGAGCGCTTGGTACAAGGATGAATGAAAGATGCTTACTACCCAGTCGCTGTTGAACGGAGGTCACGAGTCGGAGCTCTTTCGGACCCAGCCTCGAGGTCGTGGATAAACCACTACATTAGCGGTGCCACCTGAATGAAAAAGAATAGGTGAGATAGGAGTCGAGAAGTTCAGGCAGAAACAGGGCCGAGGCGACGTACTCTACGTTCGTCCATGCGCGTGGCTGAAGAGAAAGACGCGGTTTTAGCGCCGTCCGGAGCTACGTCCCGGCGGCCTTCCTTGCCGGCCCCGAGAAAGTCGGACTTGCCTATCATGCCCTCTGTTCGTGCGCATGCTCACATCGCTGCAGAGGCTCTATCGTCGGCATTCTCCTCGCGCGGCAGACCCTACGTTCTTCCTCTCTTCCGCTCACTCCTTCTCTGAGCCCAACAGCAACTGCTCTCGTCTGGGTGACTTCACCTTCGATCCCCACCATCTCCCACCTGTTTACGCTCGGTGCGCCCCTCCGGAGCGCCTTCCACCACCTTTCGTACCTTTTAAATAAGTCAGCGCTGTCGCCCTGCCTGTGCTGCTTCTCAACTTCCCGGACGTGCGCTCGCTCAAGCCTACGTGCCTGGTACGACGCTCCACGGTCGCAATCTGCGTGCTCCTGACACCAGCGTGTCGAATAGGGCTGTGACAATACATGTGGCGCCACACCCATGCGAGCTCGAATTCGCCAGCTTGTACTGGTGCCAAGACACGATGAAAGGGGCTGGTGACGGTGGTGCGCACACGGATGGATAGCGGACTGAGGTTGGAGCGCAGACTTTCGATATGGGGTGTTCACTACATACAAACAAAGTTCAAATAAAGCTAGTTGCCGTGCTTCGCTGCACGATATAGATCGTCAGCTTTGGGAACACAAGAAGTGGATAGGAACTTACTCGCAGCCGCCTTCTTCTGTCCCCATGCCTTACCGACCCACGATGGCGCAACCAATGTGGGCGTAATGATCAAAGAGCGACCATCTTGTCTCACATGGCCGACCTTAACCTTCTTCCATCCCCTTTCTCCGACGTTGTCCTTGGTTCTGAGCCACATCTGGACACGATCCTCATAGGTGTGAAGAAAAATGTCGCCCACTTGTAAGCCACACGCTGAGCTGAGTCTCGGTGGCTCCTTCAATCTAGAATTCGACGTTGTTTCGAACCAGTATGTGAACTCGCCATCGCTCTCCCGGATTGCTCGCTGGCGACGCTGCAGCTATACAGTCCTCTCAACACCATCTACAACGTTGAGGGAGCTGATTTGTACTCACCTGCACGCCCTGCACGCCCTCGCTCCGTTCCCTCCCCATTGACCCCGCTCTGGGCTTCGACCTGGTTGATCGTGTCTTTGGAACGGATGGACCTTCCGACGCCATGGGTACCTCAGCTCTTGCTCCCCGTTTGCCACGGCGAGATGGGGCATTGAGCTCCGTCTCCAATCCAGAATCCGGTGTGGCAGGTGAGTGAGCATCCGAAGCGCCTACATTGCAAGGGTTTTGGTCTGTAGCTGGGGTAGGTTGCGGCCGGCGCAATACACCCTTGGGGGGACGAGTCGTGTTGGGGGAGTTGGGCGAAGCGGAGGGGCCGGATGGATTGGGGAGGCTATGCATCCAGTCGTCGCTGGAAAAGTCTGACTGAGAAATGGGTGAACGTTGGAACTCAGGGGCAAATCTGTTGTATCGTCTTAGTTGTGAAGTCGTAAGAGCCTCGCATAGCATACGCACACAGGTGTCCTCGGTTGTCCGACTGGGGTTGGATAGGACTCCATGATTGTGGGTATAGCGCGACCCCGTGAAGGGGTGGAAAATCTGAGCACAGTTGGGCCGTTACTGACAACTCGGGTGGCAGCCGAAAAAGGTCGATCCTCGGTCGGAAATTGGAGGATTGTAGCGCCTTTGCCTGAAACTGGAGCGGGGCGAAGACAGAAAGCGTGCTGTCCTACTGAGTGCGACGATGGAGCACGTAGGACCATATCGAGGATGATAGGATGATGGCGACAAGCACTAGGCATAGTTGTGGAAGGGCGTTGGAGATGAACGGCACGAGCAAGTGGGTCATGATGGAAGCAGGTGAGTAGATTCATGGAAGCAGTGCAGTACATATACATTGGAAAATGACCGGCGCATCACTCTCGACTAAATGCAACTACTTTGTCCCAAACAAAACGAATGCCGCCATACAACCCTATCGACATCAAGGCCCATTGAAGACCCTGAAGGATCTGCGGCAACTTGATTAGCATATGTGAAGGCCGGAAGGAAGTCAACATTCGCACAATTCGTTCCAAGAAAGTCCGTTCAGGTGCGGGAAGCGTCGGCATGAGAGATCCATCTCCGACTAGAGGGTGTTCATCAGTACGTGCAAAAGGACGGACACTAGCTTCATTCAACTTACGCGCATCAACCACATCCACCGCCTTCCAAAGGATAATGCGGCAGGCTGCATTTTTGTTGAATACCCCGGTAGCAATGTAAAAACTGTCGGTGGAGGCATCGTAGAAGCTCTGTGTAGTGGGCATGAGGGTATGTATGACTGGGGCGACAGAGAGCAACGTACATCGATTGCAAACACGCATTCACCCTCTGTGATAAGAGTCAGAGCCCAATAATGAAGAAAAAGATGCAAATTGGAGCAAATACCTCCCAACGACAGAGACTGCTTGAGTCGGTTATAGATATTCCAGATGTTGACCTTGCCGTTCGATGTACCTCCGAAAATTGCGGTCCCTTGGTGAAGGAAGCGGACTGGGAGACAGCACCCGGCACTGACGTCTTGATGAGCGGTGAAGAGAGACTCCACGTTTCCGGGCTGGCGCATGAGGAATACTTCGAAGCCTGTCAATGAATTCGACACAGCGAGAAAGCGACCATCGGCACTAAAATGCGCGTCGGTGCTATAGCCTCCCCTGAGCCAAATAGCAAAGAAACTGAGAGGCTTAGACGTACATTCGTCCGGGGAGAGATGCAGAATGCAGGCATTTCCCTGACTTCCCATCGTAGGCTCTGTGAACGCAAATTTTCATAAGTGAACTTCGTTTTCAAACGACCACGAACTTACACGATGCCATGGGTCCTATACACCGCCAGCAGTACGGAGGGGTGCTGGAGAGTGCTCATCCAGTGCAAACAGGTCATGACGACCTTCTCGCCTGCATCTGGTTTGGGTGTTTTGACTTCAAAGTCCCAGCGCCAACGCGAGATGTAAACATTCATCAACCAATCCTCTTCAACAAGCTCCATCAGCATTCGATGCTTCAAATGATGACATCGCTCACTTTTTTTGCAGTAACTCCATACCTTGACCTCGTTATGAGCTCCGGAGACGAGGTATTTCCCCCAGACGGTGAGGCATTCGACGGGATACTCATGGGCCACAAACCCGTCTAACTCTACAAGAATCTATGGGAACGTCAGAAGGTATAGATATGATTATAGCACAGCTACTCACATCGGATATTCGCAGAAAAGCAAGAGTCCCGTCTTCCATCCCACACACGAGGTCGGTGCTCGAGTGCTTGAGCCACAGCAGCGAAAGGACAGGACTGTTCCCGAAGAAAACGTACTTGAGTGCCCCATTTGTTGAGGACCAAACACAAACTTTGCAATCCATCCCTGCCGATGCTAAGTACTGTCCATTGTGGCTGAAAGTTACGCATGACACCGCGTCGGAATGGCCTTGCTGGTCGAGAAATGTGAGGGCAGGTTGGTACAGGAGCGGCATGTTATCCGCCAGAGTATATATGTCGGACGCCACGGGCTGAAGCTCAACGATGGGTGGTGAATGTGGTGGTGGATTACAATCCTCGGTGGTGTCGTGCTATTATGTCTGCAGGGCGTGATCGTGGCGGCGCTTGTTACTCGGGCCGGCGCAGGCTCCGCGTACGGCGAAGGGCCTATACTTATGCCACACTCCCGCTCCACGCTCTACCTTCCTTCGTTCCAGGTTTACGCACATTCCATTCAGGAAAACCTCCAAGCGCGTGCGTGAATATGTAGGACTGTTTCCGGTGAGTTTTACCGGATCGCGTTCTGTCAACCACCGCCCTCCCCATCCCCGCCTGCGCGCCCGGCCTGACATCCTCCTTCTTCCCCCCGCTCTCTACAAGCCTCCGCATGCGCATGAAACGTACACGAAGGACCATTGGAGTCTTTTTAGACTGTTCTTGGTGAGTTTTACCGGCTCACACTTCGTCGACCGTCGCGCTCCCCGTCCCTGCCTGCGCCTCCGCCCTGACATCCTACTTCTCTTCCCCAATTTCTGCAGACCTTCGCAAGCACATGATACACACGCTAGGGACCTTTGGAGTATTTTGAGACTGTTTTCGGTGAGTTTTACCTATTCGCGTTCCGTCAACCGCAGCGCTCTCTGATCCTGCTCCCGCTCGACCTCCTCCTTCTTTCTATGGACCTTCGTACGCACATCCACCTCTTCCCCACCGCGCATCACACCTCGCGAGCAAAAATTGCCATATGAAGCTCTTCACCGCCGTCAACATCCGTCATAACAACTTCCCCGTGCCTAGAGCTACGCCGCGCTCAATGGACACAGGCCTAGACCGTCTTTGGTATATAGCTCCGCGAGCGCACATTAGCTACGACACGGTGAGCGCGGTTCGTTCTACCTCTGCAACCTGGCCCAGGGCTCGCCCGATGATCTCCGCCTGGAGGCCACAGTGGTACCCAGAGGACGGGGCTCACCACCCGCGTTGTGAAGCTTGGGTTTCGCCTTCGTCTTGGGAATTGCCACTCACCAGCCTCCTTCCACAGGCGTACGTTGAGGCCATGCTTAAGAGCGCTGCGCGTCCTCGGGACCATAATGTAGACGTTTAACCTTTCTGGACTGCTTCAACCTCACGTAGCTGCACTGCTCATGGTTGAAACTGCATCCCGTAGAGCGCGCATGTGGAGTACGAGCGCCCCGCGCGCACTGTGTTATTGTGCACGAAGGTGCACTCAGTGGTATCGCGATGCACAAAGGTACCTGGCGGAGAGTTGCGCTCCCTTGAACTCCCTCCTCCTCCTCCTCACAAAGGTATGCTGCATCCGGACTCCGATGACAAAGGAACTGAGCGCGCTTTCTGAACCAGCCACGTTCTTCACGCACAGACAGCGTATAAAATCTCACCGCGTCTGTTTCCGAAGATGTACCAGCCCCACCCAGTCCGACGCCATGGAGGTGAGTGTCTCCCATATAGAGATTGAACGACCACAAGCTGATTCAATTATATCCCGCAGACCATTCTCGCCGACATCCATCAGGTGCATCTGTCTCTCTTCTGCGAGTAAGAATTTCTTACCGAATTTCTCACAGACCTTTTTCTGCGCCGACACGGTGGCTGAAGTTGAGGCCTTCGTGAGCCTTCACTCGGAGGCCTTCGTGAGCCTTCACTCGGAGGCCTTCGTGAGCCTCAACTTCTCAGCTACCGAGGGTGTTCCCCTGGACCGCTTTCGCCAGGCATACATCAACCTCAAGACCGAGGTCGGCGTGTCCTTGGATTTGTTGCGCCGTCTACTGGGTCTCCTTCACAACATCGAACACCTCCAACTCTTCCTCCCTAAAGATGCCACCTCCGACGTCTTTATCAACATCGACTTCCCCAACCTCGTAAAGTTCTCCACCAACGCCCCTCACGCCGTCATAGAGAATTTCTTGTCCGCTCATCCTCAGATTCGCTGGTTGAGCCTGGACCGTCCCGTCATTCCGAATTCCCTTCAACCAATTGCGCCATTTATGACCATGGATCACCTCCTCTGCCCCGTCGCTCTTCTCCGCGACGTTCACTTCCCCCTCTCTAGGCTTCAAGCCCTGTACCTTGACATCAACAGTGGCCAAGCGACTATCTCCGAAGATCTGCAGAAGATGGCGTCTCATTGCGGGCAGAAGGCCATTTTCGCAGAGCTCACCCACCTCTGCATCCAGATTGCACCGAGCGACGTGAGTGTAATGCGCGAGATCTCTCGTCTGTTCCCCGCTCTCCGGAACCTCACTCTCATGGAGATTTGTCTTGTAAATGTAAGTATATGAGTTTCTAACACTTGCGATCTCTGCTCACTTTACTTGCGCACACAGGCCAGACAGAGCGTTGATGGCCCCAGGGCCTGGGACGCCTTCAATGACGAGTGGTATCACATCCTCCTCACCCTTCCCTCCCTCCAAACCTTCACCCTCGCCACCGTCTCACTCCTGCTGGAGCCTCACCCCCTCGGAGATCGCCTCGCTGAAGAGTTCCTTGTGCATCACTGGGCGGGAGGGGCTATGCAAGTTCCTCACCCCGCTCTTCACTGTATCGTCGCCGCATACCCATTGTGGGCAGGCTCTCCACCGGAGATAGCGTCATTCTGGAAATCGGAGGATGGGAGTTTGGGGGGTTGGAAGCGAGTGAACGTTGTCCGTGGCGGTGAGAAGGTGAATAGGTCCATCATGGCGGGCTATTGGGAGATGCCTTGAATCCTATGTACATCATTACTGCTTGCTGTAATGCGGCTGGAACAACGATATTATACATGTACAGTGATCGGAGTGAACCGGCACGATAAATTGTGTGTCCGGCCCCTCTCGTATTCGACACTGTGGCACCGACCATACTCGGAGCGCCCAGCACTGGGAGGCCGTTGACGCGCACGATCATCGATCATTGTTCGCGCGCATCTTCCACAGTGTGGCGCGTCCTATGCGGCAGCTACTTCTCTTTAGAGATTTACCGCGTGTTGACGGACATTTACCGTCTCGTCACGCTGGGCCACAAGTACCTTCAAATATCGTCCGTCACACTGGCTTGGTGACGACGCTTTTGGAAACATAAGCTGTGTGACCGAGCGCACGGGGGGTGGCACCGCGTCGCGCGGTGGGCTGCGCTATTGGAGCTAATCGACTGCCAACGCCGTGGCGCGCTGCCAAGTCGCTGTGCTAGCCAAATTCCATACATCTGGTCACACTGCAGCGAGATCAGCGTAAGAAATCATTGAGACGATGTGTAAAGACTCTGCACGTCTATCTACAGTACATTGGAATATTGCAAGCGATCTATAATACGCTGCACCTCGTCCTCGTTTACGGCTACGACCCCGGCCCTCACCCACTTCGCCGTCGTAGCACTAGGACCCCACCGCGACATGATGCCAGGAGAGTAACCGCACTCCACAGAATACGCCAAGAGAATATGGTAAAGGGAGGGGTGAGGAGATCTGATTGAGACCCCGGTCCAGCGGCGTACAACTTTCCTTTCAGCCCGCATGTCTCCGATGGGGGCGTCCACGAAGAGGGGAGAGGTGGTGCAGACGAGCAGGCATTCCAAAAGCTCCAGCTTGCGCAATGCCTGCTGCCACCGACGCCCATCACCCCACGGGGATTGCCGAGCGATGGCGAGACGTTCAACTCCCCAGGAGAGTGGGAAGGGCTGCAAGAAACGACGTTAGTGACGTTTGGGAGAATGGAGAGCGAGCTTACAGGAGTTCTGCCAGCGTAGATCAGGCACAGGCTGTAGATCTTGGGAAAGAGTCTTGGAATCTCTTTCACGAGTCGGCGATCGCCAGGACCCATGTGAACGTACAGAAAGTTCATGCGAGGGAATATCTTCGGAGAGAGGTCCCGCAGGGTGCGAGCAACACAGGTACGAGAGACCGGAATGCCGGCGGCGTCCTTCAGCTCCAAGTATAGAACCTCGAGTCGGAAGAGTGGGAACGACAGCCCCTTGAGGCATCCGACGGGGCAAGCAAGAGTCGTGATGTTGTCGAGGAGGGGAGCATGGCGGAATGGAATTGAAGGAAACCTTGCGATACCAAAAATGGTAGGGGCGTCGATGGGTGGACAGAAGAGGGTGAGGGTGGTGATGGAGGGATTCTGACGCAAGAAATAATAGACTGTGGATGCGGGGCCGTCGTAGATGAGCTGTTTGACGCCGCGAAAGACAATGCCCTTAAGCACGTCTGGGGGAGTGTTCTTTGGGAGGTCGAGGCTCAGCTTGTGCACGGTGGGCCAGACCGATACCATTCGAAGCAGCTGGCGCAGCTGCAGCAGCTCTTCGTTCGACGCTTCAATGCCCCGCTCCCAGCGCAAGTACACCTGAGCGTAGCGTGGAAGTACCAAGTCTGGGGTGGCGTTGATAAGGTCGATGTGGTTCTGCACCTCCTCAGGGGCATCGACGCATAGAATAACCTGAGAAGAATCAGCGCTCCATGCGTAATGTTGTAGGTGTGATGGAAACGTACCCTGTGAATGATAGCCAACCTGTGCTGTAAAAATATCACAATCAGGTCCAATCTGAAACGTTAAATTGGCACACTCACGTCCATGATCGATACTGGAACGATGATGAAGATGGAGTGGGAAGGTGGTGGAGTAGACGGTCGGTTGGAGAAGATAGCTGAGTTGAGGTTGCAACGGCGATATATGGCTGCGATGGAGATGTACGGTGGGGCTGTCAGAGAGGAGGGCCTGCACCATTATAGGTCTTAGATGAGGCTCAAACGCAATGCCTGTGACTATGAAAAGGAGGAAGTCTTCGATTGGACAAAGGAATAGATATGTGAAATGGTGGGCATTGTGTTCTTTGAACCCCTTTAGTGTCTTTAAAGGCAACTATCGTGTATAGGCGGCAGAATGCCAGATATTGAACGACCAAACATCTGAAGCAAGGATGGTATTTCAAGAGAGAAGAGACGGAAGGGATAGAAAGACGTCTGACGCACTGTAAGCAACGGCCGCATTGTGAAGAGGGGGCTTCCCAGGCACGCGGGGACGCGCACCGCCGACGTGCGACAAGCCGGAGCTTCTCGGGCACGCAGACGGCCATGGGACAGGGGGTGGACATGGGCGTGACGAGCTGGAGCTTCTCGAGCACACAGACGGCTGTGGGGGAGGGGACAGACTGTGCGCGAGAGGCCGCAAGGGGGCTTCCCAGGCGCGATGAGCTGGAGCTTCTTTGTGCAGGGCTCAGGCTTTGTGCGCGGGCTCTCTGATCTAGATCTATCTGGCGTGCGTGTCAAGCACGTGATGCCGCGCGCCTCGCTACTACCAGCTTCCGCTCCACGTTTTTCATGACGCCAACGAGTAGGTCAGTTCTCATGCGAGCCAGCCACTACTGAGGTACTAAATACTTGTTTGTGGGCCAAGAATATGATGGTAGAACTCATGAGACACGCTGCTCCATGGTAGCCCCGCCGCATGCCTGCCGCATCACCGTGTGAGCCTTGCGTGAGCCCTCGTTCTCTGCTCTCTCCTCCCCAGCCTCGGCTTCACTCCGATGCTCGCAAGCGTCGCGAGAAGCACGTCGTTCTTTTCTACGTCCTCCGAGTTGCGCCCGCCATGGTGAGATATGGCTCCAGCTCGTCACGGCGGGCGCGACTCGCGTCTCGGACGACAGATGCGGGACACAGTTCAAGACGCTGATGACGTCATGGCGTCCTCAGGCACCCGGTTCACAGGCACCCGAACCGAGCCCATGATCAAGATTCAATATCTCTCAGGCATCTGGGGGTGGCGGTGCCCGGGGAAGAGGCTCTCCACGGGCCGTGTGCCGGGGAGACCGCGGCGGCGCGGAAGCGGCTCGCCTGCGAGGAACAGGGCAAGCGGGCGGGCGAACACCCATGTTTCGAAACGCGTCTGCGGTACATCCTGAGCGATGCGTCAAGGAGCGACGAGTACTAACGACAGTGACGCCGAGCACTAGCACACCGAGACACGTCCTTCGAGAACATGCGCCTCGCAAAAACGCGCAGTGCCCTAAATCCCGGTCCTGCTTCTCGTTCGCGTTGCGTGTATGTCCCGCGACCGCGGTTCACGCGGAACACAGTCATACGACAAAACGTGAGTCAGTGGGGTCAACGAAATATATTCATGGAACGTGACAAGTCGGTAATTACAAGTATCATCGCTTAGTACAGCTACCAATGCACCTATTACGGTACTACAGCTTAGCTACGCACGCGGGATACCTGAACTGTTCAGTGTCAACGCAAAGAACAAACTCATACTACCTTCTTCACGTTCTGTACACTACGATCTAGCAAATTCATGGCCACATTCCTGGCAGGCATAATCTACTTCGAATCATACCTACACCGGAGACCAGTCACGGGCACAGAGAGCGGTCCACGCAGGGCCATCCCACCCCAAGGGATGGTTCCTCAGTCCAATGAGGTCGGCGACTTCGCAGCCCTGGCTACAATAGAGCATTAGGGAGCAACGAAGAAGGAGAACCAAATCCACACACCTGCGAGCAACATGGCGAGCGATCTGATTCGGCCTTCTGGCCTTCTTGTTCCTGGACCCGCTGCCGCCATGGGCCTGCCCGTGTCGCGCATGTTAGGTACAGAAGAATGCCACAGAATCTCGGCGAAAGCGACGTACCTTATGAAAGTTGACGATGCTGACTTCCTTGATGTCGAAACGACATTCGCCAGGGCTGAACATCGCGCTGATGTTATGGGCGTTCTCGATGATGCGAGCGCCGAGACCGTCTCGCAGCGCCTGCGCTGAAATCAGCCGCACTTCATTGAAACAAAAGTAGAGTGCTCGCCTCAATGAGGTCCTTGCTGGCGACATCTCCGTCCACAGGTCCACGCAGGATGACAAGCAGGAACTGTCAATCAAGGTCAGAAGGGCGTAATGGATGAATGAACGAGGGAAACGAACATCCCGATGTTCTTGAGCCATGGGAGGCATATCGGAAGGAGGTATATCAGCAGGGAGTGAGATAGTATATGGTAGGGGAGTGAGAGCGAGAGATGTGGAGGAGGAGCGACGGAGGTGAATGAGGAAGAAGGCGCTCGCGTGAGTGGACGGAAGGCGCGCGCACGTGAGTGGACGGAAGGCGCGCACGCGTGAGTGGACGGAAGGTGCGCGCGCGTGAGTGGACGGAAGGCGCGCGAGCGGACGGAAGGCGCTTGCGAGAGAAGAGGGAAGGCTCGCGTGCGATGCGAGTCCGAGAAAGCTGGGACGAGATTGAGAGGACAGGAGAGTGAGAGTGAGGCCTTGAGGGATTAGAGGAGCCACGGAGGCGAGACGCTGTATGAAGGCGCGCGTTTCGACGTGTTCGAAGCGACTCCGAGAAAGTCGGGATGAGATCGAAACAAACGCGCGTGTCGATCGCAGTTGCCCGACCAAAACAATTTATATAAAGCATTAATGTCCTCCCTCTACCAAGACCGCATGGAGCAACAGTAAGAGCTGTGGTGTGATCCTTCTGTAGGCCACGCGTTCGAGTCCCGACCGACGAGTTCTTTTTTAACTCTCCTCCCATAGACGGGAGGCAGTTTGGCTATGTCTTCCTTGATTTTTAATATCACCTCTTGCATGAATGTTACAACTAACTACATACTGCGATACATACAGGCTGGACGTACCGAGCCTCCGACTTTCTCGGGGCCGGCAAGGAAGGCCGCCGGGACGTAGCTCCGGACGGCGCTAAAACCGCGTCTTTCTCTTCAGCCACGCGCATGGACGAACGTAGAGTACGTCGCCTCGGCCCTGTTTCTGCCTGAACTTCTCGACTCCTATCTCACCTATTCTTTTTCATTCAGGTGGCACCGCTAATGTAGTGGTTTATCCACGACCTCGAGGCTGGGTCCGAAAGAGCTCCGACTCGTGACCTCCGTTCAACAGCGACTGGGTAGTAAGCATCTTTCATTCATCCTTGTACCAAGCGCTCTCTAGTGTGAGCTGCTGCCTTTTCAAGGGCATCAGCGCATATTAGGAGCTGCCCCGTATGTTGCGATGGCAGCGCTCGTCATCGCTCCGGCCCAGAACTCTTCGAGGATGTGGTAGCTCCTCTGATAACGCCGCTAGCATCCCACGCCCTCAGGAGCCCCGCGCCTTGAGGTCCTGCCTCGTCGAGGATGCAGGCGCATGACGGGCGCTGTGCTGTATGTGCTGCGAGAGCAGTAGGTGACCTACTTCTTGTAGTGCGCTGGATCTTTTGAGGGCGGGGTAGCTACCCTCGCGACCCCCTCCGCAATGAGTCGTCGGCGCTGCTTTGCTGAGGGCACCGGCGCACAGCGAAAAACACCTTCGTCATAATGTCGAGACAACGAATAAGCCGTGCGTCGCAGCTTCAGCGGTGGACCCACTCACAGCGCGGCAGCTAGTATTGGGCGTGGTAGCTACTCTCGCGCCACTCACTCGCGGTGCCTCGCGATCTGCGCGCCGTGGGCTGCTATCTCGTCAAGTATGCCGGAGAAAAGCGGGGGTATTCTTTCACTTGATGCGAGCACGGCGAACAAGCGATCCGCTCATTGCAGCTCTCGAACAGGATCTTTTTGACCGTGCGGTAGCTGTTGTTGTGCCACTCGCTCACCGTCCCTCGCGATCTGTGCACCGTGAGCTGTTTTCTTGTCGAGGATGTTCACGCGTAGCAGGGATATACTTCTAGACGGACATCTTCATTGATGCGCCTCTTATGCCTGTATTCCTGTCCGAGGTGTGGCACCTCCTCTCTCGGAGCCACTCGCCTGCCGTCATCCGCGACGTCCGCGCTGCATGCAGTGGTCTTAGCGCAGATGCCGGTGCACAGCGAATACGCTCTTCTATGCTTTGAGGTCGGGGAGCACCCTGCTCATGATGACTCTAACGTCGAATATCTTCGGGGCTGCGGTAGCTCCTCTCGTGACACTCACCTCCTGCCATCTGCCATCTGCCCACCCTCAGTCGCCGCCTCCTTGACGACAACTGCGCACCGCAGGAGCTCTCTTCTACCTTTTGCAAGGTATCGAGTATCTTTTTCATTGCCCTCATATTTTTGCCTAGAGTTTACGAGTTCCTCTGGCGCCACTTCAAGCCTGCCGCTCGTTGGGCTATTTTCATGCCCCTGCTATCAACCCATAGTAAAGAAATCTCATCCGAACACGATGCTGTCAATTTGTTTTCGGTTTTCCGTCGGATTTTGGAACACTCCGAATGCTCTGGGTTCTCAATCAGACAAAGCCTTTTTGAAAGAACCATTATATGGTCGCTACATCTGAGCCTCTCCTCCGCTGTCAGCCGCCACTGCCTTCCTCTTCCTGACACCATTCACTGATCCGAACAGCAGTGGGAAATGTGGGTTCTCTGCTTTAGAATGTCAGAAATGCGCTTCATTTACGTCGCCCATCTAGTCGTCACCTCCATGACCTCTAGAACCGTCAACGATCCCTTTGCGGCATCCAGATTTCTTCTACGCGAAGATTTGATGGCGTGTCTGTCCGCACCGGAAGGTAAATCGTCAATACCTCCATCATGTAGAAGTTTTGATTTAATTTGAAACCAGGGGCAACCTCAGAGCCCAAGGTTCTTCAATTCCAACAGGGAACCTCCACTCGCCTCGCGCCACCCACAAAGCACGAAACCCCCAAGCCGCACCGGCCTGTCAGCTTCCGCCGTCCAGTTGTGTTTGCTGCTGCGCTCATCGTTGTCGCTATTTGGGCGGAACTTTCCCGTTGGTGCACAATCTCCACATCCTCCCAAGGCGTCGTACTTCTCTGCCATACCAGCGCGGACGCGATCCATGCGCAAGGCCTAATCTTGGACGCCTTTCACCATCACTTCTCTGCCTCCTCCCCGCCATCTCCAACCGATTACGCTCAAGACATAGCCGGAGGGACAATTGCGTGGCAGATCACCTCCTTTTCTGCCTTCGCAGCTCCTTGGAGCTCCGCTCAGAACACCGATCCCCGAACGGTTCTTAATAGCCGTGACGCATCACATTGCTGGGCCCCTCCCTCCCTCCCCGCCCAGATAGGTGTTCGAAGTACGCAAATGATCCACCCGACGCACATCATCATCGACACTCTGGCAACGGACCCCGAAGGACGCCTCCGGGCACCGAAGAACATGCATCTATGGGGCGCTGTAGATGGCAAGACGAACACGCAGCTCTTCGAGAAGCTACCCGCTGACGCTGGCAAACCCAAAAGACCAACGATTCATAAGGACGTACGTTGGGTGCTCCTAGGGTCACCTGTTTACGACATTCACAACCGCACCCGAGCACAATCGTTTCCACTCTCCCATGAGTTTGTGGACCTGGGGATGACTTTTGGAGTCTTCGCACTGGAGATCATGGACAATTGGGGGGCACCTCCGATGTCGACGTGCCTATCGAGTGTGTGGATTTACGGAACTCCCCCGTAGGGCTTCACTTCCCCGCTTTCCTTGTCACGCCGCTGAACGAATTGTCGCTACTTATTACAAACGTTAATACCACGATACACCACCACGCCACCTGTTCCCTTCGTGTCTGCTTCTCCCGACGATCAGCTCTCCTCCAGCCGGGATTGAGTACTTGAGTACGTCGTCGTGCGCTGATGGTCTGCCACTTTTGCCAGTTACAGCCACGTCTCTCGCATTGCCGAGTCTGCCTCTCACTTCACTCCTCTTGTTCTGCTCTTTCATCTTCTGCTGCCAAACATCCAGAACGTGGCAAAAACTCAGCCAGAACATTCCATGGGGTGTTTTGACAGCACGAAGACCGCATCAAAAAGCCCGTGCCAGAGTCATTCATGGGGTGGTCTGAAGTGCGATACATGATGTTCCAGTACGCTCGTTCCATCTCTCACTTCCACTCTGCACTCATATCATTTTTCTGCGCCCCGCTCTCGTCTCCCATCCAAACGTCCGACATGAAGATTGCGCTGTAGTTTTTCGGACCCATAGGACATCACGCGAATGCTCTGTTCTGGTGCGCCCACTTTGTGTCTCCTGCCACCCTCTTCTCACCATCTTCTTCTGCATGTCGCGCCTTCCCGCTATCCAACCAGCAAATGTCAAGACCGCGCAACGAGACACCTGTTGGATCCCCAGTGGATCATTGCGCCCACAAAGAGCCCGCCGTATGGGTGCGCCCGCATCTTCTTCCCCGCGCACTCTCTACTCATATCCTTCCTCCGCGTCACGCTGCCTGCGGCCCACAAATAGCCAACGATGAATAAAATGGCATGGGGTGTCCACTCGGATGCTCTACGACGTGGTACACTAGTGCAGAGCACGCTTCTTCGGCGCCCAAGCCCTGTCTCCCCCGATCCCGCCCACTCCTCACCCATGCCTTTTTTCCGTTCCGCTCCTATCCCCTACCGATATTCGGACATCAAGAAATTTCCGGAGAGCATGCACTGGGTCATCTATGGAGCTGTTTGAAGCGCAAGGCGCGCGATCTCGGTACGTCCGCTCGTCACTCCCTCTAACTCTCCGCTCAATTCCTTCTTTCGAATGCCACTTTTCTCCGCTGTTAAACTATCGCACACCAAGACCGCACCATGAATAATCTGTTCGGACACTTTGCGGGATACTGCGTTGGCGCAGAGCGTAGTGTTTTGGTACGCCCACGCCTTTTCTACCGCCCACTCTCGACTCATTTACTTCTTCCGCTTCCTGCTCGCGTTCCACATTCAACTGCAATATGCCAAGACTGTACCGCAGAGCGTCTGCTCAGATACTATGTGGTGATACTGCGCCGACCTGTAGTGCTGTGTTCTGGTGCGCCCACCTTGTCCTCCTACTTACTCTTCGCTCACGCCCTTCATCTGTGTCCTGTTCCTCTCCAAACTCCAACAGTCAGACACGAAGATGGCTCTGAGGAGCACCTCTACCTCTACGATCCTTTATAGGGACTTTGCGGGTGCGTGACACACGTTTCCGGTACGTTGGTCCTGGGACTTCGTCTCGGAGTCCTACACCGGTCTCCTCACTCCTACCTCCTACCTCTCATCGCTTCTCGTGCGTCGCACTCCCTTCCATCAATCGGCGGCCCACTAGTGATCGAGGTCACATCGCGGAGCTCCCACTCGGGTGCTCGGCGAACGTCATTAGCGCGCTGCGTGCTTCTGGATCCGTACGTCCACCCATTTACTGTACCATTTCGTATTAATCGAACGTCACACGTCACAAGAGGGACCGAAAGTTCGAAATCTTGGGGGTAGTCACAGCTCACAAGGCCGAAGTTCGAAAGCGTCTCGCGGGCGCTTGTCAGCGGCCGCTCGGTTTGGGCGCTCCAGTCTTCCACGTTTAGCTGGTATCCGTCCACGGTCGGTCTATCCGATATCAAATTTGCTTTGATAGATTGCACTTGATACGCCATTGTTCCCAGTGGCAACTCGGTGCGGCGCTGTCCCTGTGCCACTTTGCTTCTTGTTCTCAACTTCATCACTCCCTTGCCCTCTCTCACCCACCTCGTCCCATCATCATATGGTGAAGAAGACGAAGATATGTACATGCTCGGTTTGCCGGCTGCAGTCCTATAGAGCACCCGACGGCAGCATCCGCCAGGGAGCTAAGCAAAGGCTGGATGTCTGGAAGAAGCATATGATGGACGACCAGTTTACCAAAGCAAATGACGACTTCCGCATGCGCGAAGCCTTACTTCACGCAATTGTACGAGAGTCAAGCGAACGTTCAGCCTCCCCTCAATCTACAAGGGAGACTATGGTGGGTGGTCAAGCGTCTTCTGGCTGAATGTTCGCTAAATATGTATCGCTTGTTAGGAAGAACCTGTGGATTCATCCGAACTAGAGGAGGCAGAGGCTACGGATACTGAAGTTGGGATGGGTGACGGTTCCGGCCAGGAGGACGGCGATGAAGATCACATCATGGACACAGAGGAAGACCCCTCGAGCATTGAGGTGAGCATCGGATCCTACTGAAGTCTGAAATCCATCCTCATTGGGTTGCGTCAGGGAGAAACGCCGCCGATGAGGCTTTCACGCCTCTCCGCACTGGAGTCTTCGGTATCCAATGCTATGAACGCTATGGAATCCAACCATTCCACGCTCAAGTTCTCCTCACATCCATCAGCAATCACCGACATCCCTAGCCCTCTTCTGTTCCGCGATCCAGAAAACATCGCATTCCTTGATAGTCGCTTCAGTTTGGAAAGCTCGCTCGCACGTCTCCTCGCTATGAAGCCGTTGGGTCATCGTGACGCCGACGCGCGCCGCTGTTCACTCATCAAGCAAACCCGCAAAGCACTGGACGGATCTTTGGCACTAGAGCGTTACGCCTGGGAGAGAGAGAAGACGAGAGCGGGACTTTTCGAACACCAAGATGCGACGCCACAGGTCTTTTGGATGGGTGAGTATGGCACGATATTCTTCGAGAACTATTCATGAAGCTCATACTTGAGCAGAACGCTTTCCAACTCCTCTGCCCTCCATGCGACCCTTCCTGTTTGCTATCCTCATCATCACGGGGGCCCTACACACCATTTCCGGGCTTAGTCAAGAGGTCTCCGACCTCGTGCTCGCTCTAGTGCGGCTCACAGCTGTCGAAGTCTTCAAAGCCTACAAACCGCGTTCAAACCACAAGACTACGGACAAATACGTCACCACCAAAAACGAGCTCAGAGACACTGTCCCAAAACACATACGTATCGAACCCTCCATCGTTCGATATGCAACGTGTCCCATGTGTTGTGCAACATACCCCCCGGATCCTACGAAATACCACGGGAACCCATATCCTCCGCTTTGCACCCATTCCGAACCTGGTGAGTCGCCTTGTCAAACGCCTCTGGTCCAGCAGAACGCGCAACTACCGCTGCGATCATTCCCTTACCAGTCTCCCCTCTCTTGGATCGCAAAAATGTTCTCACGTCCCACCATTGAGTTGATCCTGGCCACTTCGTGGACAAGCGCGGCCCTCGAACCTGGTTCCCCTTGGACAGACATTTTCCACTCGCCAGCGATTCGGAACTTCCTCGGTCCAAACGGAATTCCGTTCTCAAAGACCGTCTCCAACAATGTTCACCTCGTCTTCGGTCTCTACATCAACTGGTTCAACCCAGGAGGGAACAAGCAGTCCGGGAAGTCTCGCTCCGTGGGCTCCATATACCTCGTTTGTCTCAACCTTCCTCTCGCCATACGATTCCGCCCCGAGAACCTCTGTTTGGTGGGCATTATTCCTGGACCACGGGAGCCCTTGACCCACGAGCTCAATCACTTCCTTCGACCACTCATCGACGACTTCCTTATCTTGTGGACGTCTGGACTTCGAATAAGTCAGACGTCTCTCTGCCCTCTCGGTCGCCTTGTTCGTGCAGCCATCATCCCCTTGATATGCGACCTTCCGGCGCTTCGCAAAACCGCTGGTTTTGCCGGCCACTCTGCAGAACGTATGTGTTCGTTCTGCTTACAATCGAAGTCCGACATCAACAATCTCTCGCGCTCGACGTGGGCCACGCGGACCTGGAGACGACACTTCGAGATTGCACGGTCATGGTGCGACGCTCCGACGGTCGCCGCACGCACGGTGATCTTCAAGGAGCATGGCATCCGATGGTCCGAACTCCTTCGCCTCCCTTACTGGGATCCGACCAGGTACGCCGTTGTCGATGCCATGCACAACTTGTTCCTAGGTCAAGTTCGCCACCACTTCCGGGATGTATGGGGGCTTGACGTCAAGGATCAGAAGGAAGGGAAGAAAACGCGAGAGCTGGCCCAGCACACGCCCGAAGAACAGAAGCAATGGCTCCAATACATCATCGAGTCCCTCGACGCCTCCTGCGTCATGTCCTCGCTCACGAAAGCCCGAAAAGGCTACCTCGTTGCTCTTGCACAAGCCAACAACATCGTTCCCACAGCGCTTACTAAAAAAGCGTACGCGGAAGCCTTGATAGAATGGGTACGTCCATGTCTTGGTATAATATTCGCCGTCCCTCAGACAATCTAACCATCACGGACAGGTAAAATCAAATGCGCCGACCGCTCTGCGTGTACCACCCATCCTACCGGAAGACGCTGACAACTTCTATCTGTCCGACGATATCTCAACGTTTCAAGTGCTCACGCCGAAAATCATCCAACAAGTGCGCTCAGACATCCGATCGACATACTTGCCATCTTGGATCGAGCGACCTCCGTCTAACCTAGGGAGCAAATCTCACGGAAAGCTGAAGGCCGATCATTGGCGCACCGTTTGTACCATCAGCATGGTCATCACCCTGGTTCGAATGTGGTCGTTCACGGCCTCCAACCTCGAGCTTGCGATACTCGAGAACTTTGTCCATCTTGCCGTTGCCGTCGACCTTGCTTGCCGACGCTCGATGACGGCGGAGCGGGCCCGATTGTTCGACTCTCACATGTTACAATACGTGATCGGTCTCCGCAAGCTCTTCAATCACAAACTCTCGCCGAACCATCACCTCTCGCTCCATCTTTGTCAATGTCTCCTCTTGTTCGGTCCGGTTATGGCCTGGTGGGGCTTTCCCTTCGAACGCTTCAACGGCATCATCCAACGCCTCAACACGAACAACAAAATAGGTAGGTCTTGCAGCTGTGATTAGTGCAGTAATAACTGTCTGATCAACCGCGTTCTTCGTCTTATACAGAGGAGATCCCTCTGACCTTCATGGATCACTTCTGTGTGGGAACTGAACTGAGGTATCTCTTCGACTCGGTAGAGTGGCCTAGCACCGAAGAATTCGACGACCTCAAATCTGCGGTCCGCGCTGTGTTCCAAGACACAACGCGTAGTACCAGGGCGGCGGAGATCCTTGCCTTAGCAACAGCATCGCAATCGGCCGAAACTTTACGTGCTCTGTACACCAAGTTCAAACACTGCAAGGCGACGCTCGAGCGCGATGTCTACAACAAACTTCTCGGCGTGCTCAATCATACGCCTCCATCCGCTTACAGCTTGTTCTATGAACAACCTGCCCGTGGCACCGTCCAACTCCCACTCCACGCAGTACTACTTCCGAAGATTGAAGTTCACCGCACGACGCTCGGGACACGGGACAAGAACATCCGTAACTCCTTCGTGTGTTTACGTGACCCGACGGATCGGGATCTTCCCGACAGCGTACTTGCTGGTCAGATTTCCCAGATCTTCCTTCATCGAAGACTCTCACCGACAAAGGGGGACATCGTTGAGCCATGGTTAGTGGTGGATGTCTATGCCACTCTCACCGACGAACACGCAGCATGGGACCCTTATCGTCGATTCCCCTTGCTGGACACCAAACTTGTTTACAATCGATCCGAGAGAAGTATCGTCGTACGGACAACGGACGTAGTTTGCCAATTTGCAAGCCTGACCTACGTACCTGACGGTATCGACGAGAGTTGTGTCGTCGTGCGAGCTCTAGATCGCATAAGTCATGTTGGTTTCTGTACGGAATTTCACTGATGTTTTGCGACAGAATTGACCGTCATCACCATCGTCGCATGCGACAATTCCTCCCGTGTGCGTTTAATTAGATCCACTGTTAGCTAGTATACAACGTTCTACTACCTGGTGTTGGCAAGCTCCTCAGAATTTTCGGCACCAGACAGACTCGTCGCGCAGTGCGATAGGACTACCATCACATGCGCCCGGATCGAAGCTAATCAGAGCCTCAAGCAAGGAGGCGAACATATTGCTGCAGTGGGAGCTACCGGCCGGTAGCTTCCAGCGCAATCGCATCGCAGTGCGATTGCGCTGGAAGCTACGAGCGCAGTGGCGCCTAGAGCTATGAGCGCAGTGGCGCTCAGAGCTACGAGCGCAGTGGCTCCGGAGCTACGAGCGCAGTGGCTCCAGATCCACGAGCGCAGTGGCACCCGGAGCTCTCATAGCTACTATTCACGAGCGCGCCTTGCGGACGTGCGCTACAAGACGCGGTACGGAAAGTCAGTATCATACAGACTACAGAACAATGCACGTTACTGACAAGATTGCCTCTTCATGCGCAGAACGCTCAAGGTTCTACTCCGGGGTGAAGCTCCTCGACCGTAGTGAGCGCGGCACAGATTATCGCTGGGGCGGGAGCGTGTCTGGGAGAACGCTCGACTGAGATATCGTGAGCGCGAGCAAAGGGATACGTACCTGAGCTGCGTCGATGGTCGAGCGGAGGGTCAAGCGCACTGGCGGGCTTGAAAGCGCCCATCGCCGCCTGGCACCTGCTCGATGCCGCTGTCACCCACGAATTCGCTCAAGTTCTGTACCTGGCTCGTTGAACTCTCGTTCACGATGCTGCCAAGCCCATTCAAGCTCGACCTTGCGCTCAACTGTGCGCTACAGGGCAAAGAAACACTAACGATCGGGGTTAGAGAGAGTCAAAAGGAAGGCGCTACTTACACGTCTCGGTGCCGAACATAAAACCTGGTAAGTGGCCGACCAGGCTGAGGCCATGAATCCTGGGCATGACCTGGTCTGCGGCAGACCAGGCCGATTCCATGATACCCAGTGGCGCGCATATCAGGCTCGGAACATGAGTCAGCCAGGTTACGTGGACCCACCATGTTCTTTGCACGGTCGGGGGCGGATCGTGATGCCTTACGCCACCCCAGGCGGGCGCAGACCACGGGCCGACCATGATTCCTGTTCTTTGTCCGGTCCGGCGCGGACCAGACAAAGAACGTGACCGTGACAGGTTCCATGGCAGTACCATGTTCCAGGTCCTATTCGGGCACCGAATATTCGGGATTTCTCGTCGTGTCCCCTCTTACCCCCCTCCCGCACGAGGACGACTCCGGCTCAGATACCCCCGGTCAGGCTGAGACCTCAGGTGAGTATACCCCTACTATCGGCAATGACACCTTTTATGCACTTGGTCCTAGCCCCCCGGTTGAGTCGGATCTCCACGCGAGAGCGTGGGTTTCGCCCGAGGAACGGTCCCCTGTGTTCAGCATGGCACCTAGTATCTCGCGGCTGTTTGGCGGCCCCCGGTGTCCCAAGGTCGCCTTGGGCCTGGGGGCGGGCGCTCTCGGCCTCGGGCTGGGAGCGACCCTGGTTCCATATCCACGTATGTACCCCCGTACGAATTCAATAGCATTGCGCAGGAGGAGACGTCCCCTGGCGCGTTTTCCCCCGCTGTCCGCCCGTTTGACCGTGGACTGCGAGAAGGTTCCTTCAGCCTGGAGGGTGAGGAATGCGGACTGCCACCGCCCTACCTCAACCACGAGTCCTCATCGGAGGAGCTCGAGGAGCACACGGAGATATACCACACGCCGTACCCCGACCCCAACGACAGCTTCCATGCGAGGATGAACGAGGCTCTCGCGAGCATCTCGCCGGTGGGTGGATACGGATTGCGCGAGCCGCTGAGCGAGGAGCTCGCGCGCGCATCCCGCGTCGAAGAGCGGGTTAATCGCCGCGTGGAATTTAATACCCCACGGATGCACGACGTCGCCCCGTCGGACGACGCGTCCACTGTGGGAGATGATTGGGAGGCGCGCGAGGAGCACCGCGCTCTCAAGGGCAAGGGCGCAGACCCCACCAACTGGGGCGCTGCAGGTCTGGATCGTGGAGATCTGGACGTCGATGCACAGCGTCGTGCTCTCCGCAACTACGAGTTGCTCCATCGCTCTCGCGTCGCGCAGGAGCACAGGGAGGGACCCGGTCCTTCAGGACAAGTAGAAGAGCATAATAAGGAATGCGGCGTCCGGGCAGACAATACCCAGGGAAAGGTACAAGTCTTGTATCTCTATCACCCCATCTTGGTGCCATGCCACGAACCGCGGGATGCCCTCTTCCAAGAGCCACACGGCGCGCACGTCCTCAGGGTAGGGCAGCTCGCGGTTGAGAGCCGTGGAGACAAATCGTCCCAGCGTGCTGCAATGCGGCACGACGTCTGTCGGCCCAGGCCAGTTCACCCGGCCCAGTCGACGATGCTCGCCCGTTCGATCTGGTCGCGAAGGCAGAACGAGGCGGTGGAACGGAGTGAATTCCTTTTCTATCGTGAAGAACGAGTAGTAGCTGACGCGAGGGTCCTCTACAGACGACCGTGAACCGTCGCCGAAGATAGATCTCTCAGGTTCGCCCGTCCAGGCTATGACCGTCCCCGACAAGTCGCCACCATCGTCTTCCCACTCGAGGGAGTCCTCGCCTGCCAGCCTGAAGACTTTGTCCTCTTTGTCAAAGGGGCCATGGACGTCGTGGGATGCAGGCATGGGTCGGACAGTCAGCCGCCTTTGGTACGAGTCGTCCTCGTCCTCAGCGTCATTGCCTGTGTCGTCATCCGCGTCCTCCATCGAAGGAGGGTGATATACGTGGTGCGCTGAAGGTGGGTCACGCTCGGAGAGTCGTTCGTTCTCACTCTCCGATAGCTCGCCAGAAGAGGCAGAGTAGTACGTGTCCTCTGAGCTCTCCTTGTCATCCTCGTTGTCTGACATTTCTTCGTCCTCGCTAGCCGACTGTAGCTCCGGCATTTCCTCGTCCTCGTCGTCTGAAGAGACGACTGAGGGTGTTGGAGAGGGCTCCGGCGTCGGACTTCGTAGGGTGTACACCGTGTCCAAGGACGCCCAGAACCGGACGCCTGCGCGGTACCCATCCTGCAACGTCGCCCATGAAGGCCCAACGTCGCGTGAGTACCGCTCTTCTCCACGATCTTCGATAGCTAATTCTATGGCGTTCAGACGAATCGCGCCCAACTGCTCCGTCGTCTCGGCCAGTCCGCGCTTCGCCTCAGTGTCGGAAAAGTCAATTCCGACGCTGAACGTCTGAAGACCTGGGGGCTTTCCCTTGGATCGCGATGGCACGTTCGATGCGCAGGGACAATTCCGTTGGAAATGGTTGGGGTTGCCGCAAATGTAACAAGATAGGCTGTTCCCCAATGGCTTGCTATTCGAGTCCGGCCGCAATGGCTTTCCGTTGCTGCTACCGCCCGCGCGTTGCCCTCCGTGGCTCTGCACGGGCTTTTTGTGCTGTTGTTGCGGGACAGACAGCACGCCACTGTTCTTAGGCGTCGTTCCCGACCATCCATTGGTCGGCCGGGTGAATGCGCGGGGCTGCTGCTGTCCATTCTCGTGCTGAGTGCGCTCGGTTGGGGCGATCAGGCTCACGCGTGATGGCTGCTGTGTGTGTGACTTGTCCTGCCCACCAGTGGGCGGTTGAGGGTGTGGTTCACGGTCGTGTGTTCGCGCGTCCCGGCTGTTCTGGCCGGCGCGTTCAATCGCTAGTGCAGCCCGCTCAATCTGGTCCCAAGTGGCCGTCTCCATGTGCAAGTCACGCAACCAAAGGCCGCTCTGGATGTGGCTTGCAAGACCGGCCCACAGGCGTCGTGCGTGGGCCTCCGGGGGGTCCTCGTTCAGTACTGAGTACGCGGACGTCAGTTCCTGCACGAACTCCTTTACGGAGCGCGTCCCCTGATACATTTTCATTATTTGATTACGCTTCTGCTGGCGGAAGTCATCCGGGAAGCAATGGTCAAAGAAGGAACGTAAAAAGTCCTCCATAGTCCAACGGCCGGGATCCGCAGAAGCGTTAAACAAATAAAAGTCGTACACCCTGTCCGTCAGGTAGTACGACGCATAGAATACTTGGTCTTCCAGGGCGATATGGTATCCCCGGTTGTACACGTGAATCTCCTGTGCGAAACGTTGGAAGGCGACGAGATCCGCCTTCCCCGAGTACTTAGTGGGATTGTTTGGCTTCCGTACTGGGTACACGCGGGGTGCTTCCGGAGGAGCGTTGTTCCCGGGTGCCAACCCCATGGTAGCCTGAGCCTGCGCGGCCATGTTGAATACATTGCTGACTGAAGCAGGCATATGCACCGGGGGTGCAGTCGTAGCGGTCGGGGCCGAGACGTGGGTCGTGCTCAGTCCGAGTGCGCGTCCCAGCGGCCCCGAGGGGTCAATTCTGCTGGATGGCCCCAGTGGAGGCGGGTCCTTGGTCAGATCTGACGTAGCGTTGTCCCGCGAGGTCGGCCCGGCACTGAAGACAGTCGGTGCAAACACCGACTTGCTCTGAGGGATGGGGACGGCGGCAGCGGGCTCTCCAGGAGCGGTCGCACCGCGCTGCACCTGCACTGTACTCGCGGACATCAACGCCGCCATCTGCTTTTTCAGAACGTTGAGCTCGTCCTCGAGCTCGCGCACGCGCGCGGACGACACGGTTGACGAGCGTCCCGTAGCGTGCTCTAAGGCTGTTTGCGGATCTACCCACAGATGATCCAGATCCGAACCCACGGATCATGTGACATCTGGGGGCTTGATCCAGATCCGCACGGCTCAGATCCGCTGGAAGAGCTGGAGCCGCGGCTCCGGCTCCGGCTCATTCGCGGGTCAACCCGCCGATCCACACATAAGATATAGTGATAGAGAAAATATATGGATTTATTTCATTAACAAAGGTACTACTGGGACATGGGGGAGACGGACGAGGACGAGTGATGGTGACGCAGACGCGAGGCGTGCGGGCAAGGGCCCTAACGTGGGCGCAGGAGGGAGATGGGGGTGCAAGGCAGAGGTGCGGAGGACGACGTAGGCGCAACCAGGGCGTAAGGCGGGTAATGACGCGGGGACAGGCGTCGCGGACAAGGGCGAGGTGGGGAAGGCTTGGACATCGCGGACGAGAACGGCGAGACGCGAGCTCAGCGTGGGCGAGGCCGGCAAGGGCGAGACGGAGACGGCGACGTGGGAACCACATGGTGAGGACGCGAGGGTGCGAGATGGTGCGAGGGCGAGACGGGCAAGAGGTGGGTGCACCTGTGGTCACCACAGATGTAATACAATCCCCCAGGTACCTGGGAAGTCCATTATGCTGAGGCCCACCACGTTTTCATTGTAGAAAACCCTGGTGAAGCAATAACAATAACAGGCCTGCAAAGGCCTGTAATACTATGTATGTGTCATGTTATTATTACAGCTGCATCCCCTGGCTGTCAAAAGTGAAATATCTAATCACAGCACTTCTTCTATGCTGTTATAACCAACATATCTAATGACAGGACACCCTCTGGGTTGTTAAAAGCGAACTCTCTAATGACAGAACACCCTCTGGGTTGTTATAGGCATATATCTAATGACAGCACACACTCTGGGCTGTCAAAAGCGAAATATCTAATGACAGAGCCTCCCCTGGACTGTTAAAAACAGAATTCTTAATAACAGAACCTCTGCTGCACTGTTAAAAGTGACGTTCTTAATGACAGAGCCTCCTCTGGACTGTTAAAAATGCAATTCTTAATGACAGAAACTCCTCTAGGCTGTTAAAAGTGACGTGGAGTTATTACAGAGCCCTTTTGGGCTGTTAAAAGTGATGTTTGTAATGACAGAACCTCCCCTACACTGTAATAACCAATGCCAGGGACCCACTGGGACCTACCTAGCTATAAATAGCCTGGTGCAGGTAGTGCTACGGGTGGGCATTTTGGCTGGTATAATGGGCTGGAATTGGGGTAAATAGGTAGCTAAAGGTGACTAAAGCTGGAATGGTGCATTTGGGCTGGTCTGGGCAGCTGGAATGGGGGGCAATAGCTAGTATTTACCTGTAAATGGCCAGCCTGGCGTGCAGCACAGGGCAGGAATATCATCAGGCACTATGTATCAATCAAAAGGGGCATAAAACAGCTTTCTAGAGAACCCAAGATCATGCTGATCAGAGCAGTATTGGTGGAGATATGGATGTACCCCTGTTTTGGCCAATGGGGACATTGGCTAGAATTGGGAATTGTGGATGGAATTCCCTGGTTCTTGTTTTATAACGTGTGGATAGCCTTCCAATGAGTGGGATTGAAGTCCGATCGGAGAACCACCATCTGGTTCTGGATTAGATTGCTGTTTACCCTTCAGCCACAGCACTTTTGATCCCCCAATAGCCACCCCCCATATCCTCCGATAAGTGTTCGGTCTTTTGCAGCCTTCTCTTCTACCCTATTAGAAATGGATCTAGGTATCGTTTTGATGTGAACCACTATATATGGCTCCCTGTGCAGCTGTGTGCGTTTCCACCCCCTAGTTGCACCCCTCCACAACCATGCCATATATTAATCTGATTCCTGTTGCATGGTCAGAGCATCCATTCACTATTTCTTATCTTACAACTAAATGTCTTATCAGTGCTTTCTTTACTCTTATCAATCCTTATCTCTCTGGCACATATTACCCTGATTTACACACACATCATCATCTGATAATGGTTTACTAGACAGATCTGATAAAGGCATAAGAGTGCCTATCCAACACAGCAAGAATCATTGAAATCGGTGGAGAACTGAGGAAGTAATGGTGTCTGCAGCTGAGACAGGGCCCATTTTACTCCACAACCAGACCTCTTACTTTGCACAAACATGCAATTGAGCACACACACTCATTCAACCAGTGCAATAACACATGGAACATGTTTCGGTATGATCTAAGACATCACTAAGGTCCTCTGCCACATGTGGGGGTGGGTGGTCCATCCCTTGCATGTCTGCATAGGGGTTATGTGAAGAGGTTTTAGCCCACACATTGCAGCCCAGTGGTACATTCTGGGCTCCGATGCAACATCTTCACCAGTTCTGCACCGTTTGACATGGTTGTTTTTGCATCTTAAAGCTATGTTGAAGGCGAGTTCAGATCGAATTCACAAGGTAATATCGGAGCATTGTGTGTAATTGGATCAGGGGAACAAATGGGGGGCAGATTGGGGGATTACACCATCAAACAGAGTCTGATAAGAATTTACAGCATACATTTCAGGACTCTTTCACAGTGCACATTAGACGAAAAAATAACCACAATGATATATTAGTTGGGGACTTGTACGCCCGTATGGCCGCTGCATTGCTCAATCAGCATGGCCCTTATGTCCCAGGAACGGAAGATGATCCCGACCTCCGCGAGTACCTACTCACCGAGGATGGTGAAGGGAACTATATCGTCTGGGGCGACGACTTTGACGAGCTCCCACTGCTGCCCATGCACGAGCTGCGTCGCCCTGACTTCGACCCTGTCCAGTGGTATTGCGAGCAGGTCGTAGTGGAGTTCGGAGGCTGCTTGACGAGCTCCCCGGGCGCATTCATGCGGTACCCTTTGGCGGAGGGCGCAAGGACCATCCTCGCGATCAGCCACCCGAGGCCGTGTGAGCACGACGAGCCTGAGGGCTGTCGCTGCGAGGAAACCTCGGGGTTCTGTGGGTTCTGGGTGTCCCCGAGGGCGCAGGGCGTTCAAATCATGGACTCGTACCTGCGCTGGAACGTCTTTTGCAGCCAAGAGCTCCTCGAGGACCGAGAGTTCGACCTAGCTGGATGGTACGCATGGCAGTGTGAGAAACGGCAGAGAGCAGTCGGGAATCACACTCACGAGGATGACGAGACCGAGCCTTTAGGTATCGGGAGTCCAGAGACGATGGAACTGCCCGGAGGACAGGAGGGCGACATGGTGGATAGCGAGGAAGGAGTGGGGCTTTACGCGGCCGCTCCATACGCAGCCGTCCAACGTAACGCGGCTACTCCACGCGATTTCACGCGCGTCATTCCCGAGTCCCTGACTATTGTGGTCAATATTGCGGGCCATCTAGCTCGCGCACTCCTCGACACCGGCTTGTTGGCGGACTTCATGTCCGCGAAGCTCGCGCACCAGCTCGGATTACGCACAGAAGAGCTTGCGAAGCCCCTGCCAGTTCATCTAGCTGTACAGGGTTCGCGCGCGAAGATCAACACCGGCTGTAACGCCGAGTTGTCGTACCAAGGTGGCAGGCACGTGAAATGTGTGCGAAATGTGACATTCCGCTCCCACTTCATCAATGTTTCACAAAGGAAACCTCAACACAGTGTCACGCAACAAAGGGAAATGTTGGGGGAAATGTTTCATTTGGCAAAACTTTCCAGCATACAGCTACGGTCACAAAGCTTGTCCAGGCGCCGAAAAACGCGACGGGCGTCGAGAGAAATCGAAAATAAATCGAAAATGGTCGGAAAATCGCCCAGCGTCGTTCTCTCCCTCCTGCATCATGCCAACAGCTTCTAGAGTCCCAGGAAGGCCGTAAAAACGTGTGCGGGTCCACTTGGGTGCGTTTCGAGCTGGTTTTACATGGTCCCCAGCCGGCCTCGACACCATTCGACACCAGTGCACCCGTGGCTAGCCTCCGTGCTCTCATCATCTTCTTCTTGGGTTGCAAGTGGCAGGGCAGATATCTGGGCACGGGAAACACGGTACGTGTCATCACACTCTTATCTTGCACGCATCTATCCCTCCACTATCCCTCTCTTGTCTCAGGCATCGCTTATTCATGTACTCGTGCACAGGAGCTGGTCATGGTCTTCCAAAACCATTCAGTTGAAGTTCCCGGCGGGCCACAGGCCAAGGAGCTTGTCGGGATCGGATGGGATAGGGAGCTCATTGCTGCGGCGTTGCCGGTATCTAGTTGGAGCATTCGACGTTGGGTCAATGACTACTCTGTTGATTACTATGGCTCTTCCTCCCCCGATTGCGCGTGTTGTGGACGACGTTCAAGGCTCACTTGCCATATGCGAGACCAGGAAGAGCTAGCTTGAGAAGACCCTTCACTCTATGTCGACAGGAGCGTAGACAGACTCTTCGTCGTACGGGAACTGCTCGTTTCCCCGTCTACGCTCCGTAAGTTGCACACGGAAGATCGCCAAACAGCGTGACGCACACTGACACATTCAGTGGCTCCCCGATGTACGGCGTTTGTACACTTCGTCTCAGCTTGTCTTCGTCGATGAAGCAGGCATCAACGTCAACAATGACGCTCTCGAACGACCACCTGGACGGGCCCCCGTCGGAGAGCGCGCTGTCTTGCCCGCAACATACAACCTGCCCGGAAACCGGTTCTCACTCATGCCGGCCCTTACGTGTTACGCTCGACCGAAGGGTTGTCATTGGTTTGCTGTGTCAAACTACCAGAAACGCACCATGAGAATCATCCGACCTTGCGAAGAGCTCATCGTCATGGTCCATCGCGCCTGCGCCTCCGTCTCCAGCCTGAACATCGGGAGAGCTCCACTTCGTGCCGCTCCATGAACACTCTAGTTCCCGTTCATTATCGACTGGTTCGTTACCGTCGAAGATGTCCGCAGGCTCGGTGTCACAGTCGGACTGGTTGTTCCACTGTATGCTGTGATGGCGTCAAGACCGGCTGGAGACCATGTAGAACCAGCTCGAAACACACCCAAGTGGACCCGCACACGTTTTTGCGGCCTTCCAGGGACTCTAGAAGCTGTTAGCGTGATGCAGGAGGGAGAGAACGACGCTGGGCGATTTTCCGACCATTTTTGATTTATTTTCGATTTCTCTCGACGCCCGTCGCGTTTTTTCGGCGCCTGGACAAGCTTTGTGACCGTAGCTGTATATCTGGGCGCGAAAGGCAGCCTTTCACCTCAAGATAAAGGCAAGTGGCATGATCCAAAAATGTAGCGCTGCCCTTCCATTTACTGCGAATATCACGCCGGCAGATCGGACTTATTGCCCGAGGTGCCGGCACCAGATGCATCCGCACCTGCTGGTAGGCTGTCACCACGGATGCACCTGGCGAATCACTACTGTAGACCGTAATAGTGAAGGGCTTTGCCAATCGCAGGCATACGGGTGGCCGGAAGGTAGTGCAGGCTCCGACATCCTCAAGGAAAGGGAAGGATACAAGTACTCATCATCAGAGTCGCTGTATTGAACGGCGACCGGGATTAATAGTCCTACTAGTCCAGAAACGAAAGCTGAGAGGCCATTGAATCGAAGATGACGTAACGCTTACTGTGAACGCCGATGTCGTGGCCGTTCGAAACCAGTCAGCCAGTTAAGAGTCTGTTCCATAATCAATAAAGGCACAGACAGGGCTATGATAGGACAGAGAGGTAAGTAAATGCGCCGTACAAATACAGAGGATCAGAGAGCATAGGTGTAGTATCCAGAACATAGAACGAAGAAACACGAGACCCAGACGCAACGTACGAAAGACCAGCACTCAATCTCACTTTCTCGCCTCTATCGACGTCGTCTTCTGCCTCTGCCTCTCCACCTGGGTGTCGATGTGCCGTGAGATCGTCTCCCCACGCTCCGTCAGCTTCCTCTCCAGCTTGCGCGCCTGCCCTCAGCGACATACGTCCCGAACGCCGCGCCTTGACTCTCGAGGATCCGCCCCAGCGTCTCGAACAGCCCCCCGCCGCGTGCCGCTTCAGGCTCGCGGTCGACCCCGCTGATGCCGATGAGGATCTTGCCGTGCTTCGAGCGGACGAGCGCGCGGTCCTGGCCCGGGTCCGTCGCCTTGATGTCCACGAGCGCGTTCGGGGGCTGCCCGGGCGCGGAAACGACACAGAGCGTCTCGCTGTCCGTCGCGCGCAGCGTGCGCGTGCGCGCGGCGAGACTGGGGAGCAGGCTCGCGTTCCCGTGGTGGGTGCCGATGACGAGCGGGCCGGAGAATGTGGGCGGGAGGTATACGGTGATCTTGCCGTACGCGGTCTCGACGAGGAGGTCGAGCGCGCGGGAGGGGGCGGCGTCGTGCACGTCGAGGAGGATACGGCCGTGCTGGCTGTGGACGTCGACGCGGGTCGGCTCGCGGCCGTAGGCGAAGGGCGGGGCGACGAGGGCGAGGTCGAGGGTGAGGGCGCCGTGCCGGGTGGTGAAGGAGGCGTGGACGTCGGACTTGTGGTGCGACTCGCCCCAGGCGCGGTCCTGCTCCCGGCACATGCGGCAAGAGAGGCCGGAGGTGGGAGAGGGGAGGGCGGGGTCGATAAGGTAGGTGCCTTTCATGGTCTTGCGTGAGGCGTGGTGCGCATATAGTGAGTCGGGAAAGACGCACCTGAGACTGGGGCATGCTTTGAGAAGACCTCAAAACGGTTGACGGTCTGGGGGTTGTGAGGCTGGAAGATCGGCTCCGAGCGCACTGGGGTCGGTTCGGGGACGCGACTGGGACCAGCAGGGGGAGAATATGGGGGAGGGGGAGGGAGCGCGGACTCTACCCGAGGAGAGGGGGCCTGCAGGCTCGATTGGCCAACGTTGAAGGCACAGCAGAGCAAGCGACTCACCTCAGCAGGCCGTGGATGTTTTTCAGGGACGGGCGGGGACTTGACGTCGCACGCGTCTTGGGAATGGGTGTTGACGACAATCATATTGAATGAAGGGATGGGGCGAAGGACGAGAGTCGAGGGTATAAGTAGGATGCGCTACGGCCCAGAGCTATCGCCTGCGGAAGGCAGGGCTTTGACATGCCACGGCGCAGCCGTGAACTTACGCACTGCCTTCGATCTATCGCACCGTGCATGGACCGCCTGCTCGGAATCCCGGCGGGACTGGCTTGCTCTAGGGAAAAACCAGTGAATGAGCGAGCGCAGGATGGCAGGGCTCAGCGCACTTAATTACTGAAGGAGATCTCGAAGGTGGTGGCAGCGAAGATGCCCGTGGATCTTATCAGATAACGACCCACCAGCCGACCCACAGCAGTGCGCACGCCACACTTCTTGATCATCTCGCCCTCGCTCGCCCTCAATGCCTTCCGCCTCCAAAGCCGGTGTCCGATTTCGACGGCTGGAACCTGCTATATAGCACCTCCAAGTCGATCGCCTGAAACAAGTCGTCTTCCTCAGACCACCACCGCTGCAAACGCCCTCACCGCCCTCGCCGCCAACGTCTTCATGATAGTCGCACCGGAGGGATTGAACAATGTGGTGGCATCGAATGGTGCGTGCCTATGTGCTCTCTCAGGATCTGACCCCGGACCTCCCTTGCCCTTGCACAGAGACGACTGCGGCCACGCGTTTAGAACTCAGGGTGCGTATCTCACTCTTCCCCCTCGCATGTATGCCGACAAGAAACAAAGGCAGGCACGTCTGAAGATGACGCCCCTCCCCCTCCGTATTCCCTCCTCGAACCTGGGCCCTCTCCTGCACAGGCAGCTTCCGCCCCCAGTACCCTCCCTCTCGCGGCTGCACAGGCTCACCACGATGTCGTACCGTCTCCTCCCCCACTCACGAGGGCCGCGCTGAGCGAACCTGTAGCGTCGTCTTCGACCTTTATTCCTCTCATGCACTTAGCCTCGTCTTCACCTTACGGCTCTCCAAATCTATTCCACCAACAGTCGGAAAACTCTTCCCAATCGGCGCATTATTCTCCCACTCCAGCTCCCCATCTTTCCTCCAGCTCATTTGCTCCGTCAAGTACTTCACTACCCGCTTCTCGCCAGTCACCAACGTTCGCATCTTCCCCGCCAGACGTGGACAGCTTTACCGCTGCTTACTTCCCGGAGGAAGTCGCGCAACCTCGTCCCACCAGCCCCTCCCCCGGACCCTCGTCGCAAGTAGGCGGTACGGCAGAGCAGCCACAAGTCATCAATGGCGTCGACATGTTAGCGCGCAACGAAGCGGTCACGGGCAAGTAGTCTTTCAGCTTACCGTCTTCACATGCGTTCAACCCGGTACCTATCAAGGCTCGTTCGACGTCGATACAACGTTGGAAACCCAGCCTCTCATGATGCCATCAGACATGTCCAAAGCATATGCGGCTGTCTGGGGCACAAGCACGTCCCCACTGCAATTGAACGCAGCTTTCCGATCGCTGAAGCTCTCCGTCGTGGTGGACGTCGCCGTTGTCGGGCCGCCTACGCACGAACCGCGCCGGCGGAGGACACCAGTGCGACTATATGCGTCCACCCGGTCGGAGCCGGTAATCATGAACATTGTGAGTTCCGTTTTTCTCCACTGGTCGTGACTGCAACTGAACACACCGACAGCGCGACGTCGACCTCCGATACTGTCTAGATCTCCATGTCGAGTCAAAATCCGGAGACATCACCGTCCTCCTCCCGCCCTCCTTCTCCGGTCCCATCATCATCCAGAAGAAGGCCGACTCGCTCACCCTCCTCCCCGACTTCGCCACCACCGCCCGCACCCTCCGCACGACGGACCACGAGACCGTGCTCCTCGTCTCTTCCCCCGCCTTCCCCGCCCCCGCGATCGACAAGCCGCTCGCGCAGACGGCCGACGACGAGGGGCGCTGCGCGCGGGGCGGGGCGGACCGTGCGCGGGTACGCGCAGCTGTCGGCGGGCACGATCAAGGCCGCCGCGGTGGCGGCGGCGCTGACGGGCCCGGGGGCGCTCGTGGGGAAGGGGCGTGCCGGGGAGGCGGATACAGGCGCAGCGGACGCGGTGGCTCGGGCCTCGAGCTCAGGCTCGAGCCTCGGTCGGAAAGATAGGTAGGGGGCACGAGAGGTGCAAGTCGTTTGAGGCCCAGAGTGGTTGGAGCTCAGATGTTTTCTGGTTGAATACCCTTGCTGTGCCGGTATGCGAATACATTGTCGCTGGCGCACGCTGTCTTGTGGCCTCCGCAGGTGGACAGCCGCAGACTGCGCGGCAGTAATTGACACGGCCACTTACGTGCTTGCTGGGTGTTGTCGGGGAGCGCACCGGCTGTGAATGAATCGCGTGGACGTGAACATTCGCGCAGTCGCAGTACATAGATAGGACATCAAGCTTCGAAGCAAGCTGCTCTTTAGACTATCAGCAGGGCCCCTCCGACTCTGGCCATCCCACACACAAGCGCGCTCGGGCCCATCGACTTGTTTACACCACCGGTGTCTGGCGTGGTCGTAGGGGTTGGGGTCGCTTCCGCTGTTGTTGACACGGAAGACGCTGTGGTGGCGGACGAAGTCGTGCCGAGGTTCGAGGAGGACAGGGTGGTGAAAGTAAGGAGAACAGTGGTTCCGGGGAACGTGCAGTCTGGCGCGCACTAAGATGCGATGGTGAGCAGGAGCCTAACTTCTGAGAAAACTCCAGAACATACCAAGGAAGAAATCACCCCTGTGTGACTGACCGAAGTGTCTCGAGCTTGGAAGCCATTCGCCAGTCGAGGTACAAGGGAACCCATGGACGCGGCGGTCACTGTCGAGGAGAGGCGTTAGAAGAAGGAGTCGCAGCGGGTGCAAATAAAGGGCCACTGTGTACTGTGTACCTAGGGCAGCGAGGACGGCAAGATATATATGGTAACAGCGTACGTGTCGAAAGATAAAAAAGAATCTGAGATCTGAAAGCTGACCGTTTGGTATCAAGCGAGAGCACCCCTCTTGAAGCCTGGAAGGCTGTGTGCCGCAGTCGTGTCGAACATGTGTTGCGCGAGATCAATTGGTGTCCTGTCCAAGCGCGTAGTAGTTAGTCAAATTCGCTTTCTTGATCGTCCAAGTTACTCGTGGCACTCTCGTGGTGATTGCAACAGCGACAGAGTCCATAATATGGATTCCTTGCAAGGATGGTCATCATTCACCCGTGTCGAGCAACAAAGAACGCTGCTTGTGAAACATGCATCTTCATGCTCAGTAAGCAGATTCCATGGCCATTGCCAAGACTCGCATATTTCCTCTTTGCTCTGGATGCAATATCCAAACACCGCCTCGGTGATGGCTGCATCGACGGGTGTAGTAGCTCGGACTCTCCAATGCTCAACCGCACTGGCAAGCGTGGAAGCACTCTAGTGATTCTAAGTACATGCAATCCTCTACTATGCGGAGTCCAACCATCTCCACATGCTATTCCTCCCGTGTACTGCCCAGTCTAGTTGATGCGGAATCTTCACATCCACTTCCAGATCCTTCGCAAAATCGAGCACAAACGCGGGGTTCAGCAAAGACGCTCTCCCGACCAGAACCACGTCCGCTTGGCCCTTCTGCAGCACCTCCTCCGCGATACTACCAGTCGCGATCCCACCCACCGCCGCGACCAAGAGGCGGTCGCCGACGGACTTCTTGATTGCTTCCGCCAGATGAGCCTGATACGCCGGCCCACCGATGAATTCGATCTTCTGGCCGGGGTCGGTCCCTCCAGACGAGACATCGATCAAATCGAAACCGTGCTCCGGAAGCAGGTTCGCGAGCTTGATGGTCTCGTCGAGCGTCCACGATGGCTCGTTGGGGAGCACCTTGTCCAACCAGTCGGTCGCAGATACCCTGCATCAAGGTCAGCATCTAGTCGTTATCGCATCCCACCGAAGCGTCTCACCTGAGGAACAGAGGCGTTGTGCTCGGAATGACACCTCGGATGGCGTCCGCCACCTCAAACAAGAATCGCGCCCGGTTCTCGAGGCTGCCCCCATACTCATCGGTGCGCTTGTTCGACACGGGGCTCAGGAAGTTGTGGATCAAGAATCCGTGCGCGCCGTGCAGTTCGATGACGTCCACGCCCGCGTCGACCGCGCGCCGTGCCGCCTCCGCCCACTTCCCGACCAGCGTCTTGATCTCCTCCTTCGTCAGCGCATGCGGCACCGCACCCTCCTCCCCCACGCTCGGGGGATATGCAACGGCTGAGGGCGCGACGAGCTCGTCGGACCAGCCGCCGCGAGAAGACGGCACGACCTCGTGGCCGGCGTGCCAGATGGGCGCAATGGTGCCCTTGCGGCCACAGTGGCCGAGCTGGATGCCGAGCTTCTGGCCCTGGCTGTGGGTGAACCCGGCGAGCTGGCGGATCGGCACGGCGTGCGCGTCCGACCAGAGCCCTAGGTCGTGCACCGTGATACGGCCTTCCGGGGTCACTGCGGCAGCTTCGATGATCGTCAGACCGGGGCCATAGATGATCTTCGAGGCGACTGTGCAGCGGGATGAAGTCGTTAGTGCGATGTCTAAACGGCGAGCAGGGATAATTCTAACGAAACATACGTGATGTGATGTGCCAGAGGTTCATCATGCCGTCGCGGACGTCTGAAGTGCACATGTCCATGGGGGAGACCTGTGGGCTGGTAAGCGAATCTCAGGGGATTACAGGTGATTTTGACACTCACCCATAGGCGGTTCTGGAACTCTACCCCCCGGATCTTGAGAGGCTGGAAGAGCTTTGCAAGAGGCTTTGTCGAGTCCTTGACAGGGCGTCCGGTTCCCGCGACTGGAACTTGCGCGGGAGTGAAGTAAGGCACATCCGGAGCGGCAGCAAAGTCATACGCTTGGGACATCCTGAAAAGCCAGAGGAAGGACGGAAAAGACGAGGTTGGGCAGTACCCCGGCAGTGAGATAGCGATCCTTCTTTATATACGCTGTCGAGAAACGGTGGCTGACAGTCCTTCAGAGTCGATCCATTGCAGCCCGAGAACGGCGAGTTGCTGAGTCATTCGGCAGCCTACAAATCCATCGTTTCCCGATCGGGTATTTGTCAACCAGTGGGTTTTGGGCGCAATAACCAGCGTGATTCGAAACACAATCTCAGCTCTGGTGATTTGTAAGCTTATAGTTGCTGAGAGATGAGTAAAGGACTTCACCGGCATCAAAGACTTCGATAGACGGACAAGTAGTGTCGCCGTATCCCACGACGTGGTTTGCCTGTGAGAAGCACCCACGACGATGTGTTTGCGCCGTGCGGAGGGGTTATGCCGCTGCGACGGCTTCATACCGACACACTTCCAATCTGCGATCTGGACCCCACTCTCGTGGACTCACATAAGTATATCGCGTATAGTCGGACTCTCTGCCGCCACGAACAGCGGCACCTGTACCTCACGGTTTTTTGATCAATTGATCTGGGATCACCCCCCCGGGTGATTCCCCTTCCGGTAACTGCAAATGTCTGTAAGCCTGCAAACCGTAGAGCCTCTACGGAAAACGATCAAGATACCTTGTTGGGAAACGTTGGAACGGGGCACATGCCTAAGTCCTCTCCCCCTTGTCCCCGACATCCCCGAGGGCCCGGCCCAGCCTCCCCCGCGCTCTCCGGCCCACGTGAGCGGCTTCCCGCGCTGTGCCCCCTGATAGCCGCGCCCGCTGGCGCCTTCCGTTGTGCCGCCCGCCCGTGATGGCCGCCCCCGCCCCCGTGCTCGCCGTTCCCGACAGCGAGCTCGCTGTTTCCCCTGCCCCTCCCCTTCCCCTTGTCCGATTCGCTTCGTTTCTTTTTTTATGTACTCGTATTGATAATGCGCATCTATTTACAAACCTCGCCTTTCTGACCCGCCCACCGTGGTGCCCCCACTGACCTCTACCGCCCGCCGCCGCCCGCCGCCCTCCGCATATGGAGCGGGGAGGACATTATGTCAGCATACTCAACGCCAAGAATAGGGAGATGTCTGATTGCGCGCGCGCACCGTGTGGTCAGGCACCGTGGAGACGGTTGATGCGGTGCGTGGCGCCCGTGCCATCAGCACGAGGCTGCGCGCGGGCGCCCCAGACTCAACGCCGCCTTTTGATGGCAGTCGAAGCGCCATCAAGATAGTCGATAATGATCACAGTATAATACCTTCGATAGAGTGATTGAGAGGCTGACTTACCACCATGTCTCTCTCGCAGTCAGGCAGCAACCGAGTCTCAGATGGGGTGACTATCATGGGCCCACGGAGCCGAAATAGGGGTGGCAAGAACAAAGGGCCAGGTGGACGTACCTCCAAACAAGAGACGATCCGCGCTGTTGACCTGGATGCTGCGGACGATGCTGTGCGGAAACGGCGTCGCGACCTTGTCAACAGTACGTTCCAAACTCAATAGCCAGATAAAAACTCACCAGTGTGAAGATCTAAGCGGCTTAGATCGCGCAGCCGCAGTGGCGGCGTTTGAAATAGATGAAATGCAAGGGCAAGACATCAATATCGGAGACATTAGCCATATGGGAGACGACGCGGACGTCGCGGCAGGAGAGGATAACGACAATGAAGATGCTTGGGCGGACGACGCGGATGTTGAGGCATTCCGTATGGCTCTAGAAAACAATCTGGCAACAGGGTGAGTAGAAGGACCTGTGATCAGAGGGCAGAACTAACATATCATGTACAGGGTAGATGAGCGCACCTGGCGCGATCGTCTCCGCGCGCGAGACGACAATTGGAAGCATGTTTTCCCGCGCTTGAAGGCGGCATATCTGCAGTGGAAGTACGGTATTTCAGGCTGGCAAGGGGAGCGCAAGCGCAGCGCACCTGGAGAAGACACACCCTCCGACGAAGAGGGAGGTATCATCCGGCCAGTGGACGGTCGAGGCACTGGCCTTGCTCGGATATCTCGGCAACACCGCTATCGGGCCGTCGATCGCGATATCGTTTGCGACGCTGGAACTGTTTCGGTGCCTGAAGCTTGTCAAGCCATCCTTCAGCACGGAGGCTTTCGCCAAGCTCGTCTGTTACAAGTATTATGTGAGTCTCTTAATTGTATGATTGGTGGTGAGACTTACCTAGAGATACCAGATGGTATACCGTCGCCACTATCGCACAGCACTTGCGGATGCTTTCGACATCTATTTGGAGGTCCTCGATGACGTCGATGCCAAGATTCAGGAGAAGCTCGGACGAGGTGATCCGAACTGGCGTCCGCGCTTCGGATGCCCGCCATGTGGGTACAAGGTACGTCATCCCGGTACATGCCGGGAGAAGCGCCGATTGCGCGCACCACTGATGGCTTTTCAAACAGTTGGAGAATGAGATTCCCGTCCGCTTCGAACGCATGGGTAGCATGGACGCGAACGACTCTCTGAAGAGGCTCCTTCGTAAGTATCAAGACGTTGGGGACCGGCGACGTCACAAGAATACCTACTACCTGGGCCCAGAGTTCGTCAATCGGTTCGCAAAGCAAGTCCCGGCACGCCAGGCACAGCCGAAGCCGACCGCTGATCTCGGAGGGGATGCCGATGACGTTGATGCCCTGGACCCGGCCCCCGAGCCTGCACCGGTCTTCCTGGACACTGAGGGAGATCCCACGGATGGAGAAGTGGGTGCCCCAAGCCCCTGCGCCACGAATTGGAAAGCGGCAGCTGCGGACGAGAAGAAGAAGATGTGGGGTGGGTTCGACGAGACCGGGATCTTCGCCAGCGCGTGCAGGCACGGGAGGATTCTCTGGATCGCGGATATGATCCAGAGTGGTGAACTGTAGGTAATGATGTCGGCGTAAGGCGTGTAACTAACGGATCATTTCCAGCGCTAAGTATGGGATCGCGATGGTGGACAAGATCAACACGGAGTTGCCCGGCAATATTCTCCTCGGGTACGACATCGGCTGTGTGTTCGGAGGCACCCTCGCACGGAGCAGCGCAGGTCCCGAATTCCGGAGGCGTGGTTCTCTGTGTATTGTCAATGCTTTCCATGGGTACTCCCATTCTTACCTCTGCCAGCTTCATCATCATCCCAACGTCATCGCCGGTGCCGGCATCGAAGACCTAGAAACGATGGAGCGCATTTTCAGCGGATCAAACGCCTTGGCTTCGATCATCTGCTATGCGAGCAAGTACCGCCGGCACACCCTGATCGCGCTTTACTTCCGTCGCTGGGATGAGGAGAAGTACACAAATCTGGCAATCTTCCTCCGCAACAACTTCCTTCAAGCCACGAAGATTATCGAGGAGTCTGAGGAGTTCTTGCGCACAGTACTACCCCAGCTCCAGCTGACGGAAGCGCAGCTGATTGAGGCTGCCGAGGAAGAGCGCATCTATTTCGCGACCCTGCGCGACGAGAACCCGCAGGATGAGTGGGCTCTAAGCTACGTCGCGCGGCTAGAGGACCTAAGGGAGATGAAGTATGTCCCCTTTTGGCTACTCCGCGACATGTCCTGACCCGCGCACAGGGAGGAATACACCCAGAAGACTCGCGCGGCCACAAGTCGGGCAACGCGCAACCCCGCGACCCGGGCTTTTATGCTCGGGCAGCAGCCACCGGGTGCCGTGGGCGCGGGCGTGGTGGGAGCGGGCGCGGTGGGCACGGGCGAGGATGCCGCGGGCGCGGCGAGAATGCCGCGGGCGCGAGCGCGAGCGCGCCCATCGCTTCGTCCTCCGAGGGCACCGGGCTTTCATTCCAGACCCCTTACACGGGCCCAATCACCGACTACAACGCGCACGCTAGGGAGACGCGGCGGACCGAGAGCGCCAACCGCGCGTTGCGCACGCGGATCGATGCCCTCGATCAGGAACTAGCCGAGATCGAAGACACGTGGAATATGACGCGATGGCTACCCACCGACCCGCGCTACACACAGGCAAAGGCGTACATTGCCACTCGGCGTTATCACCAGGCGCTGGGAAAGCTTCAGCGCCTGGTCATTCAACGCCTCTTTGAACTGCACAAGCTACATCTCGCGCAGACAGGTGTGTGATCGCGTTATCATACAAACTTTGATAGCTAATTGAGCATGCACACAGGGTACAAAATGCGCACTCATATCGCGAAGAACATGCAAAAGAGGTCCGCGGCGATTCGGCGGGCGATTGCGACGTACAATAAGCTGGCTGGGGCCTTACAGAAGCCCCTCGTTGATTGGACTCAGGTATCCCATTATTCGTTCATTCGAGAGTTCGCTCTCCTGCACGGATCATGGAATGACGTCAGCGGCAAAACCTGGGCGCGGCCGGAAGTCCGAGAGGCGATCGGGACCTGGAGGCGCTTGCAGCGGGCCGGCGAGGAGATCCAGATCGTGTATCGCGATGCGCGCCGCCTCCACACGCACATTCGCGACGAGCAGCTGGACTTCGCGGCTCTCCTCGAGCAACTCAAGCAATCCAACGACATTCTCCATGGGCCAACCCTGGAGTTTATCCGTCACCGCGAGGCCCAGAACATGTACAATCTAACCTTTCTCGAAGAATTACATAACGACCCCCGCTTCGAGGGCGAGAAGACGCCGGGCCGCCGCGAGGGAAGAGCGGCCACTTTGGAGCCCTCCATCCCCCGCATTTTCCCAGATCGGGACACGATCAAGGCCGACATAGGGTCCGACGCGGTGTATGATGACGATGCGCAGGCGCAGGTGGGCGCGCTTCTCGATTACATAGCGCAGTAGACTAGATTGCCCGCGAGACGTGCTAGCGCTCGTCAGAAACAGTGTGTATGCGGAACAAAAACATAGCTACATGTTATTCCCCTGCGTTTGGGGGTCTGAAAATGCATGTGCCGTATTTTATTATGCTTACTTTAAGTGCTCCAGGCAAAATTCTGACCTGTATCTTGCTGTGACAGTCCTAGCATGGTTTATGACCGTTGGGTGCACACTCGAGGAATGAGTTGCATGATCTTCTGCACGCAACGTCCCCGCGTGTCATGCCATACTGACGACACATGAAACACTGCATCAAATACTCGGGGTGCACGCCGGCATGCATGACAAATACACGCCAAGTATCATTTTTATGCCCGGATGTCAGGGGAATGCTGTATAGCATCCGAAGACCAACTTCACGTGAGATCACGGTGTGGAAGCGTGGGCGCTAGTCCGCTATACGTTGCTTCCTGCCATCGATCGTCCCCTCCCTTCGCCTCTTCTCCTTATCACTGCCTCCGCCACGCATGCACAACGTATCGAACTCAGACCAGGCCTCCTCTCACGGCCCGTGGTACGTCCGACTGGGCCCGAATGCACACGGACAGCAGATGTCACGCATCACGAGTACCCGGTGAGTTCTTCAATTGAAAGAACTCTCACAGCTGTCATCCACTCACCCACGCTGTACAGGCCGCCTGCAGTTGGGATCGGAAACGATCCCAGCATCTACCCCATCGTCGTCTGCTGCTTGAACCGCGACGACGCCGAGGCAATTGACAGTCTCAACGACTCTGTCTTCCGCGTAACCCCGGCCGACGATGTGCATCTCGCGGCGTGGCGTGTGCAGGAGGCGCAGGTCTCCGTCCGGAATCAGCCCATTTACAGTGTCCGCATCGCCCTTGACGGTCGTCACGCGGGAGTCTTTCTCGGGGTCTCTTGGTAAGCGTCTGCATACAATTATATTCATTGTATTGACCTTATCTTTAGGACCCACATCGGCCTTCAAATCGGAGACGGCGACCCAAAAGTCAAGTACAAGGGACGCTGCATGCGCTTCGACACGAAGGGCCTCTCCGTGGCGAACGCCATCGCGTACATGATGGTGAAGAATGGCCACAATTTCCCCTTCGACTTCGACATCGACAAGCCCGTCCCGGCCCCGCTCCGCGCGATGGTTTCGCTTCCTAGCACCCCTGTGCGGGCGGCGCACTCCCGGACCCACGCAACGCCATCGCGAGGCTCGGTCCACTGGTCGTATCCCACCCCATCGCATGGCAAGCAGCGCGAGCAGGAGTCCCCTCAGTCAGACGATATGCTTGTGCGCGGTAGGACTCTCTGCCCTCTACCCTGATGTCGACTGATAAGCCATAGCCTTCGAACAGGGCGCGAGCATTCGAGAGGACATTGCGCCACCCGCGCGCGATCACGGAGACGTCCGCAGCCCCAGTGCGCTCGCCGAGGCTATCCGCCTGCTCTTCATCCCCCCTGAAGAGGCTGTCGGGGGAGCTCGTCCGTTCCCCATCGAGCTCGGCGCGAGGGCTGAGCGGATTCTCATGGAATTCAACCCGGACAGCTCCGAGCTTATTTTCCTGCTGCAGGTCTTTGCTGGAGCGTCCTCGCGCAAGGAATTTGCGTACGACGGCTCCAAGCACGAAGGCTGGGATGGGCTTCGGTTAGAGCGTCTATTCGACGCCATCATGTATCCCTCCGATAACGATGAGTAAGGAATGGAATAATGTTTTGGCTGACTTCATCACGTGTTCCAGTCAACAACCAGGGCGGTGTTTTTGTCACTCTGCCCCTGGTCTCTTCCAGCAACCAGCCTCCTCGCTCCCACACCCCCGCTTCTATTCCCGTGTTCCCTCCGCTTCCCCGTCCCCGCTGCCGGCATGGCGCGCGCCAGAGCAGACGCCTCCGCGTCGAACAACCATAGCGGCCTCGAGAAGTTATCTAAAGGTGCGCGCAAGGTGGGAAGGCGACGCGTCAAAAAGCCGTGGTCCTCGCAGCGCGAACACGGCCGAAGCTTTCTTATGCGGAGAAGAAAGCCATTCGTGAAAAGTCCCGGCTGTACAAGAACACGCTCAACGACAAGCTTGACTCCATCCGCGATGAGGTCTGGGACCATGCCGTCGCGCTCCATGAGGAGCTGGGTAAGCACAGCGCGGTATGGTACTACCGTCTTATTCTCCACCAGAGCAACTCTCGTTTCAAGGAGCCGCGAGCGCTGTCGCTCTGGAACGCCTTCGTCAGCAAGGAGCTTCGCCAGCATAACAAAGGTACGTCATGCATTATCGCCACTCTTGCGCACTTCAAGCTTAACGCCTACCTGTCAGAGATGAACACGAATGATGTCGTGTCGTCCGAGTTCATCAAGAACTTGGCCGAACGCTGGCACGCGATGTCCGAGCAAGACCGGGAAGAAATGTGCCGTGACACGGTTGAAGAACTCAACGAGCGGCGCGAGGAGCGTGGGCGCGCCGTCCCCAACCTGCCCATCGCGAACTTTAATGATGCGCGCGCAACATTGATGAAGGTGGTCCAAGAGGTGCGTTGTCTGGTTCCCTCGTACCCCCACGTCCCCCTCGCTGACACCCACTCACACCGCAGCTCGATGATCTCCACGAGCGCACTGGCGTGGAGCTTCTGCTCATTGCGTGCCGTGGTGAGCGAGCCAACTACCTCAAGCCCTGGGTCTACCGGACTAGCGCGCGCGTCGAGGAGTTCATCGAGCTCCTCACTGGCGCGACGTTGGGCACGCTGTCCTCGCGCATCGAAGCTTGGTGCCTCACAGGACTCAACGGTACGTACATACAAACATGTGGTGGCCTCTTCAAGTCCTTATTATAGTGTGGCTACACAGGGTTGACGAAGAAGCACAAGAATACAGTCCTGGAACTGAAGTCCAAGATAGGTGCCATAATCCTGGAGAAGCTTCGTAAGTTCCCGCCCACTTGTATCTTTCACTTGCTCATTGTTGCCCTCTAGAGGCGACGTCGACCCGGGGGAACCCCTCCGCGATGTCGTACACCGACTTCCCCAAGAGGATTACCTACAAGCTCGGCATTGTCCTCAAGAACTGGCCGCTGGAGTCGTTCCAGGCCCCCGGCCGTTTCAACTCCCTCAAATTCCTCAACACGCTTCGTTCGGCATGGGAGAATGACACCACGCACTTCCAGACGCTCACGAACAACGAGCATACGGCCTGGCGACAGGCTTACGATGCCGGTCTGAACCCTGTCGCGGTGACATTCAATGCGGACGCTATCGTCTCCCTCCAGCAGCCAGTATTCAATCCCGAGCCCACCATGTCCTCGCGTGCGGCCTCTCCAGCGCCCGCACCCGCGCCGTCCTCTTCGCCCGCACCGTCCTCTTCGCCCGCACCGTCCTCTTCGCCCGCACCGTCCTCTTCGCCCGCACCGTCCTCTTCGCCCACATTGTTCTCTTCGCCGACGCCGACGCTGGCGTCCTCCACCACATCTGCGCCATCCGCAGCCGCGCCGTCCACCATGCCCTCGACCGCGTCCTCTACCACGCCCACGCCGTCCGCACCCGGGTCCTTCACCACGTCCTCCCCCGCGTCCCCCACCATGCCCACGCCCGCGTCCTCTGCACCGCCCGCGCCCGCGTCCTACACTGCGCCCGTGTCCTACACTGCGCCCGCGCCGCCCCCACCATCGCCCATGTTCTCCACCACGCCGGCCGCGTTCACCTTTGTGTTCCAGGCCGCGCCCATGGCTGTACCCTCCGCGCCTCCTCCCTCCGCGCCTCCTCCCGGCCCGCATACCGCTGAACCCCTCGGCGCCGTCCCCGACCCCTTCAACCACATCGCAAGCGTTCAGAGCGCGCTCCTCCCACAGAAGCCGCCCCGCAAGCCCCGCAAGGACAAAGGAATCTCAAGGGGTCCCAATGCGCGGACTCTTGCACGCAGGGCTGCCCAGGCTGGCGGGCACGAGAACGTAGCTTGAGTACTCTATGTAAATTGTTATGTCGTATGTCTGAGTCGATGCACGCACGTTGTGTTGATGTCAATGAAATGTGTGCATTGTTCCCATCGTTGTGCCTGAGATATAGCTTTGATGGTAAACATAGAAGCTGCTAGGGCACGTCTACTATGAAGCACTCCCTGCAGGTCTTTGTGAGGTACATTCTTCTGTTTGACTTTTCATTATGAGGCAGCAGCAGAGGGAAGTCAATCATTATCGACTATCTTGATGGCGCTTCGACTGCCATCAAAAGGCGGCGTTGAGTCTGGGGCGCCCGCGCGCAGCCTCGTGCTGATGGCACGGGCGCCACGCACCGCATCAACCGTCTCCACGGTGCCTGACCACACGGTGCGCGCGCGCAATCAGACATCTCCCTATTCTTGGCGTTGAGTATGCTGACATAATGTCCTCCCCGCTCCATATGCGGAGGGCGGCGGGCGGCGGCGGGCGGTAGAGGTCAGTGGGGGCACCACGGTGGGCGGGTCAGAAAGGCGAGGTTTGTAAATAGATGCGCATTATCAATACGAGTACATAAAAAAAGAAACGAAGCGAATCGGACAAGGGGAAGGGGAGGGGCAGGGGAAACAGCGAGCTCGCTGTCGGGAACGGCGAGCACGGGGGCGGGGGCGGCCATCACGGGCGGGCGGCACAACGGAAGGCGCCAGCGGGCGCGGCTATCAGGGGGCACAGCGCGGGAAGCCGCTCACGTGGGCCGGAGAGCGCGGGGGAGGCTGGGCCGGGCCCTCGGGGATGTCGGGGACAAGGGGGAGAGGACTTAGGCATGTGCCCCGTTCCAACGTTTCCCAACAAGGTATCTTGATCGTTTTCCGTAGAGGCTCTACGGTTTGCAGGCTTACAGACATTTGCAGTTACCGGAAGGGGAATCACCCGGGGGGGGTGATCCCAGATCAATTGATCAAAAAACCGTGAGGTACAGGTGAACAGCGGATGGTTGGACATACCGGGCGACAGTTCGGTCGTGGCGATCGAGGGTACCGTCCGCGATAAGGGGTCAGAGGAATCGCGCGCTCGGGGCAGGTCGGAGTCGAGAGCAGGGCTGGTGGGCGCCTGATCGGGCGCCTTGTCCTGCGCGCCACAACGTGCTGGCGGCGGCCCGGCGCGGGCACCTGCGGGCACGCTCGCACGCCGGCAATATCAAAATTTCCGGTCATCAGATATGTTGGGCGGAATGTTATCAGATATGTTACGTTTCTAACCCCGTTCCAACTACGTACAAATGAAGTATCTCGTCCGTGCAGAAATGCAATGTTCTGAGAAACATCCTGGAGGCACAGGAACTTATTGTTTTTCGTTGCTAGGCATGACAACGGGAATTTAGAGTTCTAGAATGCGTGGAACTTTAAGTATCTGAGAGGAAGAAATGATGGCTCCCCATTGGTTCATCATTTCTCGTCGACAGAAACTCAAAGTTCCACGTGCCTCGAAACTTCAAATTTCTATTGTCATTCCTCGTCGTCCGAAACGTCAAGTTTCTGCGCTTCTGGAACGACTGTCAGAATGATGTGTTTGTGAAGAGGCGAAATCCTTCGTATTCTCACGTCTGAAATGTGTTCGGAAACGTAGCATTTCGGATTACATTTCAAGATGAATATCTGACGACCGGAAATTTTAATAATGCCGGCGTGTCGTGACGCTCTGGTCATTCCTCGCACTGTTACCACGATGCTACAGAACAAATGTTACAGTGAAGACTCCGACATTGCAGACAGCGACTGGAACACACCACCACCGGCATGGATAGTGGATCATTCTGAACTGAGGTGTCGTGGGATTGAACCACGCCACGCCGAAAGTCCAGTATGCCTCTCCCCTCGATGTTAGTCGACCCGATCGCTCAGACTTACCCTCAGGGACGTGCGTTTGTGACCGAAGACGGTGTGGAACCAGGATATTTTGTCAAAGCCGCCCGAAAAAGGATGGGTAACGAAGTTGCAATTTATCAGTACTTGCAACGCTACCCTCTCTCCGCAAAGTTCATCCTTCCGTGCAAGACCATCGAGGACGCTAAAAAGCCTCTCATCATCTTACCCGTAGTTAGCCGCTTTGATCCAGCCGCCGCAATGTACTGGTCTCTGAGCGCAACGATTACAAAGTGCTGTCTCTTACTTGAAGTACGTTTCCGCCGTTTACCTATCGAATCTCTCGAGTTGCTCTTATCGCCTACTCAGGCTATATCGTACCTTCATCGGCGACGAGTGGCGCACCTTGTACGAAATTCTGGTCTACTTCTTCTTCTCCGCGATCTGACTCGACCACCAGGACATTGCCACACAGAACATACTGCACCCTTCTCGCCCTGACACCAGGTTCGGGCAGGAGATTGTTGCGAATAAGCTCTACCTCATCGACTTCGAGTTCTCCGAGATCTTGGACCTCGGGCCCGGAAGACAGCCGGCGATAGAGCTCGATCCGTACTCGTGGGATGTGTATTGCTGTGGATGGATCATGCAAGGAATGCTGAAGGTGAGTTGACGATAGTCATGATCCGCCACTTGCTCACCCTGATCATACAACAGTGGAAGTTCTACTTACAAGGCGCGCTACCGTGGCATCTGCGATGGTACCTCTCTTGGGTCACCGGAAAGCAAGAACAGGGATGTGCAGGGCCTTGTCGCTGTCGACCTACCACTCGGCGTGCACTTCTGGTGCTTCGGGTCATAGAGTTGTTTGTGGGCGTGCAAGAGGCAGTCATCAGAACTAGCTCGTTTCTTCGCGGTCTACACTAGCGCTAAGAACAAATTGACAGTGGTAAAAGCACCCACACCAGCCCGTCACAAGCCAGCCCGTCGCGATCCGCAGCAACTCATGCACCTTCGATCCTGCTCTGCAAGTCCTTGACGGAAAGATCGACGAGAAGCTGCACCTGCGACACCGCGAGCAGCGGACGCAGCGCGAACGACAGCGCCGCTGCGGACACCGAATCGAGCCCGTACGCGGTCAACGGCACGCTCACATCCACCTCCTCCGGGTCCAGCTCTAGCACGGCGCAGACGATCGATAGCAGGCTCGCACCGCCGTCCGCCCCCGCGCCCGTCGCAATGTCCGCGAGGGCGTTGTCGAGCACAAGGTGGTCGTAGAGCGGCGACGGCCCGAGGTTATCGCGCACGCCGCGCCAGTCGAAGTCGGGGACGTACTGCCAGAGCGGGCGCTCACGCAGGATGCACAAGCCATCGCCGATCGCAGCGCAGAGACCTGTTGGGGAGGTCAGGGAACGGAAGAGGGCCACGGACAACAGAGAGCTGACCTCGCGCAGTCATGCCCCATCGCGTCCAGTGCCGGACGTTCCGGTTGTACGTCTCGGTGCCGACCGTGATGACGCTGCTGTCGACGATCATGGGCGCCTCCATCGCAAATGCGTTCCTGTACTTGCGCGTCTGCCATGTGAGGGCTGAATTCGCGCTGACAAGGTGGAGGTCAGTATGTTGTGACGTCAAATTCAACAGCCACATATACTTACGAAGCATAGTTCGTCTGTCCTGCGTTGCCAAACAGCCCGACGGCGGACGAGAGAGACACGAAGAAGTCCAGAGCCTCGAATTCAAGCACCTCTTCGAGGACGCTAAAAGCTTGAACCTTTGACGGGAATACACTTTCGTACGACTCTTGAGTGTGCGCGATGAAGGTTGCGTCCCTCACGAGCGCAGCAAGCAGGACACAACCGCCGAGGGGTCGATCCAGTCCGTCCACTGCGAGTCGCATGCTGGCCACATCCGTTGCGTCCGCGGCGACGATGGTGACGGAAACATCGCCGCAGCGCCGTAGATACGTGAGGATCCGCTGGGCAATGTAGTCTCCTCGGCGCTCGAGTGTTTCCTCTCCCGAGCGAGAGGTAAGCACGATGCTCTTAGCTCCATTCTACGGACCGTCATCAGTTTTCAAGTCAATTATTAAGTAGAGGAGAGCCGACACACCTCATACATCCACAACGCGATGTGCAGCCCTAGGCTCCCGACACCCCCGACGAGCAGGTACGTCTTCGCAGGGTCGAACAGCCCCAGTGAGCGGCACACTCCGTTCGGTGTCTGCGTGCCGATATCCAGCGGGGGCAGGTATGGTACTGTCGGGCGCTGGAAGCGACTGGTGGCCTGGCGGAGCGCGTCGCCCAAGTCCCAGGGCGCTCGCGCCACGATGGCTTCCACGCCCTGTTGTACGTCGTCCCAGAGTAAGAGGCCACCGGCGGGCGCGACGAGCCCGCGGAGGGTGGCGACGGAACTGCCGTCCTCCACGGACGCGATGATGTTGGTCGGGCGTCGATGGTAGCATGCCTCGAGGACGCCGACATCGAGCGTAGATGCCGCGCGGACGTCCAGCCCACGCTCCATGCAGACCTCTTCCATCTGGACGAGGAGGTCCATGTCGTCGTCGACCAAGAGGACGTGCACGCCGCGGAGGCGGTCCGGGTCCGCGAACGCGTGCGGACCCACTGCGAGCGCGACAACCACGGTCGCGAGGAGGTTGTACCCATACGGGCGCTCTTGAGCGTCCGCAGCAGCCGCAGGGAGCTCGACGACCGCGCGGCGGTGGACGGAGACGTGGCTCGAGACGCCTCCGAAAGCTATCCCGGCCACGCGCATGGAGTCGGAGCGCCCCTCCACGGTCCCGACGAATTCCCACAGTCGGCCGCGACGAGTCCCGATCCCGAGCACCTTGACGACGACGTGGTCGCCCGCGGGTTGTGACTTGAAGGTCTGCACGAGCTCGCTGCCGTCGAGCGTCCACGGCGCGCGGGGATCGAAGGCGGAATGCATGGTGGGTGGTGCCGACTCTTCGACGCGGGGCACGGTCACGGTGCCGTCGGCGTCGACTCTGAACTCCACTTCCTCGGGGGCTTTCGTCGTGAGCGCGAGCGCGGTTGCCTCGCACCTGTCCTGCGCCCAGGATGGATCGAAGACGACCAGGCGGATCGTCCAGGCCCGGAACTCCTTGCGCAGCGAGCGCGTGAAGCCCTCCGCGGCGTCGGCGTGGATACCCATACGGGCAATGAACGCGACGGAGAGCGCGCGGAGAGGGTTGAGGGCGGCGATACGAGGCTGCAGCTCCATCTCTGCGCTGCGAGTGAAGACAAAGATGTGTGTGTCGGTAGCTCGCTCGTCAACAGGACTGGGGAGTTCGATCGGGTGGTAGATGACCTCATGGCGTTTTAGGAGAGCGTCCGACGGGAAGCCGTGCCGAGCGAGCTGGAGGCGGTCCATGATGCACAAAGGAATCCCGCCGGCATTGCAGATGGTGAAGCTGTAGGTGACAGAGTCTGCAATGCCGTTAGATTAGATAGGACTCATTGAGCAAGCGGGTGTATGTGCACTCACCTGGGGTCCAGTCTTCATAGGTAGCGTATGAATACACAATTTCAGGGAGTTCTGCCTCGAAGAATGCAGAGCAGAGCCGGAACGCGTGTATTCTAGAGGGCAGATGGTATAGATTGGGGTCGAAGTTGCCAGTGAGAACAGGATGGGTCTCGACGTGAATGGCCGCATCGAGGATAGCCGGATGCAAGACATAGTCTGCGATGCTAAAAATCCCATGAGTGGCAGATAACGCATGTATTCGAGATGCTCACTTGGACAGGTTGTTATCTTTGGCACGGATCTCCGTGAGGGCCGTAACAGCCCCATTAGAGCCCAACGCGAAGTGGCAGCGACGAACTCGACGGAACAGAGGTCCGTAGCTCGAAAAGAAGGACAGCCTCGAGTAGAAGGCTACCGAGGTGCAGTGAGCATCGTGCTAGATAGGAAAATTGGGGGCCCAACTCACTATCGACGTCGACGTCGGTCATGCCCTCGCGTAGTGCATTGAGGTCGAGTGCCGCATACTGGCGGTCCTGCGGAGGCGCCTTAGACAAGAACCCCGTAGCGTGCAGGCGGTCGTACTGCAAGACGCATACGTGGTGAGCACCGGGTTGTCTTGTGCGAGGCACCGCAACTGTCACCTTGGTCGGAAACGTTCCCGCGCCCACCGGTCCCGCGCTTGCGACGGTCCACCGCGTGCCCTCGAGCGCGACCTGGATCGGCACAGGCCGCTCAGCCGCGAGCGACAGCAGCCCGTGGAAGGTGACGTCGTACACCTCCGTCGCCCCGAACTCAAGTGCCTGTCCAAGACGACGCCGCAAGTCGTCAGGACACCGCTCGAGATGAAAGCCTCCAGACGCACCATCTCGACGAAGCCCGCCGCGGGCATGATCGGAGCGCCTTTGATGACATGCTCCGCAAGGTCGGGATGGGTCTTCGCGTTCAGCTGGAGCTGCGCGTAGTTGAGCGGGCCGTTCCGCGTCTGCTGCTGCCGCTGGACCTGTGCCGTTGGCGAGCTCCACGGGACGATCCTGCGCGTGAAGGGGTACGCGGGAAGCGACGACGCGGGGACGCGGGCTGGGAGCGGGGCGCAGAGCGCGCCGTAGAGCACGTCGAAGTCGACGTATGTGTGGCCCGCGGTGGCGATACGGCCGAGCGCGATCGTGAACTCGCGCACTTCCGCGAGGACGTCGGATGTGAGAGCAGGGGAAAGAGACGAGGACAAAGGAATGGGGAGTGTCTTCGACGGGCGAGCGCGGCGCATGGGACAGGTTACGGTCGCTCCTTCCCCGACCTGGAGATACGCTGCGAGGACGGGGTGTGGCCCGATCTCGACGAACGTCGCCCCGCGGTAGCGAGCGAGAAGGGAGGACACCGCCTGCTCGAACCGCACAGGTTGGACCATGTTGTCCCAGTAGTACGAGTCATCCAACTGGCGGGCGAGCGGGGTCCCAGTGGTGCTTGAGTACGTCGTGACCACGGGGGCCCGGACACGCGCCTCTCCTTGTGTCGTGAAGACGTCCGCGGCGAGTCGTTCGTACTCTGCCCGACATGCGTCCATCAGAGGTGAGTGCACGGGGATACGAGTGCGCAGCTTCCTCGCGAAAAGCTTGCGGCTACTCGCGAGCGCGACTGCCGCGTCGATAAGCGACTCCGTTCCCGAGAGCGTGACGGATTCGGGGGCGTTGTAGCAGCCGACGACGAGGACGCCGTCGGGGTCGGCGCCAGGCTGAGCCTTGACTTCGTCGATGAGCGTCGCGGCGTCGGCGGCGGAGCAGTTGACGGCAGCCATAGACGCGCTCCAATCTGGCGTCTCGAAGACGGACATCGCGCGGCCGCGGGCGATCGCGAGCTCGAGCGCCACGGTCTTCAACGATGCACCAGACGCAGCGAGCATTGGAGTTTCCCCCGCGGAGTGCCCAAGGACGATATCAGGAGTGACACCGACGGCCGCCAACGCGTCGACCAAGGCGAGCTGAAGCATCGTCAAAGCCGGGATGGTTATCGCGATTGGCCACACCTCTCCGAGGTCTTCTGCTTTGCGCGAGGAGTTGTTGGCGAACAATCCGGTGGACTCCAGAAGAGATTGTCCGACGACAGCAGCATAAGTTTGGTCGAGCTCGAGAATGGTGTCGCGGAATGGTGCGCACGTCGCAAAGAGTTCGCGACCCACTAGAAAAAATAGGGAATTGAGCAAGTGCATTGTGCAGGCAAGAAACAATACGCACTGTCGAAGTGCTGAGTTCCCTGTCCTGAGAAGACGAAAACCATCGGAGGCCGACGCTTCGGAGCAAGGAGGGGATCGGGCAGCGTAGGCGTCATGGTGAGAGAGCGTGTGTCTGCGACAAAAAAGGATCGCCATGGCATAGAGCGCACCCGCCGGCCGAAGATGCGTGCGATTTGATAGAGTTCCCGCTTCTGGGCGTTCGGGTGTTGAGCTTTTTTCACGAGAGATTCGCAAACCGCTGAAGCCGCTCTCGGGCTGAGACCTCCACCCATCAAAACGACGGGTACTTCCGTACCCTCAGTCCAGAAGGTGGTGCGAGATGAGGACGTAGGCGGGCCCTCGATGACCGCGTGTCCGTTCGCGCCGCCAATCCCCGAGCTCGTCATTGCAATCAGGGGGCGACCAGACGGCGAGCGGCATCCGAGATCGGTAGGCTCGAGAGGGACGCGCAGTCGGTGTTGCGTCCAACGAATGGCGGGGTTGGGGTGGGCGAGGTTGACATTGGGAGGGATGAGGCGACGTTCGAGGATTCCGCATACTTTGCAGAGCGATGCGAGGAATGCGGTAATCTCAAGGTGACTGTTTGGGTTGGAGTGGTGAGAGTTGAGCGCAGCAAGATGTTGTGAGATTGTCTTACCCGATATTCCCTTTGACGCTTCCAATGAGTAGTTCCTCTGCTCGCTTAAACTCCGCGCCGACCCAGTTAGCTTCCGTAGGATCACCCTGGGCTGTCCCTGAGTTAGAGCGTAGGAGTGGTGAGTTCAAGGCACGTAAGGTGGTGAGACGATAAATACCAGTGGCGTGCAATTCGACGAAATCACAGTCTTGAGGCTTCCGGCCAGCTTGAACGAAAGCCCGAAGCATCGCATCTCGCTGAGCCGAGGCAACAGGCGCACTCGGTGGCGCCAACGAGCCTGAAGAGTTAACACCAGTGCCGAGAATCTAAGAGCAAGTACTTCGTGAGAGTGGAATGCTGTCTGAAAAGCTGCACGACCTACGCTTGCATATATATGGTCATGATCCCGAAGAGCGGCGTCCAGAGGCTTCAGTACGATAACGACGACGCCTTCCCCACGGCCGAAACTGACCCCATCGAGTGAGCAGTCTTGCTGATATATTGGCTAACGAAACCACTCACCCATTCGCTGAGGCGTCGAACGGCTTGCATTTTCCGTCCGGTGACAAGATGCCGCCTTGAGTATATGAAAGCCAGTCGGAGAATCTGCAGAAGAATGGAGCAGGCGTCAGCATGGGGCGACGGCGCTCAATCAAGAGGACGGACTTGTGATTAATCTGAGCGCCACCGACGACCGCGACATCACAGTCACCGCATCGTAACGCCTGTACAGCGAGATGGGTGGCGTAGAGACTCGAGCTGCACGCTGTGTCTACGGGAACGGACGGCCCGCGAAGGTCGAGGTGGTACGAAACTCGGTTGGCAATCATGGATGGAGTATATGCGAATGATCCTAAGGCATCTGCATCTTCCTACCCGGGTGCCCCGTTAGGTACAGTCGCATACTCATAAGAGTGAGGTGGTACATACATGTCCGGACACGGCGAATATGTCGGCATTGACGCCAGACATGTAGCAGCCGACGTTGTGGCCTCTGTAGTCAATGCCGGAATCGAGGAGGCTGAGGAAGGTGGTTTCGATGAGCCGGCGCGTGCTGAGCGGCATGAGACGTGCATCTTTGGCGGTGACGCCAAACTCCATGTGGTCGAAGACATCGATGTCTTTCAGGAAGGCGCCGACGTCTGCGACGACCTGGCCGATTGCCAAACCTTTGATCCTATAATGTGAGAGAGCATGAGCGGCCTGACCGAAGGCCAACCCCCCAACCCTAGCAATGAAGCTAACTCACCCCTTGGGATTGAATCTGGCGGCGTGAACGGGCTCATAGGCCTCGCGTTTGTTGAGAAGAAAGTCGAAAAAAGAGTCGTAATTCAGGTCGACGTTGCCTGTGTGTCCGCTGGGTAGCTGGGCGGAAACGCCGACCTGTGACAAGTGTAAGCTCGGTGTGGAACGGCTGTGTAGAGCGGTGAACATACAATTGCTATTGGAGTAGGGGTGGTATTCATGTTGCATTAAAGCATGTGAGGAGCAGGAGGGGGATGTGTGGAGCATGGCGGACCGTCCAACGCGTTATGTGGTACAGGGAACAAGGAGCAGGACGAGACCCCGGACACAAGCGAAGGCAAAAGCTGTATGGGCGCGGTGTCGTCCGTGCGAGGGTTGACCCCAATTCGTGAGCGGGCGAAGGACATCCCAAGAGATCAGAATCAGGGCCGCTGTTGCAGATGGAGTTTGAACCAAAGAGGGGACCAGAAGACTGCGCTGGAGTACTTCGGTGTGCAAGTAGTGGAAAGTTATGGCGGGGTGAAGTTCTTGTTCTTGCGAGAGAACTCTGTCAACTTCCCGGTGACAGTCGCATCCTAGAGCTGCCCGGCCTATCGCCTCCGGCCCCGTCAGCTGGGTCATCGTGCACCGCCATGAAAGCAGATGTCGAAAGCGAAAAGCGGTTGAGAAGGAGTGGTAGGGCGCTAAGTTCCGTTGGCGGCGAGCTTCGTGGCGTGAGAGCTATCAGGCGCCACAGCCAATCCTCGGGAGGCGCTTATGTACGTAGCCGCAGCTCACCTAAGTTAAGTGAGCCCATCAGTGTTTGTTGCATCGAGGCCCGACATCCGCTCATGGGACGAGGTGCAAAGGAGTCGCATGGGTACTCTTTAAGTTCGCTTCAGTTTAGGTGCGTGACGAGTCGAGCCCGGTTCACACCAAGCACCTTCCTGAAATCTTCTGTCCGGGAACAAATGTACCAGGGACGCCTAAGTGGAGTTCAGACTACGCGCATGACTCCTATTACAGTGTTGAGCTGGCAAGCTGTACGTGATCCCGTGTGGAGAAGGTTCACTTCATCCCTCTTGAAGGAACCCAGAGGCCCGCCACCCCGCCACCCACTGTACCGCAACGCTCGCATCCAGTGGCGTGAGCGCGCGCAGCGTCGCCGATGCTGACACCGCCTCCTCCGTGGACAACGGCACGTACGACGCCATCGCACCGTCACGTCCGACGCTTCCCGGTGCGCCGAAGAAGCCAAGCAGCCCGAGCGCAGGGTTGCTCCGCACGACAGACAAAGCGCCCCGAGCTCCCCCTATAGCGCCCGAATCCGAAGGCGAGAGGACGTCAGTGGGCGTACATGGGTCGCAGCAGGACGGTCGCACCTTCGGTCGTGGCGGCAGCCCCAACGGTCGAGAGGCGCGAGAACCACTCGAAAAATGGAACGCGCGGAACGTCGAGCTCGCGCGCGGCAACGGCGAGCAACGCGCGGAGGGAAATAGGCTTCGGGTGAACGAGATGCAGGACTTGCGCGGGCGCCGTGCGTATCTCGAGCAGGGCCGCCGCGGCCACGTGGTTGTAAAGGAACGCCGCATCCTGTGCCGTCGTGTTATTAGTGCCCATAAGCTCAAGCACCAGCGGGATGACGTACGCCGTCGAGATCCGGAAGGCACCCCGTGAAGCGCGCCGCGCGCGCGACGAGCGCAAACCACTCGTTCTCGCTCCACCGCCCGTCGCGGTCGCCGCAGAGCTGGCCGACACGCACGACCTGCACAGGAAGCGCAGTTTGCACCGCGACAGAGAGCAGCATGCGCTCCGCAACCCACTTCGACTCTGAGTAGCCGCTCCCCAGCGCGGACGTCGCATCGAGCGGGGTCTCGCCCACGGGTGGGGGACCGGGGTGGTCTGGTAAAAATTACACGAGATTCAGTCCCCATCATAGTATGTGAGGTGGGAGCGACAGGAGAAGACACGTACTGATGACGACGCCAATGGAGCTCACAAATTGAACCTTCGGGGACTCGGCGAACGGGCAGGCGAGCGCGATGTCGACAAGAGTGCGCAGTGCGTCGAGGAACACGCGGAACGACGCCAGGGGCGCACCGAAGCTAACCTTCCACGCTGCTCCGAGCGAGAAGTATCAGTGCGGTCTGAGAAGACTGCAGAGGACGAACCCATCGATACCGTTGTGCACGATGTACGTTACGCTGCAGCAAATCTAGCACGCTTCGCGTCAGCGTTCCGTGGTGCCGCACACTCGCGAGCCCCGCCGCTCACCTCATCGAGCACGGCCTGGTCCAAGCCGAAGCGTGGCGCGGCGAAGTCCACGTCCAGGAACCTGAGCCGCGCCGCGTCGTCAAGCAGTCCCTCATCGAGGTCTCGCTCCTGGAACGCCGCGCGCTGCCGCTCCGGCGCATTCGTCCCTGCGCGGTTGAGCGCATACACGCGTACGACGTCGTCCTTCGCAAGGAGCGCCTCGAGCAGGCTGCTGCCAAAGTTGCCGGTTGTGCCCGTCACAAGCGCGACCTCGCCGGCCGCGTCCGCTGGTCGCGGTGGCAATGGGCGTGGTCGCAGGGGGAGCGCGGCGGCGTAGTGGTTGGCTAGCGCTTCAAGCTCTTTCGCCTTAGCAGCAGTGAAGTCAGGGTCGGTGAACACTGTTGAGCGCTCGGGGAGTCGGGCCTCCAGTATGTGGGATCTGTCGGAGGGCATTAGAAACCTGCAGAGACAGGAGCAGTATCAGCTCAGTCGGGGTGGCCACTGGCGGCAGTCCAACGAAGGCTTTGAGAGCTCACGAGCACACACAGTACTGAGGGCGCGGGTGCGTCCAAGGTTCCACTGTATCGCGTGAATGCGCGTGAAGTGGGGAGATAATGAGGTCTTCTCAGTAGGCGGCGTGGAGTCGTGTCCACTTGCTCGGCTGCACCGAACGACAACCACCATGCTATATATAGTTACGTCACCGTTTTCCGACTTGACGGCGCCGCACACCACTGAAGCACCGACATCTTAGGTTTGCCCTCCTTTAGTACAGTCGCACGAACAAGCACTTCCTTGATATCGAAGACGACCCCCATGATCCGGTTCGCCTGCCGGGATTATGTCAAAGGTGGTCGGCACGCGTGTACTAAACACCTACACTTCTGCGGTCCCCGTCGTAGGTGGGGAGGAATGCACGTCCAGGTTTAGATCTGGGGTCCGTTTTCATTCGGCAGCTGATCATGAGAAAAAAGCGATCGAGCGCTAAGACTCCCTGCCGAGGCTCCAGCCAATCGGCATCCTCCTTCTGCTCTCATCTCTTCCTGCTGCTCACACAGCCCAACGCTACGGCATCCTCCTCGCTAGCACATGCTGCTTCTGGTACGCACCGTATACCATCGATAGCACTGATACGCAGCGGACGGGCGCAAACCATGAACGCTTCGCGGATCTAGCGCCGGTTTAACAGCATAGAAGAGGCTCTCGCACACCCCGCGGCTCTGAGTCCAACCCCACGTCGCACTTCGACTCACCATGTCGACTAACGCAACCCCCGTCCCACTCCTGTGAGTAGGGATGCCGTTAGGATGGCTGGTCCTAGTGCTCACGAGTCCATTCTTTCAGCGCGGGCCCGCAGGTTTGTTGGCTCGAAATGCTGGCGTATGCGCATTTCGTCCCTTTGACCATGAATATATCCATAGCTCGTCGGGATGTTCTTCAACTGGGGTCTTCAAGGATGCCTGGTTGTCCAGTGTTGTGAGTTCATAATGTTTCAGACTTTGGCTAGAACTGAGTCGACGTCCTGCAGACATCTACCACCTGTGGTTCCCGCACGACCGTCTGTACATCAAGTCGCTCGGTACGTCTCCACTACTTTCTGTCGATTTTCTCGCTGAAACCATATTTCTCTCAGTGTATGGCCTTCTCATCTATGAATGCGTGCAAACGGGCCTCGTCACCGACTTCGCATTCGACAACTTTGTATACGGCTACGGGCAGCGCGCGATCCTCACCCAGTTTCACAACACCTGGTTCAGCGTCACGATCATGTGCTCGCTCGTGTCCTGCGTCGTGCAGAGCTACTTCGCCTACCGCGTCTGGGTTCTAGGCCGCTCCGCTATTTTGACCGGAATCATCCTCTTCGTAAGTCGACTGCTACTGTGACACTGGAAAGTGAAAGGTCCGCTCACTATGATGTCTCAGCTGTCTTTCGCTCAAATGTCTGTGGGTGTTGCAGGAGGCATCATGGTGAACATTTCTGCTACTCCAATTCCGGGTCAACCGCTGACCAAAACACATGAACCGGCGCAGCTGCACGTCATCGATCCAAACGCTGCCGCGGCATCCATCGTGACCCCAGTGATCTCCGTGAGCCTGCTCCACCGCACCTAGTCGAACGGCAGCTGACTCTGTGTAGTCTTGGCTGGGCGGCGCTGCGCTCGCCGATGTCATCATTGCGGCGTCGATGAGCTACTTGCTTTTGCGCGGCAAGAACGGGATCAAGCGATCAGACGACATGATCAACGCCCTCGTGCGCTTCGTCGTAGAGACTGGTGCCATGACCGGTATGTTTTCGGTCGCTCGAGCCCGCCGCATAGGAGGTGCTGATTTTCAACCACAGCTACTGTTGCCGTCCTGGACCTGATCTGCTTCACTGCACTCTCGGTGCGCCTCTTTCGCCACCGCCCCTCTCACGTAGATTCCCGTGCTAACGACAATCACAGAACACCCTCCTGCACGAGTGCCCCGCGCTCGTCCTCGCCAAGCTCTACTCCAACACGCTCGTCGCCTCGCTCAACAACCGCGTGATCATCACCCGCTCCCAGAACGGCCCCATCCTCACCACCTCCACCCCGAGCGGACAGTACCAGCTGCGGAACTTGTCCGGCTCGCGCACGTTTGTGACCGCCATGGGAAAGCAGTCCGGCAAGAGCGGGATCCAGTCGCAGGGGCAGATCGAGGTCGGCGTCGACGTCGACGTGCAGGACGACACGTCTACCGTTGGTCCGCGCGGGTCCGCGCTGAAGCACTCGGGATCGAAGGTCGACTTCAAGGTGCCTCCTATCGACGTGCTCGTCGATGACAGCCAGCGCATGCAAGTTTGAGGGCGGGTGTGGGGTGTGTGTCGGACGCTTTCTACCATTTTCCGTGATTGGTTTCTGCCTTCTTGACGCCAGCTCGTCTTACTTTGGATTGTGCCGCTTGTGTTACATTTTTTCTGAATGCCACGGCGTGGTGGTGAAACATACCATTTGTTTAACCTATCCCGTTGCCACAACGTCCGCGCGCGAACTTGACATAGGCTCTAGTAGCACTCATCAAGTGCGGGCTTCTCAGGAAAGCCCTCTCCTGTGGAATACTTGGAAGTTGAGGCTGTACCTTCACGCCTCAGCGCTCAGCGATCGGAGCGCCTCCTGTAAATAGCGTTTGCCCCACCGAGTTCCTTCACAAGCTCACCATCGCGCCGGGGGCGCCGGGAAAGGAACAGTGACAGAAGCACTAGTAGACGTACGGTCTTTGATAGAAGGGCTTCCTACGGGGCACGCGGAGGCGGCCGCGTCACTCATCACGATGAGGCACCACGAGGCACCACGAACCGGGCCTGGCTAGGGTATCCCTCTATCTCCACTCGCCTGCATCCGCAGCACCGCCGTGACCTCGTCCGGACTCGGCTGCAAGCGAGGCAACGAGTTCCCATGTGACGCAGAGAACAGAAGCCATCTTAAGGATGTTATAGGTACCGCATTCTGTCTTCGCTGTGGCACCAAGGAAACAGGTATCTGCGTGTTGAATGAGAGCGCGGCGATGTTTCATACACGCTTGGCACTACTAGCCAACTGATAGTCTGCGTAACCTAGTACTCCACAAGTTTAATGGTAGATAATTCTCTCCCACCCTCGCATTTCAATGGGCGGCCGAAATGCGGACATTACTGGGGTCAAACTTATGGGGTACTCAACTGGCCGAGCAGTGGCACCATCGCGAACCTTGAACGTACGATTATCAGACTGCACGGTCCATCTGCCGTCGTAGTACCGCACAGAAGCATCCCCAGAGATAGCTTCGCGGGAACGTTCCCGAGCAAAAGGAGCTGTGACTGAAGCTTTGATGGAGTCAGTACTAGGTTCGCGGCAGCTGAGGCTCAGCCGACTCAGCTCCACTTCCTCTCAATCGAACCGTTACGTTACAGGCGGGGAGCGATGCGTTATTTTTGCCAACAGAATTTTGTGGTTCGGAAGTTGGGAGAGATGCCGCGTTTACGAGAACGGTTCGCATGCACATGCAGTCGAAGCTGTCGCCGGTTGCGAACTAGACTTCCAGATTGGGAAGGCGCCACAAAGCTGGCGGCTGCGGCCGCCGAGTTCTGCCGAGGGCTGCCGAAGGGGTCTCTTCTCGAACGAGATCGCGCGTTCTCTCCGTCTTCTCCACGCTGAACGCGCCCGGGCACGGAATGTGCGCGCGAGGCTCCCCGAGGTCCTTGCCTTCGCTGTGCATCGCCGTCGATATAAGCCACGCTTGTCGGTAACGTGGCACTGCACACACAGCACACAGCGTCCCCACCAGCAACCATGGAACAACACCTTGCCCAAGTCGCCGACGTCGCCGACAAGGCGTTTGACTTTGTCATAGTAGGTCCGTCGCCTGTCATCAGCCGCGTCCTATACGGGTACTGACGTTCCGTGCGCTGCACAGGCGGAGGGGTGAGTCTCCGAGCCCGCGGCCATGTGTCGCACCACGACTGATTCGCCCCCGCGCGCGTTATGCAGCTCGCCGGATGCGTCTTGGCCGCACGCCTGACTGAGAACCCGGGGGTGACTGTCGCCCTGCTTGAAGCCGGGAACGCGCACTTCGACGACCCACTCGTCAGTACGTCTGTTCAGCGCTAGTGTGGTCCATTAGACGCGGGAGCTGACTGCTTGTGTTCAGCGGACCCGATGGGGTGGATGAAGCAGGTGTTCAACCCCGAGTACGACTGGGTCTTCCGCACCAAGCCCCAGACCCGGACGCAGAACAACCTCACTACGCCGGATGGGAAGCCGGACCCGAGCTTCTACTGGTCGAGGTTCGCTTTCCTTCACGCTTATTGGCCTCAGGCATCTAATGCTCCAATGGCAGGGGCAAAGGCCTGGGAGGAAGCTCGTGCATGAACTTCTTGTTCTGGACACGCCCTCAGCGCGAGGAGGTTGATGGTCAGTGGTCTTTTATCTCCCCTATGCTCAACATCTGATCTCATGCATCCCTCCCAGCAATTGAGAAGTTAGGCAACGAGGGATGGAACTGGGAGCGCTTCTTCGAAGCGTCCAAGCGCTCTGAAACGTGCGAAACGTCCTCCACTCGCTAGAACCTCGTCTTTTACACAGTTTTCTAGTCTCCGTCCTACTGGTATCCAAAACGACCCAGCGTATGCGCCCCTTTACTCCGAGGACTCAGTTGGACACAACGGTAGGCCTCAGTCTTCACCTTCGGTCGCATCTCTCACTTCTATGTGACAGGTCCTGTTTCCGTATCCTTCACTCGGACTTCCTCTATGCTCGAGGCTCCATTCCAGAAGGTGCGTATATGAGCGCCTATAAGTACCGACGAGCATTCAACTCCCTCTCCCTCATTGAAAAGGCCCTCGAAGCTTGCGGCATCAAAACGATCAAGGACGGGGTAAGTCTCGTTGCTGTATATTAGCGCGCAGATGTACTGATATCCTTGATATAGCTCGGTGGAGATGTGAGTTGCTAGTAGCTGCCATGTCGCACGCCTAGACTCAAGCTTTCTTCAGCTCAACGGAACGTTCCACTCCGTCAACAATGTCGATCCGAGAACTTGGACGCGGAGCTCAGCTGCGAGCGTACGCTGCACCAGTCTTAGAATTCCAAAAGTCCTCTAATCAATCCTGTCTCGCAGGGTTACCTCATTCCGGCACTCCATCGGCCCAACCTGAAGGTCCTCACCAAGGCGTACGTGCAGAAAGTTCTCGGCAGCAACGAGGCCGGCTCCTTCGTGGCCTCGGGCGTCCAGTTCGATTTGGAGGGGATGACTTACACTGTCAACGCTGCTAAGGAAGTCATCTTGTCCGCCAGGTGTGTCGGACCATCTTTGTTGTCGATAGCGTCACTAATCACCGTTCTTAAAAGCACTGTCAAGTCTCCCCACATCCTCGAGATGAGCGGCATCGGAGACCGTAAGGTCCTTGAACCTCTCAGTATTCCTGTCAACGTCGATCTCCCTACCGTCGGGACGAACCTCCAAGACCATCTCATCGTGACGGGCTCCGTGTTTGGTGAATGATTTGCAGCCGTGTCTATCGCACTTATTGTTGACATACTTCGCGTTCATACCTCCATAGAGATGCAATCGGACAAGGGGTTTGTCACTACAGACACCCTCGACCATCCTGAGATCCAAGCCATGCTGAAGAAGTGCTAGTAAGTCCTGTCCTGAAATTTCCGTCTTTGACCATGCTCATCATCATCTTCACACAGTGCTGAATCAGGCTCGGACGCCGCCGCCCGCCTCGTCTGCTCGGGAACGACGTTCCTGCCGCTCCAAGACTTCTCGCCCCGCGCGAATGAGCTCATCTCCGCACTCGAAGCACGCATCCAGGAACGCGCGCAGTCGGGCGCGTACGCTCCCGGACGTCTCGAGCAGATGAAGGTGCAACTAGAAATGCTCAAGGACCCGAAGGTGCCCGACATCGAGATCGTCATCTTCCCCTTCAACATGCATCCGGACGGTAGGCCTCAGCGTCGACGCATCAGTGAAATCCACTCATCTACTGCGTACGTTACCAGGGACCGGCAGGCCCTACACTGGCATATTCCCCTCCCTCGCCCGCCCGTTCTACCGCGGCTCTGTGGTGCGTCTCTCGTTCCGTGTCTACTACGGCCATGTTGATCGACGTCCTCGACCGCGACTAGCACGCCGCCTCCGCGGATCCGGCCGTCCAGCCCGAGATCGAGCCGGACTACCTCTCGGACGAGTTCGACCTCGAGCTGCTCCTCGACTCCATGAAGTTCGTCCGCCGCGCCGCCGCGACTCCCGCGTGGAGCTCGATCTGCAACGCCGAGCTCCTCCCCGGGCCCGCCATCGTGTCCGAGGCACAGCTGCGCGGTGCGTCCCTCACCCGACCCGCAGCACGAACTAAAAGTTGACCCGCGCCGCACAGAGTCCGTGCGGGACAACGTGTCGACGACGTGGCGTGAGTCCCTCTTTCTCTTTGTCTTCCAAGTACGTCGCGCAGTTGGGGCTGACCGGGACCCGCGCTGCAGACGCGTGCGGGACGTGCTCGATGCTGCCGCGCGACAAGGGCGGCGTGGTCGACGCGCGCCTCAAGGTGTATGGCACGCGCAACCTCCGTGTGTGCGACCTCTCGGTCTTGCCGCTCATCACCGTCGTGCACACCCAAGGTGCGTTGCGCGTCGGAACGTCAGCTGTGGAGAGTGCGGGGCGCTGACGAAAATGGGGCAGCGACGACGTATGGGATCGCCGAGCAGGGCGCAGACATCATCAAGGCTGACCACGGAATTTGAAGTTGGGACATCAAAGGATGACCTTGGAAACTGGCTCATTGTTCATAAGTGCCTATTCGTATAGTTCCGCCCGCATGAGTATATTGTATTGGCATAGGCGGTAGAGAAGTGAATACATCGTCGTCCTTGATCAATCTGTAAATCGTTGGCAAACTCGCCGGTCTCGTCTAAAGTCCACGAAGCTTCATTCGGGAGCACCTTGTTTAGCCAGTCACCTTGGATGTTAGTAGCCCCCACGGCAATATGGGCGCCATTATCGGACCGTTTTCAATTGATCCTGAATCAATCCGAATCGATTCAGGATTCCCGTTCACAGCGCAACTGTAGGCTTGTACAGTATCGCGACCTGAGTATTTTCGTTCCACCAACGACCAGACGTGACGGTACGTCGAATATTTATAACATACATAACTCATTGATAGTGATACACGAACATTGTCGTCATCTCGTCCGCCGTGGTACTTAGTACTCTACGCGATCATGAAGCCAGAGAAGTACGTCTCCACATCCGCCAGGCCCTCGAATGGCGCGACGACACCAACGTAACCGTCGGGACGAATGACAACGATGGCGCCCTTCTCCTCGTCGATGCCGTACTTCTTGTATCCACCGCTTCCGGAGCGACCGTACATGTCCACGTCGTCCAGCAGAACCCTGAACAGATCGCAGTCAGCACCACGGCCTGAGGCGAGCGGCAGTGCGCAACTCACTTAGACCAGTGCGGCCTGAACAAGCGTGGGAGGTCTGTGTAGTTCAGCTCCGTCTTCTTCGCCGAGCTGATCGACCAGACGTCGAAGATGGCCTCGGGCTTGCCCTTCCCGAACTTCTGCAAAAAGCTCTCGGGCGCCGCCATCTGATCCGCAAGCGCCTGTACGCGTGCGGGCTGGGTGGGAGCGACGGTGTTCCCAACGAAGACGAGGATCTTGAAACGCGTATCGGATGGGAGCAGGTCGTGGATCTCATAGGGGCGGCCATCTGCTGCGCGAACGAAGATGTACGGCAAGAGACGCTGGCCGACGGTGAGGTTGGAGGCGCATGGCTGGTGTGCAGGAGACGAGAGGACGGAGGGCTCGTAGTGAACGCCGATACCAGAGGTGAAGAGCCCGAATGTTTGGAAAGCTCTGACAACGTCACACGTTGAGTAACCGAAGTAGATTATTGTCAGAAGAGCACATACTCGATAAACTCTTCGTGGGATACGCCGTCCTGGTTGAGTTTGGTCCGTGGCTTTCCGGAGAACAGCTTCGAGAACTTCTTGTCGAAGTCGATGAGATCCTGGGCGTACTTCCTCCGTTCGAATTCATACTGGAAGGCAGCTCGTCGGATTGGATTGTGGTGAATAGGGATCATCACTCACGGTCTTCAGCAAGGAAATGTCTGCCCAGCCACGGAGTACATGGGCGAGTTTCCACGCTGCAAGGTGGCTGAATCAGCACATGGAATCAGTGATTTGCAGGAATAAGAATTACCGAGGTTGTGGGTATCGTTCATACTGGCGTTCATCCCCTGGCCTGGATTACAGTGTCAATCTAATCTTCTTCTGAACGTGTCGAATTGAACGTACCAGCCTTGGGCGAATGCGTGTGGCAAGCATCACCGGCGATAAACACACGTTCATGAACCGAGAACCTTGTAGCCACTCTTTGACCAACTGCGTCGCAACGTCAGCGTGAGATTATATGCGTCGAAAACAAGCGCACTCAGATACAGGGTCCACCAATCAATCTCTCCGATCTGGGAGATTTCGAAAGGATGGAATGACTTCTTCGCCACTTGGAGGATCTTGTCGGGACCGAACCTATTCTTGTCGACCCTACCAGTCGCAGGATCGATCACATCACGATCGGAGAGTTGTATGTACAGACGGATCTTGTCGCCTTCTCGGGGGATGATCATGCAGGATCCGTTGTCGGAGTGGACGGCGCACTTGCATCGGATGTCGGGAAAGTCGGTGTCGGGGATCATGTCTACGACGCCCCAAACGTAGTCTTGGCAGAAGTTCAGTGAAGGGTTAGACAGAAGTGAGACATTAAGTCCTCTGACCTGTCTGCTCTCCGTCCAAGGTGATACCAATCTCCTTGCGAACCCATGAGTGTGCGCCTACAGGATGTGAACGACGGCTGTAATACAGTCGTGGGATGTTCTTTACCGTCGGCACCGAGAACGAACTTGGCCCGCACTATTTCCGTGGGGTCTTCGCCAGCCGCAGGATCGAGATGCTGAAGAGTAACCTAGAAGCCGTATACACGGGTCAAAACCTTGGTATGTCGCCGAGAAGCGCCGAAGCACACCGCTCACCTTGATGGGATGAGATGTTGGGTCTTTGAGTTCAGCCTCCGATTCCGAGATCTCAATGGCAGTAGGCACAATGGGGCGTTCAACCTCTACGCCTCGAGTGCGCATAGAGTCGAGGAAAATAGCTTCAATGGCGCCTTGATGTAGCGTGATCTGTAGAGATAGTGTCAGCTGGTTTGAATTATGGAATGGTTCATTGGCTTGCCTCGAACGGGTACCGGGCGGTCGGAGCGGTGACATCTGGAGCGCGGCTGGTCCGCTGGGAGCGTATGAGCCCCCATGTGCGGTCCGCATTCGCCCTCTGCACACACCTCAATGCCGCCAGATGGACTGGGGTTGTAGAAAGCCTTAGGAGACGTGAGCAGATCGGCCATGATGTCTATGTCGGAGCACATACGGCCATGTGCATTTGGTTCCCTTCCCGAATTAGGCGTTCTCCGAGGCCGTAACTCTGCGCAGAGGCAAATATCAGCAAATGCTCGATCACATAGCTCCTATCCACCCCACGGACCTGAAACACTTCAATAGTACGCGGCTGAATGCCATCCGCCTGGCCCGCAGCAATCTTCGCGGGCCTGCGCGTATATGAGCACTAACGATCGCATACAAGTGCGCCAGACTAACCGCTTGTCCACGATCCGCATATTGACCCCCGCGAGGGAGAGCGCATTGGCGCACATAACGCCAGCAGGCCCTGCGCCAATGATCAGGACGTCAACCTCGGATTCTTTGGGCATGGCGAGCGCGGTTGCGGGAGAGGGGTGGCGGAGATGGAGAGATGAGAGAGAACGGGTGTGTCCAAGGGCCCAACTTTATAGCAGGGCGGGGCGCGCTTTACGCGCGGAGCTTCTCTGGGGAGGGTGTCATCTGGATGCCCATATCGAGTTAAAATCGGGCCAACATCCACAGCCGGAGGGATCGGCGACGCGCCTGGGGCAGCTGAGGGGAGATAGAGTAGGGAACAGCGCGCGCACGAAGCCCAGGAAAAACATATCAGTCGATTCGAGGCGTGCGTGGGCAGCCAGGCCCGGTCTGTCAATGGTGATAGCGACGCTACGGGAAAGCGATGGTGGGTGGGCGGGGGAAGAAAGTGTACAAACAGGGTATCCGCCGCACGGGTCAGGTGCACGCCCGGCGCGCGATCGCCATACAAGGCAGAACGTCCGGCGCGAGGGGCAGAAGAACAGTCTATCCATCCCGTCGCTGAACAAGCATCTCCATCATGCACGATGTACCGCTGACAGGGCTGCGTGAGGACCTCCGCAACATGCAACATGCCCGCAACATCGCGACCCGCGCAGTTCTCGCGCACTCGCCGCTGACGCCATATCAAAATACACGGAGGGCCACGGGAACTCACTTGCTTGAAGCTCTGAAGTTCAGCAATCTTCTGTCCCGTTTCCATCAGACTTCATTCGTTCACTCCAACTGCAGAGCGGACGAGGTGCGGGAGAGTTGTATGCCAGTGGTCTCATGAGTCATCTGCAGTGTTCTCGGTATGCGGCGTACAAGTGGAGAAGCTGGAAAGCCAAGGGTCGTAGAGCAGGAGAGCGAGAGCGATGAATGCGCGGCATGGCCTGCGCAGGACTGCGCGCAAGCTCTGCAGGCTCATCTGGCGGGAAACGGCGGGAGCCAGCGGCGTTACATAATCCGGGCCCAGCGTCCGCACCGCGCAGTGCTCACTGGATGCTACCTTGACCACCACCCCGTCCACCTATCCTTATTCTCCTCTCTCCCACTCCTTCTGCGCGGGTTCATGCCCGGTGTTTCTGTTTTACCCCCTCCGACCCCAACTTTCTCTCATCCGTCCGGTAGGTTCGCCCGACCTCACCCATTGCCTGCGCCTCACGCTCCTTCCTCAGCGATGCAAAATGGAGTATCCCACCACCGAGATACCGTAGCAGACATCAAGGCGAGCGCGAAGGAGACCGCACACGGTGTTCGCGGCGCGTCCGCCTCAGGCTTACTCACCGTTGCCCGGAGCCAGATCAAGGTTGCCCGGGACCACGAGAAGGAAGGTGACCTCAAGGGTGCCCTGCGCTCTTACACGAAGGCGGCCTCACTTGCTCAAATGCTTATGGAGTCTTCGGAATTCAAGGCAGAATCTCAAACTGGGAAGAAGGGCGCATTGTTCAAGGAGTTCTTGGACTTCCAACAGGTGTGTTGTGACTCTGCTTTTGGTCTGCGTTACAGACGTGTAATATCCGTTAGACGGACGGAAAGGACTTGTTCAACAAGATCAAGGTTGTGGAGGGCAAGCTGGTGGAGCTGGACAAGTCTGCAGCTCAGTACGCCACTTGCTCTGTCTCACGCATACATTTGCTGACCGCCCTGTAGATCTGCCCCAGTCGAGGAAGAGGTTGATGGCGCTATTGTAAAGACCGGCGGCGGAAGCATCGCAGACCGCATGCGCTCTTTACAGAGCGCTGGCTTGACCGTATCGACGAAGAAGCGAGTGTCCCGCGAGATCCCTACGTCGCCCGCTCTCACCGCGTTTTCTCCCCCGACCTCTCCAACCTCTCCGACCGCCCCCAGTCGTCCCAGCCTCTTGTCTCTACAAGCGCTCTCCCCTCCGACCGGCATCCCGCTCTCCTTCTCCCAATCCCTTGGCTCCCCCACCGCCTCCGTACCCTCGCCCCATGCGCTGGTTCCTACATCTAGTCTGGGCCCACCCTCCCCACCTTCTTCCACTTCATCTTCTCCGCGAATGCCAGTCACAAGTCTACAAGAGTTTGCGCAGACATTCCCTTCTATCGACGAAATCGAGGAGATGGACGCCTTGAAGCTGCCTTCGAACACTACTGGTACGAGCAGTTCGGGCTCACGCTCCAGCAAGCCTTCCCTCTCCGACCTCCGCGCAAACGGTGCGCCTCCCCTGATACACCCCAAGCCCTTCCCCGCCCTCCCCATGGATATGGGTCCTCGCCCGTCCAGCACCCCCATTCCTCCCACCATCGACGCCTTCCAGAGTCGACCAAGCTCACCTATGCGCATCCCGATGTCCCCCACAGTCCCCCGTAAACCGTCGAATCTCTCCCTGAACTCTGCTAGTTCGAGCTACCAGCGATCGCCTATCATTGCCCCAATGACCCCCACCTCCGAGAAGGCGGAGCTTCCGTTCAAGACGCTCTTCCCGAAGATTCTGCACGAATGGAAGCACAAGCCGAAGTTCCAAGTGTTGGTTATTGACGTCAGGACACGAGAGGAGTTTGAGCGGGAGCACATCAAGGCTGAGGCCGTGGTGTGCATAGAGCCGTCAATTCTGATGCGTGAAAAGTGAGTCGCGCTTGACGACGCCCCGTTTTCTCGTGGTAACCGTGCTCTGTGCATGTAGCGTGACCGCGCAATCTATCGAGGATGCACTCAGCGTTGCTCCCCGTCACGAATCGGGTTTGTTCACGAACCGCGACAAATTCGACTTGGTGGCGATGTACGACGACTCTTCCGAATCCTTGGGCGATATGAACTCTCCTCTACACGCGCTGTCAAGAGCTATATACGAAACCGCCTTCCGCAAGTTCCTCAAGAATGTGCCGATGGTGCTCGTAGGCGGTTTGCAGGCGTGGAAGCGAGAGTATGGAGACGCAGAGCTTGTTCGTGGGGGATCCTCGTCACCGGGTCGACCAGGGCTTCTTTCGAACATCAATGGTGCGAGTTCCTCCACCATCGACAGCGCCTCTGGTACCCCCATCCTCGGCGAACCCAAGGGCTTGGGGTTGGGTCACATCCGTGTCCCGGCCGAGTCGACAGTCTTCGCTCCCCAACCATCAACAGCATCTTCTGAGTATAGTGGGTTCACTGGCGTCAGTATGGGGCGTGCAAGAGCGGGGACGGAGCCTACAATCAGCGTCGATCCTCACGCCCATCGACCATGGATTCCGAGTGGTGTACGCAGTCCCACCGACACTGGTTCACCTAAACTCGGCCTAGATACCGTGGGCTCTCTTCCTTCACTGGACCAGTCAAAACGTGTCCAACGTCGTCCACCTGTGTCAAGAAGCGGTTCCAACTCGGTCTCTTATCCTTATACGCCTCCGATTCCCGAAAACGTGAGTATAGTGTCATATGAATGCCACTGTATATTGACATTAGGGCATAGATCACCATGCAGCACGTTTCCTCCGCTGTGAACGGTGTTTCCCCGATCCAGTATCCCACCCTCTCCCGTCCCCTCTCCTCGCAATTGTCAGGATCGCCGTATTCGACTTCGCAGTCCGGTGTTAATGGCCTCTCCCCTCCCCCGATTGCTTCAATCAACCCCTCGCCGCTTACACGGAGACGAAGCGACTACATAGATCAGTCACAAGAAGCTATCAATGGTCTCTCGACGCGGCCACCTGATTATCACGAGATCCGCTCTCAGCAGATGCCACGCCTCCCACCACCCGTTGCAGCATCTAACCCGGATCGCCGTCTGAACGCTTTCGCTCAACCCAGGCCGCCGACCATCCAGAGCAACTACCCGGTGACGTACTGGCCGGACATTCAGATCGGGACGAGCGGCCTGAAAAACCTGGGGAACACATGCTACATGAATGCGACGATCCAATGTCTAAACGCCACGGTTCCCTTCTCGAGGTTCTTCTCGGACGGTAGCTGGAGGACGGCGCTGAACATGATCAACAAGATGGGTACGGGAGGACAGCTCGCGACAGCTTATGCGAACATCTTGCGGGATATGTGGCAGGGCGAGGGAGGGACTCTATCGCCCGTTACCTTCAGGGTATGTCGATATTTTTAATCGTTTCAATCGTTCGTTGTCCCTCATGATGGCGCGCCAGAAATCCATATGCAACTATGCGACACAGTTCAACGGCACCGAGCAGCACGACTCGCAAGAGTTCCTCAGCTTCCTCCTCGACGGCCTCCACGAAGACCTGAACCGCGTCATCTCCAAGCCCAACTATCAGAGCACCCCCGAGCGCGAGGCAGAGCTCGAGAAGCTGCCAACACAGGTCGCGAGCGAGCAGGAGTGGCAGCTGTATCGCATGCGCGACGACTCGCTCGTCGTGGACTTCTTCCAAGGCCAATACCGGAATCGCATGGAGTGCCTGACCTGCCATAAGGTACGTGCTATACCGGGCCACTGCCGGAATTTCTCCTGGTTCCCTGAGCGACAGGCTGATGGCCGTCTGGCAGACGTCGACGACGTACAACACGTTCATGTATCTCACGCTCCCGGTCCCCTCGGGCCGTGTGACGAAGACGACGTTGGACGAGTGCATCAAGGCGTTCGTGAAGGAGGAGGTCATGGAGAAGTCGGATGCATGGTGCGTCCCTGCGTGGTTGCCCATTCATGCTGCAGCTGACGATGCGCTCTGTCCCAGGCACTGCCCACACTGCAAGACGCTCCGCAAGGCGACCAAACGTCTCTGCCTTTCCCGCCTACCCCCCGTACTTCTCATCCACCTCAAACGGTTCTCTGTGAAGGGTCCGTTCACCGACAAGGTCGAGACGTTCGTCGAGTTCCCACTGCGAGGTCTCGACCTCACCAACTACATGCCCCCACCCCTTCCTCCGGGTGCCACTGGTGCGCCCTCATTGCCGCAAGACGACCCTAGATGTCAGCTTCCCCCATATCGGTACGACTTATATGGGGTTACGAACCACTTCGGGACGTTGAGTGGTGGCCATTGTGCGTTTTCCTTTCTTATCGCCCCCGTGGTCTTGCCAACGGCGTACCTTTTCAGACACGGCGTTTATTGCTTCGAGAGGAGGATGGCTGTACTGCGACGACAGCCGTGTATCACCAGCAGACGCTAAAGATGTGGTAGTGCGTATCTCTGCTTCTCTCGCCCTTGTCCGACACTGACGCTCCACGTTCCCATCCAGGGAAAGCCCGCGTATATCTTGTTTTATAAGAGGACCAAAGCGTAACGTATCGTACCACCACCCCGCCTTGCATATAGCTTTTCGCATCTCTTTCCCAGTTATCGGATCTGCTGTCAGTTGTATGACTATCGTCACCCCGTCACCCCTGCACAACCCTCCCTCTCCGGCCTTCCTACTGCCCACTGCGACCCTAAACCGCTCACCTTCACGAACCACAACCCCTGCATGCGCGCGCGAGATGAGACACTACTCTGCAATACCATAGAACGTAACATGTAATCGTACAGCCAAACTAGCGGATGGATATCGGTACTCAAACCAATCGGGGTCCTCCGGTCCTCTACATAGCACCCTGTCCGCGCGTTCCTCGATCAAACCCAACCAACTCTGAGTGTGGACTCTCCGCCCACGCTATGACGTCGCGATGCCGATCATCACGGGGAACGCCTGGCGGTTGCTCGCGTGGCACTTGTGGCACATCCACGCGCGGCCCGCCCCGTTCGTCGCCGTCGCCGCTGTCGCTGCCCCCGCCCCGTGGCCGTTCACGCCGTTCGTCGCGGGCGGCGCGCCCGCGAGCTCGTGCCAGAGGGGCGAGAACTGCGTGCGGCAGCGGTAGCAGTGCGGCTCGGGCTCGGGCGGGTCCGCGTCGACGATGGGCACGTCGACGACGATGGGGCCGACGCCGTTCGCGTTCTGCTGCGGCTGCTGCGACTGCGGGTGCTGCTGGGCGTTGTACAGGCGGCCGCGGAGGTCGCGCAGGCGCGCCATCTGCTCCTCGAGGATGCGGTCGAGGCGCATCGCCTTGCGGAGCAGCGCGTGCGTCTCGGAGACGGGCGCCTGCTTGTACGCGCGGCAGTAGAGCTGGAGCGCGGACTCGGCCGCGCCGGAGGCGTCCGCGGGCTCGCAGAGGTCGACGAGCACGCGCTTGTGGCCGGTGTGGCCCTTGCAGATGATGGTGGGGACGAGGACGCCGGAGGCGCCCTTGAACTCGACGACGGGCATCGTCTCCCGCCGCCCTTTTGCCTGCGGGTGGGGGGTGGGGTAAGCGCGGTGTGAGCGGTAGTGGGCGAGGAGAGGGAACGCACCTGCTGCATCTCGAAGCCGAACTTGTGGCCCTGCTTCCACGCGCACGAGACGTGGAACTCGGCGGGGCACTCGCTGCACTGGACCACCGCGCCGTCGTCCCGGTCGCACAACGAGCATTTCTGCACGCGTCGGGTCAGTCGTCGGCTCGGACTAGAGGAAGGAGAAACGCACATGCTGCCAACGGTGCTCGAGGATCGCGCTGATGCCCTCGACGAGCTTGAGCTTCGCGGCGTCAGAGTAGGTGATCTCGGGCACGAAGACGGAGCAGAGGACGTGCACCCAGGCCTGGCCCTCCGTCGGCTTGCACGCGCGGAGGAAGGTGTCCGGCGGCGGGTAGATCAGCTTCTTCTTCGGGTCGCGCCACATCCGCGGGCAGAGCATGCAGTCCGAAATCTGATGCGGATCGTCAGCGGCGCGCTCCCAGGCGGCAACGGCGAGAGGCACGGCGCACCAGGGACGCCTCCGGCGACTGCTCATTCTCGCACAGGTCGCACATCCACGCGTCGGACGCGGTGGACGCGGGCGGGAAGCCGCACGCCGACGCGTGCACCCGGAACTGGCACTGTTTGCAGCGCAGGACCTTGCCCTCGGGTCCGTTTTTCTGGCACGCGACGCAGCGGAGCTGGGGCACTGAGGGCGGCGGTGGCGGCGGCGGCGTCGAGTGCTGCGAGGACACGGTCTGTCGGACGGCGTTAGCCCTCGGCGACGCTCGACGGACGAGGCACGCACCTTTGCACGCTTCGTCGACGGCCCGGCCAGCGGCGTCCCCTCGCGCTTGTTCTCCGCCTTCGCGACCTTGACGGGGGCTTCTTCGCGCACGGGGCGCACGTTGAGGTCCGCGTACTTGCGCCAGCTCGGCCCGCAGCTCTCGCACAGGATCGTGGTCGCGAGGCCCTTCGGGGCCTTCCACCACAGCGCGGACTCGCGCGTGCGGCACGCCCCGCAGCTCGGGTGCCCGCGGCGCATCTCAACGATGACCGAGCCCTCCTCCTCCTCGGGAGACGCCTCGCGTGCGGGCGAGGACGACTTGACGTCGAGGCCTGCGGCGCGCGCGGCGCGGATGCGGGCGTTTTCTTCGCCGACCTTGGCGCTCTTCCAGTGGCCGTAGAAACGGACGACTTCGGGCATCGTGCGCGTGCTGACCTCCTCGCGGACCGCGCGCAGCTCCGCGCCGTGCATCTGGATCGCGTCTTCGAACGCGGCGACCTCGTCCGGCGCCCAGTCCTTCTCCGTGTACCGCGTCTCGCTCCTGTTGAACTGCGCGGGCAGGCGTCAGCTCGGGTCGACCTCGGCCGCGGGTGGGATGGTCACCTTCTGGAGCCGCATGGGCGAGCGCATGCTGACGGTGGCAAAGTCGCGCTGCTTGAGCCACGCGTCGGTGAGGCGGAAGGTGACCTCGGTCAGCCAGTCGACGCTGCGTTTGAGCGTCTCGCTGCGGGTGAGCATGTCCTTCTGTTTCTCGTCTGCGCCAGATCCGTCAGTCCGGCCACACCAGAGCCGAAAGCGGAGGCGCTTACAGTTCGCGGCTGTGTGCAGATAGGCGCCGATGAAGGGGGACGAGACGGCCAAACAGGCGTCAGCACACGCATGGGCCAGGAGGATCACCGCACGCACCGTCCTGCTCGTCCATCTCGTTCACCAGGCTGAGCACCTCGATCGTAGCGTCCCCACCCCGCTCCTCGACGTCTGCGGTGCCTCCGTCAGCGGTGCATTCGGCAGGAGGACGGCGCGCTCACCTTTTGGCCGGTCGTCGGTCCCGGTAGTGGGAGGGACCGTGGCCTGGAACTTGGGCCCAACGCGCGTCGCCGCGCGTGGGAAGATGAGGTCGTCCGGGTCTATCACCAAGCGTCAGCGACGGCACTCGCCCGCCCCCGCCACGGCACCCACCTAGCGTGTCCTCTGCAAACGTGTACAGCCTGCGACGCCCGGTGCACATTTCAGTACCGCCCTTACACCTCGTCTCCGCGCGCGACTCACCCAAAGTACCGGAAGGGCCACATCTTGAAGTGCTTGATCTCGACGTTCTCCTCCTTCTCGGCGAGCGACTTGTCTTTTCGCGGCCGTCCGCGCCCGCGCGCCGACGGCGCGCCCGTCTTCGCCTTCGCCGCCTGCACGCTGTGGCCCTCGACCTTCTCCTCGTGCAGGCGCGCGCACGGCGCGCACGTCCAGCCGTACCCGCGCGCCGGCTTCGACAGCATCGGCGGCGTCACGCACTCCATGTGGAAGTACTTCTTGCACCCGTCGCACTGCAGCGACCCCGCTCTGGTCGCGCGTTCCCGTCAGCGGCCCGCGCGGGGCGGAGGCGTGCGGGACACTCACGGCGGGCACCACTTCTCGCACGTCTCGCACAGCCGGATGTCGTCCGTGAGGTCCGGGACGACCTCGCGCTCGGCGACGATGTATTCGTACCGCTCGACGAGCACGTCGCGGATGTGCGCCGGCACTGCGGGGATGCGTGAGCAACGTCAGCGTCGCGCTCGCCAGGAACGCGTGCGGGCGCCGCTCACCGTTGCGCACGGTGGTGGCGGGGATGACCTCGAACTCCTTCCGGAGCCACGGGTCGAAGAGGCGGGTGAAGTAGAAGCGGTCGGGCCGCTTCTTCCAGCCGGCGAGGTCCGAGATGCGGTCGCGGTGGTGGACGAAGCAGCGCTCGCGGAGCTGCGCGAGCTCGCAGACCTCGGAGTAGATCGCGGCGAGGAGCAGGCGCGAGTCGGCGACCGCGCGGTCCGAGACGTCGCCCGGGCGGTAGTACCACGCGAGGCGGACGCGGGTGATGGGCTCGTTCCGCCGCCCCGTCTTCGGGTCGACGGTGGGGGTGCCGAGCGCGGGGAGGAACTCCATGATGCGCGCGATGGAGTAGGGCGTGCCGTCGCGGACGCCCCAGCTGGGCGAGCAGTAGACATGGTCTGCGCAGATTGGTCAGTGGGCGGGGGAGGGCTGGAATGAGACGGGGGCAGTACCGTTCACTTTGACCTCGTCGCCGTTCTTGAGCGTGATCTTGAACGGTTCTGGGGTCTCCATCTGGGATAGGCGCCGAATGACAGCGAGGGAACGGCGCGGGAAGGGCAAAAATACGCTACGGGGGCCTAGAAATGGCTCAGGCGGGTCAGAAAAAGGCAAAATATGCCCGGAGTGGCTCTAGAGGCCGACTGGAGGGGCAGAGGATTATTAGTGGGGAGGGGACGGGAGGCGGTGGTGAGGGTAGGGGGGAGAGTGGGACGGGGCGGGCGGCGACGAGATCGGTGATGGGAGCGCCGGCGGAAGGGGAGAGGGGCGGGCAGAAAAGCGGTGCCGGGGCCAGCGCAGCTCGCGAGGCGGGGCGCGCGAATAATATTGAGGGAAGGGGAGGAGGAGGAGCGGAGGAGGATGCGGAGGAGGATGAGGGCAGGAAGTAAGATGGGAGGAGCTTCCGGGCGTGGATTGTCGGAGTTTAATCTCAACATTCAACCAGCAGATCTCGTCCCCGTGTGGCGAAGTGGGAAGACCCCCCAGGCCCTCGCTGGGCGCATAAGCACAAGCGCCCCTACTGCGGCGAGCCGCGACACCTGGACCTCGAGGCCTGAAGCTGAGGCCCTCGGACCTTGCACGGCCGGCCCAGGCCAACCTTCGACTTTTCTGCAAACACGATGGTTGGGCCATGCTTTGTGGCCCCGCCCGAAAGAAGACTGACTATGTAGCTAGGAGGCCTCGTCCGACAGAAACACCCCACAGCCCGGCCAGCCTCAGCATGACTCAGCGTCCCGCTACTTCCACCAGCGTGGAATTCCGCACGAAAGCACTGGAAGTTGCTGGCTGGAGATGCCGACGGGGGCAGAGGTGCAGGATTTGGGATGGGAAGATATCCAACGCCATCGCCAGCACCGGAATATGCCGATCGGCGTCACTCTCGGCACATCAGTCGGGCGCCGCCGCCGGCACCAATAGAGAATGCTTCCCGTGTTTGTTGCAGCAAACACCTTTCCGCCTATTCAATCTCCTTCGCACATGTACAACCTTTCATAGAGCCCGAAACTTCGAGACCGCGCCAACGAGTCAGCCCCTGGTGTTGTCATATCACGACATGAGGATCGCAAAGAGCGACCATGACACCGAAGCTCCGTTCAGGTGCTCTGCACACTTGAAACCGGGGACATGACAGGATGCACAACAGAAAGTTTTCAACACTTTCGAAGCTGGGCACAAGCTGTAAGAACTTGGGTCGCTGCGGCGAGAAAGGACCAATGGCAAATTCGTATGCGGCCTGCATATCATACGAATAACGCGATCCAGAATGACGGCATCAACTCAAGTGGAGTCCATTACGTGTCTCGTGTTCACGTTGGTCTGACGACTCGATGTGACGAAGGGTATACGTTTTCGAGTGCAGGACAGACAAGTTGGGCGTACGGATGCAGTCCTCCTGGAGAAATAGCGCGCATCAGATGCAGGCTGCTGAAAATTTGTAGCTGGGACGAGCTCAAAAGCGTGCTATGATACATGGACAAGGAGAGGACTCGAACGGGGGGCCTAGCCCTTCTTGAACCCTGCGGCACAGACGGGCTATGAGCATGCGGAGTCGGGGAAGACCAGCAAGCCACGCACCTAAACGCCGCCTCTCATAGAACAAGTCCGTTCTGCTCGCGCCCAGGTTCACGATCTTCGGGCACCCATCCCGGTCCTTCTCTAGCCTCGTACACTCCGCACAATAATAGGCGTCAGATATCCCTACCATCTACGTCAGCACGCGTGGACGGGGAGGCATAAAGGCGTGCGCACCAGGAGATCCACAGATGATACACCGTCCACCATATGTGCCAAAGTTGCACTCGTCACAAATGCGAACAAGGGTCTCGGGGCGTACGTAGGAATCACAGACCGGGCTGAACGAGTCATTGCGCATGAGCACCTCGCTAGCAGGGGGCATGGGGGCATATGAGAACTCACCACTTTCCGTCACACTTCTCACAGAGACGTCCGATGGCTGCATATAGGAGTGTTAGCCAGGCCGAGCCGCAGCATGGAATCCGTGACACACCGATTCCAGGCTGACGCCTGCACATGATGAGATCTGCGGGGCAGATATGTCAATGACTTCAAATCACGGTGCATATGGTAAGAGAGCGCATACCGGGATGATGTTTGGACATTTTGAAGGTGGGGGAGAGGGAAGAGGGAGGTTACGGAGGTGAGGCAAGACGCGAGGCTGCAGTCACCCGCTTAGTCATCATATTGCAGGCTTCCCGTGTATTCTCTGGCGCTTAATCGCTTCGTCCTGACCAGATGTTTTCTTCGGTCTTGGTCATCTCATGACTGATGTTCCGAAGTTATCATCTGATATACAGCGTTGAGAATGGTCTGGTAATACTCGCTTCTCTGTACGCAGGTTTATAGGCATACAACTGCAGACAAGGCACTGTGGGCACGAGATGAGGTCTTGACTTTTCGCTCAGGTGAGATGTCAAACCACCAGTCAATGGGATATACCAGCGGCCGATTTACAACTGCCACCTCAAATACACATTTACAGTGCCGACGTCCTCGACGCTCAATGAACGCGATCGACTTGAACAATGAAAGAGCTATTTCCCAGCTTCCATCATGAAGATCGCGACGTACCTAGGTTGTACTTTTCGCTTGTCATGCAGACTCCTTTATCCTAAATTTCCGTGTTGTATTTGGAAGGGTAGAGGCCGGCCGCAGATGAGGTTGCAGTGGTAGCTGTCAGTGTGAGGATGAGAGGAACGGTGGTGTCGACTCACCGTTGACCGGCCCGGAAACCGCAAGCGCCAACTCACAGGCACAAAGGCACGCCGAAGCGCTCAGTACTACGTAGTAGCGCCGACGTTTCGAGCGATCCGCCATGTCGCGCTTCAGGTCAACTTCAGGACGTCCTCCTCTGTTACCTTCATGAATATACCCACCCACAGCATACCCTTCGACTTCGACGGCCCTTTGAATGACGAACCTTGCGCTCCTTCCCCCTTCTTCTCGCCTCCCACCTCTCCGTCGCATCAACGAGCACCCCATCGATGTGCTCATTGCGCTTGTCGACTACCTCCGAGCCATATACACTCCCCCCGTCCACGGAACCCGTCGCGTGGGCCGTAAAGTCCTGAAGGCCCGCAGCGCGTCGAGATCCGCCGAAGACTCCCTAGACGAACTCCGTGCGGACCCCTTCGAGCGGGCCTACGCCGTCCGGTGGCTCACCAGGCTCGTCACGCGTACAGCCCTCCTCGAAGACGCGGACGCAGACGAAGATGCCCCCGCGGCAGAAAACAACGCGGACGCCCTTGTCCGCGCGGCGACGGCACTGCTGGCCGCGTGCGCCGGGACGTCGGCCGCGCGCACGCTCACCCGCACCTACGTCTTCGCCGCGCCTTCCGCGGACGCGAGCCACGACGTCCGCGTGCTCCTCACGGACGTCCCGATCGCCACGGACGGGGAGGCCCCGACGGTGGGGACGCAGACGTGGGGGAGCGCGTGCCTGCTGGCGGAGATGGTGGTGGAGGATCCCGCGCGGTTCGGTCTGGGCGGACGCAGCGGGGAGGTGCGGGTGCTGGAGCTCGGCGCGGGCACGGGGCTCGTCAGCCTCGCGTTGGCGAAGCATCTCGCTCAAACGCACCGGGAAAGCGCAGCCAAGACGTCGATCGTGGCCTCGGACTACCACCCCGCGGTGCTGGAGAACCTGGATCGGAACATCGAGGCCAACTTTCCGCACGGTACGCCGTCCACAGTGTCTCTCGCTGCGCACAGACTCGATTGGTCAGACTACTCCCGGGGTGACTGCGATCTTCGCGAGGAGTCATTCGACGTGGTCCTTGGGGCAGACGTAGTGTATGAGCCGCAGCATATTCTCTGGATCCGCGACTGCGTCCATGCGCTGCTCAGGAAGCCTGCTAGCGCTGCGGGGGACCGCGCCGCCCGAGCACCTCGCTTCCACCTGGTCATGCCACTTCGTCCTACTCATGCCGTGGAGTCTCGGGCGGTGCGGGAGGCGTTTCCAGCGGCCCCTTATGGGGACAATGTACGACCGGAAACGCTGTGTATTCTCGAGGAGGAAACGGTTTTGTGCGAGGTCGACGATGTGCGGCCTGGAGAGCAAATCGAGTACGTTCACTTTGTTATTGGATGGTCGTAGACGGGCATGTTTTCGACCTTGGACCGTTCCTATAGATGTGGGCTACTAGACGTCGTAGATGTGAAGTCATTAGAGCTAGAATCATAGATCCAAGTAGATATACTAATAGATGTAGCCAGATATCTTGCATAGATGAAATTGATTAGATTGTGGGGCGTCGGACTCGACGTCGGTGGCCGCGGCTGCAGTCTTCTTACCTCCTCCCCTTTCGATATTTGTCTCCGACCTCGAGTCATCCTTCAGCTTCGGCGCTTGGGGTCGCACCCAGCTCGCCGCACGCGCGCTCCACGGCCCGCAGCCCGCGGTCGACATCCGGCTGAAACCTGCGCCGCAACCATCTCGAGAGCGACCCCGTCACAAGCCCAAGCAGACCAAGGGCCACCATCGTGCGTACTTTAGTTTTCGCCAAGATGTTCAAAGAGCACTAACTCCTGTGCTGCTCATGGTGTCCCCGGAACACTGACCAGCTCGATGTCGCCCGCTTTCGTCTCCAGCAATCACTGGAGCGCACCTGATGGCTGAGGTTCTTAATCAGAACTCGGAGCACATGCATCATGTACACCCATGACTCACGACCGGCAGGCGTACAAGTCCCGTAGAACGCCCGTATGTACTTATGCTTAAAGGACTCCGGAGAACTGGTGCGCTGCGCCATTCTCATCCCGCTCATCTATCTCACCCCGATCCAGACGGCGACAACGAGCTCGTATGATGGCCACGAAAATTTCCCCCGCAGCGACATCCCGCGAGCTGCGCAAAGCAGGTTCGTCAACTCTTCATTTTTCAACATGTCTTTCCTGCTGAAGTACGTCGACCAGGTCGACTTGAGCAGGCCTTCAACGCGCGCTCGCGCCTAGACCTCTCGTCTTGGGTGATCTCCGTCGCACATTACACCCATCCTTCCCTTGCCCTCACCAAGGCCCTTCTATACTCCGCCCTCGCCTCGGTCGTCACCACCAAGTTGCCCGTGCTCGCCGCCCACCTGCCCGCGCTTCCCGCACCACAGATATGGACGCGCATGGCTATCCTCGACCTCGAAAAGGTCGTGACATTCCTCCCCGACGCCGGCATGGATTTCACTGCGTTACAACACACTCTGGAGGCGGAGTTCGAGCGCCCCATGGAGTTCCGCGAAGACCTCGCGTTGTGGCGCATGTGGGTCTTCACGGACGGCACCGTCGTCTTCGGCTACGACCACTCCATCGGCGACGGCCAGTCAGGGCCTGCGTTCCACGCCCAGCTCTTAGCCGCCCTCTCCCTCTTGCCTACCGACCCCCCGGAGGTCTCGAGCATCGTCGACCTCGGCGCGATCACCGCGGAGCTCACACCGGCGATCGAGAGCGTGGCAGACATGTCGGTGCCTCTGTCGCAAGTCGTGGGCGGGCTCCTGCAAGAACATGTCCCCTGGATGGACCGGAAGGCGCGGTGCGCGTGGACGGGGAACCCGAACCTGCCGCACATCGAGCTCACGTGCCGGGTCCGCGTCGCGTACGCGTCGCCGGCCGACGCCGCGAAGCTGCTCGCGGTGGCGCGCGCGCACAAGACGACGGTGACGTGCGTGCTGCACACGCTCAGCATTCTCATCGTCTCGCGGATGATCCACGAAGCGGACTCGGGCGCGGGCGTGAAGTACGAGACGATCCCGTCCGCAATCCCCATCAGCCTCCGGAGCCAAGTGGGGACCCCGACGACGGCGATGTGCAACCACGTCTCGACGTACACCTCGCACCGCGGGATCTTCCCCAAGGACGTCGCCGCGGCTCCGGTGTCGCCCGCGAGCTTCCCTTGGGCGGAGGCGACGAAGCTCGGGGCGGAGCTGAAGCGCGCGAGACCGGAGGCGGCGCAGCGCATCGGGGCGATCAAGTACCTGTTTGGGAAATACGACAAGCACTATCTCGACAAGCTGGGAAAGAAGCGGAGCTATGGGTTTGAGCTGTCGAACCTGGGCGCGTTCCCGAAGGGTGAGAAGAAAGACGGGACTGAGGAGGGCGGCGGGTGGGCGATCCGCGAGCTTTGGTTCGTGCAGTCAGACGCGACGCTGGGCGCGGTCGTCAAGCTCAACCTCGTAGGCTCGCCCGAAGGCGGACTGGGGATATCGATCACTTGGGGAAAGGGTGCGATCGGGGACGAGTTCGCGGAGACGTGGGTGAAGCGGTTCAAGGAAGGGATGCAGGCGTTGATTGCGGAGTAGCGTACTGATGAGCCCGGTAATACTTGACTTCGTCTTGCGACGGTACAGAGGCTCGTGTGCACTCATTGAGCACAGACGAGAGGTGGAGCACCGAAATACTAAATACCACGCCATCGGGGGCATGAACCGGTTGGCGCGCTGGAGCGTCTCTTTTCGGACTGGAACTAGTACTTGCTCAGATACCACGACGACAGTACTTATCCATCCACGACGCCACTCAATGGAATCCAACACCAGATTTATCGTCCAGCGTAGACTCCCACGAAGCTTGCACTTGGCGCATTCCACTGGGCGGATGCTTGAATACCCGGAGGTCAAGAAACGGGCAACTACGCCTGGTAAACGAATTCGACATCGTTACATACTTACATAATTTTAAACTCCCATCACGATTCATTTGGCTGTTACAATTATCCCCGCACCACCCCCCGCAAAATCTTCAGATCTCCTCCAGACTTACTGAATAAGGAGTCTATATCAAACATCAAGTGCAGACAGAGTATTGAGCACGCGCAAAGTTTAGCGTGCGTGCTCAGAGACCCTCTGAAGGTCGGGAGCGAGACTAGATGTGACTTGTTCTCGTCGCCAGCAGCCACCAGAGCTGCGCTCCCGATGGCTGGGGAAGGCATCAATGCATCAGGTTGAGGTTCCCAGTGGTCGGGACTCGGTCACTACACATACTAACGTCGGGTATGTTGAAATCCGACGCCGGGCCCATTCGGCGTTTTGAGCCCTACAATTTGTGCCACAGCTTACGCCTACTACAGCCGTTCTCAGAACGATAGGCCTGTCGATCAAAAAATCACACACAAGAGTTTCGAACTCAAACCAAACTCCGCCATTACCGACGTTATGCGGACATCGCTTCTCGCGCGAACAGGTCGCTCCGACTCGCTACCCACCGGTAAGCCTCGCAACTGCCAAAAAATGTAACCCCGCACGATTTGCTCTGTGTGAGAATTGATAACGGCTGTAATGATCGTGACTCGCTAGCAGACTCAGCGGCGCAGTCTGAGTCTCCCAGGTCATACACGATGCCCGACGACTTAAAAGAGATCTGGACCAGTGCGCTGCGCTATTCTCGTCCCGCTCCTCTCCTCGCTCACCCTGATTATGGCGACCGCGACGTCTTCCGGGCCTGCTGCTGCAGCATCCCGCGAGCTGCGCGAAGCAGGTTCGTCAACTCTTCGTTTTTCAACATGTCTTTCTTGCTGAAGTACGTCCACCAGGTCGACTTGAGCAGTACTACAATGCGCGCTCGCACCTCAAACTCCCTTCCTGGGTGTTCTCCGTCGCACATTATACCCACCCTTCTCTTGCCCTCACCAAGGCCCTCCTATATCCCGCCCTCGCCTCAGTCGTCACAACCAAATTGCCCGTGCTCGCCGCGCACCTGCCCGCGCTTCCCGCACCGCAGATATGGACGCGCATGGCCACCCTCGACCTCGACAAGATCGTGACGTTCCTCCCCGACGTCGGCATGGACTTCGCCACGTTACAGCGCACTCTGGAGACGGAGTTCGAGCGCCCCATGGAGTTCCGCGAAGACCTCGCGTTGTGGCGCATGTGGGTCTTCAAGGACGGCACCGTCGCCTTCGGCTACGACCACACCATCGGCGACGGCCAGTCCGGGCCCGCATTCCACACCCAGCTCCTGGCCGCGCTCTCCCTCGTGCCTACCGACCCCCTCCCCGCCGACGCGGACGTCTCGAGCATCGTCGACCTCGACGCGATCACCGCGGAGCTCACGCCGGCGATTGAGAGCGTGGCGGACACGACGGCGCCTCTGTCGCAGGTCGTGGGCGGGCTCTTGCAAGAATATGCCCCCTGGGCGAGCCGCAAGGCGCGGCGCGCGTGGACGGGGAACCCGAACCTGCCGCACATCGAGCTCGCGTGCCGGGTCCGCATCGCGTACGCGTCGCCGGCCGACGCCGCGAAGCTGCTCGCGGTGGCGCGCACGCACAAGACGACGGTGACGTGCGTGCTGCACACGCTCGGCATCGTCATCACCTCGCGGATGATCCACGAAGCGGACGAAAGCGCGGACGAAAGCGCGGGCGCGAAGGCGCGCAAGATGAAGTACGAGACGATCCCGTCCACCGTCCACATCAGCCTCCGCGGCCAGGCGGGGACCCCGATGACGGCGATGTGCGACCACATCTCGACGTACATCTCGCACCGCGAGATCTTCCCCAAGGACGTCGCCGCGGCGCCGGTGTCGCCCGCGAGCTTCCCCTGGGCGGAGACGACGAAGTTCGGGGCGGAGCTGAAGCGCGCGAGACCGAAGGCTGCGCAGTACCTCGGCATGCTCAAGTACCTGTTCGGCGAGTACGAACAGTATCACCTCAAGAAGCTGGGGAAGAAGCGGGACTATGGGTTTGAGCTGTCGAACCCGGGCGCGTTCCCGAAGGGCGAGAAGAAAGACGGGGCTGAGGAGGGCGGGTGGGCAATCCGCGAGTTCTGGCTCGCGGTGGCAGATGCGACGCTGGGCGCGGCCATCAAGCTCAACCTCGTAGGCTCGCCTGAGGGTGGACTGGGGATATCAGTCACTTGGGGCAAGGGTGCGATCGAGGACGAGTTCGCGGAGACGTGGGTGGAGCGGTTCAAGGAAGGGCTGCAGGCGCTGATTGTAGAGTAAAGTACGCATGATCCCGATAATGTTTGGCTTTGCGTTGCAACGGTACAGAGGCTCGTGTGCATCCATTGAGCACAGACGGGAGGCGGGATTGGAAGATCTTGAACGAGAGAAGTACCACGAGCCGCGTAGTAGGGATTTTCCGGGGCGTGACACGTGAGTACTAGTGGTAGGTCACGGCGGCGCCCCCGCGCGCATCACGCAAGCGGCAACTCTCCGCGTGGAGTTTTCCACCGAACATCCACCGACCCCGAATCAGCCATCATTCCAGATGGAAGCAAAACAGAAGAACACTCACGATAGCGCATTCAGTGCAGACTCAGACGTCCTAAACAGCGACTGGTCTACTCCGCCACCCAGGTGGATGTCAGAACATCCTGAACTCAAACGCCGAGGAATCGAGCTGCGCTACCCGGAGAGCCCGGTATGTTTCATCCCATAACCTCGTGATCCGCACTCACTTTCGTATTCCTGTAGGGCCGCGCATTTGTGACAGAATACAACGTGGAGCCCGGCTACTTCGTCAAAGCCCCGCGCATGGGGATGGGCAACGAGGTTCACATATATCAATACCTGCAACGCGACCCGGTGTCCGCTAGATTCATCCTTCCGTGCGAAATCATCGAGGACGCAAAGAAGCCTCTAATCATCCTACCTGTTGTGAAGCGCTATAGCCACCCTATGGCGTCTCACTGGTCTTTCGGCACCACCATCGAAAAATGTCGTCGCATACTTGAAGTACGAGTTCCGAATTGGCCCGAACGCTGTTTACGACCAATACATCTCACTCCCCTCCTTAGGCTTTGTCCTACTTCCATCGAAGACGTCTCGCTCATCTTGTGACTAGTCTCAGTCTCTTCGCTCTATTCGTCATTGACTCTTTGCTGAGGACATCGCCGAATAAAACATAATGCTCCCTGCTCGTCCAGACACCAGATTCGGGAAAGATATCACGGCTCGCAATCCCTACTTGATAGACTTCGAGTTCTCGCAGATACTCAAGCACAGGCCCGGAAGACAGCCCGCAATAGAGCTTCCTCCCTCGCTCACTCCGAAGCCAGACGGTATCTCTCGATTGGATCCATACTCATGGGACGTCTATTGCTTTGGTTGGGTCATGCGAGGCATGGTGGAGGTAGGCGCCTTGATACTTTATTCGAACTCTTCAGCGCTGACGGATTTATAGAGGCACTTCCGTTATAAAGGAAAAATGCCCTGGTATATGCGCTGGTACCTCGGCTGGATAATAGGAGAGGCTGAACGAGGATGTGAGGGCATATGCCACTGTCGGCCCACAGCAGCGCATGCTCTTCGCGTGCTACAGGTCATAGGGTGGTACGTCGGGATACGCGAGACGATCGAACGCGCATTGGCTTGGTGCAAGCTGCGATAGCTATCTGCTGCCGCGTATCTCGAGTCTCAAACCCTCTCACGTTGGGTATACCCCACCGGTCGAATCCGACAACTATGAACCTTGACGTTGTCTCGAGGCGGTGCCCAGAAATGCACATGACCTTAGGATAAATGCGATCTGACCAGGCCGCCTCGTCGGTCGTGAGCACAGAGGCTTCATCCAACTTGGAGGCGACTAGCAAGGCGGCGATAGATGCACTGAAGAACTGGAAGAAGGAGTCGTCGGTCTACAGGCAAGATGGCTACCTGGCGAAGCATCAGTGAATCGGTGAGCTCACTCCAATCGTAAATCTCTACACGCGAGGACCTCATGAGGTTGGTGGTTGTTCGTGAGTTCGTGAAGACATACTGTGGACGTATTGAAACCACTGACCAGAGTTCGCCTCTCATATCGCAGTCAAATCAGCCAGACCTATATCAGTAGAACTGTATCTATGGAATGGGATATCCTGTCATCGCAGTTGCTTTTGTTACAGGTTCATGTATGTCTACTGTATGTCTACATGTATGATGATGCACGCCCATGACATACAACACGTATTACAGTGGTGCTCACGCAGGGTAGAGGAATGCCCCCCGGATTATTGACACGCCAACCGCATTCGCCCCGCTCACAGTCCGTTCGCCGCAAGCACCTCCTCGACGCTCTTCACGAACAGGTCCACGATCCGCTCGATCTCCTCCTCCGTCACGTTGTACGCCGGCGAGAGCATACAATGGTTCCCCATCGCCCCGTCCAAGCTCGCGCCGCCCGTGAAGCCCATGATGATCAGCCCGTTCTCGAGCGCGCGCGCCTGGACGTCCATCGCGAACGCCTTGCCCTCGTACCCCTTCGCGCGCGCGGCGTCGTTCTCAAAGTCGAACTCGACGCCCCACCACGCGCCCGCGCCGCGGACGTCGTGCGTGAACGGCGCCGCGCGTGCGTTGGGCCCGCGGAGCGCCGCCTCGAGGCGCGCGCCCATCCGCGGGCCCCACGTGCGCACGCGCGCGAGGAGGTCCTCGTCGACGACGGTGCGCTGCACGGCGAGCGCGGCGGCGCAGGCGATCGGGTGCGCCTGGTAGGTGTGCCCGTGCTTCCAGCCGCCGGCGGCAACGAGCGGCGCGGCGACGCGCGGGGAGACGAGGACGGCGCCGATGGAGACGTAGCCGCCACCCAGGCCTTTGGCGACGGCCTGGATGTCGGGGCGCGCGTCGTCGCCGTGGGTCTGCCATGCGTGCAGCGTGCCAAGGCCTGGAGAGCGGGGGGTTACGGCTAACAGCGTGGAGGAGGGGGAGAGAAGGACGTACGACCCATGCCGCTCATGACTTCGTCGAGCATGAAGAGCGCGCCGTACTTGTCACAGATGTCTTTCATCGCCTTGAGGTAGCCCTTCGGGGGCGGGACGACGCCCGTGGTGGCGCCCACGACGGTCTCGCAGACAACTATATGTGCGCAAGACGGGGGAGATGGGTCGGCACGAGCGCATACAGTGGGCCGTGAGGAGGCACTCACATCCGATAACCGTGTCTGGGCCAAGCTCCTGGAACTTGTCGTCGAGCTCCTTGGCAAGGCGCGCGACATACTCCTCTTCTGACTCTCCCTTGGTCTGAAAGCGGGCGGCATAGGCGGGCGAGACGTGATGGTAGTTGTCCGAATCGAGCAGGGGTGCGTACGGTACGCGACGGGTGGGATGGTGGGCGAGTGCGAGGGTCGCGACGGTGTTGCCGTGGAAGGAGAGTTTGCGGGCGATGAACTTGATGCGCTGCGTCTGTCCAAGCTCGAAATAGTATTGACGCGCAGTCTTGATCACGCCTTCCATCGCCTCGGAGCCTGCACATGCCACGCGGGGAGGTTGGAGGCCCAACCGCATACGAGGACAGGGCGGTGGACGTACCACCAGAGACGAAACCGACAAGCTCAAATGCGCTATCGCTGGCCTTGATAATATGTTGCGCGAGCTCCTCTGCAGGCACGCTCGTGAGCTGGAAGTTGTAGATATCTGGGCTAGACTCAATATTCTGCACGATGCCCGGGGGGACGGGGGACTCACAGCACATCTGGTCAATCTGATCCTTCATCGCCTTGAGGACGGCAGGGTGGCCGTTCCCGATGCAGGCCACCGCGGCGCCGCCGACGGCGTCGATGATTGTCGAGCCATCCTCGAGAGTGACATAGATGCCCGTGGCAGCGGTCGCGACGGGTGGGCGAACGGGTGTGCGATGCAAGATCGCGGTTGGTTGTTCGCCAGTCCAAGGCGCGGTACCGTTGGTGGTGGCCATCTGGATGGCGTAGTTTGGAGGGCGGAGGGAGCGGAGACGGAGGGCGACAGTGAGAGGAGATGTACTTGATCAAGAGGAAGTGACTCACCTGGGGAGAATCCCTCATTCATTTACAGTATCCGCGGCTGGCTTCACCTTAGACGCTCTTGCGACCATCGCAGGCCGTCAATTGCGAAGATTGGTCAAAGACGCGACAGAAGAGATCGCGTGAGAGGCGATTTTGTCCACGAATCAAATTCGCTGGCTCGCTTGCCTCAAAGGGCGTCGGCGTCTGAGCACCAGCGGATGTTCGTGGTGTCATGCGGGTGTGTTTGGCGCAAGTTTGGCAAGAGAGGAGGAGGTATCGAGTCAAGGCTTATCAGCCCAGTCTTTGCCGCGAGGAAATCTAGGCGCGCGTTGGACTGCACCGTGACCTTCGCTGAAGTCGTCAGTAAGGGCCGCGCGTGCGGACGCGCGGTGTCGTATGACGCGGAAATGATAGCAGGGGGTATGGGTATTGCGTTCGCCACCAAGCAGGTGTGCGAGACAATCCACATAGTAGCAGACAATGAGTCCGCGCTCAAGACCTTGCTGGATCCGACCCGACCGCACGGGCAACAGCTGGTCTCAGTGATCGCGTGCACCAACGCGCGCGAGTGGCTGGACAGGGATGCACGGCGACGCATCATCTTCCATTGGTGCCCATCGCACGTCGGGATCGAGTGGAACGAGGCGGTCGATGCGGACGCGAAAGCGGCTGCAAACTTGCCTCCAGAGCGCGAGCAATGCTCGGCGGCGTTCGCGCGCCATCTGTTGGCAGTACGGCTGAAGTCGGAGTGGCGGGAACAGTACCGCAACTCACGCCCATATGCGGGCCACGACTTTCTGCGATTGCGGGTGTTCGACCCGCCAAAACACACGACCAGCGCTGCGCTCGGGGCGCACGGACACTCGCCTGCAGCGATGTCCCGGTTCTGCCGCGCGGTGCTCAACCATGCACCCATCGGATCCTTCCGAGCACGATTCTTCAAGGGCGAACCTACAGAATGCCCAAGATGCCATGTGCTGCAAAGCCGCAGCCATGTGCTGCTCGAGTGCACGAGGTACGAGCGCTGGTGGCGCTGCGGGGGCGAGTTCGACTTCTTGCAGCGCCTCGAGGCGTACCAAGACCTCAACGCATTCATCACCGAGAACGATGGCGCGTTCACGTTTGCGGACGCGCCGTCCTAAAAAAGGGGGTGCGTGAAAACATACGCACTAAACAGAGAAGACGAGCGGGTAAAGCAAAACGCGCGCACAACGTGGAAAGACCGCACAGCGGCACAAGCGACAAGCACCCATAAACAAGGGTGCGATCAGCCCTTAGATGCAGGCCCACAGGCTGAGAACACTCGCCCACCCAGTGTCACCCATGTAAAGAGCCGCACCTGTACTCCGTACGCGGGATATAAATGCTTGATATTAAAAAAAAAAAAAAAAAAAAAAGACCTTCGCTGAAGAGCGCTGAGTCGCGTTCCTCGTGCAGCCGCCCGACTGGGCCTGATACAGGATAGATTCCAGTACATTCATGAACTGTTACTTACCCACTTCATATGCTCGTTCGCATACCTTTGTTAAACAGCCATCGGACAGCGCTATAGCCTGGCTCGCCTGCTTACATAACCAAACCGGCCACGTCGAGTCGACCGCACTGCCACGCACACGTTGAGGTGAGCCCCGCGCCCCGTTTCTCATTCCATCCGTTCAGTTGCTCACTGTACACACAGACTCGTTGTCATCGCCCCTCATCTCTCTGCTGTCGATCAGACACAAACAGTACGTTGAGCATTCAGGTCACAAATGCCGCCAGCTCAGCCATGCATCGAACAGCAAACGGGTCATGGCAGTCGCCGTCCAAAGTCTACCCCTCCTTCCAATTCCTGCTGCAGACCGCGCGGCGCTCTCAGGTCTCTCGGACGACGCCGTGCGCAAATGGGTCGTTGCGCGTGCCGAGGAGTACCGCAACTTCGCTCTGGCACTCCTCTCCGTTTACAACGCTGTTGCACCCATCCACCGCGCCTTCCCTACCGAAATCCTCTCCGAGGTGTTTTCCCACTGCTGGCAAGACACTCACTTCATGGCCGTCGCCCATGTGTGCCGCCACTGGCGTGCAATCGCACTCAAGACACCTCGTCTGTGGTCCGCCGCCATCACAGCCCCCGACAAGCTGACCTCCGCGCGATCCTTCAATCCACACGCTCCGTTTCAATCCCGCATCGATTTTGCATCGTTAGCTTTTACGCGATCTTCACCAGAACCTCTACGCATCAAGCTCCTTCATTTTTCTAGGGATTTCGCGAACGCGCTCACGCCTCATGTTGCTCGGCTCGTCGACCTCTACGTCCGCCTTAGCGATGCGTATCGGCTCGACTGCCTGTGTCGCTTCCTTGCCGCGGGTGCACCCACTCTCGAGACCCTCGGTATCACATTCCGAGGCTGTGTGGGCATGTACGAAGACTGGCTGCCTCCAGATCCCAAACATGACGACGGAGGCGACAGCCCCAGTGATCGAATCCACATTCGAGAATGTTTAGCTCTGGGACTCAAGAGATGGAGCACTAGTGCACAGAGCCCCACCACAGGCACGCCACGTCTACACACACTCCGATGCATCCCCGTCGACCTCTTGCCTTACTTTTCTTGTCCCACGTTGCGCGACGTTTGCGTCACTCCAGCTCAGTTCAACAGCGACCATATCACAGGATTTCTCAACACACTCGCTCAATGTCCCGCGCTCGTACAGCTCAAATTCTGGATGATTGGCGAAGACGTCACGTGTCACCGGAACTGGATAGATTGGGGCGATTACTCTGACGAAGAAGAAGAAGAAGAGGAGGAGGAGGAGGACCCGGTGCAAAGCTTCTTTCCTCAATCCGATTCACCCTTATGGGAAGCGGACGACGCGGTCGATATGCCCGCTCTGCGAACCGTGGTCGCCAACGTCGGGACCTTTCTCGATTCGCTCTGGTACATCTACTCCTTCGACAACGCCCCTCTTCCCGTCTTCAAACTCGAGCTCCTCGCAAAGAACGCACAGCTCCAAGAGCTAGTCGACTACGTGGCGGTTTCTGAACGGATCCAGCACGCTGACACCGTCCGCATCTGCCACCACTCCTCTGACCCGTGGTCCGCGGAGGCTGAGTTCGCGACGTTCCGCGACGGCGCTGCACTCCTCCGCGTCCTGACCAGCGGCCGCTTTTCGGAGCCACGGGCGACGCCCGACTACGCGGCCGTGCTGCGCAAGCACGGCGAGAGCATCACACGCCTCGAACTCGCCGGGCCGGGCATCACCCTGTCTGCGAACGAGCTTAGCAGACGGTGTGCCGACGCCGCTCTCCTGTGCCCACGCTTGGCCTCCGTCGCAGTCTCTTTCTCTCCGCGCTGGTCTGGGCAGCGACCGTCTCACGGTGCAATGTCTGACGGCCCGGCGGAGTGGGAACATGAGGTGGCAACGTGGGTGCAGGTCGACCGGTCGTGGCTGGTGAAGGTGCTCAGCGACTTTGCGGCCCGGGGGCTCCGTCTGAAGCGGCTGGACTGGCGGGTGTGCGAGTGGGACGAGGTTCTCGGGGAAGAGTTTTCTCCGACTGCCGTCGTCCGGACGCACATGCTGAGCCCGTCGCTGTTCGATCAGACCGAGCTCGAGAGGCTCGTCGATGGGCCGGTCGTCTTTGGCGGGGTCATCTATCAGGAGTCGCCCCCGAGGTAGATTGCACGCGATAACTTTGCGTCGGGGCTCATTGTCGTTTGCTCTCAGATCGCGGAAATCTCAACGATGGATGCTTCCATCTTTGATGGGGTTGGAAGGGTATCGGAAAACTCCTACTACACAACCATGGTGTACGGAACTACTGCTGTGCATAGTCCCTCCAGAAAGTATTTGAACACGCGCTTCATTCGTGCCCCTTGTTGTTGCGGAATTTCGCGATACTCAGACCCCACGATAGAATATCCCAAGACGAAGTAATAGATAAAAATGAGGAAGTACGTTTTGCGTTCAGGAAGGGCTTATGATACCCGCAAGCCTAGTGTCGCAGGGAACGGCGGCAGCTATAGGCTATAGCGAAGACGATCAGGACCTTGATGTAACGTCGTGTCAGCGTCTCGCAGGGGAGCACGCGATACATACAGGACTCTATCTGTAGAAGGAACACCAGTCTGCAGGGCACTGTTCTCCCAATCGAAGGATAATGCATGAGTCATGACGCGTTTGAATCGCGCGGAACCGACAGGTCAAACAAAGACCCCACACTCCGATCCACCGCCTGCTCCACCCAACAACCAACCCGCGAAGCATGTCCCCGCCCTCCTACACTCCCCTCGAGCTCTCCAAGCTCAAAGACTACAAAGCCCTCGTCTTCGACTGCTACGGTACCCTCATCGTGCGTCTCCCGCTCGGCCCAGCCTTCCCCGCTTACACCTCGCGTTGTCCACAGGACTGGGAGACCGGCATCCACACCGCGCTCGCCCCGCTCTTCGCCGCCGCCGGCCGCCCGACCGACCGCGGCACCGTCATCGGAGCGTTCGCCGCGGTCGAGCCCGCGCTCCAAGCGCGGTTCCCCACCATGCGCTACCCCGACGTCCTCGCGCTCGCGTACACGACCATCCACGCCGACCTGCACGGCCCGCCGCCGCCCTCGTCCTCATCCCCCTCTCCTGGGGAAGTGGAGCGGCAGGCGCGCGCGTTCGCGGACGCCGTCGAGACCTGGCCGCCGTTCCCGGACACGGTCGCCGCGCTCCAAACCCTCCAGCGGCGCTTCAAGCTCGCCATCCTCTCCAACATCGATCGCGCGACGATCGCGCGCACCCGCCGGCACATGGAGGGCCCCGGTGGGTTCGCGTTCGACGGGGTGTACACCGCGGAGGAGGTCGGGGCGTACAAGCCCGCGCCGGAGATGCTGACGTTCGCGCTCGAGCGACTGAAGACCGAGTTCGGGATCGAGAGCGGGGAGGTGCTGGTGACCGCGCAGAGCGTGTTCCATGACATCGTTCCGGCCAGGGGGCGAGGCTTGGGGACGGCGTGGATCAACAGGGCGGGGGCGGTCACCGGGAAGCCCGAAGTGGGGGAGGAGGGGCAGGCCATGTTTGTGTTCCCGACGCTTGGAGCGATGGCGGAGGCGGTGGAGACGGCGTACGCATGACTGTACATTCACAAGGGTGCACAAATACACCACACCGTAGCAGCACGCCAGACTTCCCAAAAGAAAAGAGTCCATGTTACAAAGCGCGAAGTAGAGTACATACAAGCATGAAAGCCTCGCTATGCCGAGTACTCGAGCTTGGCTGCAGGACAGAGTCAGCGAATGGAGCTGAAGGGAAAACGGGCACTCACTCTCGTGCTTCTTCGCCTCACCGACCTTCCGTGCCGCCTTCGTGAGGTCCTCATGGATGACGTACTCACTGCGCCACATATAATCAGCTCAGTTCGAGGGACAAGGCTCACATACTGACCGGTCGTCGCGAATAGCGAACATCCCCGCCTCAGTGATGACATTCCGCAGATCCGCACCGTTGAAGCCGTCCGACAGCTTGACGATCGCCTCGTAGTCGATCTCCCCGCTCTTGTTCACCGGCTGGCTGTGAATCTTGAGAATCTCTAGACGCGCTTGCTCGTTCGGGAGAGGGATCTCAATCTTCCTGTCCAAACGACCGGGGCGGAGAAGGGCGGGGTCGAGTGTATCCGGCCGGTTCGTCGCCATGATGAGTTTCGTGCGACCGAGCGAGTCGAAGCCATCCATCTGGTTCAGCAGCTGTAGAAGCCCGACTCGTGTCAGACACAACACCCAGCTCAGCTACGGAACGGAAGCACGCACCTCCATTAACGTCCGCTGGATCTCGCGGTCTGCGCTCGTGCCCTCCGAGAATCGACGACCGCCGATAGCGTCAATCTCGTCCATGAAGATGACGCAAGGCTCGTGCTCGCGCGCGTAGCCGAACATTTCGCGCACCACGCGCGCGGACTCGCCGATGTACTTGTCCACAATCGCACTCGAGACGACCTTGAGGAAGTTGGTGTTGAGCGTCGCGGCGACCGCGCGCGCGAGCAGCGTCTTTCCCGTGCCGGGAGGGCCATAGAGCAGGACGCCCTTCGGGGGTGTGATGCCCACGCGGACGAAAAGTTCGGGGTTGAGTAGGGGAAGTTCGATGACCTGGCAGGAAAGGGTGCGTGACAGATGAGAACGCAATAAGAGAGTGGAAACGGCGCACGCACCTCTCGCAGTTCCCGGACCTGCTCTCCGAGACCACCAATTCCCGCGAAGCTCGCTCCTCCGGGGTCCTCCAGACTCATCTTGTAAACGAGCGGATCGACTTCTCGTGGCAGAATGCGCATGATGGTGAGGGTGGTCATGTCGAGGCTCACGCGCGTCCCCATCTTGAGTTTCGCCACCGGCAGTGTTGGCCTGTATGATACGACGTATCGAGGCCCTGAGGATGCCTTTACAATAACTACAAAGCAATGTCAGTACAACGGCATATGAGGGTAGAAAAGACAACACATGAACGTACAGCGTTCCTCATCCAACTGCTTCATGACCTCGCCGATGATTTGGCCGACAGACTGCACGGCCTTAATATCATCCTCCGTCTTCTCAAAGTCCTTCTCCAAGTCCTTCAAGGAGAAGCGCACTGGAATCTCAATTGAGCACGTCATTCAGGGATAGCAGTAGAACAAGCCCACAATTCTTCAACTTCTGACTGCTGTTCTCGTGCGCGCGCATTTTCTAGCAGCGGGGTGAGCCTCGCGGGCAGGAGGGTGGCGAGGGTTACACGACGAACCTCTCTGTATTGTTTCAGTGCACCATTGCGCGCCTCGTCCATGATGTGTGCCGAACTGGATGCTTGTGTCGAGCTCATGGGGATATGGGAGTGAGGAGGAGGGGTGAGGGTGAGGAGGAGCGCACCAGTACGGTCCTCCCATCGCGGACGCGTAAGCCCACGCGTCTGACGCGTCTATCCTTAAGCGCCCTAACGCTGTAGCGCTCAAGGGCTCAAGGCATGCTACTCTTCAAAAACTTATGACTGGACCAATCGACAGCCGATCTAAGTACCTGGAGGACGGTCCCGAGTTCAATCCCCTCTGTCGCGCTATTGCACACTCGATAAGACCGCAACCTAGTAGTAGTGTTCGAGTCCAACTTCGAATTTGCTACGTAAGTGTTACTCTGTCCCAGCAATCCGTACGCTACAGGCTGCCTTCCTTGTGGCGGCATGTGGGAGGATTGGATAACGAGGAGATCGAGGGAAGCAAGATTAGTGTCCTTGGATTAAACGAGAGAGGGAGAGATGCAGTCTACAGAACGCGACATGACGATAATAGCACAAATGATGGGGGAGATGATACTACAGTGTGTAAGACGAGGCCTGCAAAGCACGACATTCGATCCTTCCTTCACGACAGATGGAAACTTCCTACACCTTCCCGCATCGCCGTCGCCAACTTCTCTGTCATAACCTGCTTCGACGAGTACTCAGGGAGCTTGAGGTAGTTGACGCAAGTCATTACGCTCGGCAAGTAGTCGTTGGCAGTCAACGGCGCCTCGTGCGGCTTGCGGACTACGGTGAGCGGCGGGTTCAGCCCTTTGAAGCCTGGATTCTCGTCAGAAAAAAATCCACCTGCACATGGCTATGTAGCACAAACCTCCAATGGGAAGCTTGGGGCTTCCAGTAATGAACTGCAAGTAGCTTCGACGAGACGTGGCATCGTACTCGGACATGATCTCGATGAGATCCCGAATCGCGCGACTTTCTACATTGAAACCGTGATCGGCCTTCAGAGTCTCGCTCAGAGCTTCCAAAAATGTCAGCAAAGGAACCAAGGCGTAACAGAGGATTGAACCCACTCTCGATACTCCAGTCTTCGTCCGCATTCCCGAACAGCATCGCCAGCTCGTCGCAAGTGAATGCTTGAAGATCCGAGATGGGGAAGACCTTGGAGAAGCCTTCCCGGAACGCCTGAGCCTGGGCTTCGGCGCCCTTGCCAATGATGACGTCGATAACCTCTTGAATGTATTCCTCGACGTTTTCGGCAGTGACCGCAATATCCCGACCACCAGGCTGCAAACAGTGCTCAGATATGAGTGCCACAATAACGGGGTCAAACCACGAACCTTGAGCTCGATGTCGTATCCAGGAACGGTGAAGTCAAGTCCGAGGTCGTCGATGCTGACGGTCTCGACCTCTAGATCTTCGAGGGCAGCAAGCTTGCGACGCAGCTGAAAGCATGTGAGTGATGTACTAATAAATGTCTAAAAAGACGTTCTTACCTTCTCGTTCTGACTGTTTGTTGCAGCAATGTTCTGGATCTTCGTCAATGAAGCAGCTAATTCAGGGTCCACGCGCTATGGATGTGTCAGCTTCGGCAAAACACAACGTTGCATCACACTTACACGAAGGGAATCGATTGTGCGCGGGACCTCCTCACCCAAGACGAGCTTCAAGAAGATCTTGTTGAACGACAGATCGATTATTCTCGAATCGAGCATCGCTTTGGCTACGAAGCGACCAATAACCTGGAGGATATGTGTGCGCTTCCTGTGGCATTTGTTAGATAGGTGTACTCCGAGGCGCGGCGGGATGTCGACGTACTGTATGCCCTGCTCGACGATATCCTCGGGGCTGATGGGCGCCGGGAACAGGCCGAGGGGATGGTGGACATGAGCGCCGGGCATTGTCGGGTCTGCATCGCGCCATATCTTCAAATCTCGCCTCGCGAACTCGCGCGACACCAGAGAGTAGAACTCCAGAGTGGGCCCGAGGCCGGTGCCGACCTCCTCGAAGTACTCTACCTCCAGGACTGATGAAGAAGAGCCGTACAGTTCGAAGACCTTGACGGCGGACTCAAGCAGGTGCTTCCGCATAACCCGGACCTTCTGTCGCTGTAGCCGCCCAAGCAATCCAACGCCATCGTCGCGCCGCGAGCTGTCCTGACCACGGGTCTGCTGCTGACTCTGCCACTTGAGGATGAGGCGCGCATAACCGAACGATGTTGACTGGAGGAAGTTATAGCGAGTGGCGAAGGGGAAGAGGAAGGGGAAGTGCTGCGGGAGATCAAGAGCCCAATCAGGCAGACAGGAGCTGGGAAGACGTTAGTGAAGACCAGCTTGAGCGATACACAGCACATACCTAGCAACAATCATGGGTTCTTCGAGCTGACGAGTGAGCTTCGCCGAGAGCTTGTTGTTGACGAAAGCAGATTCAGCAAGAACGCGTTTGGCCGTCATAGGTGTTGCTCTTTCGCTTTCCTGAGCATTCAGCTTGTGCAACACGCGCAACACGCGGAGAATCTTCGCATGGGGAGCGTCCTCGGGCAGAGATGACAGCGATGGAGCTGGGGAACGACTTCGTCCAGCGATTTCGTCACCACGACCTGATTCTATATTCAGAAGAAAATATCACGGATCGATCAGGCGTAGCTCACCTTCGCTATCGGGAAGGGGACCCGGTACCTTCTTGAACTTTATGCTGTAAACCCCTTGCCATATCATAGCGGGCACAAACGGCGATCCCGAGGCGCGGTGTTTCCGGAGCTCATGTTGGTGGATCGCGCCATAGACGGTGAGGTCCAGAGGCAGTTGGTGATCGTCCATGAAAAACTCCAGGTGCCAATCGGTTGGCTTTGACTTGAGCGCGGCAGCGTAAGACGTCTTTGGTGTAGAGGTGCGGGGAGTCGTAGAGGAAGACGTTGGTGCCTTGGGAGTAGGAACATGTGTGCCGTCCGGAGTCTGTGCCTCGACCTTGGAGTCTACAATGGGCTCGGTTAGTGTGACTACCAAGCGCTATAAGAAGTAGCGTACCTTCTCCCACTGAGACGTTGATGGTCCTGTCAACCGCCGCATTCTCCTCGTCGTCCACATCTTCGATGATCTGTGACCGCAAGTTGGAGGCACTGTCCTCACGCGAAAGCATGTGACGTACTTCTGCGTCTACTTCCTCGTCTGTGAAGTCTGCTGTGAATTCGTCGTCATTGACGACCGTCTCGCTAGGTGCCGGCTCAGCAGCAGACGCCACCGAGTCCCCTTCAGCGACATCAGAAGGAGCAGTCACTGACGCCTCGCCCAAACCACCGGCGCCGCTGGCAGAGGCAGGTGGAGACCCCGCCTCGCCTGCCGAAGCTGACGCTTTCTTGGCGCTTAAACGGAGACTTCTTCGTCGACTGACGCTACCGCCACCTGCAGATGACGACGCAGCCGCGCTACTCTCGGCATTGGCACCCGCAATATCAGGGAAGCCGAAGCGCGAAGATGGTGGTGTGAGACCGGACGCGGCCAGGGCGGCCAACATTCCCGAAAGCCGGGCGCCAGGGCTGACGCCAGATACGCGAGGACGTAGGTAGTCGTGGAGAGCTTGGAATGTAGCAATCGCGTGGATGGACACGATGACGTTACTGAAGTTCCGAGGGGTGTCGGTATCTTCTGCCGCCATGAGGCGAAGGCGGAGCTGACGAGCGAGAAGGGAGGGAGAGCTACGCTTCGAGTCTGTGATGATGTGTTCAGATCAAGCATATTTTATAGATAAACGAACAACCAACCATCCGCATTCTGAGCAACGCTGATCACTTCGAACGATTCCATACGCGTAAGGCTCTCTTGAAGTTTCTTCACGAAGACTGCGAACGCCGTCTGGCTACTGGAGCCCTTGGGCTTCCTCGTGGTGAAATTGCTAAAGAAAAGCTCCTGACGACGCGGCAAGGGGACTGAATCGACATTAGAAGTAGACGGTGAGCACGAAACAATGCACTCACTTGTGCGTTCCTCGGACTCGGAGAAAAATTGCAACAGGCCATCAATGACGCCGCTTTGCAAGAGCTCGAAGCTTGACACAGAGCTGCTTTGAGAGCCGAAGAGTGCCGCGAGCTCACCCAGAGCCGCACTAAGATCCTTCTCCGATGCGACAGGGTCGGTAATCCGTTCAACCAGTCGACGAAGCATCGCGAAGACATCCTCAGAACCCGCAGAGTCATCAACGGCAAGATATTTGAAGCGGATGACGCGAGCTCTAAGCGTAATGGCGTCGTCGGGTTCGATTGACAGAGACGAAAGTTTCTTGTGGCCGGGGATGGAGGTGATGACGGAGATGGGGACAGCAACGGACGATGTGACACCAGAGTCGGCGGGAGAGGGGGCTTCGGAGATGTCCTTTTCAGCGATCTTGTCTTTGTCCTTGGACTTGGTCGATGTGACAGCACGACTCGCAAGGGTCTCGATCTCATGGAAAACGCCTTCCCGACGGAATACCGGCTTGTACTCAGCCGGTACTCTGGCGAGTAGTAGCTCCACTAGTTGCAAAGCGCCAATCACCAAAGTCGGATGATCCTTAGAGGAGAGGATAGACGATGCGAAGCTCGCAACAGGGACAAACTACATGCCAATGTTAGCGATCAAAGTCGGCATCGGAGGGAAGAGTAACATACAGTGAAGACGCGCTTGAGCTCATCACCATCCAAGAAGCTGACTGCTTTGAGTAGCCCGGTCAAGGTCTTGATCCGAACAGGCGCAATCACACTTGCAGCGTAGACGTCGACGAGGATGGGGACCATGAGGTGCAGGAAGCGTCCCACTGCCTCTGGCTTTGAACGCAACATGTCCGTGCGGTCCATCGTTACCGACTCCTTGGGAAGTTGGGACAAAGAGTCTTCGGCGTCCTGAGCCGACTGAGGGTCAACGAGCATAGCATCGGCGGAGGGCTGTCCTTGATTCTCATCGGCAGGCGTCGTGGACGATGGCTCTGCGGTGCTAGCTCCCTGCGGCACAGTGCTAGAGGTCGCTACCTGACTTGATGCAGCTTGGCGCGCGGCAGCTCGATCGGCTTTTGCTTTCGCCTTCGTCATCTTGTTGAAAGCTTTCTCAGTATACGCCTTATGATCGAATACCCCGTCTACACGGCTCAAATTAGCATGCGCAGGTCGAGATCCACCCTTCCCAATGCTTACCTTTGGGGAGTGGGGGCATCAATTCGGAGACTAAACTGAGCGCTTCTTCAATTTGATCCTTCGGACGATGAGCGAGATTCTCCATGACAGTCATGTCAGCGAGGCCGCCGCCCAAACCTTGTCCACCAGCAGCGTCGCCCTGTTCGTTGAGACCGTCAGACTGCGGAGGCAAGACCCCTGTGAGGATTTGATAAAGAGTGTCGACAATGCCTGCCTCGAGCAGCACGATGGTGATCTTGGAGCTCACACGAGCAGACGTGGCGAGGGCGCGAAGGAGGAGGGTAAAGGTGCTGGGGGCGATGAGAGGAGAGCCGCCTGCAGGCAAGAGAAGCATGTTGATCGCCTGGATAAGGTCCCGGTCGACAAGTTGCTCGAGATTCTCGGGGGATGAGCGATAGTACGAGTCGATGATACGGATGACGCATAGGCAGGCGAACTCGACTAGTCGTTGGTCCGAGTAGCCAAGGCAGCTGCGAATGATGGGCCAGACGCCACGAATCATCGGGAAATGCTCGACAGAGACATTCCGGCAACAATTGGACGCAGCTTGAAGAGCCGTCCTTTGCACAGCGATAGAGAAGAAGTCAAGGTAGTTCAACAGAGCGGCAAGGCCACCCTCTCGCACGATGGAGCTGGGAAACTCTTCCGAGATCTTCTCCAAAGTCTAAGATACAAATGAGCATAAGAGATGCAGTACGGAGTGAATGCAGAAAACATACACTCAGGGTCTGCTCTGCCAAGTCGATATAGGAAATCTCGATCAACTTGCTGCAGAGGACAGGAATCGCGCCGTGGTACACGACAGTGTGGGCAACACCGGGGAGGGCTTCCATCAAGTTCGCGAGACACCTGCAGGCCAGAACTTGTGCCTCCAGATTTTCATCGCCTTGGTATGCTCCTCCACCCGCGCTCATCGCCAACGCCGCGGCAAGCGCTGCATCCTCATCCTGTTCCCCTGCCTCTTCGTCGTCGCCTTCGTCCTCATCGGTGTTCCCGGTACCACCCAGGATTCTGACGAGTTCACGAATGAAAGCTTCAACTTGGAAGGAACCGGCCAGAGTGTCCTCAGTACTGATACTCAACAGCTCGCTGAGTTCCTGGAGGGTGAGGAGACGCGTAGTGGGGTCCGCTGTAGGCTTGATGTTGTTGAGCATGGTTTTGAGTCGGCCAGAGATACCCATCATGTAGGAGCCGAACTGTCGATAGTCGCCGAAGATGGACATTGCAGACGCCTCGCCAGTGAGTCCACCGAGCGTGGCTGCCAGATCGCGGTCAGCCTCGTCGTCATCGTCTTCATCATCCCCTCCGCCCCCTTCATGAACGTCCTCGTCGTGGTCCTCGTCCTCCTCTTCATGCCCTTCTCCGCGGAGCTCGCCTTCGGCTTGGACACACTCCGCATCGACCATCTCCACATCCTCGTCTCCAACGCGAGATGAGCTTGCAGCCGTCATCGCGTTCTTGCTCTTCGTGACGACTTTGCCCTTGCCTGACGATGCGCTGAGGGGTGAGGAAAGTGGCACATTGGGGTTAGGATGCCATGCAGAGGGCTATATGCGCTCATCACATACCGAGTCTTCCTGGTCATATCAGATGCAGTCTGCGAGTCCGTTCGTGGTCTGAGGGAGTAAGCACTGGTAGCGCGACGTAGTTTCTTAGAAGCAGAGGATGTCGCAACAGGGTTCTCGTCTTCGGAGTGGTCTTCTGGAGCGGCGCGCTTCTTGCCTTTGGTGTCCTTTGGAGGTTCGTTGATGGTGAGGGCGGAGGTGGCAGGAAGGGTGGAGCGGCGGGTACTGCAGTCATGCCAGTGAGTACCAGTATGCATCCGAGATGGCACGCACGCACCGTTTGGTCCCTCTAGCTTCGTCAGGTACCTCTCGCCCCTTGCCTTTGTCACGGGAACGCTTCGTCGGGGTGGGGATAGAGACTGCAGAAGAATCGGGTTGGGGGCGTTGGTTCTGTCTCTCCTTCTGTTTCGCGGCCTTGACTCTTGCGCTCGTGCGCAGGACCTTGGGCTCGGAGGATTCGGGTTGAGATGGCTCTTCGGGGTGCGCGGAGATGGGACTGCTGCTACTAGTCGCTGCTTGAGGCTGGGTAGAGTCCATTTAGTGCATGCAGCGAGCCATCGATCCCCTTTCGGTAGGCTATCGAATGAAGAGAGACAGGAAGTGGTCAATAGCGTAGGGTACCATCCTCGCCACACGTCCTTTTCCGCACTCTATACAGGTTTGAGCTCCGCTTCAATATGTCTTACTCAGCGTTGACTCCTCGTTGCAGTGCTTATTACGCCCCTTATTGGGGCCCCTTTAGGCTCTCAACACGTACAATCGCGAATATTACATTAGTCCATCTAGACCGTCTCTTCCGTCGCGTCCCCGAGACAGGGGGCCTATTTGGTCGCCCTGAGTACCATGTCCTCTAATGTGATCGCCCTGTACTCTCCGCTACCATCTAGAGCCCAAACTGCGTCGTCCTGGACGTAAACTAAGACGCCTCCCTTCCCGTCGGCGCCCGGGGAGACGCGATAAAGTGGCATTCGGGATTTCTCGTGCGCCTTGCCGGTGGGAATGAAGAGCAGGTTGTGGGTTGATGCATAGTCTTCCACGATTGACCTGAAGGTGATCTCTTGGACGCGCGCAGGACGCGATTTGGTCTTTGCTTGGGTGGACGGAACAGCGGTGCCGAGAGGTACCGTATGATCGGGGCGAGGGAGTCGGGTCGGGGCATCGGGCCCGAGTTCCAGCGCCTTGTTCACAAGCTGCAGAGCGCGTGTGAAGCCCCGGGTGACTGTTGGTGTCGCTCGTACGGTCTCCGAGAACGTTTTCTCCTTCCAATGCTTGTACCACTCGCCGACCTCGTTGAGATCCACGGTCGGCTGGATGAGCCAAATGTAGAGCGCGTCGAGGAACTTGGGGAAGAACTCTTTTTCGAGGATCTGTGCGAGTATGGTTGGTCTGAAGAGCCCGTCCCAGGCAAGCACGTCGAGGATTGGTTGCATGTCTTGCTGACGTGGATTGACTCGGAAGTCTTCCCGGAGCCGTGCGCCGAGCTTGGGCACAACGTACTTGAGCAGCATCGAGTCCCACTCGCCCACGTCGAAGACCTATAATGACAGCATTAGACCCTACTCAACACCAATCGCCCAAGCGCACTCACATCCTTCCACACGCCCAAGTCATGCGGGATGGCGTCTCCGGTGTTCCATGACCGAAGCAAGCTCTTGATCTTTCGCCGTGCGTCGCCGAGCACTTCCTCGAGGCGAAGACCGACGTGCGGAAGCCAGGGGAATACCAATGTTTGCAAAGGCACATGGCTTTTGCGAGGATGCCAGTCGGCGACCGCTTTCTGGACTTTGGGGAGTACCAGCTGATCGAAGAAGTTGTCCCGGACAAACGGAGGCATGAACGTCGACCATGCCTCGTACAAACGCACGGCGGGCTGAGGATCTTCCGGGGACCAGTCGTTGTTCAAGGCGGATCGTATTCGAGGCAGCCACGTATTCCACAAGAGACTCTCATATGGTGTCATTGGCTTTTCCCTGCAAAGTGATCAGAACCATCATGTCCCAATCTGATGAGCACACGTACTCCATGCCGGGTGTGGACACAATTGTACTATTGCCGTACACCTGCACTTGATTTGGAGCGGCCTCATTGAGCCCGCCCATCTTAAGGGCACGTCTCCACAGCCGGAAGTTGGAAGTGAATGCAGTTGGCTCTTCAAGCGGCTTCCATTGATTGAGCATCCTTCGAATCTGCCCGCGGGGTCAGCTTACGGGCCGCGTGAAAGCAGAAGCGAAAGACAACTCACCACAGGGGCGATAGCCGCGACAACCACCTCATCCATGCGATAACGATCAAACTCCCGAGCATGTTGACCAAGCAGCTTGTCGAACCCACTGACGAAAGGCTCCAGCGACGCTTCGTACACCGACGCTGCTAGCCTGGCCTGTTCGTTGATCTCGCCCACGACGATATTCATCTGTTGCATACGCGCGATCACTGTGGAGAAGTGAGTATGCGTTACAAAGGGATGGAGGTTGTACTCGCGTTCGGCTTCATCGTCTACCTGTTTCCGCAAACGAGCGTCCTCTGTGTGAATCCACCTCTTTCGCTCTTCAAGTGCACGGGCCTCCTTGACCAAACCGCCGAGATCGGTACGGCAAGACTCAGAGATGAGTCGAAGATTGTGTCTGATCTCAGGTAGGCGCGTGGGATCCGTGCTGGGCGTCCATGAGGCAATCGAGACGTCGGCAAGCGAGGACACCTCTCTCAACTGCGAAACGGTCTAGTCAGCCTGCCGCCAACTGAGAAGTGCGTCGAATCCACGTACCGTTGCACCGGTAGCGTCGATTATAGGCCCTACACCGGCTTGGGGCGTGTCGGGCCCGGCTTCAGCAAGAATTTGCTCGTACGTCTTGTGTTCGACGCGCGTTTTAACCTTCTTGGGCTTCTTCCAGGCCTCTGTGCGGGCCTCTTGGGCTTTCGCGGCCTTGCGGGCCTTGCGAGCTGTAGTTTTCGACTGCTCATCGTCGTCACTGACAATTTCGCCGCGCCGCCGCGCCTCGGCCTTGGACTGTTCGGTCTTCTCCTGAAAGCCCTTGAAGGCGAGACCCATACCTTTCGGACGTGGCTTGCTTTCCACAGGAGTCACAATCCCTTGTCCCTCCGTACCCAGGCCTTGACCCATCTCCCAACCCATCTTCTGCAACATACGGGAACCGAATCCGCCTGAAATCTTGCTGAAGTGAGCGCGCTCATTCGCATTGAGAGGAGTTGTGGAGCGAGATGTTCCCGAGTTGCTGCCGGCCTTAGGAAGGAAAGAACGTCGCGTGCGATCTGCACCAAAAGCGGTTGGGAAGTCTTCTAACGCGACTGGTGCAGGTGACGGAGACGCGGAGGAAGAAGCGAGCGCCGGAGTGGAAGTGGAGGAGTCCGTGGGGCGCTGCGACCCAATTCCGCCTCTCGCGAAGACCGGAACAGAGCCATCAGAGGTGCCCTTGGTGAATGCAGAAGATAGTGAGGCACTTCCTATACCAGCCTTGGAGAAAGACGGAGTCGAAGTCGATTTCGAGGACCCAATCCCGCCCTTCCCTGCTCCGAGTCCAAGTCTTCCAAACCGTGGTTTCTGCTCCTCCTCTTCAACAACGGCAGGAGACGGCGATTTTGAGTGTCTCACATCGGAGTCTTGCTCGTCAGAGTCTTCATCCATTTGTGCGTCTTCAGAAGAGTCACGAGCCTCTTCCATGTCGACATCCTCGCCGAGCGTGACTATCGTATTGGAAGAGACGAAAGCAGGAGCTTTCGCCCGAGTCTTGGCCTTCCGTTTGGCAATCGCAGGATCTTCTTCGTCATCGTCGCTACCAAAGACACCGTAAATGGCATCTTCCTTTGCGTTACTCTTGGTACGTTTCCGCTTGTAGGGATTCTCGAAGAGCTGACGTTCGGCGCGCGCGTCGGGGTCATTGTCGTTGTATTCGAGTTCGTCATTATCAGAAGACGGAGACGAGTCCGATTCGTCATCGTCAAGAAACTCACGCTTTCGCCTCGCCATTGTTTCGGGGTATGTGGAAGCAGAGAATATGTGAGTGGTCGGAGTGTCTTCGCTACTGTCCGACAACTCGACTCGCCTGCCACCACTTGTCACGTGGTTCAGCGAATAGGCGCTGATTCTGTTGGCACTCCGACTGATGGCATTTCGGCGATGACCGAGGCCCTGAACGCTATCCAAGTTTTGCAACGCTCGCTGTAGCAAACGAGGCCAACGCCGCCGCCAACGTCAAGACCGCAAGACATCCAACATGGTGAGTGTCACCTTGCTCGTTGCATTGGCTGCCTGTGCAAATGGCGTGAAGGAATGGTTGGTCTGGGTGGTGTCGATGGATGGATGGAGCCGATAGCTTCTGGATGGCATGGGACTTCGCGATCCTACCGTTGTCCTTCTCCTGGCTGATTCAAGACCCCTTCCACTTAGGCCCGTGGACCCAAAAAGCATTTGAAGCGTCTCGCCGCGCCGTCCTCATGGATGCTGGACAAGCTCAGCGGCACCTACGTGCGTTCCTATCCTCGGTGGCCTTGTCCCTGTTTCCTTACGGTGTTTACGGGACATGTAGGCCCCTCGCCCTTCTCCTGGTCCCCACAAGCTCCGCGAATCCCTTCCTCTCACCATCTTCCTTCGTAACCGCCTCAAGTATGCTTTGACTGGCAAGGAGGTGTTGTCGATTGTCATGCAGCGCCTGATCAAGGTCGACAACAAGGTCCGGACCGACCCCACTTACCCGGCGGGCTTCATGGGTCAGTCTTTTCCCCTTTCAGCTGAGCTAGGAATTTTCTCACCATAGCGTCTGCAGATGTCATTTCGATTGAGAAGTCTGGCGAGCACTTCCGTCTCCTCTACGACGTCAAGGGTCGTTTCACCATCCACCGCATCACCCCCGAGGAGGCAACTTACAAGCTCCTCAAAGTGCGCAAGGTCGCAATTGGAAACAAGGGTGTCCCCCATATTGTCACCCACGACGGCCGCACCATTCGCTACCCCGACCCTCTGATCAAGGTCAACGACACCGTCCGTTTCGACCTCGAGCAGGGCAAGATCACCGACTTTGTCAAGTTCGACACTGGCAACCTTGCGTTCATCACCGGTGGCCGCAACAGGGGACGCTGTGGTGTCATCACACACCGTGAGAAGCACGTCGGTGGCTTCGACATCGTTCATGTCAAAGATTCCATGGAGCGCACTTTCGCTACGCGGCGAGTATGATATCCCTGTCCTCCTAGTCTGTTGCTCATCTTTGATTAGGATTTCCAACATCTTTGTCATCGGGGAGGGCATCAAGGCGTGGGTTTCCCTGCCCAAGGGCAAGGGTATCAAGCTCACTATTGCGGAGGAGCGCGATGTCCGGAGGAGACAGCGTGCCGCCGAGCAATAGACGTTGGGCTTGTATCGTATCCCTGCTATGTTTACGCTCATCACCTATCCTTGCATGCCTATGCACTCGACTGTATGCCACTAGTACGCCACCAAAAACTTTGCATGCATGGCACTTGTATCAAAAGGTCTATTCATCGCTCCAGGACGCGTGACTTGTCGCCACGGACTGGCAACGTATACATTGTCGGCAAGGCCCGCAAACGCAGGTTCCACTTCAGGGGCCACAGGCCAGGAGATTTATGAGAGGTGGCCACCGACCACGAACGCGCATGTTCTCACTTGTATGATCACCGCGCGAGTGCATACATAACGTCGCAGCGCGGGACCGCCACAGGGTGTACGCATTCACCGTGACTCCGAGCGCCTGGAGGTGGCGCGAGATTAGCCGATCCTTTCCCTTCGGACTTCACCTTCCTGTATCCCCGACAACTCTCTCTCCCTTCCTCGAGCATCTGTAGCTTAATCGTATCCATTAATCCGGAGCCTATACTGCTGTTCGTCACACTAGTGCGATTTCCAGTGAAATCAATGGCAAGCGTGAAGAAACGCAAACAAACACCCCAGTCATCAACGTTGCTCGACTTCTTCGGGAAAGCAAAGAATACAGGCAACACGATAAACGCGAAGAAGCCGCGTTATACCACACGAAATCGCTCTCATCCCAGGCGCGAGACAGCCGGCGACGTGATTGTTATTGACTCGTCGGACGACGACGACGACGACAATGTAAAAGTTTCGTCAGCGCGACCTGCTCCCAAAGCCTTGCAGCCATCAAGGAGAGCCCTCTCCGCAAGTGGCTCGGGCACCAGAGAGTCTCCAGTGCTCACGGATCTGAGTGCGTCTCCTTACTTTGCCACTGTGCTCTTCACAGACCATCCCAGGTGCAGGTCCTAATTTAACGGAGGAAGCCAGCAGTATCGCGAGTACATTTGGTCTGCCCTTGCTATTGATGCCCACCGCGCCTACTGCTTCTTGTTCCCCTTCAAAGCAAGAACAGTCCGCACCCCAAGCTTCATCATATGCCGGCTGTTCGCATGGTCTTCTTGTCCCCAACTCCGTCACCGCAAGCGCAAGTATATTAGAACAGACCGAATTTACACAGGAGGATGGGGTTTGGGCGATGGGCGACGACGAGATGGAGTTGGTCGAGGAAACCCAGGTCAAGACGGGGGACGGGCCTTCGGTCGATATCGACCTCACTCTGGATGAGGACGGACCATTCCCTGACGACGCACCCGTGGACAAATGCCCTATTTGCGAGAGACGTTTGCTAGGAATGAGTCCCATGGTGCGTGGTTTCGACTTCTTCGTCACGCATTAGCTTATGCGGCGACATAGGAGGTGCACATCCATGTCGAAGAATGCCTGAATGCTCCCCCTTCCCATAATGTCGACTCACCCGATGTCCCGTCGTCTTCGACTCCGATTAAGAAGCCCATGTTTCCCATGCCCACGCCGCAGAACACTCTCAAAGACGCCTCCGCCTCCTCTAGGAACTCCGCCAAGCAGAAGTCCGCCGATGGCGACATTTTCTCCACGCTCATGACCTCTTTCAAAGAGAACGAGGCATGGAAAGAGGCCTCCACCGCCGAAGATCGCAACTTCCGCCCCACGAAGTCCAACGGAGGTCGTCGGAAGACACCGTTCTACAAGATCATGCAGGGCATGCCCATCGCGGTAGACGCGTTCCGATACGGAGCCATTCCCAACGTCAAGGCATACTTCCTGACGTAAGTGAACACGCGGCTTGCAGAGGTGTTTTGCTCATTAGTCATGCCAGACATGCGCATTCCGACCATTATACCAACCTCTCCGCGAAGTGGGATAACGGGCTCATATACTGCTCCGAATGCACTGCGAACCTGATTACCCACATGCTCGGCGTCGATCCGAAGTGGATACGCCCCTTGGCAATGAACTCTACGACAATCATTCCAGACACCGGAGGCGTTCAAGTTACGCTTATTGAAGCGAACCACTGTGTGTGCTCTCTCGTCCTTCCTTGCGCTGTTCTCACAGTACTCTCTAGGCCCGGGGTCATGTCTGTTTCTTTTCGAAGGCAAGCAAACTGTGGATGCAGGGGACAGTGCATACAAGTCACAGTACATCGGTTCACCCAAGGTGTTTCGATACCTTCATTGCGGTGATTTCCGAGCGTGTCCGCAACATGTCATGCACCCAGCCGTCAAAGGAAAGCACATCGACCACGTTTACCTAGATACCACTTATCTCGACCCAAAGGCGAGTCGGTTGCCGTCCAGCGAGGTGCTGAGATTGACCTATTCACAGTACTGCTTCCCACCTCAGCCTTTGGTCATCTCTGCCTGTGCCGAGTTGTCAGCACGCCTCGTAAGAGGTGTGGGAGCAGAAGTACAACCCACCAATGATGGCAAACCTCGGACGATGACGGGATGGTTCACGAGGATGGACAAGGGAGACAAAGGAAAGGAGAAGCAGACGGATTTGTCACAGAGGACTCTGGTGGTCGTGGGGTGAGTGGAAAGATGCGTAGACTATGACTTGGCCAGCTAACTTGTTTTCAGCACCTACTCCATCGGCAAGGAGCGGATCGTCAAAGGTGAGCCCTTCGTCGACGACGAGTCGGGATAAATATTCATGTCTTTTATAGCCATAGCGAAGGCCCTGGAAACGAAGATTTACTGTGATTCGCGCAAGGCCGCCATTCTGCGCTGCGAGTCCGACCCAGACCTTGAAAGCATGTTAACAACCGATCCGATGCGCGCCGGCGTCCACCTGGTCCCTCTCGCCGTCATAGCATCCGACCGACTCGAGCAGTACATGGAGCGCTGGAAGGGGGTGTACACCAAAGTCATCGGCTTCCGGCCCACGGGATGGACGTACGTCGCAGTCAGCACGCTTCGCTCGCCTCGGTGGGGTGCTGATCATTCCTGTAGATTTTCCGCCCCCTCCGGCACTGACACTCTCCCTGCGATCTCGACGGTGCTCGCACGTGCGCAGAGCCGCACGTTCACGCACGTGAATCTGCAACCCCAGCGCAACTCAAGTGCAACTTTGCAAATCTACGGGGTGCCGTACTCGGAGCACAGCTCGTTTTTCGAGCTCACCTGCTTCGCGCTCTCGCTTGACTGGGGCCGCATGATCGCGACGGTGAACGTGGGGAGCGAGTCGTCGCGGGGCAAGATGGCAAAGTGGATCGAGCGCTGGGATGCTGAGCGGAAGAAGCGGGGCAAGGTTGAGGTCGTGCACTACAGGGCTCCCGAATATTGGTAGTCGTGACTGGTATGATTACCTCCTGGATTCTATCATGCATGTGGGTTGTCAAACGTGAATAAGTGACACTTGAAGTCGTCCACGAAGTCTCCGTTGAGGTGAGTGATGATCAGTCACACGATGTTATGCATATTCATTGAGAATATTGTTAGTCCATGACTGGAGCGGGCGCTGCAGTTGGCAACGAGGCTAAAATGAGGCTGCCCTGGCCATCGGAGATACTTACTACTACCATTAGGTCCAACGTCGGCATCCGCCAACACCGATCATCTCGCTACGCATACACCGAACATATGGATAGGATTTCCGACGCCTAGAAACGTCCCTTTTGAAGTACAAATCAGACTTTTCGCACTCCCATTACTCTGTGCGTCCTTTTTCTGATTCTCCATATCTATAAACGTCTCATGTCCCGTCCTGCATCTCAGCATGAGTGGGCACGAGCCGCATACTGTTCATAACAGTCACCCGACATTGATGCGCCTCCCGTCCGCTCGGCGAAATTCATCCGCCTCGCCAGCTTCGGCTTGAAACAAGTGCCGCTGGCGGAGTCAGGCATATATAGAGCCTTGTAAGCCACAACGCTCCCTCGGATCCTCAACGTTCGCCTCGACCACAAACTGCAATGGCGCGCACGCTCTTCGCTTTCTTCCAGCTCGCTGCAGTCGCTACCCTCGCGAGCGGCCTCGTGACAGCCGACAAGCGCGCGACGGGCGGGTACGTCCAGCCCGCGTCGGGCACCGCGTCGTTCACGCACTACTCCGGGTGCTCGCAGCCTGGTACGTTCTCGTGCATCTTCCACATCCGCCCTACCATCCCATGCGTGCATCGTTATGTACTGACCATTGCTTGTCACCAGCGTGCGGTATCGCCGCCTCGGGCTACACCGCTGCGATCTCGCAGCTCTCGTTCGGCGGTGTACCCGGCTTGGGTCCCGGTGACGCGTGCGGCCGCTGCTTCGCGCTCACAGGGACCTCCGACCCATACTCGCCCGCTTACACTGGTCCGTTCGGGCAGTCGATCGTCGTAAAGGTGACGGACCTCTGTCCGGTGCAGGGCAACCAGGAGTGGTGCGGGCAGTCGAGGAGCAACCCGAACAACCAACACAACGAGCCAGTGCAGTGCGTCTTCCCCACCGTCATCGCATCCCCATTTCCGCTCCCGTCGTCATTTCCGCCGTCCCCGAGGCGCTGACACGGTTTGCTTGCAGCTTCGATATCTGCGACGATACGGGCGGGTCCGCGAAGTTCTTCCCTTCGGGCCACGGGGCGCTCACCGGGAAGTTCACGGAGGTCTCGTGCAGCCAGTGGTCTGGCTCTGATGGGTCGCCGCTGTGGAATGGCGCGTGCATCAAAGGCGAGTCGGCGGGGCTCTGGCCCGCGGTCGGCTGCGGCAACCAAGGTGAGTTTTGCATGTTCTGGTCCCGTGGAGGTGATTTCTGACCCGCGTATGTCCCGCGGAGGCACCGCGCCCTGAACACGGGGTGGAGGACTTACGTGGACGGCGCCGGATTGAGTTGCCTTTGTATATGTGTATATCATGCGCGCGGATGTGCGTTGGAGAAAGGTCGGAAAATAGTATGCGTTGGTCGCAGTACCTCGGGCTGTCACTGCACGTGCATACAACGACGAGGTTTGAGAGGGATGAAGAAGGAAGCTCATGTATACATCCATCGATCTCACCTTGCGTGGCATCTCGCCCACATCAGGTCTTCACGTCTTCCATCACAGCTTCGCCGTCGAGCTCTCGGCTGGACCGATCATGCAGCTTTCGAACGAGCCAGATGGTGGCTGCCGTGGCCCAATCGCTTTACGACCAGGGTCATTTCCACCGCAACGACACGGTGAACAGGGGTCTTATACCGAGGACTTCGACCATTCGCTTGATCTAATCGTCTTCTGAGCGCAGCGAAGGAGTAGACGCCACTGCAGCTGAACGATGTGGGAAAATGATGGATGAAGCGTTCACGCGTTCACGTTCATCGCCGGCGCTTTTGTTTGTTCTTCTGTGCGGTGACACAACCTGGACATTCTAAACGTAGGCGACCAACCTGTCGCTGTCGCATTTCGAGAACTGTGCGGTCACGTTGAGGTGAGTTCTACATCTCCATCCATATCTCCTGGACACTAGCATGTACCGTGAGCAACCACCAATCCCAGACTTCGATTTTTCGTGCCATATGCCTTCTAGTGCGTACAGCCGCCTCAGGTAGTGCGCAGGGATCCGCATGGTCACTCATTTTAATTGCTCCACTTCCGTGCTTCTCTTCACTCTTCAATGCGCAGAGACCGGCATTAGAAGGCCGTTTTGAGATAGTTGAGTCTTCTTTCTTTCTCCCGGCTTCTAGGAGCGTTGTGGGGTGCTTCCCTGCCCTGTCCCCGCCCTACTCTTCCATCTCATCTTCAACACACCGCACTCCCACTAGTTGGAAGGCTGAAGAACGGGCAATCTATCATGACCACTCGCCGCGTATGGAAAGTTGTTCGCGCAGCGGGAGCTCCCTCCACTCAGCGCCGTCCACCCCCGCAGGGAGGAGTCACTGGTGACGGTCACTCGGAGATCGACGAAAGGTCGGCTTCGTCTTCCCTGTGTGGCGTTAAGCGAGGCTGATGCTGTTCCGGCGTTTGATAAGAGGCCTTCCGGTGGCCCTCCCTTGTGGTCGAGGGAGCCCACTCCTCTACCTACTACCGCAGTATCTTCTGTCGAGAAACACCTCTTCGAAACCACCGTTAGGCAGTTGCAGCGAAGCTTACACCCCGATCACGGCTCCGTGGCTCAAAGTTCAACTGAGATTCATGAATCGCTCCACCTCACGGGAATATAAGGGCTGCTTTCGACGAGCGGATTGTCAGCACTCTCAGCCTATTCGTGAACATGTCCACCAACGCCACAGCTGACGAAGTAGCAAGCATCATCGCTGAGTATGCGGCAGAGTGAGGGTCTCGCGACACATGCTGATGTTTCTACGTGCTGATCGGTTTGCAATGTTAGGGCGACCGCAAACTACTGTGGGATCGTAGGAATTGGTGCGGGTTCTGGATTTCCCGATGAACACGCTCACCAACGAACCGCCGGCACGCCGCCGACAGTTCTTATTATCTATGACTACACGATTACCTTCGGTCGGGAGGTAGACTTGTTCTGGACGAAACGGTTCTCAGGAGCAACAGTGCTTTTCATCGCGAACAAGTACATTTCGCTCATCAACCATCTCTTCGATCTATCGCTGTTTCTTCCGATTAGAGTATCCGATCGAGTGAGTCTTGATCTAGTTATCCTTCAATGACCGCCTGCTGAATGGTTCAAGACGTACGTGTGGATACATGTCAAGTGGCTTCCACACTCCATTCACTCTCAATATTCAGCTGCGACCTACATGCGAAGTTGTTCTCTTCTGTTGACTATCTGCAATACGTACCTTGGGCAGGTGAGCGCTTTGACATGACTATAGTTGCCAGAGTAAACGAAAACGGATGCAGCTTTCTCCGGGCTTCGTGCCTTCGCGCTCTGTAAAATCTGGATATTGTCCATCTCCATAGCCCTTCTGTCCCTCGTCCCTCTTGGCGTAAACTTCGTAGGTTCTTGGTCAATGGTTGACGGTGGTATGGAAATAATTTCATGAGCCTTTCCGCAGAGTGTCAAGATATACGGAGTTAACGACCCCGATGCGGGAACGTGCGTTATGGGCGAAGACCTCTCCTCGGCAGATGCAATGAAGTAAGTTCTCCGCCCAGAACGTATATTGGGTCGTGAACTAACTTCCTCGCCGAAGATGTGTGTAAAGCTTACAGACCTTGTTATCCACCCGGCTGACGACAGTTGCGTGCCAGTGACGATTATTTCTCGATCATGTTTAATTGCCGCCGACGTGCTCCTCATTGCCGTCACCTGGATATACATCCCTCGACGAAACATATCAAACATATTTCGACGTAACAATGCCCCTCTGGTGGACATTTTGCTGCGAGATGGTGAGCATTGCTCTTTGTCACTGTATCTTTCGCTCCCTCACTCGATTTCATTCAGGTTCTTGGTATTTCTTGTGAGTATTTACATAGACTCGTTCTTCCGGCCTCAACATCATCCTCAAGGTTATGCCGTTGTTCAGGATCCTCTTGGTGCTGAACGTGCTGCACCTTGCCTTCACTCTCACATCGGTGAGCGCTAACGTGGACTCAACCTTCCCCTGAATGACCGACTGCCTGTTTCTCGCAGACCAGTGAAATCACATATTTCACCGAACCGTATGTATCCTGACCGGCAATCCTCCGAGCTGGGCTGACTATACCCTTTTTATCAGACTGACTGCAGTCTTGGTATCTCACTTCCTCCTCGATCTCCAAGCCACGACCCGGAGCGCCGTGCGCATCCACGGCTCGAACCTCTCACCAGATGAGCCCACGCTCGACACCCGCTCCGTCTACTTCGCGCAGGTGGTGGGCACCCTCGGATCGACCCTCGACGGTCCCCTGCCACTCTCTCCAGAGTCCTCCGCGAACACGGACTCAACGACGGAGCTTCGCACCTTCTCCGACAATTCGGACGACACGGAGGCCCAGGGTGGGCGAAGCGCTGTGGCTGCTCCTGGCTGTGCGTGACGTTCGCAGAACGCGTGGACGCGGAGCAAACTTTAGACGCAGCCGACGCCGCGTTTCTCGGGCCCGGGGATTCAAGTCGCGACGCTGGGCCTCGTAACTCAGTGGGCGGAGGCGCCGGCCGTGTGGATTCCCCGCAGGCGGTGTGGGCGCTGCGTCAACCCTGCAAAGGCGTGGGTGACGAAGAGGCCGGGCGCCGTTGCGAAGGAAGGACGCAGACGCTGTCGAAGCTCGACGAGTGTGGAGGAGAGGGAAGTGACAGAACCAAGACAGAACGAATGATTGCGGATGTTGGTGGCGGGTGTAGCGGGAACTTTGATAGACTTGGATGCAGGTTCGCTGGCCGCTGTGTGTATACAATCGAGGCCGGTACTGTCCGCCATCTCTCGCAAGCAGATAGTCAAGTCACCAACGGTGGGAGAGGGAATTGATGATTGCTTTGGGCATGGAAGCTCTCGTGCTGCTTGTCCGCCCGGCCCCGCCCGGATATATTCAATCTCCGCAGCAACGATCGCCAAGCCAACTTGCGTCTCCGATTGCATCCTCCTCCGCTGCCCCATTTCTTCGTGATCACAATGCCCATGGCGTCGCGCACAGAACAGTCACTATGCGCTACCATTGTGGCCATGAGGTCCCTCAAGGCTCCACATCCCTCGTTGTACAAGACAGTACTCTCCAGCCATGGACCTCCGCCGCGCCTGGGTACATACTGGTTAGCTACGCAGGGCGCCGTACGTTATCTCTGAAGTCGTGACTCGTGAGTTTTTTTTCGTCTCCTATGTGGCGGCTTTGCCCCTGACCCAAACTAGCTTTGCCTCACGCACCCACGACTGAAGCACTCACGAGGGCTCTGCCGTTTCAAATACAAGACTCGGAGAAACGCCCAGTGCCGAAGCGCTATCTCCCGCGAACGCGATGGCGCTCTGGTCGCCATTACGTCTGCCACGTTATATGTAAGGCACCCTTGGCAGTACTTTAGCCTTGCGTTCTGCACCGGCCTCCGCCCGGTCTTCCCCCCACCCCGACTCATTGCCCCGGTCACCGAACGGGCCACCGGCGTTCATGGTGCGTGCTTATTCCCAGATCTCCGCGCCCTCGGCTCACTCGGCGTACATACAAATCGCGGCGCACCCTCCGACCGCCACCGGTCCGCCCACTGCAGCTCGAGCGAGCTCGGACTGGCTGTCCCCCACAGGCGGACGTCTTCCTCCACCTCTGAATGTTGACTCCCGCTGGCTTTGACCCTGCTCTCACTGCCGCGTACCGTGACTTGTGCGTCTTCCATTCATCCACCATCTCACCCGAAAAAGGCATCAACTTTAGTCTTCTCTAGCATCGTCATCAACTACACCACTCTGGCTGCCACCGGTGCGTCTTAGGGGGAGCTTTCAATCTTGGAGTTGCTCCAGGCTGACGATTCCCCGTCTTCCAGTGTTCATGTTCTATGACTTCTTAATCACCTTTGGACAAGAAGTCACCCATTTCTGGCTCGCGCCCGTATCGGCCGCGACGTACCTCTTCTTCACAATCAAGTACCTCGCCGTTGTTGAAAAAATCCTCACGCTGTCACTGTGGGCACCGAACATGTCAAACAAAGTGAGTTTGGTGCGGTTTGTTACGACCCAATCACTGATGACCGTTGCCACAGAGGCAAGTACGCAGTTTCGCCCCACCTCAAGAAACGAGCATCATACCTTCTCCAGCTGCACATGGCTCAACAACGCTCAGTTCACTCTGGATATCCTGCAATTCGTGCCTTGGGGCGGTGAGTCGAAGCCACCACAGGTCCACGGATCCGACCATCACCCGATCTGCGTGCTGATGCGCGCTCTGGGACTGTGCAGTGTTCTCCGCGATGCGCGCGCACGCGCTCGCCCGGACCTGGGTGCTCACCGCACTGGTCTTCGTGCTATCCCTGGCGCCGCTGGGAACGAACCTCGTACGTCGGTCGGAGTTCTTCCAGGGTCGCGGCGAACCGCCCGCTTACCAATTCGGCGCCGGCAGTATTTATTCAGGTTTCAGCAAGACGGGATTGTCGACCCGCTGTACGGGTGCCAGCAGAACTTTGAGATCTCGTACCCGCATTCGGTGACAGTCAAGTGCGCGTTTCCACCGGTTATTGCACGTTGCGTCTCGCTGACTTCATCTGCTGCGGCAGATGTGTGTAAAATCCTGTTGAATTGGGTGTCGAGACACGCGCGCTAACTTTCTCGACCAGTGGTGTTGATTGGGAGGACCGGACTTGTGCTTTCCGATCTCCTCGTGCTGATCATTACATGGGCGACAATGAAGAAGAGGCACGTCAATAGGTGGGTGGAACGGAGTAGTGCGAGCTCGCGGCTTGCGGATGTGCTCCTGTTGGATGGTACGCACATTCTCCTTCGCTGTGACAACGGGGTCTGACAAAACCTCCGGCATACAGGGACGATATACTTTGTGTACGATATATACCTTCGTGTATCCACCCACCGCCACTGATGCGCCGTCGTAGCATCCTCTTCCTTCTTCACACCACCCACATCATCTTGAGCGTCCTCAAAGTGGGTACTCGTGCGCATCTTGTCTCCACACGACGCTGACCTTTCTCAGCTGTTCGGCACGGGCGGCTCGAGCAACTTCGCAATCTTCACCGAGGCGTACGTCTCTCCTCTCCCCCCACCCCTCCACGCCCGCTCACCCCGGCGCCCCGCAGCTTCTGCCCCGTGCTCATCTGCCGCTTCCTCATCGACCTCCAAGCAACGCGCACCACCCCGCGCTGTGGTGGAGGCGGCGGAGCCTCCGACGAGTCCGAGCTCACGACGTTCAACTCTACCCGGCCCGTGCTCAGCTCGCGCTACACGCTCGACGCCGACAAGGCGTTCGAGGGCTGGGCGGACTCGCGCATGGGGCCTGTAAGGTCGGAGGGCGGCGGCGGCGGCGGCGGCGGCGGCGGCAGCAGCAGCGGCAACTTTGCCAGCGGCAGCGGCACCGTGGCGGAGTCGTCGGACGCGCTCGCGTCGCGGTCGGACGCGTCGTGGGCGCGTCCGTTGTTGTATGCGGAGGTTGAGGGGCACGGGGCGTGTGCTGTGGGGAGTGGTGTGTGATTGTGCGGGTGTAGTAGCGTGACGACGCGCTGTGTAGCATATATAGACGTGTATTATAAGTTTGCATGGTGTCCGCGAAGTGTGTGGGCCGAACGAGCGTACTTCGGCTCACGCCAAGTGTGGAGAGTTTAGCTTCGCGAGATAGACCTCGGTTGTGAGGAGACCCTGTCATCGGTGTAGTGCTTATTGAACAGGACGTCCAGGGGAACTGGCATGCGGTCGTCATTGCAGATTTCATATCATTGATAACTTCTGAATAAGCAACACTCGTCGTAAGCCACTCTAACTACTTCTTCTCCGCCTCGAATACCTTCCGGAAATCTTCCTCGGTGCTCGCATTGAAGTCATCCACCTCGAACTTAGGCTTCCACCCAACTTGAGCCCGAGCCCGCCTCGCCTTGCATCGGCAGTTGGAGCCGAGAATCCGGCCCCTAAACTCACTGCCACACACCTCGGCCATCTGCTCCGAAGTGGTGAGCGACTCTGGCTCCGGCTCGGGCCCGGACACGACGCCGGTGGCTACCATCGCGCGCCCAATGGACCGCGCCACGGCGGACCACGGCGATTCTCCGTTCTCGAGGAAGTAAAGACCCTCTTCGCCGTGCCCGACGGTGTCAGGTCGTGCGGAGATGGCGTCGAAGAGTTGAATGTAGAATTCGGCAGCTGTGGATATCAGGGCGTCGGCATTTGCGTGCCTCCAGGGATGCGTTCATACGACGGGACTCACTGTCGTTAATGTGTACGATGGGCCAGCCGCTCTTTCCCTCGCCGATCACCATGGGGCGACCGCGCTTGATGGCGACGCGGACCATGCCTGGAACGGCGATGCTGAACGGGTTTGCGACCCCGGCATCCACGAGCGCGTTCTTCGCAGCACCATAGATCATGCTCGGCGCGACGATGTACGCGCGGACGTATCCGGCAACGTCAGCGTCGACGATCGGGATGTCTACATGGCGGTGGAGGGCCGAAGGGGGGATAGATTTGACCTGTTCTAGATTCATGTCATCGTAGATGGTCTCGCTGCGGTATGCACCCCTGGCGTCGTCGATGAGCATGGCAGTGCCAGACTATCGAGGAGGAACGGTTAGCTACAACGGGCCAGTATGTTGCATGGTGCAGAGACGCACAGTGTGTATCAAGACGGGCACCTCGCCGGTCTTGTCGTGACGTGCTTTCATTCCGGCCAAGATGGCTTCCGCGGAAGGAAGATCGTCGCAGTCCGCCTGGATATATCTGTCAGCCATCGGTGAGGGCATTAGTACGGACTCGACCGCTTACCGTATTAATGACGACGTTGGCATTCTCGGAAGCGGCAGTGATCTTATCAGCATCTTGTAGACTGCCAACAAGCGGCCTTACACCGAACTTCTCCTGCAAAACTTTGCCTTTCGTCTCGCTGCGTACCAAAGCCGTGATATCAAAGTTCGGGGCCCTGGGATGGGTGAGGAGACGTGTCAACACAGCTCCACCGATATACCCTGTCAAAGCCGTTTGTTATCAATCAAGGTCTAGAGAGATACAAGAATCACGTACCAGTCGCGCCGGTGAGGAAGATGGAGGTCTTGGTGGTCATGTTCTCGAGGGCTTCCGGTTGCCCCTAACTGGTCCAGGCCTTATGTGGATTCAAAGTTTGCTGAGTCACCGATACCGAAATCGATACCGAAATCGGTCAGGGTGAAAGCACCGGCGATTAAGATAATTACCAAGTGTGTGAGAACATCCAATCTCTCGACTGAAGACAGTATGCCACTACATAGGTGCCTTTGAGTCTCTTCCTCACTAGTTTGAGACGCCTACTTTGAGATTCCCATTGACCAATGACATTTTCGTACCGGGTCGCAGAGGACTAAGTTCGGAAGTCACACTGGAAGCTTGCTAACGTCATAAAATGGCCCGGGACAATTCTGACTCAGCTCTACTGTTCATAGTGGATGAGTAACTTAGAGGGTGTCAAATCAGCCTACACGTTGCAGTGCAGACGAAAGGTGAGGCTTACCGAGGGTTATAACTCCACTCGAGTGGTTGGAATTCAATCACATAAAAAACTTGAACACCCGGAGTAGTGCCTGGAGCCTGGGTAGGTGGTGTGGAACGAAATGGTAGTAGGAGATAGCAGACATTCGAGTTCACGCGTGCGAGGACCCCGGAGTGTGCTGACGTAAGCATGCGCTCATTCGAGACGGAGCTGCGGCGGAGGCAAGCACACCGCTCTCCTACTCTACACTCTGCCCGCCATGGGCCTCCTGCTCTCTTTGCCTCTCGCCGGCGTGTTTGGTACGGTTGGGTCATCATGCCTGGCTGGCCTCGCCTTCTGCTTTACGTCTACCGCAGGCAAGTTGGCTTGTTTCTGACATATGGCTGGCTGCTTATACGTTTACAGCTTCCATGTTCTGCAAGTCATGCAATTGTAACTCTTCTATCGCGACGCGCGTTGGATTTGCTGTAAGTCATGCCCTTTGAGATGTTGTTTCTGGCGTGCAGGGTCACACGACTGACTTCTGAGGTGTAGATGATCTTCTGCTTGAACTCCATGCTCGCATGGCTCATGAAGTCACCACTTATCATCGAACAAATTGAGAAGATCACCCATGGGTATCTCAAGATGGAATGCGAGGACGATAAGTGTTACGGTGTCCTTGCGGTGCGTGTTTCTCCGTCTTGTCTACACGGTTCCTAGAACTCCGCCCTTGCAGGTTCACCGCATCTGTTTCGCCCTCTCCCTCTTCCATCTCTTCCTTGGTTCCTCCCTTGTCGGTGTGCGAGACACCAAAGACAAGCGTGCGGCTATTCAGAATGGGTGAGCTCTTGCGTTTCTATCCCCGGTCCCCATCTAACAGGTCATAGTTGGTGGGGTCCCAAGGCCCTCTTCTGGCTTGTCCTCCTTGTCGTCTCCTTCTTCATTCCCAACGCATTCTTCATGTTCTGGGGCAACTATGTTGCTCTCATCGGCGCCACAATCTTCATCCTCCTCGGCCTCGTCCTCCTCGTCGACTTCGCGCACACCTGGTCCGAGACCTGCCTCGAGAACTGGGAGAACTCGAACTCGAACATGTGGCAGTGGATCCTCATCGGCTCTACCGCCGGGATGTACATCGCCGCGATCACCATCACCGCCGTCCTCTTCGCGTTCTTCGCCGGCCCCGACTGCGGCCTGAACCGCTTCTTCATCGGCTTCAACCTCGCGCTCTGCGTGCTCATCACCATCCTCTGCGTGCACCCGGCCGTGCAGGAGGCGAACCCGCGCTCGGGGCTCGCGCAGAGCGGCATGGTCGCCGCGTACTGCACCTACCTCGTCATGTCCGCCGTCGGCAACCACGCGCACGCGAGCTGCAACCCGCTCCACGGCGCGACGGGCACGAAGAACACGACGATCTTCCTCGGCGCCGCGTTCACCTTCCTCGCGATCGCGTACTCGACCAGCCGCGCCGCGACGCAGAGCCGCGCGCTCGTCGGCAAGGACAAGAGGGGCGCCATCGCGCTCCCCGCGGACGGGGAGCACCACGCCGAGCTTGGGGTCGTGAACGCGCAGCCGGGTCGGACGGAGACGCCGCGGTACCAGGCGCTGCTTGCGGCTGTTGAAGCTGGGTGAGCACGACAATCTGTGGTCCTCAATTGCGTGCTCATGAATTCGCGTCGCTCAGTGCCATCCCCGCGTCTGCTCTGGAGGAAGAGTTGTACGGAGACGAGGACGATGATGAGCCTACTGGCGAGGCCCACGATGATGAGCGAACCGGGACACGGTACAACGTACGTGCCTCACTCCAAGTCTTGACCATGCGCCAACCAACCCGTCCTTTCAGTACACTTGGTTCCACTTCATTTTCGCCATCGGCGCGATGTATGTCGCCATGCTGCTCACGGACTGGTACGCATGCACGCCAAACGTCCCTTCAGGTCGGATTACTGACGGCATCCTCAGGAACGTCGTCAAGCCGGAAACGAGCCCGGACGGTCACAGCGACGTGTACATTGGCCGCTCCGAAGTCGCCATGTGGATGCGGATCGTGTCGAGCTGGGTGTGCATGGTGCTCTACATGTGGAGCCTGCTCGCGCCGGTGATCATGCCCGACAGGCGAGCATCCACTTTGTTTCTTCCCTGATGCGTATCTGATCTTGTGGTTCTGCAGGTTTGGCGACTACTGAGCCTGCCTACGACATATTACCTGGACACTGCCTATCTATGCACGACGCGTATACTCGTATTGTATGATTGATTAGAAGCGTGGAATTACACGGACTTATGACAAATTATCTGCAAAGACATTGGGCAGAGCGGCTGGTATCCATTGTCGAGACCTCCAGAAGTCATGTCACGGCATGCCGGATGCCGTCTCCTCCGCCGACTGCCCATCCCTACAGCGGCACCATCACTCCGTCCAAAATCTTGAACGGCGCCCACGTCTTGGACGTCTGGTACGCGCATCAGCGCCGGTCGGTCCTCGACAGGCAAAAAAGCGCACGCACCACCGCACGCGACCGCAGCACCTCGGCGACGTGCACCGTGCCCCCGTCCTCCTGCACGCCCTCGCGCTCGCGGCGGGAGAGCCAGACGGTCGCGTCGGCCATGAACGTGAAGGATGGGCCGAGGGCGGGCTTGCGGCCCGTCGCGAACGCGGCCTCGGGGTTCGTCGCGGCCGGGTCCTTCGGTGCGACGCGCGACGCGCCATTGACGATCTGCGCGCGCACGATAGACGTACGGTCAGCGAGGGCACCCGACAAAGCGGAAAAGCGGGGGAAGACGGAATGGGGGTGAAACAAAACGCACGAGGACGGTGAGCGCGAAGGCGCGCGCGAACTCGCGCAGCTGCCGCATGAGCGTCGCCATCACCGCGTGCCCGTGCGAGGACGTCGCGCTGAGCAGCGGCCCGAGCAGCGGCGTCGCGGCGTCGAGCACGAGCACGCGCGGCGGCCGCGCGGCGTCGTCGTCGGGCGCGCGCGCGTCGTACTCAGGCGACGCCGCGCGCCGGTGGGGCGCCGCGGCGAGCGCCTGGCGGAGCGCCTCGAGGAGCGCGTGCACGGCGTCGAGGTCGAAGGCGAGCGAGACCTGGAGGCGGTCGAGCGCCGTCTCGACATGCTGAGTGAGGGGAGGGGGAGGGGGCAGGGAGTCGTCAGCGGATGGCGGGACGGCGAAAAGGCGTACGTACGGGCCCGCCGAGCGCATCGAGCATGCGGGCGACGCGCTCGGGCGCGAACTCGCTGCTGGTGTCGATCCAGAGCACGCTGGACGACCGGGCGCGGGCGAGGTGGCGTGCGGCGACCTGGAGCGCGAGTGTCTGTGGCGGGCGCGTCAGTGGAGGCCCGTGCCAACGGAGACGAGGGGAGAGGTGCGTGCCGTCTTGCCGGAGCCGGTGTCCCCGGAGACCTCGACGACGACGGGGGGCGCGAAGCCGCCGCCGAGCAGCTCGTCGAGCGCGGGGATGCCTGTGCCCACCTCCGGGTCTTCCGCGAACTGCGCGTCGGCCTTGAGTGCCTGTTCGCGCGCGAACACGGCGTCCCCGAACTCGGGTTGTGCGGCTGCGAGCGTGGTGGCATGCTGGACATGGTCTCGGAATGCGCGGAGAGAGAGCCCGTGTCCGTCGGGAAGGCGGGCGAAGAGCTGAGTAGAGTCGGCGCCGAGCAGCAGGTCGGTGTCCGTCCTGACATTGATCTCGGCCAGGAGGGCGACGAAAGCGGGATCTAGAGGCGGCGAGAGCTGCTGGAGGCGCATGGCATCCCCGGAGGACTGGCGGAACGATCAAAGAGCGCGAACGTGGAGGATGCTTTGACGTCATTCTCATCGATTGGCGACAGGTCCGAGCGGGCGCCTATCGCGTCTCATTGGACTCACTACCATCCCGAGCCAGCATTCAAGCAGCAATAAATCTTACCGTTCTGCTCAAAAATCCGGGATTAGCACTCGGAGAGGCGTTCAGGAGCGTAGAGGCAAACTACTGTACAGCGGTAACGGACTCTGGACGGTGTCACACGCGCGCTCGAGCAGGTCAGGCCTCAGGCGCACTGGTCGCGCCGTTACACTCCTCGCACCGTGCTTGATTCGTTGTATCCACGCTTCGTAGCTAAAACGCGCAGATGTTGATCATTGTTAACACAACCACAGTGTCACTGCTTCCTCGAACTGGCCAACCGAGCGCTCCAAAAGGCTCGAGCCTCCAACTGTCCAGCCTTGCTCCGTGTTAGCTCCTCGAAACGTCGGTGTTCTCCTCACACTACCGGCGTCCTTCCTCGAACTGCTGGCGCCGCGCTTCGCGCTGCTGGAATTCCGCCTTGTACCGGGCCCATGCGTGGCGATCGCGTGTTGTCCCTCGCGAGCCCGTCGTGCCCACGTTGACGGAGATGGCGGACGCCCGCCGCCTCCACCGGCGCTGGATACCGGGAGGAATAGGAACCAGCGCGCGGGGAGGGCCGTGCGCGAGGGCCGCTAGCGGGCCGCGTGCAGTGGGGGTCTCGGGGGCAAGGTCGCGTGCGAGCCCCCGCGCGCGGGGCGGGCGACCTGGCTCATGATCAGTCGTAGTACGTACGTGAGCGCGCGCGGTGGGGGCGCGGGCGAGGGGTGCGATGGTGGGGTGGAAGGTTGTGGACGAGCTCCCTAGGCAGTGCACGGATGGACCAGGTAGTGCGCGTGGTCCCGACGGACGCACTTGCAGGTGGGAATTCGCGGACACCCGTCTGCCATTCCAATCGTATCCGTACCACCGAAGACCGGGGAAAGCTGGGACGCCCAGCTGCACCGATGTTTGCGGCCCCTCCGATCCTGTCGGGGTTCTGTTGAAATGTCTATAGCGTGGCTGGAGGAATGAGCACGCTCGACAAATGCCTGTGCTCGTGTCACATCGCATTTGTCCACCATCTTGCTTTGACCCCGATCGGCGTGAGCCTACAACAGTCGTGCATAGCTCGCACGAGCCACAATGAAATGGTTCTGGAAGGAGGTGCGCGCGAGCGAGCGAGATGGCGTACCACTTCAGCCAAACCCACCAACCAACGGAAACAAGCAAATTCAAGAAACATAGACTGTGGCCAGGCGGCCAAAGAACTGCGTCCTGACGCGAACTAACACGAGTGCGGTCGGTCGCATGCAGCGGGAGTTGAAACACAAAAATATGAAGGGAGTGGGCAGAGCCTGAATACATACTGCGATACATATACATCCGTCCACGCGTTAAGCGTCCCAAAGATCCCGCGCGCGGCCGCTCATCTCCTCGAGTCGCGCTTGAAGTAGGAGCTGTTGACGACAGTGCCCTGGACCATGTCGAAAACGGTCTCGCCGACGCCGAGATACTTGTCGGCGACAGAGCGGAAGGTGGGATCGGATATCTTCTCAGTCTCCACGCTGAAAGAGGACACGCAACGCATGCGGCGGGCATCCGTGAGCGGGCTGGCAGGTGGAGAGACGGAGAGTATACGTACATGAATCCGCTCGAGCGTCTCACGCCGGCCAGCAAGGTGCTGACGAGAACGGCGTCGAATGCGTAGTGGGCGAGTCTGCCGATCATGGTGAACAAGAGCGCGGCGGTCTAACAGAGGTGGGCGGAGGTGGTGGTGGGGTGAACCAGAGGTGGGTGGCTGAAGAGACAGAAGAGGCCGCTGCTGGAGGCTTGCTGTGGCGTGCCGGTTCGCCAGGCAAGCGCGAGGCCGGGCGCGCGCGACTGTCCCGAATCGGGCTGACTCCTCCGACCCTGGCCCTCTTCCCGTTTCCGGGCTAGGTGAATGACGGCCATTTAGAACTGCATTGCGTCAATCGCCAGGCGCCCGACCACCGCTCTCTTCGGGAACTCCTTCGCACTCACCTTCGCGCGGACCGATGCTCCCTCCGTCCTATAAAACAACGGCCCCCCCGCAGGCCCCGATGTCCTCTTCGCCGGTCACCTGCTCGCCCGGCCTGCTCACCGCACCCCTCGCGCCCTGCATCGCACCCCGGGCCCAGTCGACACGCCATGGATCTCACCATTCGCGCCCGACGCTCAACTATTCGGGGCTGGCACTCGCTTCGACGTCTCGCTTCCCGCCTCGCCCCCCAAACCTATTCCCCGACATCATCCTCCATGCCCAAAGCCGCCACTACTTCTACCACCGCTGAGAGTGCGCCCGCTTCTTCTCCACCGCTCTCTCCCTCCTCTGCCCACATCGCACCCCCTCCACTCGCCGCAAACACGACCGCCAAGTCCCAGCCTATGCCAGACTTCGAGCCCACGATGGACTTCACGCACGAAGTCGCGCACTCGGACCAGCTCATCGTCCAGGCCGCCGAGCCCTTCAACGCCGAGCCCATCGCCGCCGCCCTCGTCCAGTTCCCCATCACCCCCGACGAGCTCGTCTACTGCCGCAACCACGGCCCGGTCCTCGAGCTCGACGAGGACGCGTTCACCGTCGCCGTCTCCGGCCCAGGGGAGGACGCCCAGCCGCGCACGTTCACCCTCGCCGGCCTCCGCGACGCGTTCCCCCGCGCCGAGGTCGTCGCTGCGCTTCAGGTGCGTGTCCGCTCCGGCCCTCGCACCTTCTCCCGCGGGTTCGACGGCTCTCGCGTGCTGCGCAAATGCTCTGCCCGCGCGCTCCGCTGCGCGCAAGCATGGACGTCTTCGCTTGGATGCGTATATGCATGATGTCTGCTGCGCGCTCGACGTATCTGGTGGAACGCTGGCTGACTATGGAACCCCTTCCAGTGCGCAGGCAACCGGCGGAAAGAGATGAACGAAGTCAAGCCTGTGCGCGGCGTGCTGTGGGACGACGGCGTCATCTGCAACGCGCGCTGGGCGGGCGTTCGCCTGCGCGACCTCCTGCGCGCCGTCGACGTCGACGAGACGCAATTAGCGGGGTGGCACGTGTGCTTTGCCTCACACATCACGGAGTGTCAGGATGACACGGACTATGGGGGCTCCATCCCGCTGGACATTGCGATGGACCCGCAGGGAGACGTCTTGCTCGCGTACGAGGTGCGCGTGCTTGCACTGTTAGCGTATGCGAAACTCGGACTGAAGTGCATACACACAGATGAACGACCTTCCGTTGACACCCGACCGCGGGTACCCCCTCCGCGTCGTCGCGCCCGGCATTCTCGGCGCACGCTGGGTGAAGTGGGTAGACACCATCTACCTCTCCCCGGACGAGTCGCCCAACTTCTATCAGCAACGGGACTACAAAGTCCTACCTCCCCACGTACGTCCCCTCGTTCCCCTCTAGGACGTGCACATACCCACTCGCGCCCATCCAGGTCAACTCGAAAGAGCAAGCCGCACCCGAGTGGCCCAAGATCCCCTCCCTCACCACCCTCCCCGTGAACTCCGTCGTCGCCCTCACCTCCGTCCGCCCGTCCCGCTCCCCCTCAGAACCCGACCGACAGGCGCTCTACGTCCAAGGCTACGCCATCGCCTGCGGCGCCGTCCAGATCGCCGCCGTCGACGTCTCGCTCGACGACGGCGCGACCTGGGCCCCCGCGCGCATCACGTACCAGGAGGGCCGCTGGAGCTGGACGCTCTGGGAGGCCTCCCTCCCGCTCCCCCTCGGGTCCCCGCACGCCCGTGCGGGCGTCGTCCTCTCGCGCGCGACGGACCGCGACGGGCGCGGGCAGGAGCGCGACGGCGTGTGGAACTTCCGCGGGGTCGCGTACAACCCGTGGGGGCGGCGCGCGTGGCAGTACGTATGCTAGACAGCGGCGGCGCGCCGTGCTCCCGTGTGCGCGGTGGTGGGGCCTCGCACGCCGCGACCGGCTGGACGACCTTTGGCGACGCCTCGGCCCTCGACGACGCACTCGACGCGCGCTCGGCGGGGGACCGGGCGTTCTCCCTGACGTGTGCATAGAGCATCTTTCTATCCATTCCGCCTTCTCTGGCTTCCCATTCGGATTTCGCAACTCGAATTCGGATTTCGCGACTCGGATTCGGATTTCGTCGCTGCACCGCTCTATAATAGACTACCCCTGTACGTACTCCGGCATCTCAACGCTGCGGAAATCAAGCCGTCTCCCCACCGGCCCCGGGCCTGGGCGTTGCCGCTGCGGCGTGTACCCCGTGGTGTTCTATCATGAGCCGCGCAAGTACCACGGTACGTCGGTCCACGTTCACGCGCCTCCTCCCTCTCTGATTCTTCCGACGCAGATCGGGGGAACGGAACGAAATGGGGCGGCCGCGTGAGCCGTTGGATTCGGATTTCGCGAGCGTGCAGCGGCTTTCACGAGCACCCTCGTGCGCGATGTGCTCGCGCCCGCTTTCCTCGTGGACACGAGAATCGAGCGGCGAGGCCACGGTGAGCCGGAGCGGCCAGCTTCGAAGCGCATGCCCTCAGACTTTCGCCGGCAGCACTCCGGCCAATTGGACTTTTGTTTCTACTTTTACTTTTTTGCGGAAGCCGTGGCCCTTCGGGTCGCAGCATTCGCTGTTCCCACGTGCTATCATCGAGCCCCCACCGGCGCGCGGACTACTAGGCCTCAGGCCTCAGCCAGACTTGAGCTTGACCAAGGCCTGTTGACTCTTGAGCTTAAGGCTCAGTCGCCGATTTTTACGCCTTAAATCACTGTCTCTCGTTCAGATCAGGCCTTCAGGCCGCCTCGCCGAGAAGGTTCGCTCTGAGAGGGGGACTCCGATCCCCCCAGAGACTGTTGAGCGCTTGTTGTTCCAGGAGCCACAGCGAGTCATCACTTCCTCGGCAGCATCTCAGCGGCGGAATGCCCTTTCGAGCGGTCTAAAAGTGCGGCTGAGTCCTGACAGTGCACTTGAAGAGCGCGGCCGTGCAGTGCTTGTTGAGCGCCAAGTTCCCATGGGTGTCTCGAGAATACATATTCTCGATTCTGGGCAGTGTGACATGGTGACATGGTGATCGCCCCTACAACCACTGCCCCTCTCCTTTCCATTGTAGGTTACAAATCACGTCTTTTCGTTTAGTCCCGGCCTTTTATGCAGGAGCATGTCCCGCTTTATCGCGCTCAGGCGCGCCGGGATCGCGGAGTTTGCGTTTGTGACCCTCCTCCCCCCACGAAACCGTATCCATGCGAGCAAGAAGATCCACATCAGTACGTAGCGCTGTCCAGTCGTTTCAATTTGGCGCGATCGCCCCTGGCATATCAGGAGTCGAGATCAGACATGCAAACATTGACCGCGTCATCCTTACGATCGCGCGCGTGGATCAAGAACGCATTGAAGCGCACTTGCTTCTTAACCGGCTAGACCTTGAATGCTCCTCTCTACCCACCCGCCCTTGCTCGCGTACCAACATGTCGCTCCCTCCAAATGACACCACCGACGAGAGCAAAAAGCATGTTCACAAAGGCAGATGGGCCCTCCTTCTCCGTAGGCTCACCATCGGGGCCTTGCCGTCTCTCACCCTCTCTACTCCCGCCCACCTGTTATCATTCCGTCTCGCCGCATCAGCTGCACTCAGCCAAGAAAAGGCTGGACACACACCCTCCTGTAAGTTTCGAAGTCTCGTGCTTCGTTCACCGCTGACCTCACCCCCTGAACGAAAGCCGATGGCAGCAAGTTGGAGGAGGACGCACTCGTACCGTACCATGTCAGGCACCCGCCCCCATCAGTACGGCGACCCGCCGAATACCGCAAGTGGTACGAAGATCAGCGCAGGTCGTATGAGACGACACTCCGACCGCGTATCGTGGCCGAGCGCGTGGCCAAAGGCTTGCCGGGACCCACATGCGAGGACGCTCAATGGTCGGAGCCGATACTGTGCAAGGTGCTGAAGAGCAAAGGTCCGCGCCGGCCGCACGAGTCCAAGAAGCGGTTCAAGAACCGTATGTGGTACGAGAGGCACTATCGGTGGTGTGCGGAGCAGCACCATCTGTTCTTTTACGAGATCCCGTGCGGGGCTTGCGAGGCGATGAGTGAGGAAACAAAAGCCCAAGCTGACGTGTAGCATGAAGACGTAGCAGCACCTTTATAGTACAACATGTGATGCCGTATAGTCGATTTCCGCCTGCTGGAGAAGTACTCGTCCATTAGGTTGGTGTTCATCGACAACGTCGGGGGGGAGGGCAGAAAAGCTCGTGGAAGCCAGCCATGTTGGTACGACACGATGATATTTCACAGGAGTTATATACGCACGGTTCTTCTGGTTGCAGGACGTTGTGAGTCGGAAGAATGCAAAGGAATCGAGGCTGCGGAGAAAGTTCAAGAGGGTGTAATCGTAGCCGGCGCCGATTCACAACGGATCTCATGGGCTGGGCCTGATTGATCGCGTTGAGAGCGCACATATCGAACGACCCACTTGTCAAAGACCTCTTTCTGCACAAGGAAAGCGTCAGTGCTAGAAGTTAGACATCGGGGCCCACGAAACGTGCACCATGAGATGAGGTGCCATTCCAAGAAACATGTGATTCTTGTGCGGTATGCAAACTCATTCTTGGCGCGTAACCCAGTGATGTCGATGAAGACAATGGGCAAGGGAGGTGCACGATACCTACTGATAGTTTGACGCATACCAACCGATCATGTAAGCATGGCGCCTACGCCCGCCCATTCGGATCCCCGCGCTTGTTCCGCTAGGGTCTCGGGCCAGTCGGCATGCTCTGATCGCGGCATATCGTCTTTACTGTTCGACGTTCGATGTTAAGTGGTCGGGGAGACTAGCGAGAGAGACGATGAATAACATGATGCAGTCGGCCCGACTGCCGGTTCCGGATTCTGGGCTGCGCGCCTCTTGCAATGTTTCGCAACATGAGCTCTCGACTCACAGTGCAAATCGCCGAAGACATTAGACATATTATATCACTGTACTACCATTAAGAGCGCACTCTACTCCGCCGTGATCAGCGCCTGCAAGCCTGCATTGAACCACTTCACCCACGTCTCCGCGAACTCGTCCCCAATCGCACCCTTGCCCCAAGTGACTGATATCCCCAACCCACCCTCAGGCGATCCCGCGAGGTTGAGCTTGATGACACCTCCCAGCGTTGCGTCCGCCTGCACAAACCACAACTCGCGGATCGCCCACACGCCCTCCACAGCCACCGCTTCCTTCTCGCCCTTCGGAAACGCGCCCAGGTTCGACAGCTCAAATCCATAGCCCCGCTTCTTTCCCAGCTTGTCGAGGTAGTACTTGTCGTACTTGCCAAACAAGTACTTGATCAGCCCGATGTCCTTCGCAGCCTTCCGACTCGCGCGTTTCAGGTCCGCCCCGAGCTTCGTCGCCTCCGCCCAGGGGAAGCTCGCGGGCGACACGGGGACCGCGGCGACGTCCTTGGGAAAGATCTCGCGGTGCGAGGCCCACGTCGAGACGTGGTTGCACATCGCCGTCATCGGGGTCCCCACCTGGCTCCGGAGGCTGATGGGGATTACGGACGGGATCGTCTTGTATCTGATCTTGCGCGCCCTCGCGCCCGCGCCCGCGTCCGCTTCGTGGATTATCCGCGAGAGGACTAGGATGCTGAGCGTGTGCAGCGTGCACGTCACCGTCGTCTTGTGCGCGCGCGCGACCGCGAGCAGCTTCGCGGCGTCGGCCGGCGCCGCGTACGCGACGCGGACCCGACACGCGAGCTCGATGTGCGGCACGGTCCGGTTCCCCGTCCACGCGCGCGGCGCCTTGCGGTCCGTCCAGGGGAGGATTTCGTGCCCGAGCCCGTCAAGCAGGGAGAAGAGGGACGCCGACGTGTCCGTCACACTCTCAATCGCCGGCACGAGCTGCGCGGTGGTCGCGTCGAGGTCGACGATGCTCGAGGCGTCGGCGTCGGCGGGGAGGGAGTCGGCAGGCACGAGGGAGAGCGCGGTCAGGAGCTGGGTGTGGAACGCGGGCCCGGACTGGCCGTCGCCGATAGAGTGGTCATAGCCGAAGACGATGGTACCGTCGGTGAAGACCCACATGCGCCAGAACGGGAGGTCTTCACGGAAATCCATGGGGCGCCCGAACTCCGTCTCCAGGGCGCGCTGTAACGCAGAGAAGTCCATGCCGGCGTCGGGGAGGAACGTCACGACCTTGTCGAGGTCGAGGGTGGCCATGCGCGTCCATGTTTGTGGCGCGGGAAGCGCGGGCAGCTGCGCGGCGAGCACGGGCAACTTGGTGGTGACGACCGAGGCGAGCGCGGGATACAGGAGGGCTTTGGTGAGGGCAAGGGAAGGATGCGTATAATGTGCTACGGAGACCACCCAGGAGGTGAGGTTGAGGCGCGAGCGTGCATTGAAAAACTGCTCAAGTCGACCTGGTCGACGTACTTCAGCAAGAAAGATATGCTGAAAAACGAAGAGTTGACGAACCTGCTTCACGCAGCTCGCAGGATGCCGCTGGAGCGGGCCCGGAAGGTTTCGCGGCCGTCATATAGGCTGGCTGTCTAACTATTAGGATGAGCGAGGAGATGAGCGGGACAAGAACAGCGCAGCGCACCAGTCTGGATCTCTTTAAGTTCTTGTGTATCGCGCAAGACTTTTGAGACTACGCCGCATCTGGTAGCGAGTCATGAGCTTGGGCGCAGGCCGCGGCCCCGCAATATTGTAAGGCTCAAATGCCGAAAGGACCCGGCATCGGATCTTCACATACACATCCGCCAGGAACGAGGCTCGACCTGGCTCGACCTGATGCAGCGTACACAGCCCCCCGCCACTGGCGGGTGTCCTCGGGTGCGCTGGACTACTTGATTTCCCCTAGGCAGAACTCGTTCAAGGGCCACACCGAGCCGCGAGGTCTGGTTAGAGGTAGTTCAGAGGACGCCATGAGTATCGGTGCTCCTCAAGCATCGTATCCTTTCACCCAATCGCCTCGGCAGGGGGCAAGCAAGTATGTATGTCCAGGTCACTCTCACACTTGTGCTTGCGGCGCAGGACTACAGTGAGGGCGCCGCGGCTGCGCTGGGGTTACTGCGGCCCAATGCTGTCAGGTTTCGCAAATTCCGCACGGCACGATCTTGACTTGTAAGTATGATTCTTGGTCCTTGGCACCGTGTAGCTGGCCATGCATGGTACCTGATGACAACGCGGTGATCGAAGGGCGATGGAGGCGTGTGAAGAGTGGGGTGGAGAATAATGATGGCGAGGTCAAGCAGAGACGTTGACACCCGGCGAGCATCTGAGGAGGTGGAAGTTCGGCTCGTCGGCGAAGACGAACACAGAAGGGAAAAGACGGCGTTGAGAGGGCTGTCAGGTTGCCGAAAAGATCACAGGCTGCTTATGGCCGAGGGCGGAGCTACATAGTAGCTGCGAGTGGATGATCATGACAGAGTCATTTGACCGTCTAATCCCAGAAAGGCGTCAAAATCGTTATCTAATCAGCGTCCGGCTGAACACTCGCCGAACAAGTGTCATGCACCCCGTACGTTCTCTAAGAAAACACTCTCACCCAGATTTCGCGCTGAGATAGTTAGATATATATAACCTGGTAAGTCAATAGAATGCAACACGTCGTCGGTGACGATAGCTATAACGGCACACCCACGCCCGCGGGCTTCAAGATACTCACACCAAACCTACATCCGACATGCATCAACCTCATCCGTCACCCAAAGAAGCGTGCGAAGCTCCAGCGCGACTGCAATTGCTCGGCCTCCGTCGACCGCACGACCCTGCACTTGAGCGGGCCGGCCGCGGCGGCTGACGGGCCCGCGAGGCAGAGCGAAGAGGAAGTCGTCGACGCGGCCGGCGCGGGCTCCTTGGACTGCGCGGTGATCGCGGCGGCGTGCTCGGTGGGGACCGCGGCGGCGAAGCTCGCGCAGGCGCCGTCGTCGGCCCAGTCGCCGACGGCGCCGCCCGGGGTCGAGCCGTAGCTCCACCACTTGGCGGTCCAGAGGTGGCCAGCGTAGACGACCTGGTCGCCGCCGTTGTACTAGAGGAGAATACGGGGCGTTATTTCATGCGGCAAGCGGAATGGGAGCTCTTGGGGGACTTACGGCGACGTTGGCGACCCAAGAGGCGACGCCCGCACAGTTTCCGGAGGAAGCGGTAGTGGTGGTGGTGACTGGAGTAGACGTGGTCGTGGTCGTAGTGTGCGGGGTGGTGGTGGTAGTAGTGGTTTTCACCGTGGTGGAGGTGGTGGTACCGGTGGTGGGGACAGTCACTGGATTCGAGGTAGTGCCGCCGTTGCCACTCTGGCGAATACCGTTCTTGATCTGTTTATCTGCGCGGTTGTTCGCTGCAAGGGATGATAACGGTTAGTGGGGACCAGACAGCGGACGACATGTCGATATGGCGTACCATAGGCCTGAGAAGCGTCCCAAAGCATGATACCACCGAAGGACGAGTATTGGTCGCGGATGGCGAGGGCGGCATTGATGACGGTGGTAATGTCGGCGTAGCCAGAGCCGGCAGCAGTGGACGACGCTGCAGCGCCGATGTAGATCTTCACATCCTTGCTGATGGCCACAGTCTTCGCCCAGTTGTCCCTACAGGGAAAAAGGCTCAGGTGTTGTGTATGCGATGAGAACGAGCAACATTTACCAGTCACCGAAGTCGAAGTTGTTCGGATAGTTGCTCAAGGCGCAGTAGTTGTTATCTGGATGGAAGTCAAGTAATGACGTCATTGATATGATAACGGAAGACGCACAGAACTGGACGTAGACGGCATCAAAGGCGACCGCGTTCAGAACCCTGCATTAGTGGTAAGCATTGGTAAGACGGAGATGTGAATGAGCCATACGTGGATAGATAGGCATCCGGGAACGGACATTGCGGGGCCGCAGTGACGTAGTATTTCTTCGAGGCTCCGGCAGCAAGAGTGCGAATCCGGTTCACAAAGGACGCGTAGTACTGAGTCGAACCACCCTCGATGTCCAAGTCGATACTGACGGCCGTTTATGAGATAGCCTCAGGCGATGGCAGAACGATGGACTCACCCGTCGAGGACGGCAGTTCCGAAGGGTCGTGTGGAGCTGGAACCACCAAGGTAGAGGTTCCAAATGGTGTCTCCGAAGTTGGAGGCTTGCTGGTCGGACGTGAATCCAGCGGCGCCGGTGGCTCCGCCGAGCGAAAGTGTCACGATCTTGCCCTTGGACTGGCAGAATTCGATGTCCGAGGCCAGGAAGCTGCAGTCAGGCATGGTCGTGCCCGGGAACACGGCATCGTCGTTCATGTTGCATATCTGCGATCCGAACAAGCGGACATGAGAACGCAGTTAGAGGAACACTCAGCCATGGAAAAAGACTAACATTGGCGAGGTCCATGGAAGGCAGACCGCCGGCGCCAAAATAAACGTTCAGGAAGGCAACGGGGAAGGCATCGATGGAATCATCCTAGGAAGGTCATTAATACCGGAGAGTATGTTTATAATGAAGGTGTACCTGGCAGTACGTCGAAAGGGTCTTCTGCCAGTTCGCGGTGTCACTGTGCGTGGCACCGTACGAGTTCTGGCCCCAGTATCTAGAAGTATACCGGTAAATCGCAATGAATTGGTACACCGTGCGCGGAGTTGCACTGACACTGCCACCTAGAGACATGCGTTAGAATACGGACTCGTCGAAAGGGACAGGAACGCACGTTATCCCCCCGTGAGTTATCGTAAGCGGCCACGCGGAGCACAGCAAGGCACAAAGCGCTGAACGCGATCACGCTCCGGAAGAAGGACATGTCAACAAAGGACGACTGCTCGAGGGAGGAGTAAGGCCTAGGGGGGAGGAGGGGGGAGTGCCAACTAAGCGAGCATTGAGCCGTACGCTTTTATCTGTTCATCTGAGCCAGCATGCCGGTCGCGTTGCTCGCGAAGCGCACCCGAGCCACGCCTCTACGGTCGAGGAAACCTGACGGGAGACGAGGCTCGTGGGCCGGGCTCCGATTGGGCCTGGCCGATACCTGGGCTGATGAGGAGGCCAAATCGGGGAGGGACGGGTGATATCTCGCGACGCAGATGGGAGAAGCCAGGTGGAGTGTTGGATCCATGTGGCGCACTGGCAAGCGAGCATATGTTGGCGAAGCCGGGAGGGTATATCGGGAGGAGGCCTGGAGCTTAATGCTGGGCAGCACGCCGGGGAATGCCCGCGTGATGTCCAAGAAGTGCTCTTCGTGCCGGATCACTGGACAGAGATAAACCAGGCAGCCGGGGACGAGATACGCACCCTTATAGCCCAGCGGGTGAGTACAAGCAGCTGGGACGCATGGAGCGCGACTGGTGATCGAGTGCCTGCCATAGGAACGATAGTCAATCAGCCATGTTGGACTGGTCAGGAAGTCGGAGATGTGACCATACCGGGGCATCGTATGCGTGTATCATGTGCGCCGGCGCGGAGTCGCGCGAGTGTCGCGCGGCATGGTGACATGGTGTCGCCGTCCGCTGCGAGGCCTTGAGAACCAAGCGATCCCGTAGCAACGCATGCATCGCAATGCGCTGGTATTGCGATCTCGGTGGCGAAGATCGCAAAGCGTCTGGGACAAAAGACAAGAGGTGAGCGTCCAGCAAGAGCGCGAGGGAAGTCCGTCTAATTGGCGCTCAGAACGCGAGAGCACATGTGCCCTCAGCTATCAGCGCTGCGAAGTATGAATTTCCACCGCGATGCCTCGTGTGCCCAGTCCTTCCACATCGACTGCGGTGCCGCAGCGGCGTTGGCATGGAGGGTAAGGAATCGCAATCGAAGAAGGTTGAGCGCAGAAGCGATGTTCAGGCGAAGGTCATGGGCGGGACCTCCGCAGTATCTCTCCCGCACGACCTTTGCCTCCTTCCGTGTCCCTCCTCTCTTCCATAGACAGATCCAGCTCTGCGCAAGCTCGGAAAAACGTACCAAGATCTAGAATACGTAGCAACATCGAGCGCCAGTCAGTCCGGGACGGAAATTGCTGTATGGCGTGAGGGGGCATGGCCGCGCATTCATGGTGTGAGGATTCGTGATACGGTGCGCATACGCTTGACCAGAACCATAAGTCAGTTAGGCCCACCGGCCTCGAACGTAGATGGATCGAACATAAGAAGTTGGACAGTGCTAGTGAGGAGCGAAGCGGCAAAAGGAACGGATTCAGGAACCAGGCGTCTTACTTGATGACTCACCACGTGGCGAACACGTGACCAATATCCCACCGGTAATAAGTTCTTCTGGGATCTAGTCCCAATTAGCCTATACTTACTGCCAGCGGGTAAGTCCCTGTCCGGATATGCGGATTGGACCGTAAGTTGCTCAAATAAGTACGCAGGTGTCAAGCATCCGCACCATGCACTCGGACTTGAAAATTTGAAAGCTTGAAGCCGGGCGAAACCAGTTTTCTTAGCAAGACTGCGCCTATGTCTGCGCCGCAGTCTCACGACACACTACAAGTTGCTGCGGAGGCGCTTCTATCCCGGATCGTCTCGAAATCGGATGGATCATCTGGGACCACCGAAGGCATGTCCTCGAGCCTGCCGCGGGCCGCGAGGCACGCCTCGCTCACCGAGTCTGTCCGGTGATGGCGGGCTGAAACCGGTTATGATACGGAGAGTGCCGCCTTACTGCGTAGATTCGTCGACGCTGGTGAGGCTTCAATGAAACTCGGCCATGACTGAAGGCCCATTTTCTTTCTCCTGCGTGCCGAACTGACTATGATTAGGATGGGAGTCCGTGACCGGTTGATCTCGTCGTCCAACAGTTTTCGTCACTGTAGGCGAATTTCACGAGTCATCACGGCTCGGATTCCCTCGTCGGGCATAGATGGCCGTGACTGAGGTTCATCGCCACAAGAACAAGAGCTCTCTCAAAACACAGCCGCTGCGGACACCACGCTTTGGTCAGTAGATCTCCTGACCTAATGGAAGTAACCGATGACCAGCGCCCACATAACAGGGTCACTCCGCATAAAAGCGACCACATCAAATCGCTCTCTCTTCGCTGCCTACCGTCCTTTGCACCTCGCACACTCAGCGCCGCTTCCACCGTCATGCAACCTTCTCCGCTAGGACACTCAGCTCACGAGAAGGCATCGGAGGCGGATTCGGGGGCGCTGGTTCTCGCGCCACCCCCGTCTCCTGCCCCTCGAGGCTACCGTTTCACCGTCTACTTACCGACGCTGAACCGGTCAATACTTCAAGGCCGCCCCAGAAACGCTCGTCGCAGGCACCGTTTCTGGCCGTACTTCGCCTGTGCCTTCTTTACCTTTTTCGCCCTTCATCTACTCCTCAACCAGCCCAGATGGCGTCGAGTGAGCCCTACTCCCGGTCCCCGATGACATCTGCACCCACTGACAAAAGTACTCTGATATAGTGGCACCGAATACCCTCTCCTTCCTCACGCACCTCAGGACCTCTCCAGTGCTTCGAGAAAGTGGTCTGGGATGCAACCGACTTCGACCTCCAAGGCGATTTTCCTCACCGAGCCCGGACATCAGTCGAACTTCCCCTCTCCGCCGATCAGCTCTACTTTGTCGCTGAGGGCGCACTCTCCCACGGGTCCTTTGAGGTCGTACAAGCTCCGATCGCATCATCGGATGTAGCACTGGTGGACGTCCAAGTGTCTTACCACAGCCATGAGGCCCTTCTCGATGCAGCCGTATGCCGCCTCAACCCTGCACCTGGAAAATGGGGATTCGGGATCTTTGTAAGAGAACACAAGGCTCCATTACTATCCGATGCTGACATACCGTCCGATTTTCTAGACCCCGGGATGGCAGCGCCCTCGGCATGAGCGAATGCTCAAATTTGACATCCGCTTGACCCTTCCGTCGGCACCCCCGGACGAGCCTCTCAAACTGCATGGTCTCCGCACAGACCTTCCTCTGTTCTCTCATCATGTCCGTGAGCTCGGGGAGACCGCTCGCTTCGCACGTGTCGAGTTCGAGTCTCAGAACACCCCCCTCTGGGTTGATGTGAGTCCACGGTTACCTTCCCCCTTCGTTGTTGACATCCCGGGTGGTTCCCATACTGCAGTCGCTTACTGCAGACCAAGTCGTATTCCGTACCACCAACAGTGCGATACACGGCCGGTATAATGTCTCCAGTGATCTTGAACTCATGACCACCAACGCTGCGATCGTCGCCCATGCCGATCTCCTTGATGCATCGGACAGAGAGGAGTTGCCCACCGACGCTCGGAAGCCGCCCCGCCTCTCTCTCCATACTTCCAACGGGTAAGCGGTCCCCGATTCCGCGTGACTGTACTTCTTCAGCTCCATGGAGCACTGAATCGCCCGCACAGCCTCATTAACGCGACTGTCCGGTGTTATCACAACCGCTCATCCAACGCTCGCGGCAATGGCGTCGTTTTCGGAGCGCCTGAGACCCCAGCACGCTTCGCTATCTCCGCGCACACGACAGACGCGCCGCTCGCCCTTGCCGTCCACGAGCTTCCGGCGCACGCCGTCCTCGCGGTGACCGCCACGACGTCGAACGCCCCCGCTCAGGTCGAGCTCCCACGCACGTTCGAGGGCGGGTTCGTGCTCACGTCGTCGACGTTCTTCCGGCCCACGCTCAACGTCACGGACGCCCTCGGGCGACGCGTTACCAGCGAAGCCATCAGCCGGAGCTCTGTCTGCGGAGCCATCAGGTTGGGCCAACACGAGAGTGAGGGTGAGGACGAAGGGATGGTCGATTTCCAGACTTCCAACGCGCCCATCAGGCTTCTGCTCCCGTAAGGAATCCACGGCGTATGCGGATACTAGGGCCATGAGGCCCGAGTAGCTGTGTGCATCTGTCCTCTCGGAGCAATTTGCACATCCTTTGCACCCCGTGCCCGTTTTTGTAACATTTTTCTACTTCTTCCGACGGGTATCGTAATTTTTACACAGTATGTTGGCGTGAAGGCGCTGTGCCTGTGTGAGATCGTCTTCGTGACTGACGAAATACTCTCATGGACGGCTGTGCTATGTGCTATGTCGTGGCCGACAAGTCATAGGATGACATGTGAGCCATATGATTCCTAGCGGGGCGCGCTCTAGCAGAACGACCCAACCTATTGACATGAGTTCCCGTCGCCCAAAGCACTTTATCATTCATCACCGATTCAAAAGCTGTCTTCCTCTCCATAATTGGCTTAGGTACGTAGATGCCTTCTGTCCCAGCTCTGCGACATGCACAACGAGGCGTACAAGATACAGGACGTGCAGCGCTCGGCGCGCGCTGGGACGACAATGGCATGCGGCTGGGCATGAACACCTATCGGGGCCTTTAATCCAGTCCAGGTACCGCGAAACGATGCGCGGAGGCACCCGATTGTTATCAAAAGAAGTCATCTACGAGAGAAAGGGTCGGTCAACTCGACATGCCACCGATACGATGATCACTCACCCCGTTGATCTGCAGGAAAAGCCCCCACGTGCAGTATACGTCCCACGAGTACGGGTCCATATGTGTAGCGTCGCCGGGTTTTGGCATGATAGACGGAGGAAGTTCCATCCGAGGCTGCCGACCTGGCCCCAATGGAAGCTGACGGGAATATTCGAAGTCGATGAAGTAGGGATGCCCAGCGAACATCTGTTGCCCCATCAGGACTTGGTTCTTTCTTGCGAACATGACGTTGTCCACTGCGACGTCCTGTTTCAGTTCACGTGAGAAATGCGCACTACCATTTGAATGCCGTACGCACGAGATGAGCCACCCGTCGTTGATGGAGATGGACTAGACACTAGTCAAAGTGTAAGCATCGATAGTCTCGCTATCGCATATAGCTCACCCGTAGACAACGGTCATAGCACTGTAGAACTTTGCTCCAGGGCCATGTTTGCCTGACGAGGTCGAAGACTTCGTGCATGAAAGGAGAAATCATGAAACATTTGTCGTCTTCAATGAATTCATACGGCAAGATATAGTTTGCAGCTTTGGGGTCGCGGTGGAGATATCTGCATATGTTCGGTTCGTTGGACTTCGAGTGTATAAGCTTTACGACGAAAGAACGCTCCGGTTCGGGATTGTCCGTTCGGAAGAGCACATGCTGAACTGAAAATGTCACTGAAGCTAATCAAACTGAGTTTGATTCTACACCCACTGGCTTGACCATGTGGCCCAAATGAATCCCCCGCTGTTGGAGAGCGGGGTGGTCCTGGAGCCAATGGGGGATTTTGTCGAAGTTGGCCCAATATCCGTCCCAAAATGCTTCATCAGAGTCTTCGATCGTCCTGTACTCTGAGTAGGGCATTGAGGATCCTGGCGGAAGGGGTGGTGGTGAAAGGGAAGGGTCGTGTAGGGCGAAGTTGGGGTCGGGTTGCAAGTTGATGAGAGACCAGTCTGGCACTGGCAGCCGGACCCAGCGCGCGCGACAACCCCGCACGGCACTGGACAGATTAGATCAGACTCAGCTGAGGCCGCTGTACACTCAAACTTCAAGCTCAAGCTTGCATGAAGGCATCAGTGTTGTGGAAACTAGAGCCCCGTCTCATCCTCGCACACCCCGTGGAACGGCATGAACACGCGCGTGACGACGTCAGCCCGAGGGAAACGGGAGTCTAGATTTACGGAAAATCGGCCACAATAAGCTTCACAATCGTACTCGTACGTACACGTAGTCCCAACGCCTGACACGAAAAGAAAGAAGAAAAAATAGGGCACAGAGGCAAGGAGGAAGAGGTTATTGCGGATACATGCGCTTGAGGTGACGGTATTTGCGGAGGGAATACAACGCGAGCGTTTCTAGAAGAGGGGGATATGGCTCCGGGGAACGACATACGACAAGAAACGCACCATTGCGAATGTACTCGCCCATCCCGATCGCGTTCTCTATCTCCTGAGGATCGGTGAGGTGTCGATTCTCTATTCTTGGTGGGAACCATAGGTATCGCGGGCAGCGGTCAAAAGGCGTGGTCAGGTGCCATCGGGGACAGCTTACTTACTCTCAAAAAGACCCCGAATCTTCCCATGATAGTTGTACCTGCAAGCGAAGTCAGCGACCGGCGCACGACGGACGTTCACGAAGGTCGTGTGATGGAACAACGGGTGACGTACGCAGGGTCTGGATAGTCGCGGCCTAGCCTATGGAGTTCCTTGTATAGCGAGATGACTCTTGAGCGACATTCTCTGCTCGCCATATAGATTGTCGCATGCGCAATGGGGCGTGCAGTGGTTCAGAATTGACATTCGACGGAGTGCAGGATGGGGACCGGAGTGGACTGGAGAGCGCGTTGTCCCGGGGACTGGGGTGTAAGAAGGTGGTCGGAGCCCGGCCCGAGGTGACGGACGCGAGCGTGTTCAGGGTGCTGGAGCGGGGCACGATGGAAGTGTTGTGGGTGCAGGCTTTGGTGGTGCTCTTGAAACCCTGTGGTCCGAACGTCTTGGAGACCCTGACTGAGTGACGCACCGTCACTTCCAGAGGATGAGCAAAACCAATCATTAAGTAGCCTATAATACAGTACATGTACTTCAGTCGTCGCAAGTCGTAGGGTCATTCGAGTCATTGTCGTGGGGAGCAGGTGGTGGGCGTGGGGTGTATGCGGTAGCGATAGTACAAGAGAGCCGTGGGGGCGACAAATAACGGATAACCAGAAGGAATAATGCAAGATGGAGGGTAACTAGATACGAGACCAAATGAAGATATGCATGCGAGGAGAGCAAAGAGACGTCAGATATACACAAGAAGACCGCATACGTGACCGAGAGACGTAGCATCTATGTATTTTAGTCCGGGGGGTAGGGGGAAGGGGGACGCAGATGGACAGAGAGGTATGGGTTGTCGCACCGCCGCTCGAGGCAGCTGACCTCAAGCAGCGCCTGTGGTGAATGTGAGGAGCGTTGATCGTGCATGTGTTGCATGGACGTATGAGATACGCGCGGCTACAGGCATGTCAGACAGCCATGTTTGCGCGGTTACAGGCGTGATGACACGGTCTGCAGACCTGCCCTCGTGAGCAACAGGCTTCCCGAAGAGCTCCAAGATACGCACCTCCAGCAGGCCGGAACGGCTCACAGAATGTCCACCACGCTCTCGAGGAGCACCTTCGGCTTAAGAAGCAGGTTCCGCACCATCGTGCTCCCGTCCTGCCCTCCCGCCTCCCCACCCGCGCTGCTCACGCTCAGGTTCCTCCTCACCCCGTTCATCCCGACCCCGCCCATCCCGACCGGCCGCCCAGCCGCCGCCGCGTCCCTTTCGCCCACGACGCCGTCCGGAGGTGCGCCGTCCGCAGCGTCACGCTCCTCCTCCGGCACGCGGCGCGAGAACGCGAGCCCGAGCTCGACGGTGCACAGCACGCGGCAGCGCTCGTTGCAGTGGCCCGCGTACACGTTCTCCATCACCTCCCACTCGAACAACCTCTCGTCCTCGGCGCCGATCGGCGCGAGCTCGCTCCCGTCCGCGTCGCTGCTCGTCGCGCGCTGCACCGCCCGCGCCCACTCGCGCTCCTTGCCCTTCCCGGTCGGCGTGCCGTGGGCGACCGGCACGGTCGCGGGCGGCGGCGGCGGCGGCGGCGAGCTGGCGGCCTGCGGCGGTCGCTTCGGCGACTGGCACGGGTGCAGCCAGACGATCTCGAAGAGGCCGCTGAGAACGCCTTCCTTCATGACGGTCGAGATCCGTTCCGCGCGCGCGCTGATGCGGGCCAGCGCACTGCCGAAGCGCGCGCGGAGGGGGTCGCGGTGCAGGCCGCGCGAGTCGGTGCAGCCGGAGAGGGCGAGGATGGCGAGGACGCCACGGAGGTTGGCCTCCGTGAGCGAAACTAGGGGAGGGGGGAGTGCGTGGGAGGCGATGATGGAGGCCGGGGCGGAATGGAAGGGAGAGGATACGTCTTCAGGTGTGTTTGGCTCCGACGTGTTGCGGGGCTCAGAGAGGAATGAGCGGGCGTGCTTGTAGGTCAGAGCGCGCCAGCGCGAAGTCGTCGGTTGCGGCTCTGATGAACTTCGCCTCAGCAAGGGGCATAGAAACGAGAAGCAGAAACGCACCTTCACGTTGCATCCGCTGGAAGATGGCCTTCAACGCTTCGTCGACCTCGGCTGGAAGTCCATAGCAGAAGGCCTCCATGACGCGCGCCGCACACCACACCTGCCACGCCTGGAGGGCGAACTGGACGAGGGTAGGGTCTGAGGCGTGCTCACGGCTCTCGAGGAGCTTCATCATCTCGCGGCCGAGAGCGGGCCTCGCAATCTCGCGATCGCGCTCGCGGGCCACGCTGGACGCGTGAGGCTCGGTACGGAGGGCCGGGGCGAACTCCTCCGCGATCGAGGCCGCGAGCTGGATGATCTCCGAATTGAGGTCCGCGACGGCCTGCAGGAGCTGCGCGCCCGACCAATCGTCCGTCTTGGAGAGGAAGGATTTGAGGGCCGCGAGCTCCTCGGCCTGGGAGAGGATCACTTGGCGAGCGTCGCCGTACGTCGCGCGGAGGGACGTGTACAGCACGCGGAGTCGCCTTGGGTCCGTGAGCGCGGCCTCGGCGGAGCGTTGGGCGGATATCGGCAGAGGTGCCTGCGCTGGGTTCGGCGAAGGGGGCAGGGGTAATGTGATGGGGTCGACGGGCGTAGCGGGGTAGGACTGGGGTGTGCGGTCGGCAGTGGAGGGGAGGAGCGCGGCGGTGAGCTTTGAAAGCTCTTCGCGCGTCCCACGAAGCTGCTCGAGGAGCACTTCGTTCTCTCGCTCGAGGTGCTGGATGCGCTGGCGGAAGCGTTCGCGCTCGGGCTCATGGGAGCGCGAGCTCTTGTCCTTGCTTCGCTCTTTCTCCTTGCCTCGTTCTTTCTCCTTCCTTCGCTCTCGCCCCTGCTCCTTGTCCCTATCTCTGTCCCGTTCCCGCTCCCTCTCCTTGTCTCTCTCCTTGGGCTTGTCGTCCTTGCCGGACAGCCGGCGTGTTGAAGGATGGCGGTGAGTCGTTCGAGAGCGCAGGGAGTACTCGCTCTGGTGGTCGGTGAGGTCGTCGACGATGCGGACCGGGGGCAGGAGCCAGTCGACAAAGTCCCAGAAGGCGTTCATGGCGCTGTGGCGTCTGCTGTGGCTTCTGGGGTGGAAATACGAGTGTAGTGTGTAGTGAAGGATGCGAGAATCATCCGGCGGGTGGCCGCCAAGAGACATGCGCTATGGGGAAGCAGGAGTTGAAGCGAAGGGTGCGGGGCAGCACATAAGGCGACCGATGACGAGTCGGGTCTGGGAGGAGAATGGTCGTGGAATTGCCGAGGGGACGGGATCCGGAGAGATGGTACAGACTGCCGACAATCAGACTTTGGTCTGCTTATCGGTATCGAGCGTGGCGGGGGTGGGCAAAGGGAGCGGTGAAGTGAGCGAGCTGCCTCGCTCTGCCAACGTGCCCGAGCACCCTGCCGCAGCAAGCTCGCCGTTCCGGGAAATGGGCGGCAATGGAGTGTGTCAAGCGCCCATCTACTTTGATTTGACCACGTTCGCAGTTTATGATACTACCACGGTGTCGAGCTCGCTCCGGAGTTTCAGCTAGCTCCTTGTCAAGGAACTCAAGGACGTCTACGTTATCGTGCGTTGTTTCTCCCGCTCGTGATCCATCGCCACAGAATTCTCAGAAGCTGAGGTATTCCGACTATAGAGCTTCAAAGCTTCAAGACCAACGGGAATGAGTGCTGGCAAGCGCACGCTCCCCTTACCGACACACCTCCCACCCCGACGTTGAAGCGGATGCCTTTGAAGCTAGCTCTCGCGCACGGTGTATGGTGAATGAGTCACAATCGTCTTATCATCTCACATGCATTTTAGCAACACGGTAATCCCTGCACTATCATAGCCTAGCCTTGTTAACGAAGCTAAGGTCCATACAGCCTGCCCTCCACAGAGAGCCATCGCATCTCCACTACACTGGCCGCACAGCCGGCTCAAAGCCCGTCCACTTCCCCACCACGTCCGCCACCTCGTCGTCGTGCATCATGAACCGGTCCTCCGACCTGCCCGTCGCCACCGTCTGCATCCACCGCATCGCCGTCGCGCTCACGTTGGTGATCCACCTCACCGTACCGTCCCGCACCGTCGTCTCCAGGACCGCCGCAAGCGCCCCGATCTCCCCGTCGAGGTACCTCCTCAGCGTCCCCTCCGGCTCAAGCACCGCGTTCGCCCGCCAGTGGTCCGCGAAGCGCCGGAGCGTCGAGAACAGCACCACGTCGTTCATCCAGATGCAGTTGCGCCCGAGGAGGCCGTAGCCCACGCGTGCGACGCGCGCGTCGACGATCCGCAGCAACCCCGCGAGCGCGTCGAGCGACGGCCCTCCCGCGGGGTCGCGACCCTCCGCCAGCGCGAAGCGCGACGTGCGCCAGTCCTGGGGCGGGGCGAGCGCGGCGCGGTCGTCGGCAGCCTTGGCGGTGAGCACGCACGGGCCTTCCAGCGCGCCGCCGGTGCGGAACATGTCGAGGCGGATGTAGGTGAGGGGGTCGGCGTCGGTGTGGCTGGGGGGCCGAGGGCAGAGGACGCCGACGAGGATGTACTGGTGGCCGAAAACGCCGGCGGTGCTCTTGCCGGGGGTTTGGTAGGCCTCGAAGGAGACGACGGGGAGTCTGCGGAGGAAAATGGAGGCGTTTTCGATCAAGGTGGCGAGTTCGGCGAACGTGAGACGGTCGGTAGGAGTGCCTGCAGGGCGCTGGGCGATGACGGGGATGAGCAGCTTGATGGAGGCATCGAGTGGTTGCTCCGAGATGCTCTGCCCAGGATTGATGTGCTTCAGGAGTTCTATGCCGAGGTTGGAGCAGGAAAGAAGTTGTGGAAGAGAAAGAGGGAACGCGGAGAGGGAGGGATTTGAGCTCAAAGGCGTGCTTGTAGCGAGTGATAGCGTGAGGATGGACATGGTTGAGGATTCGAGGCTTGCCTTGGGGCTCAGATCTCAGAATCATAGCGTTATCACTGAGAGCTGTGATGTGTGCTGCGGTAAGAGCTCCTGGAGCCTTGAGGCATCCTAGAGAAGCAAATTAAGCTCAATGGAGAAGTTCGCGTTGAGTTCGCGACCTGAGCTCTGGCTCGAGAGTTTTAGAGAAAGCACCCATGCTAATGATTCGGCACTATGCTCGTAGCTACGCTTCTTTTAACGCTTAGTGGGCGACGAGGGCGAGCAGACGCGAAGGTGTTAATGAAGTAATGAAGCCCGGCCGAAATATTGGGAGAGCGCACACCGCACGTGCGCAAGTGACCAGTGACACCAGCAGGTTCAGACGGCGAACAGATGTTCGCACTCCGCATTCGCCGGAGCAAGCCGCTACTAATTAAGACCGCTGGCGCCTCTTCTTGAGTACTCTTCCGAGTTTATGGTAAGAACTGCACCTTTCCTGAGGCCTGAGGACCTCTGCGAGCGGGTTAGCATGTCCATACTAATAGGTGCGGCTCTTGTCGACCATGGTGTCTCCAATTCTGATGGCCAAATATCAACCCACGCGCTGTTTGAGTTTATGCTCGGCGCGCGAAGCTGAAGCTGAAGCTTCTAGGCGGATTTACTGCTCTCTCAGTAGTATGCATCGCTAAATTTGCTATCAGGGTTTCTCTGCAAGCTCCCATGGGGGACCAGCTCCATCCAGAGGAACTTTCCAGACACGGGCTCATATAACTCACGGGATCCTTTGAGGCCCTACCCTTTTCCGACCTACAAGCTCCCTTTGCCCAGCCATCATGTCTCTCCTCGCCCATGCAGGAAAAATCCCCCTCTTGATCTTAATGACTTGGCCACAATATGTCGCCCACACTCCTCCCAACCCTGTCGTCACCGAGCGGTCCGCAGCACTTCCGGCATCTGTAGGGCGTGCGACCGTCCAGTTGAGGCCGGTGTGGATGCGACACGTACATAAGGTCAGAGACCCTTCGTCTCATACGGTCGAGCCTTCCTCACTCAACGATCTTGACCAGGCGATGATGGAAGCCGTCATACTCGCCGACATTCTCGCCATTGCAGCATTTTTTCTACCCGCCAGCATTGCTCTCTCGCTCCCAGTCGACGAAGCCACTTTCGCCACTTGTGCACGGATCCGCATCACGCCCGCATTCCTCGTCGGATGGACCCTCCTTGTCGTCGGGGCCTGGTTGAAGATGGCATCCTTCCGCGAGCTCGGCAAGCACTTCACGTTCGAAGTCACAGTGCAGAACGACCATCGCCTCGTCACAACCGGCCCGTATTCCGTCGTTCGCCACCCGGCCTACACGGCGACGTGGATCATGTTCGTCGGGACTGTGCTCTGCGCTTTTAGCGAAGGGGCGTGGTTCAGAGAGTCCGGGTTCCTCCACACCTGGAAGGGCCGGCTCATCGCGCTGTTGTGGGTGGCAGACCTCACGTACGCGCCTTCGATGATGGTTTTCAAGCGGGTGCGGGTCGAAGACGCTCTGATGAAGAAGACCTTCGGGAAGGAGTGGGACGAATGGACGAAGCAAACGCCGTGGGCGGTCTTACCGTGGATATACTGAGTGGAGGATTATCTGTACGTATTTTATCGTCTGTCGCGACTATCACCTCAAATCAATAAGTTAACACTCAAAAGTTCGTTTAGACACATAACCCACCTGTTTTCATTGTCTTGTGCAACTTATGCAATAAGGGACTATCTCGGCCCAGTTGCGCAGACATACCTACAACATGCTCGTCGACGATGGAGTCACCACCGTCTCACCAGATCGCGCGCGCGGCGCCTTTGTTCGGGTTAGAACGCGTATGATGGGGATGCGTTCAGGTGCGACTCCACAGATGTTCAAACGGGTGCTCCAGGGCTCATAGTGGCGTTGAGTGTGAACGGCGTTGCGCGCGCGCGAGCAGCTCGGCGGCGGCGATGGCGCACTGTGCTGCGAGCGCATACCCCGGGCGGTGAGTGCGGTTTCGCCGTATCTGCGTGTCGTAGCCAAAACGTGCATTGTCGATAATTACCCTTTCGCCCTCGCTCCCGCTCCTTGTCACTCTTTCCGTCCCGCTCCGTCTCTCTATCCTGTCTCTTCCATGTTCGCATTAATACGCTCCCTTCATCGAGAACAGGGAGACGCCATTGATAGTTCGCCAAGGAGGCGCTCTAGGTTCAGGTTGACTTACGCACGCATGACCCACTCGACGGCAGCTATGGACTACATTGGAAAACCGAATGAGGGGAACATCCTCCGAAGTCATGGGGACCTATGATACACATGTTACAGTATGCAGAGATGTAATAGAGGTGAAATTCAGACGACGGTCTTGCGGGTGATGACATCCTCTTTGTGCTGGATGGTCTCGACAACCGTGTCGCCCCGGGCTTGCTTGAGGGGACCGTCTACTTCATCGCGCGCATACCGTGCCTCAGGACTCCCCTCGTCGTCGTTGTGCATGCGAGACGTTGACACACCTGGCTCGAGCGGAGCGGGTTCGGTGAAGACCGACGAGTCGCCGCCGCCATGGCGCTCCCGGACGTACTTGACGGTGCGGTCCTGCATCTCCTTGGGAGAGCTCGAGTGGCGATCGGCCTACGGGCACGCAGGATGAGCCCAGTTGGGATGGATCGCCGGATGGCTTCACGAACCTTGATTGCGGCCTCGGACGCGCTTGCGAGGGACTCGTTCCAGCCTGGCGCCTCAGGAATGGGAGTCGACGTCTTGTGCTGCTGCCTGCTCAAGTTACGTAATTTTTCCGCCTCAAGAACCTGCGCAGGAAATGCATGAGCGCGTAGTATCACTGTACAGCTTGATATGTACCTCAGGGTCGTTGTCGTGCATCGTGCTTGAAAAGCGGGCAGGAGCGACGGACGAGCGCAGAAGAGAGCGCTTCAGAGCAGTGCGGGCGGTGGCAGGGATGATGTTGGACATGGCGGGGGAAGATGGTCGTTGTCTGTGAGCAAGAGCGGCGGGGTATAAGCAAGTCACGGTGGGGCTCGCCCCGTTCGCGGATGACGTCTGGCCAGAAATGCCATGACGTCACTTGGCTTCCCGTTCCCGGCTGGGGTCGCGTCTATTCGATGCGTACGTAATCAACTTCAAGTTCCGCTCGGTCGTGCTGGTACCGCGCCTGGAATGCTGATTTGAGTACGCGCGAAGTGGGACAGACAATTGATCCACACCTAATGGATTCGCATGTGCTGCCCGCTCATGGCCAGTGGCTGCGTCAGAAGTTTGATCGACCTGCCAAAACTGGACTGGGGGCGGAATCAGTCGGCCCGGACGCGCGCTTTTGCCAGCGTGGAAGGAGCGGTTGCCCGAGACGCACGTCTTGACTCGATACTGCCACTCCGCTTGCTTTCTCTGGTCGCCGTCATGCTGCATGCCACGCTCGCTGCCCTTCTAGACATTTCACAGCATTTTCTTTCTTGTGGCTACCTCCAGGCAGGTTCTCATCACTCCTGTTGAAAGACTCTCGTCACTCAAAGGTGCCTCCGTTTGCTTTCAGATCGTTGTCCCGTATGTCGTGACACGCCGACTGGCTGCTCACCCTGGCGTCCGCCTGGTTCAGGAGTTTCATCTCAAGTTCTTGGCGCCCATGTCTCGAAGCGACAAACTGTTGGCAGTACTTGGCTCATGTCGAGCTCTTTGGTCTCTTTCCCGTAATCGTTGGTCTGGTTTCCTCGACGTCAATCCGCGGTGTGGTACTCTCAGGAAACCTATAGAACATCTTCACTCCTCCCTCAAACGGACTTTGAGGACGCTTTGTCTTTCCCTTGAGCGCTTCCCACGCCTCTCAAGCTGTACCGCTGCTTTGCTCTTCGCTCGACGTGCACCACTCCAACGCGCTTTGTCTCTCCCTGCTTTCTGTACCACTACCACAACGATGAGGAGGTATATGAAGATGTATCAGGTGCCCCCAACCCTCAGTTTTGAGCTCGCTGTCTCGTCTACTGTGGCTTCTTGCGTATACTGTCTGTTTTCCTACGAAATTCAAGATGTCTTCAAGCATCCTCATCCCCCTCTCCAACCTTGACGTATCGATGCTCGCGCATACCAAGGCTGTCGCTTCGCATCCGTCGCTTCCTCCTTTCTTCCCTGCGGGGAAGCATTTGACCATACGGCTATACATCCAGGTTAGCGGCCTGCGATCCATTGTATGAATCTGGTCGGCTAACCTGCGCACTCAGATTGCGGGAAGAAGTCAGGAGGTTCTTCATCACTTCGGCGCGCATTGGGATGCCTCGACTCTGGCGCATGAAGTCGCTGTTATCGTCGCCCAGGCCGTGGTACGTCCTCGGTTTCGGTGTCTGAAGAGTCCTGTTGCTGACGCGCAGCCGTTCAGGCTCGCATGGGGATCCCCCATCAAGAGCTTGACAATACCTTCTTGACGCCAATGACTCTCGACTCTTCTGGGAGTGTATGGAATATCGGCGCGATGACTCCTGGGTGCGGTGGGATGAACCGCTGCTTCTGAGCCTGGGCACAGCACTGTGACCGTGGCCTCTCAGTGCGCGCTCTGTCTCGTCTCCTCAACGGCTGGCACCGTATTCTGTTGTACTCTGTATCAATAGCTTTCTCGCCCTCGTATACCCTGCATTCAATACCCTATAATAAATAATGCGATGTTCTCCCTCGGAATCGAACTTGCGCGCTTCTCGTTTTGATGTGTTGGCCTGCGCTAAGTGTCACTAAACGGACACACTTTTTTGACCTTAGACTACTACTATGGGTATAGGGTGAATCTTAACGAATAGTAAGCCTGTACTAGGGTAGTAATGCCGTCATGCGCGCGTGCTCCCCTGGCCATACATACGCGTCCTACACCTTGATCGATATCGCCGAGTCCACATCATGTGTATGAGACCCAGAGTGCGCTCTGTCGATCGTCTATCGTATGGATTCACCGAACAATACTTCATACATCTCAACAGCGCGACGTACACCACTCAAACTGACCGAGACCTGTCTGTGGCAACGCCGTCTCGCTTGGGTGACACAACACAAGCTGTCGGCCACACCTCTCGATCGAGACACTCGCTAGCAACGTCCTCAGCTTCGTCCAACCGCTAAGCTGTCGCAGAACCCTAGCCCGCCGTCCACTGCTTTTCTCTTCCACTCCTTCAGGTCCCCCGTATAAAATCCCCTGCGATGCCGCGCCGTACTCTCCAACCTGCCTCGCACATCCCCCACCTTCCCCACCATCTCGACAATGCACTCTCAGCGCTCCCAGCAGCAACAGGACCCTGCCGTCAAGTCAGAGCGGGCGCGCGCACTGCACCGGAAGAAGTCCTTCCACAAGCCCTGCGACGATTTCATCTTGTTCGGCCAACACAAGGACGACCGTGGGCCGTTCTTCACGCTCGGGGAGCTCACATCCAATAATCCTGCGGACCAAGCCTCGGTGCGTATCGCGATGTGCGAGGCGTCGGACTACGTCTCTCGCCCCAACTCCTCACTCCGCATTGTCAATCCCGTACGTCGCTTGCGATCTTCTTCGCTGCGCGCACCCGCTGATTTCAGTCGGGCAGGCGCCATCGAACCACAGCTCGCATCAGTACTTCCTAAAATGTCTCAAAATGTCTCAAAATGTCTCAAAACCTCTGTGGAGAGGCTTCAGATGTTGTGAGATGTTTTGAGACATTCAGAATTTCTCTCACTTTCAAATTTTAGTGAGATGTCGTGTGAGAGATCTCAGACAGATGAGAAAAACCAGATGTTCAAGATAAGAACCATTTTGCTTGCACTGTCGAGTTACTACACACTCGGGGGGCACACAAGTGATACATCGTGACTCGTGAGCAGACTCAAATCAATCATATATTAAAGTGATACTATCGAAGCGAATGCGGACGGGGTCAGGTATTAAAGTGCTACGGTAGGCGGTCAATCGGCGTAGGGCACGGTCGAACTCTTCTCATGCTATCTGGGAGGGAGGCTCCATCACAACGCGTAGGCTCATCGGAGGCACACTGCTGCAGTCCCGGGCTTGCGCGCGAGCGGGCCAGCCCAGCACGCAAGGATGGCTCCGGTCGCGTTCGTGCAGGCATAGGTGTTGCCAGCGGGTATCATGCGCACGAGTCGTACCCCAGCAGCCTGTTGAGCCCGGGCCTAACCTGTACGGTGCGCCGCTGTCGCCGTCGAATGTGTACTGCATGTACGGCAGATTGCAGGCGTCTCATCTGCAGCCGTCGCAACAGGAGTCCACGCCGTGTCGACGAACACCTGCACCACCGCCCTGATCTCTTCATCGTCCATAGCGCGCGGGATCATGCCTGAGGCCTCGGTGGAGGGTACGAAGAGCACATCCACAAAGCCGCCGGTATACGCTCTGGGTTGGAATATGACCTCACCTGTCCCCGACAACGGTGTGACGTCCCTGCGACCGCGGCGGCGCAGGCCCCACACGACCGAGAAACGCAGCCCAGACCTGGCGGCGTGTGTTGCGGTCGGGCCCGCAGGGGTGGGGGGTGACGTGTGTTGTGGGGCACCCGTCGAACGCCTTGACGTAGTCCGAAGTGAAGACGAGAACACTGCATTAGTACTCAACATGGGCAGAGAAAGACGGCGAGCGCACCATTGGGGGACTGATAGGACGTGGATCGCAGAAATCGGGCGTGGAGAAGCGGTGGAAGAGGGACAGACTCTCCCGGATGGGCAGGCGGAGTGGGAGCGGCGCGGAGCTGGTGCAGGGGACTTCATACGCCCTCTCATCAGTGGCCCACACAATCAAATAAGATGGCAACTACTACGCACTTTTTGACACAGCAAGCAGACCACCAAAAATGCTCTAACCCTTGGTGTGGAGCGTGGCCAGAGTGAGGGCGAGGACAGTGGTGGAAGTGGCGAATGAGAGGCTGCGCTGGCAGAGTCCGCCTGAGCAGAGGCTGAGATTCCCACGCCACGCACTGCCAGCACAGACGACATCGGACATGTCGCAGCATCACCCGCCTCCTCGTCCTCCCCTCGTATCCTCCCTGCTGCCGTCTCCAGCTTTTCATGACACCCGTTCTCTTGCTTGTCTAATTCCACCTCGCCTTCAGCGCACGCATTGCCACCTCGCTCACCTCACCCACCCGTGTCACCGCCTCCCCAGCGTCACCCCGAGTAGCGATCCCCCTACCGCTGATCTGCATCCGCGAGCTCGAGTAGGAGGACAAACACCCCGGCGCGTTGAGGAGCTCTGCCGCTAGCTCAAGATCAAGAACGGCGTGCTCCACAACAGCGCCTCCCCCAGGACGCGCGACTACTACACCTTTGCGCTCTCCGACGGCCGCCATTTTGACGGCCGGGGTCAAGTACCGCCGCACTATGGGCACGATGTCTGTGAGTGCATTCGTTCTATCTCAGCGTTTTTTCTCTCCTCCTCCCCACCAGTGGGCGCTCGCGACCTCGTACGGGCACAACGTGCTCCCCTGGTTCTCGCACCACCAGTTGCAGTCTGAGCTCGTCAAGCTCGAGGACAAGCAGCACCACACGGTGAGCGCCCCTCCGCTCTGCGTCACACCGAGCGCGAGACTGATGATTGGTACCCCCACCACCCGCCTGGCCCTTGTCAACCACATCGCACGCGCCTCCCCCGACCTCGCCCATGTCTTCCACGTCGCGCCAACATCACCCGCCTCGCCCATCTCCGTGCGGACAGGCCGCGACGCTCTCCCAAACAGGCCCGTCTTCCTGCTCACTCTCAAACTGCACCACTGCCTGCGTGTGCAGGCAAAGTATGAGTGGACGCTCACGGGCAAGGACATTGCGGTTTTCCTCGGTGTGGGCGTGGACGCGAAGGACGGTCTGGCGCGGCCTCCGATTGAGGCAGCGTCGGGAGCATGGGACGGAGCCGTGGGTGCAGCGTGCGGTGTTCGCGTGCACACTTGCGCTCGACCGCCCGCCATCGTTCGTGCTGCACAACATGGAGTGTGCGGTGCGTTCACCTCCAGGTCGTGCATGCTTGTGTCTGCTGCCGTCTTCAGTACTCCTTTGTGGTCCGGGTGCCGTCCCTGGGCCTGGGGAATTGGCGTTTGCATGCATGCCCCCGCGCTCGCGAACCACGGATACATGTAAGTCTCAGTCCACACCCCCTCCTTGTGTCCGCCACAACCTGACACGCCGTCCACCAGTCCGCAAGACGGCCGCGCGTTCACCCACGCCCAGCTCGTCGCTGCCGTCCGCGCGGTCTACAACCTCTCCACGCCCATCGCGCGGCTCACGACTGCGCTCGCGCTCGCGTGCTGCGGCGACTGCTCTACGCTCGGCAGCAGCGGGCGCACGCTCGACCTGCACGCGCTCGTGTGTCACGGCAGCGCTCGAGCAAGATGCGTCGCTCGTGCATGCTACCGTGGCTGACGATGACAACGGGACGCCAGCAGCGTCCTTCGCGCCCGTACGCCCGAATTCGCCCTAGGCGGGTCCCTTCGCATCTAGTACACCTCACTCTTTTCACCGGTTTATTGTGTAGAATACTCTCGATATTACCGCAGTTAGTTGTAATATATCTCATTCTCGCCCTTGAAGCTCGCCATATGGCATAGATGATGGCCCTCTAGCTCCCGTGTGCTGCCAGTGCTGATACCAGTTGTCTGAATCGTCTGAGATCTATCTGGGATATCTGCTTGCCTCTCACCTATCTGAGACCTCTCACACAAGATGAGCCAGAGATCTGAGAGATTCAGAAATCTTGGGAAGTACTGATGACTCCTGGTTTGAGCACTACCCTGTGGAATTTAGGAAGACGCGGCTCGAGCTCGCCCAGGAGCTTGCCGAGAAACTCAAGAGCGTCTACATGAATGTGCGTCGTTTCTCCCACTCGTGATCCACCGCCGCTGAATTCTGGGGACTTCTCAGAACTTTGGGTACTCCGAAGAGCAGGCGAACAAGCTCCTGCTCGTCAAACTGTCCAAGATCAACGGGAATGACTACTGGCAAGCGGAAACTAATGACACATCTTCCACCTCGACGTTGAAGCGGATGCCTTCGAGGCCAGCTCTCCCGCGCAGTGTATGGTGAAAAGGCGGCAAACGCGTAATCATTTCACGTGTATTTTAGCACCACTATGATCCCAACAGCCTGTATCATAACAGTCTTGACAACGAAGCCAAAGTCCATGCAACCCACCCTCTACAGGTCGTCATCACATCGCCGGCTCAAACTCCGTCCACTTCCCCACCACGTCCGCCGCTCCCTCGTCGTGCATCGCTGTGAACCGGTCCTCCGACCCGCCCGTCGCCACCGTCTGCACCCACCGCACCGCCGTTGCGCCCACATTGGTGAGCCACCTCGTCGCCCAGTTCCTACACCGTCGTCTCCAGTACAGCCGCAAGCGCCCCGACCTCCCCGTCGAGATACCTCCTTAGCGTCCCCCCTGGCTCGAGCATCGTGTTCGCGCGCCAGAGGTCCGTGAAACGCCGGAGCGTCGAGAGCAGCAGCACATCGTTCATCCAGATGCAGTTGCGCCCAAGGAGGCCATCACCCACGCGCGCAACGTGCACCAGCTGAGTCCACGCGCCACGAGCGCGGCGCGGTCGTCAACGACCTTCGCGATGTACACACGTCCCGGGCCCTCGATATGACGATGATGAACAGCAAACATACAGCTCAGGTTGGTGTTGCGCGAGCACATCCTGGCGGGATTGCATGCTAGCTACGGCCCCAAGCGTCCGCGTCGTACAGCGTACGCTGATGATTTGCCGTGATACTACTCAGTACATATACTCCCGCGAGCCCGGCCCACTCTCCCAAAAGGCCTCAACTTCAATTTGCTGAGCCTCATACCTCTGCCGTTCTGCCTCGCATCTCTGAATGTCTGCCTCAGCCATCCGGTATAAAATCCTGAACAGCCGACTTGCTTCCTCGAATTCTCGGTGGTTCTCCTCGATCCAACGTCGTTTTTTCTCCATCCTCTGGCGTTCCTCCTCACAACGCTGGGACTTGGCCTCGCACAACTGGCGATGTGCATCACGTATGGCTTGATCCTCGCGCTCTATTTGCGATTCAAAGTACCACCAATCGAGTAGTGCTTGAGGCGCGGCGGAAGGTGCGACGTTTCCGATTCCACTGTTCACTCCGCCGCAACTCGTGGGTGTTGCTACCGCACGAGGCCGACGTTCAGCACGGTGTATCACATGAGGGCGCAACATACTTACAATGGGGCATCGGCCGGCTAACGGGTGCCTCAGAATGGAAAGAAAAGGAACGGGCCAAGGCAGCGACGAGGCGGCGGAGCACACCTATCTTATGTTCCTCATGTCCGGGGTTCTTCGGAGAGCGTGGCATGTGAGTGGATAGGTGAGGGTGAGTCTCCGTGCCACGAGTGAGTATTGAGCGTACGTTTACTTATATGAAGTTCCGACAAGTCTTGCCAGAAAGGAGCTTTGCGCACGCCGGCGATGACGCACTGAGGCTATTCCGAGCCGCCATTCGCGCGCGAAAGGAGCTTCAAGTCAATCGCGTTCCAATCCTGTGCACATAACATAGTATGGAGGATTCCGGGCTCCCTCCATACCACAAGCTTGGCACATTACCGAGCAAGACAAGTCCGAAGGCGGCAGAGGGGTGTGGGGATCCCGAACCGGTGGCACCTGCTACCAACAGGGGGTTTTCAAACTCCGATTCACCGGGCGCCGTTGACTTCAGTCCGCACGCCCGAGTGGTAGACCATTCCGCGCAGCCCTTACTAATCGATGCTTGAGAGCAGGATGGAACGGCGGCCTAAGGTTACTACACAAATCAGGTTGCCATACGGCAAAATGGACAGGCTCATTGTGCGCTGCGGACTCGGTCGGAGCCTTGCGGCCCGGTAAATATGGGACAGTGCGCGACACTCCTTTCACGGCTTATGCATCTCCCTGGAATGTGAACCTTAGATGAAGTGTACATATACATGCTTCCACATCTCAGTCTTCAAAAAATCTTCCCTCCCAACCTGCGCTCCTATTCACTGCCAACTATGCCGTTTTTTCAAACTACCTCCCGAGACGACAGAAGATTGAAGCCGGGCGAAACGATATGTCTGGCGTCGCGGCCTCAACCTGCCGAGGGCCAGTGCGCGCTATTCCGCTTCATCTCGTCCTCTGTCCGCCGTTTTTCCTCTCGTTCTGTTGCGCGTGCGGTACGTCGACAAACGGCTCCCCAGGTACCTTCCGGTATGTCTGTCAGGCACCTGTGCATCACGACGTACTGAAGTCGTGTTTGTGGATTAGCAACGCTTTACACTTGCGGAGGGGCCGCCAGCATCTCGGACAAACCACCCCCCAAAGCGCAACATCAATGCCACCAAATCGATCACGGGGATCCAGATGAGGCCCTCAGATGCGAGAAAAAATCCAAAGCGTGCGAATGCTCTCGCCAGAGGTGCGGAGTCGAACGTCAGCGGCACGAAGCAGACTGTCTGTGGTGTGAGCCTGCGGAACGCGACCCGCAGTACGAGACGGGACCCTTGAAGTGGAACGAGGAGGGCGCCACCGAGGGGTACGAGGCAGGAGGAGGCGGGCGCGAGGCGCGGCGTCAACAGCCTGAGGCGCGCGGCCAACAATGGGATCCGGAGGCCATAATCCAACAGCTCGGAGAAGAATGTCAGTGGAGCCAAGTCCTAATCCGGTTGATGGAGGCCCGGCATCACCGTGATGAGGCCCGACGCCAGCGCGACGAGGCTCGACGCCAAGGGTACAAAGAAGCACTATCTAGGGCTTATGGCGTGACGAGAGGGTACTCTGCAAAATCGTAGCAGTCAACCGGAGAAAGCACTGGATTCTTAACATGTAACATGATATATGGGAGTTTTGAGAGTCGGAATTGCTACTCTGCTCCGCGACGCGACGAAAACTGAGTCATGCTAGTGCTGTGGCAGAAGCTGGAAGAAGTAGGGCTAGAGGTAACGTTCTCTCGCCGCGGACTCCAGTGCTGTGACTCGGTCCGCCCAGGTCAGCCTGAATCTGGGGTTCGGGTTCTCGAAAACTATGGGGCAAGTTGCGGATCCGCTCGTGGAGCCGTCATAACAAAATTCTATGCGATTAACAGATCTCGTAACATCCAGTATACGTCAAATAACAGTAGGGTGCAAGACATTCAAGAAAGGTGTCCCCTCGTCACGAACTCGTAGTAGAACGCGGCACCGCCACAACACTGTGCACGCTGGTACCATAGTCTCTCTCGTCCACGCGCCTCGCGGCAAATGGGATTTTTTCGAAGGTACGGGCTAGAACACAGTAAATGCAGGGGGGCGTCGCTGGATCGGGGACAGAAGGCAGAAGAAAGGGGGTCGTAGAACGAGCCGTGAGAAGAGTCAAAAGTCCGAGGATCTCTGACAGAGCCTCTCCGAGCGGTGAAGCTATGAAGAGTAAGTGACGAGTCGTTCTCGGCGAAGGAAACGTAAAGCGCCAACGCGTGAGGGCCGTAAGAGTCTATGAGGAACTTGGGAGTGTCGTAAAATAGGCGATACAAAGTAGAGTCCAGGGAGCGCAAAAGATGCGCTAACAGTCCATGGAGAATCCCGATAGTGATCGCTTAGAGCACGACTACAAATGAGATGCCATGAGTGACCGAACGCGATCATAGAAGTGCGAGCTTAGTAGACGTACTGGGCACACAGCCAATCGAGATGAGACCACCGAAGGAATTGTTCTCGCAGCATACAGTGTTGGCAGAGCTAGCATACATGGAGAGCGTGTTAGGTTTAGTTCGATATATTTGTCGAGAACACGCACCATGAGTGGCCCCCAATTGACACGATATCGATGGCCGAGCAGGTAAGACCGACGACGAGCTTGGGGTCGAGCACGAGGCCAAGCAGACCGATGATGAGCGCAGCGACGGGGTTGCCGGCGGTAGTGACCTCCTGGCAGCACTGGACGGGTCCAGTAGAGCACGAGCCCGGAGAGGAGGACGGCTTCGCGCGCTTGGCCGCTGAAAGTTGGGAACCAGAGGGATATGCGAACAGATGGGGAAGGCATAATTAGTGCGGTTTCTCATGGGTTGGTATAGAAGCGACGGGTGAAACAGATGGACAATTCGCGACGGAGATAAACAACGGAAGAAGGGGTGGGAAGCACTCCGCCACCCACGCGTCCTGATGGGCCGGAGGCGCGGTGGCAGCGAGGCGCGCAACGAGGGGACAGCGCGGGGGGAGGAGAGAAGAGGACGTACGGGTCGTAGGCGAGGGCTCGCGGAAGAGCTTGCGAGGAGCGCGAGGGGGAAGGCCACGAGCCATGCGCTCAGCGTTGGTGCCGATGGAGAGGGCCTGGACGGTGGCGAGAATGAGCGCGATGACGGCGAACACGATGGAGGCGGTCTTCATCTTGGCGAGGAGAGCTTGGGCGGTCGCAAGGACGGGGAGCAGACAAGCGGGCAAGAGGCAGGATCCGGGTGCGCGCGGGCGAGGGCGGGAGCAGGGGACGAGCTCGAGCTGGGGACAGATGTGTCGAGGAGAGAAGGATATATGGGTCGGGCGGCAAACTGCCAGACGCGCACTGGCGCCGCGCTCTTCGCTTCTCGCGCGCGATGGCCGACCGCGCGTCCGATGCGGGCTGAGCGCGGCAGGAGGGAGGATCGCGCTGAGCCGAGGCCGCAGACGGGCGACGCGAGATGTGCGCTAGCCCGCCGAGGCTGCGCAGGACGTTATCTCCTCCATCAGGCCGCTCAGTCGTCCGGCTTCGCCCAGCAGGAGCGGTGTCTTCGCCGACTACAGCTGCCGCGCAAACACGTTTCGAGGAGGTCTCTGCTATTGAACCTCCGCTGCACCTAACACGCTACGGCCGCCCGACCGGGGTGCGGCAGTGTGGGTGTCGCCTTTGGACAAGCACGCGTGTTCGGTTCGAAGCCGTCGGAGCGCCTGTACCGGCGTGTCAGTACCTTCCATACGAAGTGTGACACAAATGTGTTGAGCGATACATACCTGGCCCACTCTGAGCCCACTCCTCGCTGTTACTCACCTTCGCGTTCCTGAATATTCCCTCTGCGTCCAATCCCTCAGCAGATGTTCCATGCCTGCATCCACGCACTCGTCGGCCATCGCGGAGGTCCCGTTAGGATGAGAAAAGGGGGCGGCAGTGTGCAAACAACGCTCCACGAAGTGATGGTTGTGGGTGAGCAGCAGCTTACACTCTTAGGCGCTTGGTAGGCCTGGCCCGACCCTGCCCCCACGGCGGCCCGCCCGGCCCCTCTTAAACACCGACCCCGACACACCTCCGTCACCGACACAATCCTATTCACTGTGCTCGAAACCGTGGCACTCCGCGGCCTTGCGGGCCTTTGCGCTGCGCAGTGATGCATGCTCATAGTCCGACTCCCCTCAATCCAACGTATGCATTTATATTCAAATCAGGCTTCCTTTGAGTCCAAGTCTTCGCCCAACGTCCTTATCTCAGCCTTAGGCCTCAAAGAGAACATAAAAAGGCGTCATCTGGACTTCACGGCACTCGCCGGTGTACGTCACGACGCTGTCTCCGAATCCTTGGCTCTCTCGAAACGCTCTAAATTCATTCACGTCCACTCCCGGATCCCACTCCTAGGCACAAACAGCAGCACGAGCGTCAGCATCCGCCTCCGCGCAAACACCTCCCCCCCGCCATATCCCTGCCTCTGCTCACACACCACGCCATGGACGATCGCCACTGTTTGTGCACCCGGATCGCCTCGTTCCAGATAGCGAACGCTCCGCAGGCACCCTCTCTACCTGCGCTGCCAGCGCCGCACAACATGCCCGCCCGAACGCACTTGCCTACGTGGGCCGCGTCCGAAAGCCTCAGGTTGCGCTTCTGGCCCACGCGGGGATTCTTCGGGTGAGAGCCAATCCCACCGTCCGTCTGAAGCTGACGTTTCTCTTCGCTGCAGCCCGTCGCTCCCCTCGTGCTCTACGTACGCCACCTGACCTGCGAGTCTCGCGCAGTCCTTCCTTATGGGCGCTTACGCCGACGTCCGTCCTATTGATAGCGCCGAGCCTTGTCGTGGCGAGCCCACGGCATACAATTGAATGCGCGGTCAAGCCGGGTACGCGTCGCGTAAGGACACATGCCTTGCGTGACATTTCCGACGAGTACGGCGTGCCGTGCCCCTATGTGGGTGCACCCTAACCCCGCGCCGCCCGGAGTCAGCGATTAACGTTCCGTGGCGAGTCCCTGTCCCGGCCGCACGCTCGCTGACCTCGTCATTAGGAATCCTTCATCCAGGGCGCACTTACAGTTAGATGCGCGCGCGCGAACTACCGAACGCGGGACCGAGGGTGCGCATATGTAGATCCATCCTGTTCCAACACGCCGAGGCCCGACGCCATCGCTCGCCGTGTCGAGCGGAATCACGTCTTGTTCGCCCAGTGGCTTGAAAGCGCCACGCCCGACCGTTGGACACATCTCTGACTCCACCCCGTTGGCGTCCAGCGCTCCCGACGTCAGTCTTCGACCGCCTTCTGGCTCTGACGTTCCCCAAAAGACAAGTCGTCTTTATCTCACCACGCCTCCTTGCTCGATCCCGCCGTTCCCAAATATCTGGTCGCCTAACGCACAAGACCGTCCCGACGCACCGCCGACGCGGGCTCCAGCCCACCGTCCCCTCGCACGCCCGCGTGGTGCGCGGCTCTAAGCCGGCGCACGCACCGACCCAGACCGCCGTACGACCAACCGCCGGTCGTGCGGGGGCTCCAGAGCGCGCGTCGAAGGCCTGTCGCGCGACCGCACCCGCGTCTATCGCCGAGGACCGAGGCGACGACGGTCGTGAACCGCGCGCCGGCTTCGCGCCCTGAATGCCAGGGCCCGGGCCAATACAGTGCAGAGACGTTCAAGCACAACCCCGGCACTGCTCCCGGAACGCCGGAGCCTGGGCGCGAACTTGGTGCGTGCAGTCCGTCCGTGGCGCGCGGTCACCGGTCGGGCGGGGGTTGTGCGCCGGACGAGGCAAGGCTCGTGTATATCACGGGACGGGACGGCATACATCGGCTCGAGGACGCGGGAAGAGGGGGGTTAACGGAGGGCGTATAGAAGATGGACGGATGGATGGATTATGCGCAGTTGTTTCTTCCGGCGTGGAGTCGGCTGGATGGCTAGGAATAGTCTCATGCGCTCACAATAATTGTTTTTGTTGCTGTTCTGGTGAGACGGCAACTCTGTTGAAAGTGCTCGGATGTCGGTCGGCGTATGACGCTTGGTGAGTGTCGTTTCTGGAGACGCAATTTCGGATATCTACTGACCTTGGATCAACCTGCGGCTCCGTCGTGCGAACGGTAGCACTCCAGCCCCACGCACTACGCGCCGACGCGATCCGCATCTAGAAAAAAACCCGCCCGTCGTGAGCCGCGGCGCTTGGAAAACCTGTCTCCAACTTGGCATCTTCGATCAAGCAACCACCCCTCCACCATGTCCATGCACCCTCTCGCTGTCCACAACCTCTTTGGTAATGACGGAGGGCCCCATACGTCACGCTTGACGCGGTCCCGAGCATCCTCCCTGGCTCAGCACGCACCGTCCCGCGCCTGCGCGCTGGACCCGCGCGTGTACGGGATCCTCGACGGGTGGTGCCTCCCCTTCCTCCTGTTCGCGGCGTCCCACCCCGCCTGGGAGTCCAAGGCAAGCCCGTGGGGCGTCCACTTCGTCGCTGCGGCCGCGTGGCCGCCCGTCCCCGTCCCCGCCCTCGCGACCAACGGCGATCTGCAACTGCAGACTGGGCAAATGGGGAGAGTTGGACGATGGACGCGCGCGCGGTGCTCACGGTGGACCTCGCGGACCGTGCCGCCAAGCGCATCTGCGCCCTAGACTCTGAGCCGTCCCTGGACTTCCTCGCCCCAAAGGGCGGATCCGAACGGATGAGGGTCGGCCGCGAATCTTGTCGAGAGACCTGGATCGGTATAATGTGGCTGCGGCGCTGGGAAATTGAATACTGTTGTGTGAGTGTTGAACAAGCGATCTCACTGCCTAGGATGACGTCGGGAGGTTGGCGCAGATCATCCAGGGGGGCAGGAAGCTCAATCAAGAGATCCACTTACGCAAGATCGACGTTGTCGGTGAAGCGTACCTACTTACCTGGTTCAAGTATTTGAATGTTGCGCGCCTGCAGCCACGAAAGCCACAATTCTGCCATCGGCTAGAAACGGCCGCGCCAAGACGGGTGAGTGTGACTTCCACGTCAAGGCATGGGCTCATATAGGCATGCATCAGCACGACAGCACGCTGAGAGGGAGTTTTTTTTTTTTTTTTTTTTTTTTTTTTTTTTTTTTTGGTGGAGCATTTTCGGATAGTACCTTAGCTTTCGTCCGCTACAGGCTCGTCAAGCTTTTATTGGTACGTCCTAGCTAAACTGGCATTTCAGGGATATACCCTAAGCAGCCAGGGGCACAGGGAGTTTAAACCCCGTAATTTTGAGCCCACCCAGGGAGGAAATGCGTTTACGCACACGACCAGAGCCCGGGTGCAGCCGGCTCTGGAAGTAGTGTGGGACTCCTCCGGCATGATCGGCCGGCCATACCCACTAAAACCCCCGTAACGGTTTTTGGACGGCTGAGTCCGGGCGGGCTCGAACCCACGCATCTTAAGACGCGTGAGCTACCGAGCTTGAGCGATAGACCGTTACACTACCGCCGCCCCTGAGAGGGAGTTTCATCCCCGTCGTGAGTGCTGACCGCCTAAGGAGGGGGCCGGGGGAGTTGGAATGGACGCGACGAGGCCCACGAACGTGAAGCGAGGCACAAGGTGTGACACCATTGCACAGCTGCGAGGACGCGCGAGGACTGACGACTCGGATGTTTCTCACGGTGCCTTCGCTTGCCTCGTCTTCGCGACCTGCTGGGGCCCCCCGAAGCCTATGGGAGTTCAGACAGGGACTCGTTTTCGTGACTACTGGCAGCTACTGCGCACCTCCAAATGTCGCGCAACGCCACGTGGGGGGCCCAGGCTGCCATACTGGGTGGTGCGTATGGATGAAAAGGGGGCCCAAACGCCAGGCAAATCTGCACTCACGCCGGGTGGCGCAGCGGATCACCACCCCCGCGCCGGGACGACGGGCCTGCAAATCGAGAGTGGGCGTCTATCCTTTAGTGGATCGCCTCGCGACCGCTATAAAACATATCGCCCACCCCAATCATTTCCACGCGCTCGCTCTCTCTCCCTCCCACTTTCGCCTCTCACCACCGTTCGCCGTTGCGGCTCTTCCGGTCTTTACCTCCCTCACATTCTCTACCCCTACCGCCCGCCATGAAGTTCGCTCTCATCTTCTCCGTCCTCGCTGCCTTCACCGTCTCCGCAGTCGAGGCCGAGCGCATGACGAACGCTAAGCGTTTCTCTCTGGGTCTCCCTCCTCTCGCACCCCGCAACCTCCACAGGGGTTCCGGCACCTCCAGTACGTCTCCCCGTCTGTCACGATGCCCAGCGCCCAGCCTCGCTCGGCGCCACGATAACGGCTAATAACCGACGTATCGTGCACAGCTGCCCATAAGAGCTCCACCTCCGCGGCGCTCTGCATGAACAACCTCCTGTGCTGCGAAGAGACTGGCTCAAGCAACGATTCGCACTTCAAGGACCTTGCGTCCTCGTGCGGCCAGAAGACCCGTGGGTCCCAGTCTGCCTCGAGCTGCACGAAGATCTCGAGGGGCGACAGCTGGTGCGTACTTTCTTCCTCTCGAGTGCTGGGCCGTGGTCTGATCTCGCGCGACAGCTCGCACAAGACTGTGTGCTGCGGCTCGCACTTTGACCACACCTTCGCGACGGACTGCAAGCAGCGTACGTCCTCTCCTCTGCCCGTGCCTGCTGCGGGTGGTCGCGTCCGACACGAGCGCTGACCCTGCCCCAGTTTAAGCCGCTTGATGCACGTTCGACTCGCCTCCCACTGATCCGTGCCGAGGTTTCGAGTCTTGAGACGGCCGCCCGCGCGCGCGACTCACCGGTGCCTTACTCGTCACCCTGTCTCGCCTCGCCGTCTCGCCTCGCCTCCCTCTCCCTCTCGCTTGCGGTGATCGTGAAATAATTGGGACCAGCATGCGGTGTCCCGTCGCCGCGTGCCTCTTCCACCCACATCTATTCGTCTTCGCCCTCCGACACCCTTCGCGCTTCGGTCTGTAGAGCGGTGCGCCGCACGTACGTCGTGCGCACGCGCGTATACCAGTAGTAGACACATTACACTAGGCTTTCCACTATACATGCCGTAGAGGTTCTTGTCCGTTTTCCCCCCGGTGCGACGACCCTTGCGCCATCGTTCGAGCTCAACGTCGACGCCTGGAGCCCCGACGCCCCCCGCGTCTCTCATTTGAGGCATCGCCGCAGCGGACACTGATAAATTTCGCCAAAATGAGGGTGGGCTCAAGCGCACGCACGAGCCCGCCACCGTGTCGCCGTCGCGGCGCAGCAGGATCGCGATCGGCGTGGACGATCGTGCTCGGAACCGACGGCGGAATGATCGCTCGTGGGCGCGACGCCGGCAGCAGCTCGATCGGCGCGATTGACTCCGATGAGCTGAGAGAAGAGCCAGACGCTCGGTCGGACAGGAAGATAAGCACCACGTGCACGGTAAGCATCTGTATGTACAAAGAAACATGCTCGCATCCATGGTGGTGCGGATACGCGGCTCGTGGGTATAGTACATGTAATGTGATAGCCATCCCGGCATTGACTTTCTCTCTCGCAAGACGCAAGACACCTACAATGTGTCTCCTAAACTATGTACTCCCGAGTTGTACACACCCGTCGCTCCCAACCTACTGCACCTCCATCGCGCCCCACTCCAACACCCTGAACGCCGCAGGATCAGTCGCCGCCGCCTGCACCCCGACAACCTCGACCCAGTCGACGCTCCCGTCCGCGGCCCGCTCGCGCGCCGCGGCCCACGCCTCCGCCTCGTCCTCGCGCACCCCACGGAAGAGCACGAACACGCGCGTGACGACGTCCGGCGCCGGCGCGACGTGCAGCTCCGCCGCGCGCGCGTACGCCGCCTGCGCGACGAAACGGAGCGCGACGAACGGCGCCCTGGACAGCCGCGGGAGCCAGTAGGTGATGAAGTCGGTGCGCGCGGCGACGTGCAGGGTGAGGCGCTTGAGGGCGGCGTCGAGGTAGGGGAGGAGCTCGGCCGTGGGGAGGCAGACGGCGGTGGGCGAGGTCGGGTCGAGCGCGGGCGCGGTGGGGTCGAAGTGTTCGATGGGCGGCTGGGCGGCGAGAGTGGGGCTCGAGGGAGGGGAGGAGGGGGCGTGGTGCGCCTCGGCTTCCCAGAAGAGGTAGGAGAGCTCGAGGCCGGAGGAGCGTTCGAGGAGGGTGCCATCTGGTTGGGCGGAGACGGACCATGCGACGCATTGCTTCCCAGTGTCGGCGGAGACCTTGGTGTCAGCGAGGGGGTAGATGTGGGTGAAGCGCCATTGGGGGGCGAGGACCACGGAGACGTCGACGAGGGGCATGAAAGTCGGCGGAAAGATGTATATCACTGGCTTCCGAAGTCTGCGTGGCTGTAAAACACGCATGTGGACAGTATCTCCGTTTTGAATGGTGTAACTGCGCAGAGTATTGGCTGGTTTGAGCGTCATTTGTTTGAACGTCAAGGTCTGCGCTTCAGGACTGATGAGCTCTTTCACTTCGATAAGGAGTTGAAGGTCTTGAACCGTGGCGTCGTGCGTGACAGGAAAGGTCATTGTCTGGCCGTTCTCGGCACTGGCGGAGCTGGAGGTTAGTGACTCGTATGTGGCGTTAATCCGAGCACCACCCACTTCACGACATGTACGACATACTGCGGTTGCTGAGATTTGACACCCAGGGGAGGAGAAGAAGGTACGACGACATTTGAACTGAGAGGTCGTTGTGCATCAGATGAACGGAAGTGGCCATCCGAGAATTCGCAGTGGGTGCATACCTTGCTTCTTGTCCTTCAGGATCCCTCAATTGACAACTTTCCAACTGCGCATGGGCGCTCACTGTGTGTTCCACGTCTTCCATACGTGATCTGGAGATGACGCCTTGTAACAAGCGGGAAAGAGAAGGGAAGAGACGTAGAGGACGAGAGAGAGAGGAAAAGACGAGCCACTGCCACTGCCACGGCTGCGCAAGTGCCAGGCCCGCCCAGAAGGGCGGTCGCCACACCTAGGCGTTGGCACCACGATCATATGACTCGACGTGCTGTGCTGCATGAGCATAAACGGAAGCGGGGCAAGTATCCAATCTTGTCGACACGGCCGGGATCTAGTAGCGAGTGTCTTCAATGAAAATATACTGCACATGATGGAGGCTGGAGCAGAGGAAAGGCATTGAAAAAGGTATTGGATGACTTCCACAGGGACTTGTGACTCATACACGACCTCCAACCAATACCTCTTGCTATCCTTCGGCGGAAATCTACCAGTCTTATTTCTGCCTTGGTGTGCGGACAGTGTGTTGGACTGACTGAGAAAGCTGCATTCAGTTCGAACGAACGCGGTACAGGCTGCAGTGACTCGGCGCCTATGTCCGACTCCTGGGAGCGCGCGCATAGTAATGGTACTACTATGTCCCGCATTTCATGGATCCAGTACAGAGCTGAGTCGTCTCGCTCAGCTCGTATCGACTACTACACCAATTGACGAGAGAAACTCCAAGTACTCAATGCGCCTCCATATTTCCCCACTCAGGAACCCGGAATGCTCCTGGATCCCGTCACCCTGCTCTACGCCCCACATCCGCCGCCGCCGCCGCCAGCCACTCGCTCGCCTCATCCTCGCACACTCCGTGGAACAGCATGAGCGTGCGCGACGGCTTCCGAGGCCGGCACGACGTGCAGCTCCGCTGCGCGCTCGAACGTCGCTGCGGGAGGAAGCGCAGGGTGACATGGTGACGTCGGGAGAGCGAGGAAAGCCAGAACGGGAGGAAGTACAGTGTCCCACGGGTCCTTGGGACACCAAAAACAGTCTCGCTGATATCTCTGCGATTTTGTATCAGCGGTCGCTTATTTTTCATATCTACACAGTCTCACATAGTAGCTACATACATGAATATTTTCAGGGGGATCTGAATTACAAGAGACGAGTGCGACAAGAAATGACATATCGCCCGAAAGTTCGAACCCACCCCTCCTTGGGACGGCTCATACGTATCGGGCAATAGATCATGGATCTCCCACGACGCGCATCGGCGCTTCCGATGAGCCGTCGCGGCCGTGGTGCTCAATGCCATCCTCATCCCCACTGTTACCTTCATTCCGTATCCGTACCACGGCCTCCCCCTCGTCCTTATCAGGTGAGGTTTCCATGCAGGACACGGAGGGGCCAGACAGGACGACGCGTCGTGTGGGAGTGTCACGTGGTACGCGTATGTCGCCCAAAAAAGACGCCAGAAACGCCGGAAACCTGGGACATGTCCGGCATCACCAGCCCAGCCGTGTGATCACTTGAAACCCCGTAGGGAGAGAGCCAACATTACCGGAAGTCATTAAATCCATCTCCGAGCTTCAAGAAAGTTCCACTCTCCCAACGACATGTCCTCTAAGTTTGCTCACACTCTCGGAAATGTGAAAACATATTTTCATGGTCTCAATCAGCTCTGGGATCAGCTGGAATTGTCACTCTAGCTACATGGAACATCGTTGCGCACTGAAGTGCCGTTTTTTCAAGATTATAAGGAGTGTATATCAGGAGGATCCGAGGTCTGTCCCAAGGACCCGTGGGACACTGTAGTGGCGCGCCGTGAGAGCGGGGAGGACGTCCTCGAGGTGCGGCACTGCTGCGGGGTCGAAGCGGTCGAGCGTCTGGAGCGCGTAGCGGCCTGCATGTTCGTTCAGAACGTCTGCTGGCGGCTGGGAGGGGCAGAGACTTCCAATCCAATTTGCCAGGAAATCTGGCAGCCGGTCTGGGCCTTCTCCACGAGAGTGCCGCCAGGGTCGGCTGGAAACAGTCTACTTGGAGACTTGCTTGAAGTCTTTGGAGTAGGAAATATGTAGATATAAAGCGCCCTGATGACTGTATGATATTGGACCTGCTCGACTGCGGTCTTAGGATCGAGAAGACTATGTGGGTAGAAGACATACAAAGCTAGCTCCACACGTTGTCGGGGACACGGCTGAGGAGGTCGTCGGTGATCTCCACCTTCTTGGGCTTCAATGTGTCGACTAGCACAAGCTGGATAGGCGGACAACCGCCGGTCCGAAAGTGAGCATGAGCCTTTCGCACAAGACCACGCTAGATATAGAGCAAAGATATCGTGTGAGGTGCATCGGCAGCATCGAAGCGGCAGCGTTGATACCCACCTCAGAGCCATCGTTCTCGAATATGGTCGTTCGCCCATCCCACCACGTACGTATCAGGGGTACGATGGTGCAAGTTGCAAGATTGGAGTCGGCGCTGCTGGCTGAGTCCTAGACATGTCGTCAAGCGCGCGTGTTTCGAATTCGAGAATGAGTACGGCTGCAATCAGAGAGGCGCCTACGCGAGCTTGTCTTGCAACGTTTGAATATGAGGCGTGATAACATATTTGGGGAGAAGACCGTGGCCAGCCATCGCCTACCAGCCGGGACATACGCTTGCAGACCAACAGATTCCGAAGACTTCACCTGCCAAGGTGCAGTCGTGCGCACAGATTTGGAAGGAGGCCATCGGGAGTCTAGATTTACAGAGAATCGGCCACAATAAGCTTCACAATCATACTCGTACGTACACGTAGTCCCAGCGCCTGACACGAAAAGAAAAACAGGGTGCAGAGGCAAGGGGGAAGGGGCTATTGCGGATACATGCGCTTGAGGTGACGGTATTTCCGGAGGGAATACAACGCGAGCGTTTCTAGAAGAGGGGGATATGGCTCCGGGGAACGACGGACGACAAGAAACGCACCGTTGCGAATGTACTCGCCCATCCCGATCGCGTTCTCTATCTCCTGGGAATCGGTGAGGTGTCGATTCTCTGTTCTTGGGAGGAACCGTAGGTATCGCGGGCGAGTGGACGTCAAAACGTGTCGCCAGGCGCTATCGAGAACGGCTTACTCTCAAAAAGACCTCGAATCTTCCCATGATAGTTGTACCTGCAAGCGAAGTCAGCGACCGGTGCATGACGGGCGTTCACGAAGGTCGTGTGAGGGGACAACGGGTGACGTACGCAGGATCTGGATAGTCGCGGCCTAGCCTATGGAGTTCCTTGTATAGCGAGATGACTCTTGAGCGACATTCTCTGCTCGCCATATTTGAACAATGTACGCAGTGATTCTCAGTCGAGGCCCGACGGGGAGGGTGGACGAGAGAAACACTCACAAAGGCCTTCGCGCTCGCGAACCGGCACCTCGGGCAGTGGCTTTAAAGTTCCGATGTGAAAGCTGTGATAAATGGATTGGTCGGGGTTTCACTGTCTAGGGAAGTGGACGCGATTCGCGCGGCGATGGAGCTAGGAGCCTCTTGCGAAATGCTTGCGAGTAGCCTTTCGTGCGAAGAAAAAGGCAAGTAACATCATTGTAAAGGGACGCCCCGACTCAGCCAGTGCGGGCGCGCGCTGTTATGGTTTACGTAACACAAGAGCATGAACTCTGGATGCGCACTTTTGCAGGGACAATCTGTCTCACACTTCCACGCTTCTCCGACTTACTTCTTCTTCTCCAACTCCAATCTCAGGGTTCTCCACCTGCCATGTCTTACCACGAGTCTAGAGCGATCGACAACCCAGACGAGGCGTATTGGGAAGGCTATTGGGCGACCTGCCAACATATTCCCGAGTGGCTCCAGGAGCATCCAGAGCTCAAACAGAGAGGGATACAGCTGCGCCACATGGTAAAGCCGGTGAGTGTACGGCACGGTGGAGCTCGATGTGTCCCTATAACACGAGTTTTCAGCACGTTTTGTTCCGTACAGATGACTACGATCGACGAGAACGTTCGTTCATTGTCAAGCTCGTCCACTCCAGATCGAATGAACAAATCAATTATCGATACCTTCACCAGGATCCGGGGGCGCACAGGCACATCTTGCCGTGTGAGCTTGTCGATGACGAGAGGCGTTTCATTATTTTCCCTTTCATGCACAATTTCCTGTCGGTCAAATCGACGTATAGACAGCAGTGGTGTTGGAGCAGGATCTTATGGTACTACGACCTTTGCCTGCAGGTACGTCGTTCGTGGTCGTGCGAAGGGCCGTTCACATAATCTGGGTTTGCGCATAGGATGTGATCTATCTGCACCGACGGCACGTCGCCCATCTAGTGCGTTATGATGCATCTCATTGCTTGATTTTGTCTTACGTGGATGATCATTCCAGGACATTGCGTTGGAAAACTTCGTGTTCTCTCTGAGCACCGACGTCCTCATGGGGCGATCGATGTCTGCTGAACATCCCTATCTCATCGATTTCGAGTACTCTCGCCAGCTGCCCTGTGGCCCGGGCCTACAATCTCGGATAGAGCTCCCCCCTTCAATCGTGTCGAAACCTGGTGACGCTACCCGAATGGACCCGTATTCATGGGATGTGTACTGTATGGGATATGTGTTTCAACAGATGAATGCGGTCAGTACAGCTCAGTCATATCCACGGTATTCACAGTGAACTGACGCATCGATCTCACAGCTGTCTCCTCTGAAAGACATTACAGTACCCCCAACGGTCGTACTGTGGTACATCGGTTGGCTCCAGGGGAGTCCAAAGTGCATTTGCTTGTCCGCTTGTTCGTGTCGTCCGACTGCACGCCGAGCGCGACAAGTTTTGTATATTGTACGGTTTGTGGTGCACGTGCAGGAGTTGGGACAGTCGGTTGTCGCGCTGGCGACACGCTTATGGAGGGGTCGATGAGATATCATTATCCAGATTTGTTTTTTTCTCATGACCGCGACGATCCTAATTGTTCGTTGAGATAAGGTGCACGCGACCAGCGTATGTTTGAACTCCGCTCGTCTCAGGGTGGCCGAACCTCCAACCGACGTTAAACTCAGTCCACCTCCCCGCTGAGATCATACAGTGAGTGTTGCTACTCAGTTCAGACATCAAGCCACATCGGCTCACTCTGCATCCAGATGATCAGCAGTCATGGCTATGCCGCCTTTCACCGTCGAGGAACGCAACACATGTTTTCAAACCATCATCGAGGATATACCTCGACTGAACGGTCGTTTCTGGACGTTCGAAAACACGCCACTCGCCTTCGTCACATACGCAACCACCGTCGGTAATCATGTGGTCACTCTTATGAAGTCGGGCAAGACCACATTGGGTTTGAAAGGCCCTGGATTGCAGCATGTATTGCAGATCGACAACACCTCGTACAATCTCTACGTGTACGACTTAGGTGATGCCGTGAATGTTCAGCGCACGGTGATTGGACTACTCGAAGCCCTCAAGAAGAAGGAGCTCCATATCTTCACCCTGGACGAAAGTTGCGCCAAGTTTCGGTGAACGACTATTGGTGTGTAGTATGCATATACTTCGCTCTCTGCACGGCTGACGGTAAACATCCTCCACTCTTTGTTCCAGATCTTCTACGATCTGGTGTGACTGCACCACTCGCACACGATGCCGGGTATGGAGCACCCATGCATACGCACTCTCTGAAGCGCAGGGGCCATTACCTTGTACTTTGACCCGGTGATGTCTGGTCATAATTTATATGTGCCACTCGATATGTTTAGCGCTGGACGCAATGAATTCCCCCGAGTTGTCCCTTCCGCACGAATACACGTGTGCCGTCAATATGTAACCGCGGTGCTGGCATGCCGTGCGTAACAAACTGACAGTGACTGATGCCACACAGCGGGTGTCCGAGAAGCACGGGCGCTGTCCCGGCGGTTGCAGCGGTGGCGCCATTCCTCGCGCCATCCTTTCCTCTCGACCGCCACCACCCGCGCGCCCTCTCCTCCGTGCCCATTCTTCCATGGCGCCGAAGTCTACAGAAGCCGAAGATGCCATCTACGTCGCCTGCCCTCCCCCCAAGGTCGCCGTCGAACCCGCTGCACTACCCACCAATCTCAAGCTCACCGACGCTCAAGAGAAGCTGTACCTTGAGGTGGAGAAACACTTCCAGGCAGAGGACTACGTGTTGCCCGGAGTAGAGAACGGTGCGCTCACGGAGGAGGAAAAGTTCTGGTTGGTGCGTTCTGGAAAGGCGCCCTAGACGGCTCACTGACGTGCACGATGACGTTCCAAGACTCGCGAGTGCCTGCTCAGGTCCGTCACTCTTCTCTTAGGGCGTTAGGCACATCCACTCACGTGCCGAATTCTTCAGGTTTATCCGCGCGATCAAGTGGGCGAGCGCACCAGAAGGCGTCAAGAGGGTAGAGGCGACCTTGAGGTGGAGACGTGAATTTGGCGTATACGACGTCATCAATACTGCGCATGTCGAACCGGAGGTGCGTGCCCCTTCAAATTGGCAGCATTTGTCGCTCAACACCTGTGCGCTAGGCCGTGACGGGCAAGATGATGATTTGGGGCTACGACTCCGACAATCGACCTGCTCTCTACCTGCGTCCTAGTAGACAAAACACCGAGGAGAGCATCCGTCAAGTGCACTATGTGGTTTGGGCGCTGGAACGCCTAACGGAGCTTATGGGTCCTGGAGTCGAGTGAGTATCATTTGCTGTACGATGCATTGTCACTCATATGGGAGCATAGGACTCTTGTTCTCATGGTCGACTTTGCCGATCGCGCGAAGAACCCTTCGTTGGGTCAGGCTCGCACGGTACGTCTGAATCTACTCTTATCTTCCGCCATATGAGCTCATCTCCATCGGGCCTGCACAGGTGCTCAACATTCTGCAAACTCACTGTAAGCACCTCCCCCGCCCGCCTGCACATTCCTCCCCCGCTGACCGACTTGAAGACCCAGAGCGTCTCGGCCGCGCGCTCGTCGTGAACATCCCCTTCCTCGTGAACGCCTTCATGAAGCTCATCATACCCTTCATCGACCCGCTAACGCGCCCGAAGCTGCGTCTAAACCCGAACACGCTCGGCGAGGGCCTCTTCGCGCCGCCCGAGCTCATCGCGGAGTGGGGCGGCTCCGCGCGGGTGCTCTACGAGCACGACAAATACTGGGGCCCCCTCGTGCGCATGTGCGCCGAGCGCCGCGAGCGTATGTGGGAGGAGTGGCGTCGGCTCGGCGCGAAGGTCGGCGTGCGGGAGTGGGACATCAAGTGTGCGATCGAGCTCGGGCCAGCGGCTCCCGCGCCAAACCCTGCTCTTGATGCTCACGATGCTCCTGCTCCTGTCCACGTTCCTGCAGTCGCGGCTGACCCGGCGGCTGCAGAGAGCGAGGCAACGGCGGGGGCACCCGCTATTACTGCTGCACCGGAGAATGCTGTTCATGCCGCACCAGAGGCCGCTGCCCCTGCCGTGTCAGATGTCTCTGGCTGGGCCGTTGATGCTTCTGCGGCAGGAGATGCGGATTAGTTAACGGATATCTCGCTTGTCGGCCTAACTGTTCGTATGCTCGGTTTACATAGAATCTTCGTAATACCCGATAGCACTTCGCAATCATCTAGATGCCTTCTTCGACAATGTGATGGATCCAGGGAGTGAGGAGTAGTACATGATGCACGTGAGAGCGTAAGAACATCGACCGACTACATGCCCGAGAGCTCTATACTGGAAGCCTGATGCCGCCTTTTGACCCACGTCCGAGCTCCTTCCACCACTTGTCTTTTGCTTTTGGCTTCCCTCTCCCTCTGTCGCCGTCTTTACCGGTCCCACCTATCCGCTTCACGACGGTCGAAAGCCCGGACGAAACTCTCTTCCGTCCCCCTCCCGGGAACGATTCCCGAGTCTTCTTCCCCGTCCTTCCATCCTTCTGGTCCAATGGCGGAGCTGCTTCGGCATCTTCCCCTTCCTCTTCGTCGTCATCCCCTTCAGACTCGGATCGTGTCCGTTTGCGGGCGGCGGATGAAGGAGGCGGAGACTTGGGTGGTGGAGGCGCACGGAGGCCTTTCTCCCACGTCTTCCGGTGTAGACGGAAGACGGCCATCGTCGCACGCGCATCCGTGACCTAGAAAGGACCGACGTATGAGACCCGGGATCCATCGGGGGAGCTCGACACCCCGACTCACCGAAGAATGCTCTCCGCCTTGGATCGTGAGCCCGAGCTCCTGCCGAACCAGGTGGCGAAGCGCGGGTCGCCGGCCGCGCATCAGGTTGTGTTTGTGCGCGAGGAGCTGCGTGTCGCGCGTGAGGGGGCGCGGGTGCGAGAGGAGGAGCGCCTTCAGGTCGTTGTGCACTGCGTGCCCGACGAGGATGCGGTCTTTTAGCAGATCGGCCGCTTCTTTCTGAACATCGACGAATTGTCGTGCTGGAGAGCACGTAGAGTTAATAGCAGAACGCAGGAGGGTAGAGCAGAATGTAGAGCAGAACTCATATTATGCGGAGCAGGAGAGGAGGGGCAGAAGACGCACCGTTGACCATGTCTGCGGGCCGAATGCCAGAGAACTCGGTCCTGTAGTCGACGACGCGTTCGCGCGGGCGGACGATGGCGTCGAGGAGAACATGTCCGTAGAAGTTGACTAGCGAGACGCGCGCGAGCGCGGATTCTGAGCCGTCAATACCCACCCCGACCATCTCACAATCAAGAGATAGGTACTTCCCCGGCCTGAGCGACAGGCAAAAAAGTCAACGCGACCCTCCCGGCCAGTACAGCGCACGACTCTGGTGAGAATAAGGGACGTACTGATGATGCGGGTGCGGATGCTCAGTCTCTCCGAGAACCATCTTCACCAGATCTGCAACAGACTCTCCGTTCTTGACTTCATCCTTTATCGACGCTTTTCCAGGCGCATGCTCCACTTCACCGCGGGGAAATTCATGAGTACTCGACAGTGACGAAGACGGCTGAGTTGCAAGATCGACGAAGGAAGGTGCTGGGGATTCGGAAGCGTGTGCGAGTTTGCGACGCTTACGCGCGACGAACGCGCTCACACCGCCTTCGGTCGTTTTCGACTTTGGGAGCTTCTTCGAGAAGGAGATCCCATGTCAGTGGTGTCCCTACTGTTTCCTCCTCGAACGGAACGAAGACGTACCTTCTGGAGAGCAAGCCAGTTCGAAGAGGGAGATTTGGCGGCAGCTTTGTCTTTAGCGACCATCTCCCCACACAGCTGGGACGTATAATCGAATCAGGAAGAGGGAGGAAGAGTAGTCTGGTGTTGGAACATATAAGTGGCTGAAGAAAGACGACTTCGAAGGGAAAACTCGATTGACGCCCGGAAACCGGGCCGCGGGGAATCCGACTTCCTCGGAGACCTTCGTACGAGCTACAGGACTTGCCGCGCTCGGTATGCACTGGGACGACAATAGCAAGCAAGCGGGTTTCTGATCTCTGGAAACGTGACAACGCTTCAAGCCTTTAACTGCATGCAGAGCTTCACTTCCAGGTCAAATGTCAGAGAACACTCCCGAGCTCCTTGAAAAGTTTCACCTGCACGAGAAAGCTCTTCCCTCGCGTACAGCATGTGTTTGACTCGGAAATGCAACCAGTGTCTGTATTGTATGTGTATAAAGTACATCGAGTTACTCTGCGTCTGCTTCTCCCGCCACAATGACGTCGTCTACAACACCAAGCATTGTCAGCTCCGAGAGACACCACCGAAGAAGAGATAGCGAATGCTTACCGATTTTGAGCACAGCCCGAACGAGTTGAGTCGCGAGCAAATACTGTTGCCTCTTCGAGATCAGCGGATCATACACATTTTGCTGTTTCATGTCTACAGAATAGTCGACACGAGTGAGTGCAGTCGTTTCGAACACCATCTCTAGCACATACCATTCTCGTCTTTGCCCATACAGTCAATTCCGAGCATTGAATTGCCCTCTTTAACTTGCCTGCTCTTGACCTCCGCGAGGGTCTCAATTGGCGACAAACCACTGTTCTCGGCGAGGGCAAGGGGAATGGCGTCCAAGGCAGAGGAGAATGCGCGCATCGCATACTGCTCAATCGAAGGGATCTGCGATCCGGTCGGTCAAACCGCTCTCACAAGCATAGAAGGATATAACATACCTCATCCGCGGCTTTGCTCACAGCCAACGAACAGCTGATGTCTGCGGCACCACCACCGTAGACCACTCGGCCATCCACAACAAGGTTTCGGACGGCACAGATGGCGTCGTGCAGCGCGCGCTTCGCCTCGTCCACGATCTAATACGCATCAGTTGGCGATCACAGAGAGTTCATGTAGACTCAAACAGACCATTTTGTTGCTCCCCCGCACGAACACGGTGACTGTCCGGGCATTGGCGCATTCCTCGATGACAAGCATCTTGTCCCGTGTTGTGCCGAAGGTGAGCTCCCTAACCAGACCGGCCTTGCCAAGCTTCGCCGCCGTGAGGTCCTCAAACCGGGGAACGATGCGACCATTTGTTGCGATCGCAATGAGCTGAACGAGGGTTTAATGAGGTGTGGGGCACCAGAACAACCCAACAGACGCACCTCGATTTCCGGACCACCGACCCACCGCACAGCAGGGAGGTCGTTCTGCATGAGCAAGTGGTTCGCCTCGTCGTCGAAGCCCCACTGACAGATGACGAGGTTGGCGCCGGTGTCCTTGACGCGCTTGATCATGTCCGCGAACTTCTCCTTCTCGTAATCGCGCAGCTTGCGGTACTCCTCCGCGCTCGTGATCTCGAGCTGGTGCTTTGTCTTCGGCCGCGGGGGCTCGAACGGGCACGTGAGGATCGCGAGCTTCGCGTCGCGCACGGTGCTGGGCATCTGCGGGTGCGACATGTCCTTGTCGATGAGCACACCGCGGATGAGGGTGGTGTCGCCGAGCGAGCCGCCGACTTTGCCGTCGACCTTGATCATATCGAAGGGGACGTCTCTCCGCTCGAGGTCAGCGACGGCCATGACAGCTTGTACCGCGATTTCCGCGAATTGTTGGTGCTCTTTCGATACACTGCAAATTGAACGAGCATGAGGATACAACACCGCGAGAATCAGACACGCGGGGGAGACGAACATTTTGCTCCCCAAACTCGTCATTGCTGTCTTCAAGAGATTTGAGGTATCCTGTGGTGTGAACTTGACCTCATCTGAGATGCGATCGAGGTGCTCGACCGCGACCGCACACGCTCGGTCGAAACCATCTGCTATCCGGATGGGATGGATGCCACGGTCCAGCAGCTCCTCACTCTGCTCAAGGAGTGCACCCGCAAGAACTGCGTGGGTTTAAGAATATGCTTCGGAGAACACAAAGAGAAACGCACCGACTACACCCGTCGTCCCGTCTCCGATCTCATCATCCTGACTTTTTGAGAGCTGTACCAAGAGCTTCGCGATCTGGTGCTCCACCTCCATCTGAGTCAAGATAGTCGCACCATCGTTTGTTACGGTGATTTCGCCGTCAGGAGAAATGAGGATCTTGTCGAGACCTGCATATAAATACTAAATTGAGTCCGAGGGGTTGCAAGCTCGGACGCGCGTACCTCTTGGACCGAGGGATGTGCGGATGATGTTCGCGACCGTGCGCGCGGCCAGAATGTGCGACTATTGCGGGTATCAGAGGCAGACAGCGAGCTGCGCGAGTGGATGCGCACCTTGATAGCCTCTACGCCGTGAGTCCTAGTCTTCTTGGCCTGTTCCCGGAGGATTATGAACGGACGGCCGTACTGCACAACATCTAAGCACGACTATCTTCGTACACGACATGTTTGCAAACCTCGTCCGTGGCGTACATTGCCTGAGGTTCGGCCATGATGGGTAAGCGAAGGAGGGGGAAGGAGAAGTAGAAGGCGCTTCAGATCTTCGCACTCGAAAGTCAGAAATCTCGAGACAAGAAACGCCCATTGACGCGTGACTTCATAAATCACAGGGTGGGGTGACTCAGTGACACCTCGCGTCATATCACGTCGGCCCTACTCTCGTTCAAGTACGTGCCGCAGATCGAGTTGGCATGCATCCAAAGACGGTACATGCGCACACAGAGCTCTTGAAGAGCGGCACAAGGTGCAGTCGGGGGACATCCCTGTATTACACTGCTCGCTTCTACTATCCATTTACAAGCATCTTCGCTGTTTATATGATCGAATGTACAAGGAAAAGGTATCATCTTGGGATCGGGACGTCTGACATAGTGAGCTACAAAGTACGGATGTACGATAAGTACTGTACTAATGACACGGGTGAGATGCGTGTAGACAGAATCGATGAGTGCGGAGCAGATCACTGTCGAGCAGAGATTAGGGAAGCTGCACATTACTGCTACAGGAGCGGACAGACGTACGAGGAAATAGTCCGGGACACGACGCGTAACGAGAGGTTCGCCCGCTCGGGGAGCTGGGTCGAACTGCAGGCTGGGTAAGAAGAAATAGAGAGGTTAGGTATAAGGAAAACCGTCCAAAACAAAGATACTCACAAGCTGTACGACAATTTTTCGTCGATCTCCATGATCGCGGCTTGATTGCCGCAGCGGTAGCAGTAGTTGGGCGCAGAGAAGATCGTGACGACATTCCGGTCCTGGCCCCAGTTGTAGCCTGTCCGAGAACGGGACGATCAGTATGACGACAGCCAAGCCCAGTGTTAGCTCGACGAAGCTTACCTTCCATAACCAATTGGTGCGCCCGTGCGACCAGGGTGAGACCGTTATTGTGGTTGAACGCTTCGCTAATGTCTTGACCGAAGGTGTAACCCGCACCGCGGGGTGAAATTCCCCAACCACACCGGTCGTCGGGGTCAGACCACAAGAGGTCGCACATGGGGCCCTCGTGCGGGACCTCTTGCACACGGTCAATCCCACGTACGTGGTCTAGCGTGTCAATTGAAGGTGAGAGGCCACCATGAAGGCAGAATATCTGGGGAGTAACGGTCAGCACACGAACATCATTCCTCGACAATGCGGACGTCCGGCATGTGGGCATCAGAAAATGATGTCAACAGTCGGAATATTGTCTTCCAAGCTTTCGGGCGACCGTACTGCGACAAGACTCGGCAGGGGAAAGGAAACAACGGTGTGTGTGCCCAAGGCTGGTCCGCCCTAAGCCCACTCAAACCACAGATCGAGAGGTCCACCAACCGAGACTCCGAGACTCGATCTGCGGATCATCGGTCCTCAGGGTGGAGGGGTGTCGTGTGCCATATGCCATCGAACTCAATCAGGGAGCACACATAGCCATCACCAGAGCGCGAGAAAACCGGGAATAGAGGACATACTTGGTTTTCGATGAGGGCGGTAAGGGGGAGGTAGTCAAATAGGTCGGTGAAGTATCTCCAGACGTTGGCGTTGCCATACTTGCGAAGGCACTCGTCGTAAAATCCGTACACTTGCGTGATCTGCCGCGATTCGTGGTTGCCCCGGAGGATCGTTACTCGGTCGCGGTAGCGCAGCTTGAGGGCGACGAGCAGGGTGACGGTTTCGACCGAGTAGTAGCCTCGGTCCACGTAGTCACCCATGAACAGGTAGTTCGTGTCGGGCGAGTTGCCCCCAATGCGGAACAGTTCTGAAAGATCATGCTGAAGGACGCGGGGTATACGAGATGATCGCGAGGATAGAAGAGAAAGCAAGGTTGACGGATGTGAGGGTGAGGTTACGTGAGAGGATGCATAGGACGCACGAATTGACCATGGATATCTCCACAAACCGTTACCGGACACCTCACAGGCTGCACATTTGACTCCTCCATTAGGATCTCGCGTGTCTACAATGACCAAAAAAGCAAGCATGATCAGTACCGGCGCATACACCTCGCTCATGCAGGCGCGAGAACCGCGGTTTGGAGCGGTGGCACCAGCCCTTATCATACATCAGGAGGAGTCGCACACCTTGTCGCAAAGCCGCTTCACATCAGCCTCAGAAAGCTGCTTGCATTGACTGAGCTGAGCAATCCAACCGTCTACTTCGTGCTCCATATTGTTGCGTGCACCAAGGGAAGGACAGGGGGAGGAATCAAGCTGAGGGTGGCGGGTGATGCGTGTTAGACGAGTGAGAACCCGACCGTGGACGTGACGGTGAGCACTGAAGCCAAGTGTGTGACATAACAGTCACACCGGGACTGCCTCGCGATCCCTATAAGATCGTCTTGCGCTTGACTCCCCTCAAGCCGCCTGTGCACTCCCCCGCCCTTCACTCCCCCTACCTGCCCACAGCGGTAATCGCAGGGCCATCTGAAATTAGGAAACTCGAAGGGAGTCGATCCGTCTCCCAGCAGCTATGCCGAAGGTACAGACCGCCATCCTTCCTTCCCCGCTTCATTTGCTGATCGGGATTTTGTGCGCAGAACAAGGGAAAGGTCAGCCCTCCTTGGGAGCTATTTGCCTGCATCCTCTCATGTTATAGTACAGGGTGGAAAGAACCGGAGACGTGGAAAGAACGAGAACGACGATGACAAGCGCGAACTGGTCTTCCGTGAAGACGGTCAAGAGTACGCTCAAGTAACCAAGATGCTTGGTAATGGTCGCCTGGAGGCACTCTGCTTCGACGGGGAGAAGAGGTTGGCACACATCCGGGGGAAGATGAGGAAGAAGGTACGCAGAGTCATGTTTCTTGGTAGTTTCAGAGGGACTCTTACCAAGGCCATCTTTCCTGCCGCTAGGTGTGGATCAACCAGGGGGATATCATCCTGATCTCCCTGCGCGACTTCCAAGACGACAAGGCGGATGTCATCGTGAAGTACACCGCCGACGAAGCTCGGAGCTGTACGTCTCCAACCGTCTAGTCTTCAGCGCTCCCGACTAACGGTGTCGTCTTGGGTAGTGAAAGCATACGGCGAGCTCCCGGAGAACGCAAAGATCAACGAGACAGATGCGTTTGGCGACGAGGAAGGGGAGTGTACGTTCGAGTTCGGGGACGACGAGGAGGTCGACATCGACGACATCTGAAGATGTGTATTTCTATCCTTGTATTCTTGCGACGCGCATACCCGATGTACGGCTTACCTCCCCGATGTCTCCTCTCACTGTTTTGCTATGTCTTGGTTCGTTTCTGTCCATCGGTGTATCATGCTCATTGCAATCACAACTCGCTCCTTCGCCTGTTTGCCTCGCCCTCCGCGCTCAGCTTCCGCATCCGCCTTTCCCTAAGTTAATGCTTGCTAGGTATCAAGCATTCGGCGCCCGGTCTACTCTTTGACGCATCCGAGAGCCAGGCAGTACATCCTGGTAGGATAACGCTCAAGAGATGTTGGTCGGGGCCAAATCACTCCCTTGTCATTAGCGACTCACTGGAACAGGCCTACCGTGAGCGGATACGACTAAAGTTGTGGCGTATACTACGCCTAGGACGAGGATGGCAAAGGTGGCGGGAATGGTGGTAGTACGCATGTTTAGCTGGGATCCAACGACTGGCGAGTTGACCTCAGTGTCTTATATGTCAGACCGCTGCGCGTTACAGTGGCTTGATTGTATCAATGCACCGTCATCGCGAGTGCGTGCACTGAACATCGATGATTGTGCCAGCTTCGGTTACGTCTGGTGTGAGCGTGTGAGAAACGTTACTGCGGCAAAGTTCACTGACCGCAAGCTGGGCAAACGGTTCAAACTCACACCTGTCCGAGAGAATCCGTATGGCTTCGGTGAATTACCATACAGGTGCAAACTGAGGGATGAAAACCTGCCCGTAGTGCTCTCAAAACACATAAATCTTGGTCTATCGCCATCGAGTCAGAATAATGAGCACGACTCGCATGTGCTTGCATTGGCTGGAGCGCCCGGTCAGTTCAACTGCGCACGTGACTTGACCACATCCACGCCGAATCTCTTTGAAATTTAAAGTGTCCTAGATGCATGGTTTTTTTTTGTACAAATTTCACTTTGATCGCAGCGAGAAGCGATTTGTCTTGACAGAGGCAAAACATGCAAGACTGATGATTTCGAAACTAGACGCTGTACCACTGAATTTGTACTTGTGTACTCGCTCACCCCCCACACTTGATTGCTCACTTCGCTCGTAACAATGGACATATGACTCGAAACCACGCGCTTGATAACTAGACATAAGGTTACAAGCCGGAGATGCATCGATGAAGGACACCCATCATTTCAGTGTTGGTATGCTTAGATAGTCTCACATTGACTGCATCAGTAGAACGGTCTGCATGTCCGGGCTAACCCCCTTCTCCTTCATGAGATAGTCCACGATGTCCCTAGCGTCGCCCTTCACGGCTTCTCTCAACATGATCGAGTCCGTTTTGACCCTATCCCCAAGCTTCCTCCGTTTCCCTAGTGTTGAGCCTCCTCCTCCGCTGCTGGAACCACTGGCGTCGCTCGATGCTGTGTGAGAACCTTCGCTCCCTCCTGGCTCTGTTCCATCGTCTCCTCCCGGGCCTCCGGCAAAGAGGAGCTTCTTCCGCCTCTTAGGCTTCATTTCTAGGCTGTCTACCGGGCCGGTCCAATCGCGTTCGATGAGCATCCTGACGAGAGGGAGGTTGCGCTTCCGAATGGCGACCATGACCGCGATGTTGTCCCTACAGCCAGGTGACGCCTCGTTCGCGAGAAGGAATCTGATGAGAGGGACGTGGTCGGCGAAGACGGCGCGAGTGAGCGCGTAGCCGTCGTGCGAGTTCGTGGCGATCGGTGGTATGCGAGGATGAGTGTAAAGGAAGCGCAGGAATGGGAGAGGCTCGTCGGTGTCCGTCCAAGACCCATGATGGCGGGGAGATAAGTTACGGAATAGTCGTCGGGGAAGAACGGTGGGCATGAAGTCGTGGTTCCCACGCATAGGAATGCGTGGGCAGCGAGGGTTGTGGAAAACTGATGAGAGGACGGGGATGGTGCAGATGGGATATCGGAGGGCTTGAGATATGAATCCGAAGGCACGAGCAGTAGCTGATTTCTGGGACTGTGCGTTATAGGAGTCGATGAGGAAATCTCCATGGATCGACGAGGGCGCAGTCTTGAAGACGGTGTAGATGTATTTGGAGGTCAAGGGAAATGCGCTAGAAAGCGCGAACGAGTAAATCTCGTAAAGCAGCTGGCTGAGCGGTCAGTTTGCGAAGGAGGGCGAGGCAGTGCGAGCGCATACCTCTACGGGGAGGTGATCTAGGGCTAGAGTTCTATCAGGCATGATGGATGTCCGAGAGCAAGCGGCCGCGGCTATCGAGAAGCGCAAGCCTTTTAGACGTCCTCGGGAGCCTGCCTCGGGCCGGAGGGATCCGAGGCTTGATCCTTTTAGGCACGTGGTGCTATGAATATTATGGGCGTCTGCGCTTCCAGCCACAAGCTGATCGCCGACTCGAAAGGACGGCGACGGTGCCCACCCCGCGACCATCGTCTGCCCACGCCGCCCCTCCTCGCACCGTCCATCTCTGCCCCTTCTGACGCGACTGCTTGCCTACGAACCCCCATCTCCTTGAGCTGGGATTCCCTGCTCAGCCGACCTCTTTCCCCTCGACCCCGACAAGCAACGCTTCGGAAGCCAGAATGGAGGAGGAACAGTCACGACTGCTGGCACCGCCGTCGGAGATTCTGGCCCAAGTGAAGGTCTTTCCGCTCATTCCGAGCATCCAGAGGGACGTCGTGGTGAGTACCAGTTTCTTGGCGCGTACACACATCCTGAACTTGCATTACAGGCGGACATTGGTATGTGGAACCAAATGGGAAAACTTTTCGTCATTGACACGCTATGATCAGATTCTGCGTTGACCTGGGAGTGTGTAACCTTTTTTCTTGATGCCAGCCCTTCTGCTGAGACAATGTAGCCAATTGACCGCCTCAGATATCAACTTCGCGGTCGTGCGGCCGCTTGTCTTCAAATATGCGAAGCTGGACAACTTGGCTGTTGTTTATGCATGCTTCGTCGTGCGCTCCCACTTCCTTTCAGAAGCGGAGGATAATATGGCCTTCTCCGGAGTGCTTATGTCTCGTGCCGCCCTGTGCGAGATCCTCGCCATGAAGCTGTTGGGCACGTTCGGATCTGATCCTCTACGCGTAGCCACCGTCCTCACAGCCAGCTGGAACCCTCTGTCCGGAGCACCACAAGACATCATTAACGACGTGCGCAATGTGGTGGGGCGACACGGTTCCTACGACCCTCAATGCGCTCTCGAGGTAAGCTTCCCTCACGAGACTACTCCCCAATCCCTGACTGCGTGTTCTGTCTTCAGATGGCTATTGCAACCGAGTCGAAATCCTTCCTCTCTTCCCCACTCGTTCAAACCGTCGTCAACAACATTTACTCGGGCCGCATGGTCTTCTCAATGTCCTCGCAACGCTCTGTTCTTGCAGACAACTACAAGCCCCGCAGCATCGAGATCTATGACGTTCGGAAGGCTCCCTTCCTCGACCACTATAGGCTACGTGTTCCTCGATACGGAGCATACCTCGAGTTCCTCAACTTCGCGCTGCTCTTGACGACGTTCCTGTTGTGTCTTTCGAGTACGTGACGCTCTCTTGCAATATCCCACCGAGGACTGACATGCGTTCGATGCAGCCAAGGACATCAACGCCATGAATGTGTTTGAGAAGGTGTTCATACTGTTCGCGGCTGCGTTCGCTTTGGAAGAGTATACCGCGTCCAAAGAACACGGCTGGACGAGTGAGTGTCAGATATATCATTTCCCAGGGCAGCTGTTAACCTGGTGTCTGTGGTAGTCTACATCGCAAATGTCCGTACAGTGACGCAGACGGTTGAGACTGAATGCTGAACCTCCTTGCAGCTCTGGAACGTCTTTGACTCCTCTTTTATCGTCATATTCATGGTATATATTGGATATCGCATCAAAGGATTACACGACGGGGATCGTCAGTCTTACCGCATCCATCCGTGCGCAGCTTGAATGCTGACACTACTCCAGCTGAAGCTTCAGACTTCGCTTTTGACGTTTTGGCCTGCGGGGCTTGTATTTTGTTTCCGCGGTAAGTTCAGGCATTACTGAGGGTGCTTTCGGTGTTAGTGCTCACCAAGTGTTTGTGCAGACTTGCGTTCTTTGCAGTCTCGAACAACGTTGTAGTTCTGTAAGCTTTGCTACACGTTTCTGGAGAACGGGATCTCACAGTGAGTCCAGGGCGTTGCGGGCGATGATCGCGGACTTCGTGTTCTTCATTGCGATCGCCGCCATCTGTTTCTCGGGGCTGCTATTCACCCTGCATAACTTAGGTATGTAGTGCGTGCTTCGTCTAGGGATACATACCCACGAAGACAACTTTACAGCCGCTGACTCGAACAAATGGAGCGTGAAGAGTATTGCGTGGCTGATGGTACAGATCTGGTTCGGCAACACCTACCTGAGTTTCGCTCAGGCGGAGAGTTTTCATCCGTTATTTGGACCTATTCTCATGACTATGTTTGCTGCTATGTCAAGCACTTTACTGCTCACCAGTAAGTCTAATTTGTCAAGATCCCGTGGTTGATGTCTGACGTCCATGTTTCAGTCCTCATTTCTATCCTTTCGAACACATTCGCTCGCATTGATGCAGTCAGTTCACTCACTTGCGTGCCTAAGTGGACACCTGCTGACTCTCTCGTGAAGAATGCCAAGCAAGAGTATCTGTTCCAATACTCCATCTCTACGATAGAAGGGTGACTGTCACCACCCCGCGTCGGTGGCCTCTGTACTGAGGACTTGCGTTTTAGCGTCAAGGATACTCTCTTCAGCTATCAGCCCCCATTCAACATGCTTGCATTCATCGTGCTTTGGCCTCTCAGCTTCGTCCTGTCTCCTAGGACACTCCACTCGACCAACGTTTTCCTCATCAAAACTACGGTCAGCCATATGTTTTCCGCCCGCCACCATGTACTGATACGCAACACAGTCCTTCCCTCAATTGATTGTTATTGCCATCTATGAGCGCTATCTCGCGCAAGGCCAAAGACTACGCGAGCGGGGCGCACAGGGCGCACAGCGCATCTACGACAGCCTCACTCGCGGCGTCCAGCACATGCCTCTCCTCGACCTCCTCGGCAGCACCACGATGGACGTCCACGAGGCCATCTTCGGCGTCGACATCGAGGACGACCTCCACCTCTTCGACGGCTCCGAGCTCGACGGCGACCGGCCCACCTCCGCCCCACCCATGACCTCGATCACCGCCTCGCGCTCGCACGAGTCCCTGCACCCGCACATGTCCGCCAGCCACGCCGGGCTCCCCGAACAGTCTTCGAACATGCTCACAAGCGAGGCAGGGGACCTTCGGCGAGCGACGAGCCTCTCGTTCCGCCCGCGCACGCAGAACCAGAGCCGGAGCCGCCCGCGGAGCATGGCGGCGTCCCCGGGCGTGTCCCCGCGCAGGGCGAACGCAGCGCTCCCGACGCTGATCTCGCCCTCGGGCGCGGCGGAGGTGCCGCCAGGCCCGCGGAGCCCACTCGGGGCGCTGTTCAGCGTGAAGCGGGACCGGGTGGTGAGCATCGCGGGTGTGGAGGGGAGTGTGAAACGGGTGGAGGCGATGGTGGAAGAGATGAAGCGGATGCCCGTGAACAAGCTCAAGGACGAGATGAAGGAGCTGCAGGTGCGTCTGAGATGTGTTCTAGGTGGGTGCGTCGGGAAGCTGACGCGAGGACTTGCAGGATCGTCAAGCCAGGATCGAGAACCTTCTTCTCATGCTTACGCGTGGAATGCGTAACGATACCGGTCATCATTCGACGATTAGGCACGACTCCCTCTGATTTTGCGAGCAGGGTACTAGTGCGTAGTGATATAGTTATATAGTCACGACCCACTACGATGCGCTTCCTTCTGCGCCGTGATCTGCGCAATCGAGCGCGAGATAATGCTGATATTCCCCTCTTCGACACGAATCTGTCCGGGCCCACCCTCGATGGCGTGAGGGGTCAAGCAACGAAACGACTAGGTGGGCTACGCTCGATCATCCGTCCGCTTTCGTCATCCCTCCTCAAGCACGAAAGCGGATGGATGATCGAGCCTATAGGTGGGCAACCATATTCATGGACAGGGCTGCCGAGCAACCTGGCTTGGGGTCCCGCCTCAATTTGGAACCTCTTGTTCTTTTCCGCTGGACCGCTCTCGTGGTGGCCTCGTGTGAGCCTCGTGGGCTGCACAACGGACCGCGAGTTCTCGCGACGTTCGCGGAAATGCCACCGGAGTGCGCACGAGTGGGCGTAAACCATCCGTCGTCGCCCTGCCGACAGATAGACTTCGCCCATGTGGAGAGAACGAGGCGCAGGCAGGCAGCGGAGCCGGCCAAGAAGAAGAGAGATATAGGATTGCACACTTTAGTACAAGACTGGTAGGGTATGGAGCCAGGCGCGCGCCGAGACAAGAAAGCCGAACTGTGAACAACGTGGGGGAACCATGGAGAAGAGCGACAAGTGAAAAGGGGTCGACGAACATGGAACAAGGGCGGGTGGTAGGGTCGGAGGATGCGTGTATGGGGCATTTTCTCCCATATGCAAAATGCGAGAGACATTATGCGTGTGGGGCGTGCGTGGAGAACATGAGGCAGCGGGGGTCCGCGAGTGCGAGCGACCGGGGGAGTGAGTGCATTGACGAGCCTAATCCTTCGAGAATCGGTTTGTCGGGGTGAGTTGCGTATCAAGTCCGGTATTCGTAAACAAGCACAGCGACCGGACCAGCGACGGACTGTGGTGGTAGCGTACAAGGGGGTAACGGAGTAGTAGGCTGTACGCTAAGCGGGGTAATCAGCAGAATGATGCAGGGACACGGGCGCAGATGACTAATGATACAGATTAGGGGGTAACGATAGGTAGTGATGCATGCAAGCGGGATGAGGACGGGAATGGATGAGTGTAGTGCGTGATGCATGGACGTGGATGGTGGTCGTGGGGGATGTTGATGTAAACCAGAATGAGGGAGTGAAGGCAGGATGACCTGAAACCAGCAGAGTACGGACGAACGAAGAGACGTTATAAGGATAGTCGTAGTTGGGTGTTTAAAAGCCGTGAATTATCATGGCTTTGACTCTGTCGAGCCGTCTCCGTTGACAGATGGTATAGGCGGATGCGAGTAGGCGAACTGTTGGGTGGGTATCTCATCTTCGTTGAGGGGGGACCCGGGTCTCGAACCGTGCACCATAGTGGATGTTGGCGCAATCGTGTTCGTGGTAGACGGGGCGATTTCGCTGGCATCCGCATCCGCATGTATGCCGTTGGTGATTGGCTGGTTATGGGGATAGTATGATATCCGCTTGTTCTTCGAGAAGTCGTAGAGCGTGAATCTAGGTCACTCTGTCAGCGCTGGTAGAGAGAGAGAGGAGAATTAGTACATACTGCTCCTCTAGCTGCCGAAGCTCGGGTTTCATCTTCTCGAGGTCAGGGTTCAGCTTCCGCTTCGAATGAACGAGCGGTTTCTCGACCATCAGGAACTCATCGAGCTCATGAGAGACATCAAAGTTCGCCTTTTTCATCTATATTCATGCCGTTAGGCCGCTAACAACATGTGTGCAACAGGCGTTACTCACGTCAGGGACGAACGGAGGCTGGGACTCCTTGTTCTCCAAGGTGTCCCAGTCGATACAGGCCATCCAAGGGTGGTTTCGAATATCCTCGATGCCGAGGTCCCTGTCGCGACACGCCAAGCGCTGCTTGGAATCCCGCGTAAGGAGCTGTGCAGGAACCAGATGTTAGCCAGCGGCTCGCCACGATAAGTCCGGGTCCACTCGGAACACGCACCCCCATGACAAACTGCTGGCCCTCCTTGCTGCATTTTTCCGATGCGCGAGAAGGCAGGCGGACGTGATCCTTGAGAATGGACTGTTTCATCTTCTCCGCAGTGCGACCATCGAACGGTCGTCGGTGGAAGAGGAGCTCCCATGTGACCACACCAAGACTCCACCAGTCCGCGCACCACGTATAGCCCTGGCGACCAATGACCTCGGGGGCCATGTACGCCATGCTGCCCGCGACGCTAGTGTGCATTCGTCGTTCCGAGTAGTGGATGGCGACGTTGAAGTCAGTAACATGGGCATGACCCATGGCATCGAGCAAGATGTTGTCAGGCTTCAAGTCACTACATAGAACGGAAGTCAGAAATGGGCGTGAGAGGCAACGCGAAGCGCTGACATACCGATGGATGATGCGTTTCCGATGGAGGTACTCCAGCGCCGAAGATAGTTCGGCCACCCAGAAACGCACAACTTCTTCGGGGATGTATCGCAACCGCTCCAAGTGGACTGTAAGATGCCGTAACATGAGCCCAAGTTTCAACAACAGCGAGTACTCCCCAATGGTGACTTACAACGCAGGTCCCCGCCGAGCATAAGGTCGAGCACAAAGAAACAGTTCTCGTCGTCTTGGAACGCATAGCGTAAGTTGACGACGAAGGGATGGTCAATCTGTGGAGAAAGCGCGGCTCAGTCACATCACCCTCACGGCTTGACATGATACTGATGGAGACACAGCGGCAGCGGCAGAGTCGTAAAATCCGTGAACACCGTAGCGCGCGCCCTCAAGGCAGACGCGAGCGTAATATACGGAACCGTGATAGGCTGCCGCCACCATGTCCACATGGGGTTGATGGGCATCAGTATATCACGGTGCGCACCTGGTCCCCAAGGAGCAGAGGTTCGGATGGGCGGCATGATGGGCCATGTCCTATGAGGCAACGGTAAAGCATGCAAAGCCTGCCGCAAATAAAACCCAATAAGACCGGACGAAATGCGAGCACCAGGTCAAACGGGCAGCAGCGGCAGGCCAGCAGCCACCGTTCCTGGGGTGCGCGCGCATGACATTGACAGTCTAAGCGCCCGGAAGCGGGAATGACCGCTGGGAAGACCACAGGACGAGCGGTTCGCGTCCTGAGCGTGCTGACGGTGCCAGGCTGAAGCCCCGCGCAGTCTTGCTGAGGTGGAGGGAGACGCATTGCAGCAGAAGGAAAGGTCACGAACCTCCTCCAGTAGACGACGCTCCTGGATGATGTTTGCAACAGCTTTCTGCTTGATGCACTTGGCCTTATCAATGTACTTGAGGGCATACAGCTGCTTGGACTTTTTGTGCTCGACAACGCGAACCTAGAGGGGAGAAAACACGTCGGTGAGCGCAGGCGCGGAGTGGGTGTATGCGCGGGGCGGACCTTGCCGAAAGCACCCTTTCCTACAGCACGGTGAAGATCAAAGTGGAAGAGGTCGACCTCGCCGTCGAAGTTGACGGGATCTGAGCAGCAGTTACCCATGAGTGGGCGTGGTGGGGGTGCGGAGGGAAGGGCGAGAGGGGATGGGTTATGAGCAGGAAGTACAAGACCGACCAAATCCAAGAGGCCAGTGCAGACGCCCGTTCGGTCCCTCTCCGCCGGAGGCGCGGGGGCAGTGCTCGGCTGGCCCGAATCGGCAATCTCGTCCGATCGTCCCATGAGCCGGTCCCCTCAAGCAGCGGCCCCTCGTCCACCACCATCCAGATGCCACTCCATCTCGACAAGATCCCGACGCTGCGCGAGCTGTACACCCGAGGCGTCCTCAAGCCCGCAAAGGTTGCTCCCAGGCACGCCCCGCGCGCTGCCCTCTTGGACCGGGTGTCGCTGTTGTCAGTGGTTCCCTCTGATGTGAACGCCCGGCATCCGCGCGCAACTGATTTGACCCGCCCCCCACGGCGACATTGTCCTCCATCCGTTTGCATGCGCGCGTGTTTGCGCCAGCCAAGGGGACATTACGACACTCGACATTGACTGCATTGTCAACGCCGCGAACCGCTCCCTTCTCGGTACGCCTTTCCTTGTGCCCTTCCTGTCTGGGAACAAGGCTCACCCCCGTGTCCCTCCATGCTCGTGCGACCATTTCGCAGGCGGAGGCGGAGGTAAGCTCTCGCGTGCGCTCCTCGCACCGCCCATTGAAAACCCTGCGCCTGCCGTTTCTCTAGTCGATGGTGCTATCCACGCCGCCGCTGGCCCGTCGCTGCTCGAAGAATGTGAGCGCTTTTCCCATCTTTGATGCTCATTAACCCCGTGCGCCGCTCACGACGTCATTGCATCAGGTCGAAAATTGAACGGATGTGAGACTGGGGACGCGAAGATCACCGGAGGACATGATCTCCCTGCGTACGCCTCCATTTTGATACGTCCCAGCTCGCCCCATTTGACTTTGGATGACCATAGACGCCACATCATTCATACCGTGGGGCCCATTTACTCGTCCTACAAGAAGGAAGAGAAAGCAGAACAGCTCGCCTCTTGTTACAAGACAAGCCTGCAGCTGGTGGTCGCCAGCTCGCTGAAACACGTTGTGCGTACCGATACAAGGTTCAACGTTGAGGTTCTGTGGACACACGCGCTAATCCTTCGTGTCTTTTTATAGGCTTTCCCGTCCGTTTCAACCGGCATTTATGGGTATCCCATTAAAGACGCCACTCATATCGCATTGAACGTTGCGAGAGGATATTTGGACACACCTGAAGGTGACAAGGTGTGTATCCCTAATCTGGGTCGCACTTTCCCACTGCGACTCGCTGCGTGGATGTTCTGTGACACTGGCATACGGGTGCCCTCGATCTCGAGGGAGGCCTACTGTCTCTCCCTCGAAACAACAACTCGCTTCCGAGGGTGGCTTGGCCCCACTGCCTCGTGCTGGTGTGTAGACTGCTTGCGGGTTTCTGTGAGGGAACTATCGAGACGGGAGGGCATGTCCCCTCGGCAATGAGACTGATTCCCTGCCATCAGCTCGACAGGACCATATTTGTCGTCTGGAGTGACGCAGATAAGCTCGTGTACGAGTAAGTGCTCTCGTAGAGATTAGACCCAGAGCAACATGCTTACACATATCCGTTTGCAGGTCTCTGCTTCCTCACTACTTCCCGTCTGAGGACGAAGGAGACACTGTCTAGAGAACTCACGTGAGAGTGAGGAACCATGAGCAGATACCGAGATCCGTGTACGATATGTCGGCTGGCCTTAGATGCGCGCCCACAATGACGGCGCACTCCTAGCCCGGCTTTGGGAGGGTCCCGATTCCCGGCCTCAACGTACCGTGTGGTCAGAACCATGAGGCCAGATTCGTCAAGAATTGGTCTATCTCAGCCGCTCAGCGCTCAGCGCGCGTACCTGGCAAGATGCGCTTCAAATTCCGGTGGGACTTTGGAAGCATCGAAGGTTTCTTCAGCGCCCGCGCATATCGTCCTCTTCCCCAACTTCCCCGCACCCCGCACCTCGGCCTCCACATCCCCACACTCTCCACACACCACGATACCCTAGGTGGTCAACGTAGAGCATGGTCACACTCTACGACCATCATTGCAAGCTCCGAGGCTACACCGGCCCCGGCCCTAAGTCCAGTTGTGGACCCGCCAGCGTCTTGCCGGGCCGCGGCGCGCGCTCGCGTCCTCGCCGTCGCGCATCGTGATTCGTGGGCGCACCCCATGACCAGCGCGCCCAGCTCGCCGGATCTCATATGCGAGGGCCGACGATTCACCGTACGGGCCACGGCGTATGTCGGACACTCCGCGAGACGCATATAAGCAGGCTGCGCGGGGGGCACGCCCGCCTCAGGTCTGTCTGACAGCCTGATATCTCCTCATCCCACACCACACCCCGCTGCACGACTCGTACGAAGGCCAACGACGACACGATGGGGCGCATGTACAACATTGGGCTCGCGCTCTTCTGCTCGATAGGTGCGTCGTGTGTTCGTGCGGGGAATCTCTACGGTCCGTGCGGTTCGGGAATGGCTTCCCGCTGACGGGGGTAACGGCTTTCCATCTAGGTTCCTTCTTGTTCGGGTGAGTCCGGAGTTGCATGCGTTTCGCTGGCAGGTACTGAAGATTGGATTCGGTCGGTGCCTGTCTCGTCCGAAACAGTTATGACAGGTGAGTCGTCGCGCTGTTGCAAAGTTGACGTCTGGTCTCTTATGCATCTTATTTGCAGCGGTATCATCTCCTCTGTGATTACATTCCCCTTCTTCAAGTCGTTCGTGGGACACGAAAGCAATTATGAGAGTCTCTCCGGCGCAGTGGTATCCACTTTTACTGGTATGCATATGCTTCTACGCATTGTACATACATCTACTAACATGCTGCGTGTGCAGGCGGCTGCTTCTTCGGAGCAATGGGCGCCGGGTGGACAAACGACAGGTTTGGTCGCAGGCGCACTATTCAAGTGAGTGCTTGGCCTCACACTAGGTGCAAACTACCAAGCAGTTTCTTTAGCTTGGTGCAATCTTCGCGTTATGGGGATGTGCTATGCAGTCCGGAGCTAACAACTTCGCCTGCATGTTGATTGGTCGTATTGTTGCTGGTTTCGCTATTGGGTGAGTGCTTACGACAAGAACTTGCAACAAGGACGCTTATTCTCATCGCAGCATTCTCTCCATGACCGTCCCTCTGTACAACGTGAGTCATTCTAGAGGAATCATCAAGGCGGCGTCTCTGACACTCTTACTCAGACTGAGATCGCCCCACCGAAACATCGTGGTTTCATGGTCGGTCTCGCGCAGCAAATGATCGGAATTGGCTTCATCGTCGCAAACTGGGTTGGCTACGGCTGCCAATTCCTCGACGGAGACCAGCAATGGCGTCTTCCGCTCGGCCTCCAACTTGTACCCGCCACGCTTTTGCTCGTGGGCTCTGTCTTTATGCCACGCTCCCCGCGTTGGTTGCTCGAACACGGGCACGATGACGAAGCGCTTGCGGTGGTGCGCACGCTCCACAGTGCAAGCTCCTTGGGCGAAGAAGAGGCCGTTGCCGAGTTTGCACAAATGCGCGAGACAATCAAGGCCGAGGCGGTCGTACGCTCGAGGAGCCTCTCCGACCTCTGGGCGACGCGCGGCATGCTCCGCCGGACCCTGGTCGCGGTCGGCGTCCAGGTGTTCGGCCAGTTCTCGGGCATTAACGTCATCAACTACTTTGGTCCGTCGATGTACAAGGCACTGGGTTTGAGCGACAGCCAGTCGCTGCTCGTCCAGGGCATTTACGGCGCCGTCGGACCGATTACGAACTTCTTGTGCGTCTCCCTTGGTCTGGGCCAATTGGTATTCGACGATAGCTGACCCTCGTTCCGCGCAGCTTCATCACCCTCATCCTCGACACTGTCGGACGCAAGAAGCCGCTCATGTTCGGCGCGGGCAGCTTCATCGTCACGTACTCCGTCCTCACCGCCATCGTCGCCTCCTTCCCGCCCGACGAGTCCACGAACTTGGCGGCCCAGCGTGCGGGCATTGCTATGATTTTCCTCACGAGCATCTTCTTCTCGGTCAGCTTCGGCCCTGTGTCCTGGGTGCTTGCCTCGGAGGTCTTCCCCACCCGCACTCGGTCTATCGGCACGAGTGTTGCAACGTGCGCGAATTGGGCCTTCAACGTCCTCTTTTCGCAGGTGTGTTTATGCTCCGCCCTCGGAAATGCTTTGGAAGGGACGCTCATACTCTGTCAGGTTTCCAACATCGCTATCGTGAACATTTCCTGGAAATACTACATTATCTTCATCTGCCTTAATGCCATAGACTTCGTCATCATTGCTTTCTTCTTCCCCGAAACCAAAGGTGCGTCCGATGATTCTTCAAGCGCGCTTTGTGTGGTTCTCATACCATAAATGACTTGCAGGGAAGACGCTCGAAGAGATGGCAGAAATCTTCGGTGACGAGATCGACGCTCATGACGTTCTGTCGTCCACCGCGGCGCACGAGAAGCTCGAACACCACTTCGAGAAGGCTTGAAGGGCCTCCTTTTGGCCAAGATCTCTATTCTGCCACATCATTTGTACTATAGTCTTCACTCACGGTTGATGCTCTCTCATGACTCTACGATGTAAAGGGAAGTTTCCAATGCTATCGTTGCTGGATACTGGAGTGGCGTCTACTGCGTGCTGGGGGCTTCGTCACTAAGCCACGTGCCGAAGAACATCGACAAGTGCTTTGCCTGTCCTCAAGGCCCTCTACCGCCAACATAAGTAAGGACTTACATTCTCGGAGACGATCAACAGCGCACAGACCAGGGCTACAGAACTTGGTTGCCGAGGCGGTGAAATCAAACAGATGACATCATGAATCACAGTGCTGCGAGGACTTGTAAAGTTGTACTTGTGTCCGCGAAACAAACGTTGTTGATTTCAAATTAGCGCCTGCCAAGCACACGTGAGTAATATCATAAGGCACGCATCCTGCGAACCTTGGGTGCAGGCCCCGAGGGAGCAATTGTCGTAGTCTTCAGACGAAAACATGTCTCCGCCCATCTTCCGGACAGCAATAGCGATGGACGTGAACTCAAGCACTCACTGTACCTCAAGAGCCAACCAGTCAAGACACGGCCCAGCCTCACCGCGGCGCGTGTTTTACCACCCCGCATGGTTCGTCTAGCACATGCATCAAAGATTCAAAACGGTGTGCTCCGGTCGCCCACAAGCCCCGTGCCGTGCCGTGCCCCTTGACGACTCGAGCGCTGGTGTTGCGATCATCATTTTGACGTTGCTTCGCCCTCCTTCTCCTCCTCTCCTTGAGTTTCCCTGCGCTGTCCCGTCTCCCAAGTCCTGTTTGCGACGCTCTCTGCGCCATGCTTTCTCCTGTCACTCTCTTACAACTCACGGTCTTTTTCTCGGCTCTTGCCAGCTCCACTACCTTTGTCGCGGGCGAGCCTCACAGCCCCAAGTTCGCTCATCGCCACCATGGAATGCCCGCGTACAGTTTGGAAAAGCGCGACCAGTTCGACAACGCGCCGATGACTTACTTTGATGCGGGGCTGAATGCTTGCGGGACGGTGGACTCGGCCCAAGATTTCGTAAGTCCATTCGAGCGCCAGATAATTCACGTTCTCCGAAGCTCACCCTCCACAACCCGGTAGATTGTGGCTATCTCTAAGATTGTGAGCCTGAGATGACTGAGTACATCCTGGCCCTTCTCATTCATGCGCGCGTCGTGTCAGATGTGGGACGGAGGGGCGCACTGCTACAAGCCCATCACCATCCACTACAACGGCGCCACTGTGCACGCCAAGGTCACAGACGAGGTGCGTCCTCCAGACCGTCGCGCGGAGGCTAGTTCGTAACTAGAGATCGGCGCAGTGCGAGAACTGCCCATGGGGTGCGATCGACCTCTCGCACGGTGCCGCGCGGGCCGTCATGGGCCCCAACTTCATCGACATCGGAGAGGTGTACGGCAGCTGGAGCTACGACGGGGACGCGCCCGCTACTACCACCACGCACAAGCCCAAGCCCACCACCACCACCACCCATTCGTCCACCACCACCCACAAGACATCGACTTCGACTTCGACTTCGACTTCGACCTCGACCTCGACCTCGACCTCAACTTCGACCTCGGCTTCGACGACGCACCTTAGCACGTCCACGAAGACCTCAAGCTCGTCTTCTTCGTCGTCTACGACGTCGTCGGCCCCGGCCGTGACCCACACGGTGTTCCAGAGCGGAGGCGTCCAGCAGCTCAACCTGGCGTTCCTCCAGTTGACCAACGTCTTGATTGATGCGTCGGAGAAGTGATGTTGAGGCCCATCCTTTTGCATTGCTTCACGGTATCAAGTGCGATTCCGTGAAGTTGGATTCCTATGATATATGGTGCCATGTTGCTCCTCGCGATGTACCTGTCCGGATGTTGCACGTGTTCCTGTCGATGAAATATACAGCAGGATCGGCGCACGATAGTCCCAAAGATTCCGTGCGCGGTAGGACGAAATCGTAGAGACACAAGAGGTGAGAGGCGAGGCACTCGGTCTGATCCGGGCCCCGGAAGGGCGGCCCGGCTTTCCGTTGCTCATGCTCTGTGCGGACAGCGCTTTCGTCGCGATCGTTTCTGCAGTGACTCCACCACGCGAAAATCATCACTGCAGTACTGCCGCGTGCCGATTCAACATGTAAAGTATGTCTTCAGCGTTCGGATTTCGACTCGGGTCCCTTGCTGAGAATGAGACAAACAACTGAACGGCTGGCAGAGTACTTCAACTGGAGAGGCTGACGGTCTTTCAAAGCTTCTGGCTTCAGTCTTCTGGCTTCGGTGTATTGCAACGAGCTCTCATTTCGTACTGCCCTTTGCTTGATGACTGTGGTCGCGTTATGCCAGTAGGACTACTTTACTCAGCGTTGACAGCTCGTCGCTTCCGACACCCACGCCCCATTCCCGATTGTATATAAATGCCACGAAGTGTCCTCTTTTCCTCCCCTTCTTCGTCCTCTATTCCGTCCTCGCTCAGGGTCCTCTGCCTTCGCTCTCGTCGAGATGCTCTTCTCCGCCTTTCCTTCGCACATCACGCTCTTTGTTTCAGTCCTCACCAGTCTCAGCGTCACTTGCGGACAGTCGTCACCACATGCCGCCAAGTTCGGTTTGCGCCACCATGGACCCGACCGCGGCTTGTTCAAGCGAGACGAGTTCGCAAACACAAAGTTCACGACCTACGTTGCAGGTCCCAATGCCTGCAATAAGGTGGATCAGGGTGGCGACTTGGTACGTACCGTCGTCGCTGCGAAATCCGCATTCTGCTTAGCATGGATGTACAGGTCATCGCCATAAGTGCAGAGGTAGGACGGCTAGCCAACTTGGACTGTCTCTTGTCCTGATCGAGAAACCGTCGTTCAGCAATGGGATGGGGGCGCCCACTGCTTCAAGCCCGTTACCCTGCATTACAACGGTGTCACTGCACACGCTAAGGTCACCGATGAGGTGTGTAATTCCTTTCTCCCGCGATTTCATGCATTCTTAGATGCATCATCCGGTCTAGTGCATGGGTTGCCCCTTCGGAGCTATCGATCTCTCGTTCGGTCTCGCTGAGATCATCATGGGCTCTGACTTCCTCGACATCGGCGCTGTCTTTGGCAGTTGGAGCTTCGACGACGACACACCCCTTAGTGCCTCGAAGACATCCACGAAGGTGACCTCCACTACTTCCCGCAGCAGCTCGTCGACATCGTCGATTCCCACCAGCACCTCCTCCGAGTTGGTAACGACCAGCAGCTCAACCCCGACAGCGTCGACAGCGTCAGCCTCTTCGTCGTTCAGATTGCTCGGCACCAGCACCGCTGCATCCTCGTCCACATCCCCGGAGTCGTCTCAGGTCGCGTATCAAAGTGGTGGTGTCGAACAGCTCAATCTCGCGTTCGTCCGACTCAGCGACGCCGTCCTCTTTGCTTCCTCCCTCACGTCCTAAAAATAACTTGGGCTTTGTCTTCATGTTCGGGGTATGTTTTGGTGCCGTGTTATGAATACCGTGAACCCTCCTTCTGCGTGGCCCACTCGACTAGCATAGTGTCCCCGATCTCATTCGTGTACGGTCCGAATGCTATACTGCCTTCAAGGGCGCCGCGAGCATTCTTTCCTTTCATCGTCGTGTGTTTTCGTTCAGCCATCGCCACCACTTTTGAATGCCCATGCCAGCGAGCGAGTATACGCGACATTGAATCTGATAAAAATTTCCCCCATGGACGCTGTCAACAGTCAACGGCATCATGTTCATGTCGTCTGAAGCGCGGAAGCACGATGCCGGCGCGGCGGCCAGACGTCGGAATGGGGGAGGCACTTCTTATCCATGGCGTTCAGACAGACCATGAACGAGGACGCTCAATCTCCCGAGGCCTCTGAGATTCAGGCTTTCCTCGATTGTACATTAACGTGGTCAGGAAAGAAATCTCTCCTTGATGTCAGTGTTTTCCCTTTTGCGTCGGCGGACGAGAGTCTCTTTATTGGTCAGTGAGCCCTCCCCGGCTGAGGCCGATCTACAAAACAGGGGACGCCTCGAAGCACCATGGATTGGAGGCTGCTAAACAGGAACCTCGTAATACCCTGGCGGGGCCGGTTTGGGGAAAACGAGACGAGAAAATGGGAGGAGCTGCAGGGGCTGCGACTCTGCGAGGCGCTATCATGAGTGAGTGAGGAGACTGGTAGGACTCGAGTCCCTGTGACAAGTGGAGACGAGAATTGTACGACCATCAAAGCGTGCAAACCTGCCGGTCCATCGATGGTTCGAGATCCTGCGAGAGCTTAGAGCATGGTGCAGCTTCCAGCGCCGGGTGAGAGCGGTGTCTGCAGTCTTGTGCTACAAGGAGGCTTCTGAGTTGAAGCATGATATGCAAAAGGGGGGCATGTGATGTCAAAAGTGTCCGGAGTGGTTGGGAAAGTTGGCACCGACAAGGATGACGTCGGAATTCCATTGGACGTGGTTTAGTAAGACCAGGGCAGATAGGGACTGGCGGTGGGATATATATAAAAGCACTCCTCGATCCTCGGGATCCGTCCAGGCTGCCTTCAAGTTCTGTTTTTTGATCTGACTCGATCAACGTCGACGATCCAGAATGACGACATCCCGCAAGACGCCCATTTTGCTCACTGGCGCCACCGGTCCGTCCTTTCCCTTGGCCACCGTCATCATGACCTTCATCTCCCCTCTCTAGGCTACATCGGAGGCGCCGTCCTTGCGCATCTACTCAACCATCCTAACGCGAGCAACTTCGAGATATGCACCATCGTCCGTAACTCGGCGAAGGCCAGCGCGTTACGGTCCAAGTTCGGTGTAAATGTCGTCGAAGGCACCTTCCAAGACCTTGACAAAGTCGAGTCTCTGGCCGAAAAGTCGCATGTCATCTTCCACCTTGTGGGCACCCTTCACTCAGCACATGGCATGACATACACTGACCGCACTCTTTCAGGCCGACGCAGATGACGAATCATTCATGAAAGCTATTTTGGCGGGCATGCGCAAGAGGCACGTAACGCTTGGCGACCTCCCTGTCTTGATTCATACTGCAAGTGTCCCTGATGTCCCGACCTTTTTATCGTGCACATACTCATCTGCCTTAGTCTGGTACAGGGGTCATCGTCGACGATGCCCGTGGTGCGTTCGCAAGCGAGACGATCTACAACGACAACGACGTCACCCAGATGAAGTCCATTCCGGACACGGCGTTTCATCGTAACGTCGACTTGCTTGTCTTCAATGCGGATACCGAAGGATACATCCGCGGAAACATCGTCGCTCCATCTACTGTCTATGGGATCGCGAAGAACGCCCTCGTGAACGCTGGCGTTGCCAACGACCATTCCATCCAGATCCCGATTCTTGTCAGGGCTTCGCTTGCAAGAGGACGCGCTGGAGTGGTTGGAGAAGGAAAGGCGATCTGGCCGGACGTCCACATTGATGACCGTGAGTACCATGCTTTTTGTCTCGCGTTCTCTTGCCCCATCCCGTGTATCCTGTCAGTGCTCGTTCCGGACATCCCGCATACTGAAACGATGCCCGTTTACAGTCGCGGGCCTCTACATTTCCATCTTCAACGCCATTGTCAACAAACCGGACACCACGGGCCATGGGTTCGAGGGCTTCTACTTCGGCGAGAACGGCGAACACTCCTGGATGTCAATTTCGTGCGCCATCGGAGATGCGATGGTCGCTCTCGGATACACCTCCGATGCCTCTCCCTCGCCCTTCTCGACCGAAGAGCTCATCAAATACTTCGGGAGCGAGGCAGCGGGCTTGTACTCGGGGACGAACGCCCGCTGCCGTGCTGACCGCGGCCGCGCTCTGGGCTGGAAGCCGAAGTATACGACGTTGGATATGCTGAAGAGTGTACGGGATGAGGTGGAACATTATGGCGAGCTTATGAAGGGGGGCAAGCTCGACTTCAAGTTCGAGCCGGCGGCTGGGAAGTAGACGAGGAAGTACAGAAGTAGTCACATGTGAGTGTGTACTAGGTTATTACATGAACGAACCATGAACCTCGCTCCCCTACAGACAGAAGCCAAGGCGAGCTGGAGCACGTCCCCGTGCTATCCCAAGACCAACCAGATCGATACCTCGCTGCCATCCAAGTTCTACCTCGACCTCATCGCACCATTCTCCCGCCGGCAGGCGGGTCTCCTCATCCAGCTCCACACGGGCCACGTTCCTCTCCAAGCCCATCTTCACCGCATACGTCACGCGGACACCGACATCTGCCCGGTATGTGGAGCAGGGGCCGAAACGGTGGTACACTTCTTGCTCCGCATATTCAGGCGAACGCATGACGCATATCCACATGAAGCTCGGGAGGAAAGGTAGCAAGCTCGAGTACTTACTTAGTAGTGTAGACGCGCTGCCACAGCTCTTTGCATACATTGACGCAACGGAACGACTCTGACAGACCTTTGGACCTCTCGCCGACCCCGACGACGAACACCCCGCCACACCCTCGACATCGACATCCACTGATCGGCGAACACGCCAGCGCACTACACCGACCCATCGACCTCCACGACCACACCCCGCGCCGGCCCGACAACCACAGCGCACCACCTCCGGAAGTAAATAGGCGGCGGGCGAGCCGTCCGGCGACCAGAGTCGACGGCACTCCCACACTGCAAGCTGCGCGGCGCACGAAGTGAATGTCGCCCCAGTGCCTCGGCCACACATAGTCAGTATCGTATGTTACTACCCTCACCTCCCACGCTCTGACCCACCCTCCTCCCGCCCCTCTCGCTTCCCCCTCCCCTGATTCCTAAATTTACTTGTCCAGCGGGTATGGCCATTGATCATCGAATCTCGATGCATCAACCGATCGGGTGTTATGAATGCGAAGATATGAAGTCATAGGTCCCGGTCGGCATGCACATGAAGTCTGACCCCTCAGTAGTTTATATGGGTGACTCAGCTACGATGAAGTCTCCCCCGCGCTCGGAACCGTCAATTCAGTGCGCCCACATGTCGACCGAGCCTAAGGCGCCTCGCCTACGTTGGCGAGTGGGGCTTGCAAGATATAAATACACGGGAGACAGAGGAAGACGTCGTCGCTGTCCCAGCACGAGCATCGTCATGCTCAACACACCCATTCTTGTAATTGGGGCCACAGGTACGTTAATCTTGTCTGCTAGTGCTTCCTGTTCTCATCCGATTCGCCCAGGATATATTGGCGGCGAGTTCCTCGCCCGCTTTTTCAAGCATCCCGACATCAATGAGTACGAGATCACCTGCTATGTTCGTAGCGCTGACAAGGCCAAACTCCTCGAGTCCAAATTCGGCGTACATACCGCTGTCGGGTCTTTTCGGGAGCTTGAGAAGATAGAGATTCTCGCGGAGAACGCTCACATCATCATCAATTTAGTGAGTATCAGTCTTGCTTCGACGGTCTACATCTGACTGTTCCCCAGGGCGATTCTGATGATGACGAGCTCACAAGGGCCTTTTTACGGGGTCTCCATAAGAGACACGAGAAGCTCGGCGATGTGCCGATCTTTATCCACACTGTGAGTCTCGTCTATCTTCCTTTTGATGCCGTGTCTTATGCACGTGTATCACACCAGTCCGGCACGGGCACCCTCACGGACAGTGGGCGCGGCGTGCGCGACAGCGATATAATCTACAGCGACCTCAACATCGAGCAGATAAAGTCCATCCCGGATACCGCCGTCCATCGCAACGTTGACGGCCTCATCGCACGCGAGGACGCCAAAGGATACTTCCGCGGATACATCATAGTCCCCTCCACCGTCTACGCGATTGCGAAGAACCCTCTGGTCGAAGCCGGCATCGCCAATGCGCACTCCGTCCAGATCCCCATGTTCATCAGGGCCGCGCTGAAGAGGAAGCGTGCCGGAATGGTTGGGCTGGGGAAGGGGACTATGCTGGACATTCATATCGAGGACCGTGAGTGACTCCCCGTTACTTTCTCCCCCTTGAAGTGTCTGTGTCCGCGTCGAGTGCATACGCTAACCCTCCGCGCCAATATCCAGTGTCCGAACTCTACATCGTCGTCTTCGACGCCATCGCCGCCGCCACGGCCGGTCACGGCTGGGAAGGCTTCTACTTCGCCGAGAACGGCGAGCACAACTGGTATCAGATCGCCCGCGCGATCGGCGAGGCTATGCTTGACCTCAGGCTCACCGACAACGCGGAGCCGACGTCTTTCAAGGCTCCGGAGGAGCTCGTCGACGCGTTCGGGCTCGAGGAGTACGGGTGGTACCACGGCTGCAATGGGCGGGCGCGGGCAGACCGTGCGCGCGCGCTCGGGTGGAAGGCCAAGTACACGACGGCAGACATGCTTGCGAGCGTCCGGCCGGAGGTGGAGTATTGGGCGAAGAGGCATGCGGAGGGGTCGTTGACGGGCAGGGAGAACAAGTTGGATGAGAGCTGGGTGGGGGTCGTCCGGCAACTCAGGGCGTCGAACAAGTAGTGGCTTTTTTTTGAGAGGTGAACCTCATCGAAATGTATGATGTTGTCACGGTGGCTCCTGATTATGTGTTCTCTTCTAGCGTTTGAATAGACGATGTATCCGGTATCTTCGGCGGTTTCGTCAACACCTCCAAGAAACGGCATCCCGATTTAGCAAGAATAGGAGTATCGTTTGGGAAACCCACACCATATGATTTTGCAAAGGACTCGTCCGTGGCGTTTCAAATTGGGGTGGTATCTGCGTTTGTCCTCCGAACGTCGCTTTTTTTTTTAGTCATGATCCGGTTTAAATCGGCCAATGCTCATATCAAACGAAGCGTTCAGCGTAGTAAGGTTGGAAATGTCTCTTTCGGCAGCTTGGTCAAGACGCTCTGGGTTTGTCTTCGGGCGGAATGCTACCACCCACACCATACTATGAGAAGTACTCCCGTTCCATTCATTCGCCGGTTCTTTCGGTTTGACCGATCTCGGAAACAGTGACTCAGCGTCCGTCCCATCTACATCAGAGCTCGCGACGCAGGTTTACAGGCATCTGCAACCTCTCAACAAGATGACCACCAAGACTTCCATCTTCCTCACCGGCGCTACTGGTACGCAATCCTCTACGATTACCCACCTCTTCTAACCAACGCCCCCTGCGTTATGTGAACAGGTTTGATCGATGGATCCGTACTCGCACGTCTTCTCGCACATCCTAAGGCTGCAGACTTCGAGATTATTGCTCTGGTACGCAGCGAGGCGAAAGGGAGGCTTTTGCAGGCGAACTTCGGCGTGAAGCCTCTCGTCGGCAGCTTGCAAGATGTCGACAAGATCGCCGCCGTTTCCGAGGCTGCGAACGTTATCATCAACACGGTAAGTACCCGAGTCCATAACGCATGCGACGATCACTGAAAGACTTGTTCAGGCCGACTGTGACGACCTCCCTTCCGCCGAGGCCATTTTGTCCGGTATGAAAGCTCGCCACGATAAGACCGGAGAGGTGCCCATCTTGATACACACTGTACGCGTCAACGCGTTGTCCGGCACTGGCCTGTAGTCACGCTGACAGTTTCTATCCGGCAGTCCGGCACTGCCATGCTTATCAACGACGCCAAAGGTGTCTACCTCGCGGAGACAGTCTATGATGACATGAACCTTGAGCAAATCAAGTCCATCCCCCCATCGGCTCTCCACCGCCATGTCGACATCCCTATCGTCGAGGCTGACGTCGCCGGATACATCCGCGCGCACATCGTGGCGCCGAGCGTCGTCTACGGGGTCGCAAAGCACGCGCTCGTCGACGCCGGGATCGCCAACCCGTTCAGCATGTGCGGTCAGCTTCTCGCGCGCGCTGCCATCAAGCGTGGTCGCCCGGTGATCGTCGGCGAGGGGAAGTGCTCATGGAGTCACGTGCACATCGACGACAGTGCGTGGTTCTCGTGTTTTTGTCACTAGCGGGCGCGGACTGACGTTAATTAGGCACGAACTGTCGGTGCAAGGGGAGCCGATCTCGGGGTCAAGTTGGGTGGAAGCCGAGGCACGACATGAAGAACTTTGACGCGAGCACTGTGGAAGACTTCCGGGGGGTACTAGAGACGGAGAACAAATAGCTGGGTGGCTCAGTAGGTTGCAGGCGCCGGCCGCGACGACTCGATGAGATCTTTAGCTGCTACTAGGGATACATGGACACGCTGTTTTTAAGGCTAACCGTGGGACTAGCTTCATCATATACATAAGTGGTGGGCCATATGTGTTAAAAGCAGCACAGACGTCCGACTCTGGCGCGGGACGCAGATCTCCAGCGCTTACGCTTGCGATGCGCGTCTCTGAGCGTACAAGTCCAATATAGCTACAGCTTGCTCGCACCATTGGCTTCCACTCTTCCACGTTCACTCCGTTGTCCTCGGCTCCCCTTCCCGCCACCCTCCGCCACCCTTTCTATTCGGAGAAACCCGGGTTAATATGGAGAATCAGTGAAAGCAAGACTAAAGACAGAGACTGATCTCTAGACGGGATACCATTTGCCCCAGTTTCCGGTAGGTCTACGTTGACTTGCGTTCATGCGGAATGTACTCATGTACTCATATCCTATCAGATATGGTACCACGGTTTAATGCTAGAGCGCATATACCTGTGAAGGTACTGCTCAATAGCAGTTCGCGCCCCCTAATCGGCCTCCGCCGCCCCATATCCAGCAAGCCTCCGTACCGACATGATTCCCGGCTTGTACAGCCAGACAGTCCCGGTTGCCAAGTGCCTCAAGCCCGACCCTTCGCCATTGAACGCGTTGGAGGGCGGGAATGTCATATCTCGTGGGCGGAGGGGGGCAAGGCGAAAGTCAAGAGGGAGTGGAGAGACGTCGCAGACCCCGACGCAACAGCCGGGAAGGTCGCCGTTCCAACGAACTCAATATCCGGTCGCGTCTCTTCATGGTTCGGGCAAATGTTCCTCCCCACCAACTACCCGCAGTCCGTGCATCGTTCGTGAGTGCCCCATTTGCTATGGCGTAGGCGGTGCGACCGACCCCAAGGGCCACACAGGTACCTCCCCTTCCACATCCTGCAAGCCTTCGAGACGACGCTCGCGACTATCACGTCTGTTCTTTGCAACCAGGCGCTTCTCACATCCGTCGGCGTGTCGGCCGAGGGCAGCGTCTTTGGGGCAGTTGCCGTGCAGTGGATCATCAAGGACGGCGCGGGGGAAATTGCAAAGCTCTTCTTCATCCGACACTTCTCGCCATACTTCGACAGCCACCCCAAGGCGTTCACACTTCTTGGAGAGGCACTCACTTGTTTGGGGAGTGGAATGATGATCGCGAGTGTGCTGGTAAAACCGTCCCCGGTGAATTTCTTGCTTTGCGCCGGTGAGTTGTCCAACCTCGGGCTTCAGCGTCGTGACGAATAGGCTCACTAATCCCGTTCGGTAGCGGGCGGGAACGTCTTCAAGTTGGTGGGGAATGCGGTATGTCTGAACGCGGCTCCACCTCATGGCATACGCTCACTCGCTTGAGGTCAGATTTGGTTTACGACTCACATCAAGTTTATTCGGTACTTCTCCATGCAAGGGAACGATGGAGATGTCGCAGCAAAGGATGAGTCTCAGGCGTCGATTGCGCAACTCGCAGGGTACGCCTCAGGCATTGGTCTGTTGACGTTCTCGCACGCGCCAGCATACCTCTATTCCATCTTCTTCCTCGCGGTCCCGATCCATCTCGTGATGACTGGGCTGATGATGCGCGTCGCGACATTTGAGTTGTTGACGCTCCCTCGGGTAAGTCACCTCGCGCGGTCTTACGTCGCCACAGGCGAGGTCCAGTCCCTGGACCAGCTCACTCAAAGCGCTGCAACGGGGATGTTCGGCGAGTTCTACAAGGGCAAGGCAGATCACTGGCTGACGCTCGCACCGCGCGTACAAGACGTGCTGAGCTCGGGTTCCGACATCGATCGAATGCGATGGGAGACCGCCTCGCGCGTATTCCAGGTGCGTCCATCGAAGCACGTTTGGGAGCGAGGAAGCTCACGGAGGTCATCTGAACAGGACGATCGCTATCTGCTCTTCCCGCATGACACTCCTCGAGGACCGGCCGTGGCCGTCTTCTACCATCCGGACGCGACGAACGGTGACATGCTTCAGTCCATCTTCCACGCGGCGGTGGTGCGCAATTCGCTGGAGCATGAACGATCTTGGCCAGACCCCGCGCCTCACGAAACGCGCATCCAGGCCCCGAGCCCATCCGAGGAGATTTCTCTGTTGTCTGACGTCTTGACTGAATCTCGAGCTCACGCAAGCAAGGGATTCCCGGCGTTCAAGCAGGCGTTGAACGACCAAGGGTGGATGACGGATGAGCTCTGTTTCGCAGACCTTGGCTACCGCGTTGTATGGAAGCATTGATTCGCATACGCTCTGAGATCTCCTAGTTTCCTGCTTTCGTTGAGGCTGCTTGCCCCGAACTATTCTCTCACCCCGCTCTCTCACTGCTGTATCCATGTGTATCTAGTTATGCCTGTTCTAATACCTCCTAATATCCTTACGATGTAGCAGCTTAGAGCCTAGACGTCTACGATAGATTAATGATAACTCCCTTCACCGAAGTCGACGGCGCCTGCCCAACCGACGTGCAATGCATTCGGGCAGAACCTAAGCAGAATCAATGTTCTTGATCGATAAACAGCCGGCGAGTGCGGGCGACGGGTTCCGTGCTGCACCACCAACAAGGCCGTAGATGTTTGGGCATCTTCCTGGAGTATAACCATGGGGCTGATGGGGCCCGCCTACGCACTAGAGAACATATCCGCTGCACGACAGCAGAGCGCGGTTTGCTCGCCATCGACAGCGAAGCCGCTCGTAGGTTGGCAGGCATCGCTCTATCGCCCGGGCCGACGGCGTGATTGTAAAATTGCGCTCGCGAAGCCATCGCGAAAAGGGGCAAAGCGGCATGAGGAAACAACCTGGCTTCGAAGCGAAGGCCCTTGCGGGGCACGCAGCATCCGCATGCACTCGCGCGCCGTGCTCACAGACAGATGTGAGCTCGTCTGGACAGGATTTCAGGACATGCTGGGCAGCCAGGTGCGCAATGAGACCGCAGAGCTTGGGGACGCTGGGGGCGCAGGCACGACAGAAAGCGAGCGGACCGCCTGAGACGATTGCCAAAGGGCAATTGGATCTCCCCGCGTCAATCTGGGGCCCCGGCGGGGGCGCCATTCCCCTGGCTCTCCCTGCCTTTTGTAGAAATTTGAGAATCGCGTCGCGTCGAATAGGCGCCGGGTATCCGTTGGGGTGCTGTTTCGAGATGGTGGGTGTGGGGGAAGCTCGTATAAGACAGCCCGGACTCTGCCACGCGTCGTTTCTGCACCACCTCGCCCTCGTCGCTCGGTGCGCACTCCCTACTTCCTGCTCGTATCTGTCGATCCCCCTGTGTCCTACCACCGACCAAGGAACGACCCACCCATCATGTCCGCAATGCCGCCCTCTCCTCCCGGCATCACCACCCGCCCTATGCAGATCCAGTCAGGTTCCATTAGAGTAAGCACGAATCTCTTCCGTAGTCGCGCGCGACGATGGCAGCTCCATGGGAGCAAGGGGGGAGGATGGGATGGGCGCATATATGCGCACGCCTTGTCAAGGCGCACTGCTTTCCCGCGTCAGCACATCAGCAGGCCCGTGTATCGCGTCCGTGTGTGTTCCTTGCCATCTCGACATAACGCGCGACCCCGCGCGTAATGTATCCGTTGCGCGCAGCTCGGCCCGCCACACGATCGAGTATAGCACTGACATGCATCCTGTGTGTAGATTTCGATCCCGGTATCGACGCAGGCGGACGAGTGGACGGCCGCCGAAGTCCTTAGAGATGACTTCATGCACGTCCAGTCCACCGACGACGCCATAGACACCACCGCGGCCCTGGAGAACGCGACCGAAGCGAGCGTCGAGCTCTTCGCGCGCTTTTTGGGCTTCGTCGCCGAAAAACTAGATGAGGACGCGCAGTCGGACACCGCGCGCACCTCTATCCTCCTCAAGTCCATCAAGTACTTTACCTCCACCTATCTTTCTACTCAAGATGTTCACGTAATCGTCGCCGCGTTCGACACCGAAGTGCGCAAGACCGTTCTTTCTGCGTACTTCAAGTCCATCGCCGCTCTCGAGGCGAAAAAGGTCCAGGGGATCCCTCGTGCTCCCACGAGCGCCTTGCTTTCAGCGGCTAAAGGTGGCGACGCGTCCATCTTCGCGCTCTTCGGCGGCCAAGGCACCAACGAGGTCTACTTCGACGAGCTTCAAGCTCTCTACGACATCTACAGGCCTTACGTTTCTGGCTTCATCGACACGATCACGCGCGATGTCCTGCTTCCCCTCGTCGAGGAGGCTGAAGAGGACGCCCTCTATACGCACGGACTTGACGTCGTGTCCTGGCTGAATGGTTCTTCTCTCCGTCCACCTGTCACCTACCTTGCATCTATCCCCGTATCATTCCCTCTCATCGGCCTCACTCAGCTCATCCAGTATCTGATCGTTTGCCGGGTTACTCAACTCACGCCTGGTGAGTTACGCTCGCGCTTGCACGGCGCGACTGGCCACTCCCAGGGTCTCGTTTCCGCCATCGCCATCGCCGCCTCCACCACCTTCGAGTCCTTAGCCGCGAATGCTGTCAAGTCGATCCGGTGGCTCTTCTACTCTGGCCTCCGCGGGCAACAGGCGTTCCCCGTCCTCGCGCTGGAGCCGAGCATCACCCAAGACTCCGTTGAAGGCGGCGAGGGCTCCCCAAGCCCCATGCTCTCCATTACAGGCCTTTCGCTCAAGGATGTCGAAGGCCACATCGCGAAGACCAACAAGCACCTCCCTGACAACTCCCAGCTCGGTGTGTCGCTCCACAACGGTCCTAAGGCGTTCGTTGTCACTGGTCCCCCACGCGCCCTGTACGGCCTCGTCGTCAACCTTCGTAAGGTGCGCGCCCCCAGCGGCCTCGACCAAAGCAAGACACCCTTCTCTCAGCGCAAGCCGGTCTTCTCCGTCCGCTTCCTCGTCGTCGGGGTCCCATATCACAGCAAGTATCTCTCAAGTGTCGTTGACGAAGTCATGGATGATTTGGAGGAGACTGAGTTGTGGAAGAAGGAAGACCTGGGGATCCCTGTCTTCCACACCGAGAACGGTAAGGTCTTTCATTTACTACAATGTGCAGATTCTGATGTGCGCTCTGAAGGTACCGACCTTCGCACCACCGAAGGCTCCCTGACTAGGGCTTTGTGCGACCAAATCTTTACCTTGCCAATCCAATGGTCTGCCGCGACCAACTTCCCGGACACGGCTACGCACGCTGTCGACTTCGGCCCTGGTGGCATTTCCGGCATTGGTCCTCTGACTGCCCGTAACCTTGAGGGTCGTGGGGTACGGGTGATCGTCGTCGGAGACAAGGCCAAGGGTCCCGCGGAGCTCTACGATTCGCAATCCATCAAGACCGAGGAGTGGTGGTCGAAGAAGTTCTCGCCTGCTCTTGTCAAGACGAGGTGTGTAATGCACGATGGCCTTTGTCGATTGGCGTTGACAATTCTCGTAGCGATGGAACTATCCACCTCGACACCCCCTTCTCCCGTCTCCTCGGGAAGCCGCCGATCATGGTCGCCGGTATGACTCCTACAACGGTGAAGGCAGGCTTCGTCGGTGCAGTGCTTGACGCAGGCTACCACATTGAACTTGCTGGTGGTGGACACTACAATGCCGCCGCTCTTCGCAGCAAGGTCGCCGAAATCCAGAGCAAGATCCCTGCGGGTGTCGGCATTACTCTCAACGCGCTCTACATCAACCCGCGCCAGTTCGGGTTCCAGTTCCCCCTTTGGCAGGAGATGCGCCGCGAGGGCTTGCCTATCGAGGGCTTCTGCGTCGCCGCGGGCATCCCCAGCACTGAGAAGGCGGCGGAGATCATCGCTGCGCTGCGCGACTCGGGCATCAAGCATGTCTCCTTTAAGCCCGGCTCCGTCGACGGTATCCGTCAGGTTGTCAACATCGCCGCCGCGAACCCCGACTTCCCTATCATCATGCAGTGGACTGGCGGCCGTGCCGGTGGCCATCACTCTTGCGAGGACTTCCACCAGCCGATCCTCTCCACCTACGGTTCCATCCGCCAGTACTCCAACCTCATCCTTGTGGGTGGCTCAGGCTTCGGCGGCGCCGACGACGTGTGGCCCTACCTCACCGGTGACTGGTCGGTCGAGAGGTTTGGGCTACAGCCCATGCCTTTCGACGGCTTCCTCTTCGCCAGTCGCGTCATGGTTGCTAAGGAGGCTCACACGAGCTCCTCTGTCAAGGACCTCATCGTTGCCGCGACAGGTGTCGACGACGCTCAGTGGGAGGGCACCTATGCGAAGGAGACTGGCGGTATCCTCACTGTTCGCTCTGAGCTCGGGGAACCTATTCACAAGATCGCCACTCGCGCCGTCAAGCTCTGGAAGGAGTTCGATGACACCGTTTTCAAGATGCCCAAGGAGAAGCGCGCCGCCTGGCTCGCCGAGCGTCGCGCCGAGATCATCGCTAAGCTCAACAAGGACTTCGCGAAACCCTGGTTCGGCTGGAAGAAGGACGGGACCGTCGTCGAGGACATCGCCGATATGACCTACGAGGAAGTCGTGCTCCGAATGGTTCGCCTCATGTACGTTCCGCACCAGGAGCGTTGGGTCGACCTCTCGCTCCGAAACCTCACTGGCGACTGGCTTCGTCGCATCGAAGAGCGCTTCGCCGGCCTCCACGACAGCAAGAAGGCGTCCACACTTCAGTCTTACTCCTCCCTTGACAAGCCCTCGGGGTTCGTCGAGAAGTTCTTCGAGACCTATCCTGAGGCTACGGAGCAGCTCCTCGCGTCTGAAGACAAGGCGTACTTCCTCGCGATCTCTCAGCGCCCTGGCCAGAAGCCCGCTCCTTTCATCCCCGTTCTGGATGCTTCCTTTGAGGTCTGGTTCAAGAAGGTTGGGATTTTCCTTCGCTCATTATGAACAATGCGCTAACCAAGCCCACTAGGACTCCCTTTGGGCAGCTGAGGATATCGATGCCGTCTTCGACCAGGACCCGCAGCGTGTTTGTATTCTTCAGGGGCCTGTCGCGGTCAAGCATGCGACGGTCAAGGACGAGCCGGTCAAAGACCTCTTGGGCAACATCAACTCGGCGCTCATCGAGAAGCTCGTCGATCGCCTGTACAGTGGCGACAAGTCCAAGATCCCCACCGCTGAGTATCTCAGCAACAAGCCCACCACCACGGCCCCCGCGATTGCTCCTTCTGTGTCCGGTAACGTCGCGACCTTCAACGTCGGCACCGCCGTTCCTAGCACCGCGGCATGGCTCGATACCCTTGCGGGTCCCAAGCTGAGCTGGCTTCGCGCGCTGCTTACTTCGACCACGATCGTTCAGGGCACCGCGTACCTCGACAACCCGATGCGTCGCCTTTTCACTCCTCGCAGTGGTCAGAAGGTCGTTGTTGAGAGCGACGGCTCACGGCCCTCGAAGGTTTCCGTGTATGGTGCCGCGCGCTCCTATGGCCCGCACGATCCTGCCTTCAAGGTCGTCGAGATCACCTTCAACGCCTCTTCCTCAATGATCAACCTCGTCCTCTTCGAAGAGCGCCGCGACACGGCCGTTCCTCTCCGCTTCCAGTTCCTTTACAAACCGTCGATGGGCTTCGCGCCAATCCACGAAGTCGCCGAGGGCCGTAATAAGCACATCAAGCAATTCTACTGGAAACTCTGGTTCGGCGACAGTGAGGCGCTTCCCGAGATCGGACTTCGCGAGACCTTCACCGGCCCTGAGGTAGTCATCGACGAGGACGATGTGGAGACTTTCTGTGCTGTCGTCGGTAACCAAGGCGAGGCGTTCAAGACCGCCCGCAACGAGAAGCCTCTCGCACCTATGGACTTCGCCATCGTCACCGGTTGGCAGGTACGTCACTATCTCTAACGTGGCAGACGGGGTTGTTGACCGCTCTCCTTGTAGGCCATCATGAAGGCGATCTTCCCAACGCCCGTCGACGGCGATCTTCTCAAGCTCGTTCACCTCTCCAACGGGTTCCGTCTCCTGGATGGTGCCAAATCGCTCAAGGCTGGGGATGTCTGCAAGGCCGAGGCTCGCATCGTCGCGGTTATCAACAGCGACGCAGGCAAGACCGTGCGGGTCAAGGGCTACGTCATCCGCGATGGTGAGAAGGTTATCGAAGTCACCTCTTCGTTCCTTTACCGCGGCCGCTTCGACGACTTTGAGAACACCTTCGAGGTGGTGGAGGAGCCGGAGTACCTCGTCGAGCTCCCCACTGAGGCCTCTGTCGGAGTGCTCCAGTCCAAGGAGTGGTTCGAGTGGGACGATGAGACGAAGCCTCTCCAGCCCGGCACTTCCCTGGTCTTCCGTGTTCGCTCTGAGGTCACCTACCGCAATAAGACGTGCTACAAGAGCGTCAATGTCTCCGGCGACGTTTGCGTCCGCGATCAGATGAAGCGCCTTGTCAAGGTCGGCTCCGTCGACTTCCTCCAAGACGACTCGCGCGGCAACCCCGTCGTCTCGTACCTCCAGCGTCACGGCTCTCCTCAAGGTCTCCTGTCGCCCCTGTCCACGGAGGGATACTCGATGACCAACGGCGTGAACACTACCTTCACTTCCCCCGCCACCAACGAGCCATACTCGAAGATATCCGGCGATTTCAACCCCATCCACATCAACCCTTACTTCGCCGACTATGCGTCTCTCCCTGGCACTATCACCCACGGCATGTGGTCCAGTGCTGCGACCCGACGTCACGTCGAGAATGTCGTCGCGCAAGGTGTTCCAGACCGTGTTGTCGCGTAAGTGTCGTTTTTATCTTCGTTTGCGTCTTGGACTTAATCTTTGTTTCTAGTTACGACGTCTCCTTCGTCGGCATGGTCCTCCCTGGCGACGAGCTCAAGGTCAAGATCAAGCACGTCGGAATGCGCCACGGCAACCTCGTTGTCAACGTCGAGACTTCCAATGCTCGCGGCGAGAAGGTCCTGGTTGGATCGGCGGAGGTGGCGCAGCCTGCCACAGTCTACGTGTTCACTGGTCAAGGTTCTCAGGAGCCTGGTATGGGTATGGACCTCTACAATAACTCCCCCGCTGCCCGTTCCGTATGGGAGGCTGCCGACGCTCACTTGACCGCCGTCTACGGCTTCTCAATCGTCGAGATCGTCAAGGACAATCCTAAGGAGAAGACTATCCACTTCGGTGGTATCAAGGGTCAAGTAATCCGCCAACGCTACATGGACATGACGTACGACACCATGGATAAGGACGGTAACGTCAAGACCCTCCCGCTCTTCGGCGACATCAACGTCCGCACGCAGCGCTACACCTTCAGCCACCCCAACGGTCTCCTGTTCGCCACCCAGTTCGCTCAAATCGCGCTCGTCGTCACGGAGCGTGCGGCGTTCGAGGACATGCGCTCCAAGGGCCTCGTTCAGAAGGACTCAGCGTTCGCAGGTCATTCTCTGGGAGAGTACTCTGCTCTCGCGTCAATCGCGGATGTCCTCCCCATCTCCTCGCTCGCGGACGTCGTCTTCTACCGTGGTATCACTATGCAGCGCGCCGTCGAGCGCGACGCGCATAACCGCTCCAACTACGCCATGTGCGCCGTCAACCCTAGCCGCGTTTCGAAGACGTTCAACGATGCTGCGCTCCGCGAGGTTGTTGACAACATCTCAAATGCTACAGGGTGTCTCCTCGAGATTGTCAACTTCAACGTCGATGTGCGTTCTTTCCCCTTGAATTTGATGATCGCTCTCTGACAAATGTGACAAATTATCAGGGTCAACAATACGTCTGCGCTGGAGAACTCATCGCCTTGCAGACCCTCACGAATGTGCTCAACTACCTGAAGCTCGAGAAAATTGACATCGCCAAGGTACTTTACATCCACTCTAGTCATATCACACATGCTAACGGATTTCTAGTTGACGGAAAAGTTCACCGTGGACCAGGTCAAGGAGATGCTCGGCGAGATCGTCAAGTCCTGCTACACCAAGGCTCAAGAGCAGCAGCAGAAGGAGGGTTACATCATCCTCGAGCGTGGATTCGCCACCATTCCGCTCCCCGGTATCGATGTGCCCTTCCACTCTCGGTACCTCTGGGCCGGTGTCATGCCCTTCCGCGCATGTAAGTCGGCGTTCACGCTATTTGCGCTCCGTGACTGACCCTAGTTCCCAGATCTCTCCAAGAAGATCAACGCTGCACACCTCGACCCCGACACCCTCGTCGGGAAGTACGTGCCGAACCTTGTCGCAAAACCGTTCCAGGTCTCGAAGGAGTATGCCCAACTCATCTACGATCAGACCCTCTCGCCTCGCCTCGACAAGGTGCTTCGCAAGTGGGACCAGGACAACTGGGGCTCGCCCGATCAGAGGCAGAAGCTCGCCTACATCATACTCGTCGAGCTCCTCGCGTACCAATTCGCCTCCCCCGTCCGTTGGATCGAGACCCAGGACCTACTGTTCTCTCAATACGGCTTTGAACGGTTCGTCGAGATTGGGCCTTCACCTACGCTCACGGGTATGGCCACTCGTACCCTTAAGGCCAAATACGAGGCTCAGGACGACTCCATCACTCACCGGCGCGTCATCTTTTGCCATGCCAAGCACCCCAAGGAGGTCTACTACCAGTTCGAGGACGAGCCTGAGGCTCCCGCTGAGGAGTTTGCGGAGGCGTCCGTAGCCCCTGCCGCTGCTGCCGCTGTTCCCGCCGTCGTCGCTGCCGCACCTGTGTCCTCGGGTGTTGCTGCCGCTGCCGTGGAGGATATCCCGATCAAAGCCAGCGATATCCTTGTCACGATTGTCGCCCAGAAGCTCAAGAAGCGGGTCGACGAGATCCCGATGTCGAAGAGCATCAAGGACCTCGTTGGCGGGAAATCCACTATGCAGAATGAGATCCTCGGCGATCTGGGACAAGAATTCTCCTCTGCTCCCGAGAAGGGCGAAGAACTTCCCCTCGAGGAGCTCGGATCTGCTCTCGGGGTCGGCTTCTCTGGCTCCCTCGGCAAGTACACGTCTGGCCTCATCTCTCGTCTTGTCGGAGGCAAGATGCCTGGCGGTTTCAGCGCGTCGGCGATCAAGGCCCATCTCTCCAAGTCGTGGGGTCTCGGCCCCCAGCGTGCGGACGGCGTCCTCCTCCTCGCTGCCACCATGGAACCCGCGAAGCGTCTTGGATCGGAGGGCGAAGCAAAGGCTTGGTTGGATGGCGTCGTCGCTGTCTACGCTCAACGCTCTGGCATTTCCTTGTCCTCTGGTGCCGCTGCTGGTGGTGCTGGAGGAGGTGGAGGCGCGGTCATCAACAGCGAGGAGTTCATCAAGTTCCAGGCTGACCAGAACAAGTTCGCCTCACAGCAAGTCGAGTTGTGGATGCGCTACCTCGGTCGCGACTCTCGTGCCGGCGACATCAAGTTCGACAAGGAGAAGGCGAGTGCTGAGCAACTCCAAGCCCGCCTTGACGCCATCGCCCGCGAACACGGCGAAACCTACGTCGACGGCATCCAGCCCATATTCGACGTGCTCAAGGCCCGCCACTTCGACTCGTCATGGAACTGGGTCCGTCAAGACGCCCTGCTTATGTTCTACGACATCATCTTCGGACGGCTCACTACCGTTGACCGCGAGATCACGGCGCGCTGCATTGCCATCATGAACCGCGCCGACCCCGACCTCGTCGCCTATATGCAGTACTACATTGACCAGTGCGACGCGTCTCGCGGCGAGACATACCAGCTCGCCAAGCAATTCGGGCAGCAGCTCATCGACAACTGCAAGGAAGTCGTTGGTAGTCCCCCGCTCTACCGTGATGGTGAGATTTACCCTGTCTCATATGACCGCCTCCTGATGATAGCTCTAGTTACGTTCCCGACCGCACCCCACACGGAGGTCACAGCCCAGGGCGACATAGTGTACAAGGAGGTCGTCCGCGAAAACGTCAGGAAGCTCGAGGCGTACGTCGAGGAGATGGCGAGCGGTGATACCATCGTCCAGCCCACGAACATCCAGAAGATCCAAGAGGACGTCCTGAAACTGTGGAACGTCGTGAAGTCTCAGCCCGAGATCAGCGAAGAGCAGAAGAATCGCATCAAGGCGCTCTACGAAGGCGTCGTACGCTCTCTTCGCAAGCGTCCCGAGTCGCGCACGCGCGCTAACACCGGGCCTCGGGCGCGCCGCTCCTCATCCCAATTCCTTCGTCCCCAAGTCTCTGGCGTCGCTTCCGTCACGGCCGACAAGGTACCCCTCCTCCATCTCAAGCGCAAGGTTGGTACGAACTGGGAATACAGCAGCAATCTTACCGGCGTGTACCTCGATCTGCTCAACGAGATTGCGACGTCTGGTACGACCTTCAAGGACAAGAACGCGCTTCTCACCGGTGTCGGGAAGGGCTCCATCGGTGTCGAGATTGTCAAGGGTCTCCTCTCCGGTGGCGCGCACGTTGTCATTACGACCTCTCGCTACAGTCGCGCGACCGTCGAGTACTACCAGGGCATCTTCCAGCGCTTCGGCAGCAAGGGCTCCGCGTTGACGGTCGTACCCTTCAACCAGGGTTCAAAGCAAGACGTCGAAGCACTCGTCGACTACATCTACTCGAAGTTGAGCCTCGACCTCGATTACATCCTCCCCTTCGCCGCCGTGCCCGAGAATGGCCGTGAGATCGACGGTCTCGACGACAAGTCCGAGCTCGCTCACCGCATCATGCTCGTCAACCTCCTCCGTCTTCTCGGTGCCGTGAAGAGCAAGAAGGCCAGCCGTCATTTCGTTACTCGCCCTACGCAAGTCATCCTCCCCCTGTCACCTAACCACGGTCTTTTCGGCAATGACGGTCTGTATTCGGAGTCGAAGATTTCGCTCGAGACTCTCTTCAACCGTTGGAACAGCGAGAGCTGGGGCGAATACTTGTGCTTGGCTGGTGCTGTCATCGGGTACGTCCCTGGCGTTTGAATATCTTTGATCGCGCTCACATCCCTCCTAGATGGACTCGTGGAACGGGTCTCATGGGAGCGACGAACACGGTCGCCCATGAGCTCGAAGGCCACGGCGTTCGCACCTTCTCTGCTAAGGAGATGGCCTTCAACATCCTCGGTCTCATGCACCCACTTCTCTTCAGCATCACACAAGTTGAGCCTATCTGGGCGGACCTCAACGGAGGTATGGATCGTCTCCCCGACCTCGCCGAGATCACTGGTCGCATCCGGACTGAGCTCAACAAGAAGAGCGAGCTTCGCCGTGCGATCGCCCGCGACAACGCTGCGGACTTCAAGGTCATCAACGGCGACAAGGCGGAGCGCGTCCTCCAGACGATCGATGTTACGCCGCGTGCCAACTTCCAGTTCAACTTCCCTGCTCTGGAGTCTGCGGAGTCTCTGCTGCCCGTCTCGCAGCTGCGCGGAATGCTCGATCTCGAGAGGGTGATCGTCGTCACTGGCTTCGCTGAAGTGGGTCCCTGGGGCAGCTCGCGCACGCGTTGGGAGATGGAGGCGCGCGGCGAGTTCACGATCGAGGGCTGTATCGAGATGGCGTGGATGATGGGCTTCATCAAGCACTTCGACGGTCGCCTCAAAGACGGCTCACTTTATGTCGGTTGGGTCGACTCAAAGACGAGTGAGCCTGTCGACGACAAAGACATTCGCGGCCGTTATCAGAAGGACATTCTCGCTCACGCCGGCGTCCGCCTTATCGGTATGTCGTTTTCAGCCACTGATATCACCGCACTCACGAACTGGTTTGAACAGAGCCCGAGCTCTTCCACGGCTATGACCCCAAGAAGAAGGTGTTCAACCAGGAAGTCGAGCTTCTCCACGACCTCGAACCCTTCGAGGCGGCTCAACCCGAGGCCGAGAAGTTCAAGTACGAGCATGGCGACAAGTGCGACATCTGGCAGAGCGAGAGCGGCGAGTGGCTTGTGAAGTTCAAGAAGGGTGCTCGTGTCTTCATCCCGAAGGCCTTCAAGTTCAGCCGCGTCGTTGCCGGTCAGATCCCCACTGGCTGGGATGCCGGCCGTTACGGTATTCCCGCCGACATCATCGGGCAGACCGACCGCGCGACACTGTGGGCTCTTGTCTGCGCTGCCGAAGCGCTCAACATGTCTGGCATCACGGACCCTTATGAGCTCTATCAGCACATGCACCCTTCAGAGGTCGGCTCGAGCATCGGCAGTGGGATGGGTGGAATGGAAAGTCTGTCGCGCATGTTCAAGGATCGCCGCGACGAAAAGGAGGTCCAGAACGACGTTCTCCAGGAGACGTAAGTGCTCTTTTCTCTTGACGAACATGTCAAACCAACGCCGTCCATAGGTTCATCAACACCACTGCCGGCTGGGTCAACCTTCTTCTGCTCTCCTCGAGCGGGCCAATCAAGATCCCCGTCGGCGCATGGTGAGAGACAAATGATATCCTCGATGACGGTATACTCATTGTATTACAGTGCCACGGCTCTGCAGTCCATTGAGATTGCTTGCGACACCATCCTTTCCGGCAAGGCCAAGGTTATGCTTTCTGGGGGCTTCGACGACTTCAGCGAAGAGGGCTCGTACGAGTTTGCGAACATGGGCGCGACCAGCAACGCTGAGACTGAGTTCGCTATGGGTCGTGAGCCGACCGAGATGTCGCGTCCCGCGACCACGACTCGCGCAGGGGTGAGTCGCCCACGGCCATTAACGTGACACCACACTCATCCACTCTTTGATAGTTCATGGAAGCTCAGGGCACGGGCGTTCACGTGCTAATGTCCGCGAAGACCGCCATCGAGCTTGGGTGCCCCATCCGTGGTATCGTTGCGTACACGTCGACGTCGACGTAAGTGTATTGCAATTCAGTCTTTATGGGTGGCCATTGACTACGATCTGCAGCGACAAGGCTGGTCGTTCGGTCCCTGCTCCTGGCCGCGGCGCGCTCTCGGTTGCTCGCGAGCTCCACACCAAGCAGCCTCTCCCGATCCTTGACATCTCGTATCGTTCTCGTCAGCTCACCTTCCGCCGTAAGCAAATCGCCCAGTGGCTCGACAACGAGCGCCAGCAGCTGCAAGAGGAGCTTGGATACCGCAAGGCCAGTGACAGCGCTGTTGACGAGGACTACGTCGCCTCGCGCGTCGCCGACATGGAGGCCGAAGCTGCTCGCCAGGAGAAGGACGCCATTGCAACCTACGGCATGTTGGAGGGCTCCGACCCTCGTGTGGCCCCTTTGCGCCGCGCGCTCGCCGTTTGGGGTCTCACTGCGGACGATCTCGGCGTTCTGTCCATTCACGGCACCAGTACCGGCGCAAACGTAAGTTGTTCTGCGGTGTTGTCTGAAAGAGGTACTCATACAGCTTTTCTTATTGCAGGAGAAGAACGAGACCTCGATCTGGAACGACGTGTTCACCAACATCGGTCGCTCGAATGGCAACGCCCTCCCGATCATGGCTCAGAAGAGCTTGTGTGGGCACTCCAAGGGTGGTTCTGCCGCATGGCAGTTCGCCGGCCTGCTTCAGAGTGTCGACTCCGGCATCATTCCTGGCAACCGGAACGCGGAGTGAGTGGCATTCGGTTCAGCTTTTTGGCTCACGCTGATATCGTTTCGCAGTAACATCGATGCTCTGTTCAAGAAACACACGTACCTCATCTTCCCATCCAAGACCATCCACACCGACGGCATCCGTGCAGGTGTTATGGTAGGCGGTCTCGTGCTTGTTTCCTGAATGTTTCTGGACTAAATCCGTTTGCAGTCGTCATTCGGATTCGGTCAAGTCGGCGGTATCTGCATGGTCGTTCACGCTCGCTATCTACTCGCCGCGCTTGAGCCCTCCGTGTACGAGACGTACAAGCTGAGGAACCGTAACCGCCAGCATCTCTGCTACAAGGCCATGAGCGAGATGATGACGTTCAACAACCTCGTCAAGGTCAAGGATGCTCCGCCATATAAGAAGGAACTCGAGGCGCCGGTTCTCCTCAACCCTCTCGCTCGCGCGTCATACAACCCGAAGACCGGCAGCTATGAGTACACCCCGAAGTTGACCACGCAGCCGCCCGTCAACACGGCGAACTTCAAGGCTGTGTCCGAAGTTCTCTCCAGTGCTCCCACCGCTGGTGTTGGCGTCGATCAGGGTAAGACCATCTGTCATAAATCCTTTTTACGGCTTCCTGACGTACGTTCTAGAGCTCATCTCTGCGGTCCCCTCGTGGAACCCGACGTTCATCGAGCGCAACTTCACCGAGGCTGAGATCACGTATTGCCGCAGCCAGCCCTCTCCATCGTCGTCGTTCGCTGCTCGCTGGGTTGGCAAGGAGGCCGTCTTCAAGTCTCTCGGCGTCGCCTCTAAGGGCGCTGCGGCCGCAATGAAGGAGATTGAAATTCTGCCGGACGCGACCGGCGTTCCCACCGTCGCTCTACACGGCGAGGCCAAGGCTGCCGCCGACGCGAAGGGTGTCGCGAAGGTTCACATCTCGCTCAGCCACTCTGACGTGAGTTGTCTGTTTTGACCGTTCCCGAAATGTGTACTGACGTTCGCCTTCCAGACTACCGCTATCGCTTTCGCCCAGGCCACTTCAGCTTAGAATGGACCTTGCATCTTCCCATACCGCTCTCCTCACGCATATATCGCATTTACTACTACTCCCTAGCTCTCACACGTCTGTCATATCCGCCACGAATGTAGTACGCTAGTCTGAATGAATGTCTTTCTGTCTCTCCTCATTGCGTGCAGTACTACGACACATGATAAAGGCTGTTATCCAAGATGTACTGCGAGATCGCCGAAGTCACCATGCTCCTCCAGCTGGGATCGCCAGCCGCGATCTTGCCTCTGACTTGGCTGCTGCTGTACATACATTCCTTCTCGCCAATGTCTGCAAAGTAAATGCGGTCAGGCTGCACAGAAACCATCTGGCGTGCAAACTCGGGCAAGCATGCTTTGGCCTCCTCTTCCAACACGCCTGCAGCGCCATCGCCCATCCGCTTCGCGCAAAGAATGCGCGAGTCCTCCGCGTCGGGGGCGAGGAACTGGCGGAGGGACGCCTCCATGGAGGCTTGAGACGGGTAGTACCGCGGCGCAAAGAAGCGGACGAGCGTGTCGGTGCCCATGAGAAAGGTGAGGTGTAGGTTCGGATCTGGAGGACTTGTAGCGGTCGGCGGTGGCCCGGGGGTGGGGGTGGGAAGGTCGAGCGCGGCGAGGCGAGCGCGGAGGAAGGCGAGGAGACGGGTGGACTTGCCGGCGAAGGTGGGCTCGTCGATGATCGCGACCGCGACGTTCGAGTCGCCTTCAGCGGAGGGCCCTGACGCGGAGGGCGGGTCCGAAGGGACGACCGCGGTGGACGAGCTGAGGTCGCGCGCGAGGAGGACCATCATCTCCACGCGCTGCTCGAAGGTGGCGTCGCCGGGCTTGAGCTGCTTGTCCGCGTTGCGCACGGAGAGGAGGAGGAGGCGGGCGTCGAAGTCGGGTGCGCGCGCGGGAGGGGCCGACGGCGATGGTGAGGACGAGGGTGGCGGGAGGGCGGCGAGGGCGAGGTGCGCGAGCGTCGGGGGGTTGAAGGAGGAGTCGAGCACGGAGACGTGCACGCTGGTGGGGGGCACCGCGGACGTCGCGGCGGAGGAGCGCGGGAGCGGCCAGCGCGGGTGGGGGACGTGGACGAGCTCGATGGTGGAGAGGCCGTGCTGGATGCGGGGGAGGAGAGAGGGGTGGTTCATGGCTTGCTGGAGCGGGGCTCGTGCGAGGGCGCGGGAGGGGCGGGGGGAGGGTTGCTTACGGGTATCGATTTCTGGCCACCACTTGGTATGTTCCAGCCTGAGTCTCCGAGGAGGTACAGCACGAGGAAGACGGATAGCGATGAGGACTTGAAGTTGACGGAGAGAGATAAGATAAGGTTCTTGTGCGACTTGGATCTCCGATCGAAGGGCCACCACAGCAGGACGGCGCGGGGGTCGCTGCAAAGCGCACCGTGCATACACACCAGACACCAGCTCGATGGAGAAAGACGCCGACGGGTTCTACACGCCTGCTCCTGCTGCAGGTCCGTCCTACCACTCCTCTTTTCCTCTAAACCCCCGCTCACCCGTCGATGTCTGACCCAGGAGCAGCCGCCGCGCCGCCGACCGAGGATGGTGTCGGTACGTCTCTCTCTCTCCTCCCATCCCATGCGCCGAATCCGACTCATAGCGACGGGGCGCAGTCACGGATCTCATCAAGTCGACCTTCGAGGTCGCGGTGCGTGCCCTTTGCTCGTCCTGTAGGTCCGAGGACGCGTCCGGGCTGACTGCGCCACTCGACCCCGTCCGGCCGTGTGCAGGTCACGCTCGCAGATCAACAAGCGGATCCGAACTCGCCGCTGTTCAGCGCGAAGACGTTCGAGGAGCTCGGGCTGTGAGTGGTCTGGATTCTGGATCGCGTGCGCGGCGCGCGTGCTCACTGTTCTGGCGAACGGGGACGGTCGGACGGGTGGATGGACAGGCATGAAGACTTGCTGAAGGGGATTTACGACATGGGCTTCACGAAGCCGTCCAAGATCCAGGAGCGCGCCCTGCCGCTGTTGCTGGCGAACCCGTGAGTCTGCTCATTTTTGTGACCGTGTCTTCGCGTTTGTATGTGGGACGAGCCACTCGCCCTCGGATCCCGAGCACACCGCGGCGCTCTTGTGCAATGCGGGGAGAAGCTCATCGATCGCAGGCCGCAGAACATGATCGGACAGTCGCAGTCGGGAACGGGGAAGACGGCCGCGTTCGTGCTCACGATGCTGAGCCGCGTCGACTTCGCGGTGCACAAGCCGCAGGTGCGTGCCCTTACCCTCGTGCGTGCCCGTCGCCGCCGCTCAGGCCGCCGCCCGCAGGCGCTCTGTCTCGCGCCGTCGCGCGAGCTGGCGCGGCAGATCATGTCGGTCGTGAACGCGATGGGCAAGTTCACGCCGGTGCAGACCGAGTACGCGATCAAGGAGTCGGTGCCGAAGTCGGCGACGAACATCACCGCGCACGTCATCGTGGGCACGCCGGGGACGATGATGGACCTCCTCCGGCGGAAGGTGATCGACGCGTCGGGGGTGAAGGTGTTCGTGCTCGACGAGGCGGACAACATGCTGGACAAGGACGGGCTCGGGGACCAGACGCTGCGGGTGAAGAAGTGAGTGTCGCCTCGTTCGTCGCGGCGTGTTGCTTACGGCTGCCAATCCACGCGTTTCCTCGCCCGGGTCCGCGTCACGACAGCATGCTGCCGCGGAACCCGCCGGCGCAGATCGTGCTGTTCTCGGCGACGTTCCCGGACCACGTGCGGACGTTCGCGAGCAAGTTCGCGCCGAACGCGAACAAGATCGAGCTCCAGCGGAACGAGCTCTCGGTGGACAACATCCGGCAGTTCTACATGGACTGCCGGGACGAGGAGCACAAGTACGAGGTGCTGGTGTCGCTCTACAAGCTGCTCACGATCGGGCAGAGCATCATCTTCTGCCAGGTGCGTCGCGCGCGCGTGGTGGCGGCGAGAGGGGCTGACGGAGGACGGACAGCACCGACACACGGCGGACCGGATCTCGCAGCGGATGTCGACGGAGGGGCACAAGGTGGCGTCGCTGCACGGGGCGATGGACGCGGGGGGGCGGGACGCGATCATCGACGGCTTCCGGGAGGGCAAGGAGAAGGTGCTGATCACGACGAACGTGATCGCGCGGGGGATCGACATCCTGCAGGTGAACATGGTTGTCAACTACGACCTCCCGCTCATGAACGAGCGCGACCACCACAACCGGGCGGACTCGCGGCCGGACATCGAGACGTACATCCATCGGATCGGTGCGTGGTTTGGGGCGACGGTCTGTGCGGCGGTGGCTGACGCGAACCTGCGCAGGTCGCACGGGACGGTTCGGACGGAAGGGGATCTCGATCAACTTTGTGCACGACAAGGCGACGTGGCAGCAGATGGAGCAGATCGAGAGCCAGACCGGGAAGCAGATAATCCGGATCGAGACCAACGACCTCGACAATATGGAGGAGGTGCGTCCGCCGCCGTCCGCCGCCCGCCGCCTGCGCTCACTCGTTCGTGCAGCAAATGAAGAAGGCGCTCAAGTAGGCCGACGTTCTCGTCTTGTATTCCGTAGCCCGACCGCACCACGTGCGCACCTCCGTACACGCACGTCACGCCGCGAGATCCGCGGGGCTCTCGCTGCAGAGAACGCGCGATTCGCTCTGGGAAGCCGATCTGAGTCAAAAGTAAGCACACGCCCCGTCCGATTCGCCCGCCGCCCGCTCGCCCCCCGACACAGACGGGGTCCCGAACAAGCGGCGGTTCCTCTGTGCGGGGAGCGTGCGCGCGAGATCCGGGACGCCGCTCGCACCCCGACGATCCGCTCGTTAGCTTTCCTCCCGGCACGGTGCTCGGTGCGCGACGTGTCCTCTTTGCGGAGGGCGGTGACGACACGCATCCGTTCGGGCACCGTCCGATTCGACCGTCACGACGGGCTACAGGCTCCGAGTGCGGTTTCGACCCCAGCGGCGCGCGCGATTGGCTTTCAGACCTCGGGAGGCTGGGCACGTTCTCGCGATCGGGTTCCCTCGCTAGAACTCGCTCGGGGGCTCTTCTTGGCCAAGTTCGCAGCAGCGGTAGGTACGCGTTCGAAGCCCCGGGTGGGGCTCGGCGTGCGACGGAATCTGCGAGGTCCACGACTACGGCATCGATGATGTGCGTCCGCATCTCCGTCGGGGCTTGTGCACCACAACGTCCCCCACGAGAGTCGGAGAGACCAGCCGGGTGGACGGACTCGGGCGAGCGGACCCCAAGCCTCTCTCTCCCTCGCCGCAGGACCGGCCCTCGTGCGCGGCGTGCGCGCGAGAGAGACGATCAGCTGGGCGTGGACGCCGTCCGCAGCGGCGGCCGCCCCGCGCTCTCACGCGCGCCCTCTCGACGCGGTGGGGACGGCGACCCCGTTCGCGCGCGTCAGCCGTCGCGCTCGTGCGCAGCCAGGGGCGTCGGGTGTGGCAAGACGGAGGTTGGATGCGGACGCGGGGCGCCGTCGCGCGCACGCGCTCGAACCGAGGCCTGAGGCCCGTGGAGGGAAGGGCCCGCGCGGAGGGCGAGGCGAAGCGGCGTCGTGGCGTTAGAGTGCGGGGGCTTCGCCCCCGATTCGACGCTTCGCCTTCCTCAGTCCTCGTTCGCGTGCACGTGCGGGCCAAGCTCCGGGCGGCGGGGGACCGTGCCGGCGCCAAAGACCCTCAGCGTCCGTCGAGCACGAGGCGCGGCCCGCGATGATGGTGGAGGCGGGAATTAACCGCGGCGAGGACCGCATCGCAATGGTGCGCGCGACGCTAGCGTCGTATTAGAGCGTCGCGCTCCGCGTTGGCAACCTCCCCCCAACCAGCCAGACGGATGACGTCCGGCGAATAGGCTCTCTTGGTTCGTACCGAGCCCTCGGTCCTTGGGGAGGCGTGGACGCGGAGGAGAGGGCCCGAAGGAGCAAGCGTGGGGCGGGTTGCGTAGGTTGTCAGGACGCAGGTGACGCGCGGGGCTTTTTTGCATTTTCTTGCATGCGAAGATTCGAGGGCGCACGAGCGGGGGCCGGGTGGACTTCGAACGCGCGCGCGGACGCTTGGAAGGCGACCGCTCGGCGAAGGCGACGGCCGAAGCGGGCAGAGACGCGACCGGGGCGGCGAACGCGAAGCCCGAGTCCAGTTCCTTCGTCGCCTGAGCGGATGGTGCGCAGTTTGGCAGGCTGGTCACCAGCTGGGGGTGCTGCGGCGTGGACGAGGAATCGACGTGTCGGGCCGTCGACCGAGAACGCGTCGACGGTCATAATGTGCAGGATGGACCCAGCCTTCCAGGACCTGGGCACGCGTCTCCCCGGATAAACGAGCCCGGCGGGCCACGGCCGCCAGGGCAGCGTACACGTCAAACCGCACCGGGAAAACATTCGTCTGTTTCAGCGAGCGGGAGCGTGGCGAGCGAGCACGGTACGGTGCACGCACCAGCTAAAGTTACGCGCGCGCGGAGCTCGTCGACCCCAAGAGAATGATGGCAACCGCACCGCGCCGAGGCGGAGACGCGGTGCCAACGATTGGGAATCCTCGCGAAGGTATAGTCGGACGTCAGACAATATGAATCCTCCGCCCCTCCGCTCGTGCGCCGTTCATGTCCGCCCTCCGCGCCCGCCCGAGACCGCCTGGGGCGACGTCGAGATTAGATTAATGTGGACAATGCGCGGACGTGGGCGGGGGTGCGTGGGTGGTGGATGGACGAGCGGCGTGGTGCGCGCGAGATTGTCGGGGGGCGGAGGGCAGTTGGCCAGGCTCGGGTATGCGCGATCGGCGACGTGCGATCGGCCTTTGCGGGATCTCGCGCCGGCATGTCCCGCGCCACCCTGGCCTGCAGCCCTCGGACTCGACCTGGCTTCTTCTCCCAGCCCACGTCGAGCACCGACGTCAGCGTCGCTCGCGCCGCGGATCCAGACCTGGGCTCGCCCTCTCCGCTCCCATCTCCATCTCTCCGTCGCACGGGCCAGACGAGACCCGCGTGCGCGAACGCGAGCGCAAACGCAAACTACGCATCGCGCGCAGGGTCGCTTCACTCGCGATGCGCCCCATTGGCCGCGGGGCCGCCGTGCGTGCGCGGCGGGGAGGCGACGACCATCAGCAGGGCCACGGACGGCGTTGGCCTGCGCGGGCTGCAGCAGCGGTGCGCGCATTGACAGCGGGTGAGCGCCGATGGATGGATGGGGCCGTGATCGGACGGAGGGGAGGGCGCAGCTGGGACGCGGCACTTGGGCCACGTCCAGATGGATGGGAGTCGATGGCTGAATGGGCCCGATCGGCCAGGGCGAGGAAGAGAGTCTGAGGGTGCGGTCAATGAACGCTTGAACAGGACGCGGCGCGAACCTCCCGCGGACCCTCCTCCTCCCCACGCCCACGCCCACGCCTGCGACCGCGATGGTCCGCCTCGGGAGCAACCGAATCACAGATCCCGGCGCGCGATCCTTCAACCGTGCTTTAGGCAGCCCTGGTCACCCCCCGCGGCCCCTTCCTCACCCATCTCTCCCTGCACCCGCCCCGTGCCTCGTTCCACCGCCTGCCCGTCCCGGATATAAGTCCGCCATGCGCGCGACTCCCGCCCCTCCACTACGCCCCGCCCCGCCCCCTCGCACCCATCCGCTCGCCCACCCCCTCCCAGCCTCACGCGCCCACATATCCCGTGCCTGTCCTCGCGCCCCCATCTTCACCCACCCCCGCCCACACATCACCACCACAGCCCCCCACAACCAAAATGCTGCCCACCTTCTCCTCCTGGTCGATGGAGCACATCAAGCGCGTCTTCGAGGCCAAGTCCGAGCTCGACTGCCTCCACGCGCTCGACGACACCTTCTCCCAACGGCTCGAGTTCACCTTTAACGGCGCGCCCCTCCCCCGCGTCGGCCTCCAGAAGCTCGTCCTTGGCATGGTCCAGACCGCCGGCTTCGACCTCCATGTCGACTGGAAGAACGCGGTCGAGGTCCCGCGCGACGGTGCGAATCGGGTGAGTCCCCTTTCCCCACGCGCGTGAACGAGCGCTGACTTTGCGTTTGCCTTCCGCTCTCGCGTCCTTCCCTGCCCTGCGCACCTCCCCTGTCCGAACGTGAACCTAAACCCGCACCCAATCTCGCTGCTCCGCTCTCCCCCTGTGCACGCGCGCGCGGTGCAGGACGGGATGCTCGGCGGGTACTACGTCATCTACAACGTGCGCAAGCCGCTCCCCGGCTCGACGCAGCTCGCCCTCTTCGAGCGCCACAAGTCCGTGAACGTCGAGTGAGTGTCCGCGCCCGCGCCCCTCCCTCTGGCCCTCCGCGTGCTCACGTCATGCTGCGCTGCAGGATCGAATCTGAGTCCGCGGACCCGAGCGTCGACAGCCGGCGAATCGTCAAGCTCGCGATCGTCGCGAGAGACGTGCAGGTCTCGCCCGCGCTTTCGCCGTGACCCACCATCTAGCCTCGATCTCCGTCTCCGCGCCCTTCTCTGCCCTGCTCTCTTCGCCCCACGCGCGCGGCGTAACGTCCCGCGCGTGCCCTGCCGGCGATACTTATCTACTCCATTATACCGCTCCCATAGACTCTGTATACGCACCTCGTTTCGTTCGCTCCCCCTCACCTTCGTACTGGCTCCTCACTCCGTGGTCTCTTGCATGGCTCTGGTCCCCCGCATCGCATTCTATACCTCACTATTAGACGCATCTGACTCGTCACGTCCACGCTCTTACTGCTGCTCTTGCTCCTCGCACCGTTATCCGCTCGCACCGCGCCCGTCGTCCGTCGCCGGCCTCTTAATTTCCCCCCGCCCCGTCCTCGTCCTCGCTCTCACGCACGTACAGTACCTCATGTCGCGCGCGCGAAGCCGCTCAAAACTGTCACAACACGACCAACTCTCTTCCGTGCACATGCACATTGCACACGCACCCGAACCTTCTGGCGGCGCCGGCGACCGGCGTACATCATCTCGACATCCAGCACCAGGCCTCAGCCTGAGGGAGGGCAGGGCGATCAATGAATGACGGCAGCGCGTGTGCGGCTTCTGTAGTTTGCGAGGGTATGCTTCGCGGCAGTCGTACGCGTACGTACGTGCGGGGCGACCGAAGGTCGCGCAGCCGAAACGCCCCCACTTCCCCCCCACGCGCGCAGGGCAGGTCCTGGGTCGGGGCCATTGCGCAGCTGCGAACGTCGACGCCGATGTCGAGAGGGACCCTAGGCGTTTGTTTCGCATGCTTCGCGCGTAAAGAGCCGTGAGCGGCGTTGGCGCGCAGGGCCAAAGGACCCGGAAGATCACAGCGTGATGCGCGTTATGTTAGGTACCGCTCCCCCCGAGCTCCGAGGCGTGGAAGGTGCACCTACGTACCCTACCGTATGTTGCAATTGTGCCGCTCGGCGGATCTCTGTGCGGCGGGCGTGCGAGTCCGCGGGGCGGTTCCGTCGGCTCGCGCGCGCACGTGAGGCTTCATGTGTTCTGCACGGCGCGCGACACGTCGGAGACGCGGTGGAGGGGGCCTGTCGACCGTCGGGCGTATCTAAGACCGCACGTAAGATCGGAGCGTGCTGGGCCTGGTTTCTGAAATTTGAATGTTCCCGCAACACAGTGAACGCGCGTGCCGGAAAATCTTTTGACACGGTGCGTTGTTCTCAGAGCGTCGCGACCCTTGCCGGCGCATTGTCTGGTTCTCACGTCCACGTAAATCGGCTGAGTCCTGCGCTGCGTCGCTCTGATTGTCGCGCACGAAGGTTTGTTGGGTTTCGCGACGCATCATTTCTGCGAGTCCATTGAACGAGCTGGTGTCGGGCGCCGGGAGCGCGCACGCGAGTGGCCTCGGGCGCTAAGATGCGGCCCGGGTTCGCCGGGGGGAGGATGCTTGAGCTCGATCGGCGCAAAACGCTTGAGTTTGGGAGTTCTCTCTCGTTCGGGCACCGTCTCGCCCTTGTCTGCACCACACGCGCGCTCTCAACCGCGGTCGGGGCGGGTGCATCGCTGGATCCGTGCTCGATATCAATCTGCAGCCCCGGCGTGTTTCTCCGCTCTCGCGTCGCGCGCATCTTTGGGGACCGTCCGTGCGCGCCGCCTTCAGATTCCGAGCTGTCAATATTTCAATGTCGATGATCCACCTCCAGCTGACGCGTGGCCGACGGCCAGCCCGTGCATGGCGGCCGGGAAAGGCAGACAGATCGCAACGAGAACCGTCGCCGCGCGCGGAAGGCGGCCGCGTTCTGGTGCGCTATGTCGACCGGCCTCTGTTCTTCCACCCCCCGTTCTCTTCTCGCGCCTCTCACTCTCCGACGCTCCCCTCCCCCACCGCTTCCCCGCCTGGGCTCTGTCCACCCCACCCTGCAGTCCTTTGTACCCAATCTCGGATCGTCGTCCTCAGCCCTCAGCCCTCAAGGCCTCAAGCTCAAGGGCTCAACGCCCTGCAGGGCCGAGCTGCCCTCTCCAGTGCCCACGCTCGCACGCATGCAGAACCGGCCTCCGCGGACACACGGCCACGCGCGATAGCCTTCCCGCTTCCCGCCCACGGAACGGGCGAGGACGACCCGGCGGGACCGAGAACCCCCGCACGCGTACGCGCTCGCCCGCCTTCCCGCGCGCGCTCCCACACCCACGCCCGACGGCGCGAGCGCGAGCGCGGGCCCGTCCGGAGAGGGCGCGCGCGCGACGCGTGGTGGTCGCGCTTCCCAGCTGGTGGAAGGCTGGCTGCTGGATGGCGCGGCACCTCCTCATCCTCCTCCTCCTTCTCCCAGCCCGGACGCCGAGCTCGACGGCGCGTGTGTCCGCGGTCTGGAGCTCGAGGATGCCGACGACGCGTTCGGAGCGCGTACTTGGGTCCTCGCCTCTCTCTCTCTGTCTCTCTGTCTCTCGCGCGCGCACCGGGACCCGAGCGCGGGCCAGCCTGGCAGCCGTGGGCCGCGCCCGCTCCGTCGGGCCCGGGGCCTGTTGCGTCTCTCGTCGGTCGCACGAGGGAGACGGGTAACTTTGCCTTTGGCTGGGGGCGAGCCTGAGGATCGTCATGATCAGGCTTCACTCGAGCCAGGGTGCGTGCGCGCGCCAGGGTCTGGGTAAGCAGGGCCTCGCGCTCGCCCGTCGCATGGGAGCGCGAGGCCGCGCGAGGCCGTGGTGAGAGGCTTTCGGGCCCCGGGCCTCGAGAGCACCGCGCACGCGCGAACGCCAGCGCGGAGTCGAGTGCGGTGTGCGCAGCTGGTGCCGTTACGGGCTATGACGCCATGGGCGGGCAAAAGCCCGCGGCGGGGACCGCGCCAGGCGCGAAGACCAGACGCGACCAAGTCCAGGCGCGCGCGGGGGCCTTCCGGTTCCCGTCGCACGCCACGAGGGCCCCGGAGGCTTTAGGCCTTGTACATACATCCTTGAGGGCCAGGGCCGGAGAGCGCGCGCGCGCGCCGCTAGCTGCACTATCATAAAACTGTGGGCGCGTTACGGCACGCCCCGCGTTCGCGACCGTTCGCGAGGCACCGTGGGCGCGCATGTGCGTCCGCGACGTAACTGGCCTCTGCGCGATTCGTGCGCGGGCTCCCCTGATCTGCGTATTGTCGCCGCGCGCCGCCTGCGCCCTTCGAGCCTGCGCGCGCGCGCGCGAGCGCGATGCTTGCCGGGCGCGCCATGTGGGTTGCAGCGGGCTGGGAGGCGCGGCCCTGCGCGGCGTGGGGCTGGGGGTTTACGGCACGGGCCCGGCCTGAGCCTGCGTGCGTAGGACACAGAGTCCAGAATAACAGATTCGGTCCGAAGACGGGTCGTAGCTATGTTTGAGAGGATCAATTCGGAGGTGCACGATGGGCGTTGGACATCGCGCCGTTGGTATTCGACCGGCGGAGAAGAGGGACAACCAAACTATTTTCCCCTGACGCTCGCCGATCCGCTCAACGGTGGCATCATTGACGTGCGCACCGAACGCTGCCGGCGGGCCACGGACGGACGCCGGGCGCGGGGAGATACAGTATTGGGTCGCCGACGCGCGCGCAGGGCACGGCGAGCGTCCGCAGTGCGGCCGGGGATGCCAGAGGGGGCTCCGTTTGCATGGGGGCGGCGTGGAGGGCGGAGGGCGGCGTCGTAGAGACGAGAGAGACGTGGCAGGAGGATGTCCCAGGGTCGCAAGGTCGTGGGTACTCGGACTTTCCTTGGACCGCGCGTAGTGTAGGCATACGTACAGAACCTTGACGAGCGAAAATGGTTTAACCACACTCGTGCTCTGCGCATGCAACGCTGTGTGGAACCTGGTGCCGCTGGTTTGAGTGTTAAGCGCGTCGCTCAGTCAATACCGCGAAAATATGCCGAGGCACGGAGTGGGTGAGACTATTAAGCCATCGTAGGTCAGCTTCGCCTGAGGAGTTCAACACGGACATTTAGAACATACTCTCCGGGCAAAACAAACGCATACCTTGGAAACACTGTCGTCCATGCGCAGGCGGTGAACGGAGCTCCAATCTTGTCCCCAAGCGTCCAGGCTTTCGATTACTGCAGGAGGTGGTGCTTTTAGGCGCTTTCAAATATGCGATTCTAACGAGCGCTGCAATAATCAGAACTCCAGCAGCCTTCCCTCTGCACGTTCCACTCACCAGAGTGCGTTCGAGCCTGCCCGAAGCGCCGCTCCTGAGAGGAGAACAAAGGCATCAAGGGTCGAGCGGCACAGAACCTGCGAAGGAAGCCGCGGCGGATGGTTTCGGGGAGAGCGCACGCTATACCTGGAATGCCTTCCGATCAGCCAAGCCTCGTGCCCACCCCCGCTCGAGGCGCTCTCGCGTTGGTGCCTGCTGGCAGGCGTGCCAAGTTGCGCCGATGCGTCGTCGTTACGGCCCGGGGAGATGAAAGATAATCACACGCGCCTGCCATGTGTGGAGGAAGAGCGGAGATTGGCGGTATTCCGCTTCGCGCGGCAGAGCGGGGACGCGAGGACTCACCGCAGGGTGCATGGCCGCTGTGATGGATCGGACCTGGACCTGGGGGGGGGGGGGGGGGCAACACCTGTACGAACGGAGGCGTACTTTCCCGATCAGCGCTGGGTGCCATCGAAACTTCTGCGCCGTTGACGGCACGCAATGTCCGAGATAGGAGATGAATGAATGGATACGGGGTATGAAACACAGTGGACTGGACTTGAATGGGCTTCTCACTTGGACTGAGCCGACTTGTGTGGCGGGCCAGTGGACATTGGAAGATACCATGAACGGTAGAAGCGGTAATGAAGGGCCGACTACGACCTTCGAGCCTTTGTATCGCCGCCGCAGCGAGATCCGTTAATTTTGTGGCTACAGGTGCACACGGAGTGCTTCACAGGCCGTCAGTTTGAGAGCCGGAGCGCTGGTGAGATGGGGAGGTTCAATCAGCTAACGTCATGGGCTGCGAGATGGCGTGGACACGGAGTCGGTGCAAAAGAAGATACCGAGGACCATCAGACCATAGGGCATCAGGAATGGTTGCCACCGTGCCAAGCCGCACATGTAGTAATGTCCGTGTGGGATCGGAGGGTAAGGACTGAGTTCGGACATCTGTTGGGACCGGGGATGTGATGAGCGACGACTCGGAGGGAGCGGTATGATGAATGGATAGAACATACTAGGCAGTCGATTGAGGTGTCATGAATTATGTATGAGCGAATATAGAGTCGCCAATAGAGACTCAATATTTGACGATGTCTGTAAATATGAGAGTCCGTAGAACAAGTCACGCACCGCCCGTTGCTGTGTTCTGACTACCTGATTGATACATGTCTTGCTGCGTACAGCCATACGTCGTGAGTATGATTGCGACTGACACCAGAAGGCCATCGTACCTCGAAACCACCAAACGCTTATATTCGAGCCAACCTATCAACGAGATCGAAGGACAAAGTCTGTTAAAACACCCAACTCCAATAGTCGGCGAACATGTTTCCTGCGTTTTACGGTTTGCAACAGACGCGGTAAATACCTGGGGACATCTGGAGATGAATCAGCGTCGCGCTGAACCGCATCGCCCAACCGGACCGACCATGTTGAAATGTTCCGATTGAGACCCTCCCAGTCAGACACTCGACCCTGCTGGCAGGAGTCTCGTGCTTGTCACCTGGACACCGAAGAGGCGGACGAGGAGATGCGCTACAACGCTTGGTCATGCGTTCGGACGTAGATGTGCTGACAGAACGCACCGTTGAACGACTCCTTGGGCCCGGGAATAGAGGCGTGCAGATCAAAATTTGCAAACCGCTCTGAGTTCACCGAGCCGGTGGTCAAGGAATGTGAGATAGAGCGGCTGTTCGTGCCGAACGCATTGAAGGACAGGGGAAGCGCTCCCGCCGGACCCTGCGTTGGACCCTGCGTCCTCGACGACCGAAAAAACGGAGTGCGAGGGGTACGGCGGCCAACGCCACCGTAAGCGCGAGAAGGAGCCGATGGGGTGGAGGGAGAGAGTTGGAAAGGGAGCGACGAAGTCGGCGGGCGATACGCCTAAGGTACGAGCTGCCGCCGAGTCGATGAGTGTCATTATGTGGTCGTGGGGTTCCGGTAGGCGCGGAGCGAACGCGTTGGGCATGTTTTTGTGCCACGGGCGTGTGCGTTGAGCGGCGGGAGAAGGGAGAGGTCAGGGTGCGTAGTCGCGCAGGAGGGGAATCGCTGCGCGACTGCTCTTCGGAAGAAGATGGTTCGGCATTGCGCCTCATGGCCAGGGTCTGTGACTAGGGAATGTCGTCCAAAACGAGCTCCGAATGTGAAAAAATAGGGTCCGCCGTTGAACACGGGACGAGCACCGGGTCATTGTGAAGGAGAAGTACGCTTGATAGATGGGCCCCGTTTGCCCGAACTGGAATTTCGACGGTCCATTCCTCGTTAGCCCACACAGCGGTGAAGGTTCTGCCATAGAGGGGCAGGCCTATGTTGCCTGACGAGGACGTGCCCATGAATAGACTGTCTCCCAACCCGATAGACACTCACTCATAAATCCCACGGGACAAGGGAACCTTGCACATATATCGGCTGGTGTCGATGCCGTTTAGCTGTGCAGCAGCCGATGGGCGCATTGGATTGGATTCCATTAAACTGTGCCGTCCGTGGATCGATCCGATAGATTAAGAGTTCAGTCATCATCCGATTGCGGGACGGTGATAATACAAAGCATGAAACGCAACAAAAGCAAAACATACGACAACGATGAATGTCCTTGCGTAGGCCGTACGCAGAGTGTGCTAAAGCATGTGTAAGGACACGGATGGAACTTCTAGAGCACGAATGGCAGCAGCGTAGGAATTTCTTTCCTCTGCCTGTGAGCTAAGGTTAGTATCGAGTAAGAGTAATACCGTGTTCAATGACTCACATTTCACGAACTGAGATTGCCAAATAAGTGGATGACAAATCTATGAGTATATAAATTGAAACGGATGCCGGAGACCGCCTACCTCGAATGACAAAATTGGCGAGAACGGCAAGGAAGAGGAAAGCGCTGATGAGGATCGGCCCAAGTATCTGATCTACAGGGGGAAAAGGATCGGTGCATGAGCCCCAACCGCACTACGGATACAGAAGAAAGGTTTCTTACCGAAGTGTCCAGGATCCCTGCGTCGAATCATCGTGATACGATGCTGGTAAACACCGGAGCCGTACACCTGGAGACCGAGGATTTGTTCACAGGCATGGTGAGGCGATAGAGGAATTACCTACCAGGACGGCGACGCTCATTGCCGCGTATGCATATGCGAAGTTCCGCGATACTTGATCCTTCGATGCATTGAAGAGAGCAAGCGCAAGGGTACCGATCAAGACGGCGGTCTGCATGTACGCAACCCAAGCTAAGAAACATGCGCCCCAAGCGGTCAGTATCAAGCCAAGCCAATGCAAAAGAAAATGGCACAGAACGGGATACGCACTGCGCTCATTCGCAAACCAGACCTTCCCCTCCACCTTGACCGGTGTTGGTATCTTCTTGGGCACTCGGACCTGGGGCGGGAGGTTGATCGCATGGTAGTCGCGCACCGTCGGCATCTGGCCGTCGGCATCCTCGGTCGCGTCGGGGACGTTGTCTATGCGTGTATAGCGCGGGCGGCGCTGAAACGTCTTCTTGGGGAGCGACGCAAGGGCGGAGGGCGAGAACGGGGTGAGGATGTCGGTCATGGCATACCACGAGCGGCGGAAGACACCAGAGTTGCGCCAGTTCTCGTCCCCGCCGTCGGACGCGGACTGCTGGTGCACGGTGAGCGGACGCGCGGCGGCCTGCTGGGCGTTAGCATCCATCGCGGTGGTCGTGGCGGGGCAAGAGGAGGAGGCGGCGGCAGCGGCGGCGGGATGAGCACGAAAATGTAGGGTCGACGACGGCGACTTGAGGTTTCCGCCCGGCCCGCCTCACCGTCACCGCGCGCCACAGCAGCATTCCCCGAGGCCACGTGCGTGCGCCTGGGCCCAGACTCCGGAAAACGGCGGGCCCCGGCCGAGGAGGGGATGGGAGTCGACGTCATCCGTGCGGCGAAGGGCGCGTTCTAGGACTTTCTGGCACTCGCTTGCGATCCCGACCGAGCGTTGGCGACTTCGAGAATGGCTCTCGCACACCATATCAACGTTCAACCGCTGCCCCTGCGACCCTCTTGACTTAACACATCATCTCACACCTCTTGATTTCCTCAACCCCATAATGGGTACGGACTACTACAAGCGCCTTGGTGTCTCGCGCGACGCCAGCGATGACGAGATTAAAAAAGCGTACAAGAAGATGGTGTGTACTCTCTCATCTCTAGCCCAATTTGCGAAATGCTCATTTCTGCTGTAGGCTCTCAAATGGCATCCAGACAGGAATGCTGGCTCAGAAGACGCAGCCAAGAAGTTCAAGGAGGTGAGCCCGGCCCCTTTCTTCCCCCCGAGCACATACGGCACCTAGAGGTAGAGAGCTATCTTCAGTCCGAAAGATACTCGTTTGCCGCTCCCGCTCCGTTGCGCTTGGGGGGGGGAGCTGAAGTGTACCGACAAGACGCTGACTTCCGGCTGCCAGATCTCCGAAGCGTTCGAGGTCCTCAGCGACAAGCAAAAACGCACCATCTATGACCAGCTTGGCGAGGAGGGTCTGAAAGGTGGCGGGGTACCACCACAAGGAGCCGGCGGCGCTGGTGGCTTCTCAAGCTTCGGCGGCTTCCCTGGTGGCCAAACATTCAGCTTCACTTCTGGCCCAGGAGGCGCATTTGGCGGCGGCGGCCGTGGAGGCTTCTCGCCAACGGACCCTAACAAAATCTTCGAGTAAGTGCACCGTGCGACTGACGTCACTGCCTGTTCACGCTAACGTCGACTCCAGACAGATCTTTGGCATGGGTGGTATGGGTGGTATGGGTGGCATGGGTGGCATGGGCGGGTTCGGAGGCATGGGCGGAGGCATGCCCGGCGGCGGATTCTCAAGTCGGGGCAGCAGCAGAGCGAACTCCATGTTCGACGAAGATGACGACATGTCCGGCAACTACTTCTCTGGCGGCATGCCCGGCGGTATGCCTCGCAGCAGGCCAGGGCCCGGCCGCGCCTCCCCCGCTCCCCCAGCCCCTTCCGAAATCACGAAGCCGCTCAAGGTCTCGCTCGAGGACCTCTACTCGGGCGCGACGAAGCACCTCAAGGTCGGCCGGCGGCTGCTCAACGGCGGGACGGAGGAGAAAGTGCTCGAGATCCAGATCCACCCGGGCTGGAAGAGCGGGACCAAGATCCGCTTCCCGCGGGCGGGGAACGAGCAGCCGAGCGGAGAGTCGCAGGACCTGGTGTTTGTTGTCGAGGAGAAGCCGCACGAGCGCCTTACGCGCGACGGCAACGACCTCCTCACGACGCTGAAGGTCTCCCTCGTCGACGCGCTCACCGGTGACGCGTCGAGGCAGGTCGTCGAACAGCTCGATGGGCGCAAAATCCAGGTGACGCCTCCTGTGGGCGTGATCAAGCCCGGTCAGACGACGACGGTCGCGGGCGAGGGGATGCCGATCCGAAAGGCGGGCGCGGTGAAAACGAAGGGGGACTTGATCGTCAAGTGGGACGTCGTGTTCCCCGACCGACTCACGCCTGCACAGAAGGAGGGCATCAAGAAGGTTTTGGGTTGAGGAGAGGTGGATTCGATCGGACCGCATCGCATGTAGTGTATATCTTCGTCACATCCGCTATCGCAATTGTACACTGTATTTATACTAGTAGTGTAGAACGCATACCCTCATTTTGCTGGGACATATTATGCGGATTGTGTGTGAATTGACTGCGAATATTCGTAACTTCGCCGTCCAGACAGTCTGCTCAGGGCGATAGGCCCGCCCTGCCAAAACATAGGGTTTCTCATTGTCGATGCTTTTCACTCAAGGCTACCTGTCTCCAATGCTTTTCATTCAATACTGAATAAATACAGACGTGATTATGTACAGCAGCAGTACCCACTGAGTGCGAGAGCCCCACAACGCGAGAAACAGGGGCTCGGAATACTCCAGCGGGAGCAGTCATTCGTAAACAACATCAATCGCACTTCGTGAAGAATTCGCGTTTTTTCGAGTTAACACGACTTTTGATCTGCGTCAAGCCATGCACTGTGGGTGGGACCTAAGAAGCCTTGACAACTCCATCGAAGAGGCTCCGAAGATGAATTCCCCAAAAGTTACACGTCGAACTGCGCTAGTGCAACCCATGCGATTCTTCTGTCTTTTGGGAGATCATGGTCCAAGTCCGACAGTCCCCCTCGTTATGCAAGCGCGGAGGTGACAGGTGCGAGGTGCGAGGTACGAGGTACGAGGGCTGGCGCGTCTGGGGCGAGGAAGCTAGCCAGGGGGTCGCTCGTGCTGTTCGCGCCCGGAACCGGACGGAGAGACGTTCCAAGGTGTGCGTGGGGGCCCTCGGGTCCAACCTGAGATCCCAGAACATCGATCACTGCTGAAGAGGAAGCGCCAACCATTCCTTCCGGAGGGCGAGCTTGTCCTACCCCAGAGGGTCAGGGAGTTCGTGGAAACGAAATCTGCGTGGGCGTAGGCAACGCTCGACGGAGTGCCCGTGCCCGACACGGAGGAGGCGCGGGTGCGCTGAGCATGTTCCTCGCGTTGGTGCGGGCCTGGAGTGTGTGCAGCGGGGCGTTTGTGTGCTTCACGACGATGTGCTGGGAGCTCGAGCGGCTGTTCTGGCGCTGGATCCGGGGTCGCGGACGACTCTGGAGCTGGGCCTGGAGGAGAACTGGAGTCTGGATCTGGCCGAGGGTTGCGGGGCAGGAGATTTATGGATGTAGGGAGGTCTGGTTATTCGAAAGGAGAGAAGGGGGAGGGGTGAACTGGGAGGGAAGGAGGACGGAGACGGAGACGAAGCGAAGGCAAAAACAACGGCGAGTAGATCGATGAGGAAGCGAAGTGGTCCGAAGATGAAGACGAGCCATTGGATAAGGATGAAGAGGAGGAAGAGGAGTGGCAAAGGATGGATCAAATTGAACGGATGCCGTCCAGAAAGGTGGAGACACGAGAAGAAACTTCTGCAGAATAATTGGAAAGAACAGTGGAAGGCAAATGTGTTACAAGCACTGCAAATGAGCATACGTTCCGAGCAGAACTTGTAACACTGCTGACCTCTGGTGTGCAGGATGCACGAAAAAGGCCGATTTGGAGAGTATTCCTGTTGTGTTGATACTCCCTCGTGAATCCAAACGATACCGATGACGTTCATAAGTCGCACCTAGGCCTGTGTTCGCAACATGGCGGCCACTGGCCGACCATTCTTGTGGCAGTCCTTGTCATGTCAGCGAAGACACTTGAATCCATGTGGTGTTTTTCGGTAACAAGCCGCGATAACAATGTCTAGATCTGGATTCAGGTATATATTATTCTGTCGTGAGCGTAGTCACTCCGCACCACAAGGCTGCCGGAAAGGGGGAAGTACTGAACCTCCTGAATGATGTGTTTGCTGTGGCTGGGCAGGCTGTAGAATGGAGCACGCACACGGTTAGGAACAAACTCGTCCGGATGTGTTTCGAGCCGAGGGCGGAAGTGGAGGCCGAACTGGGCTGCCAAAGGCTTGGGATCCTAACACGGCCAAACAGGAGGCGCGGGCGCAGCCCACCGCGGCTCGGGCGGAGAGCTTCGGCTCCAGGCGGCTCCATCGACCTTAGTTCCCCTTCGCTCACGACTCTAACGACCCCTCGCTCCATGTCTCTCTTCTGTACGACACTCTGAACCCCGCACGCATGCATCCCATATTCTCCACGCTCTTCGTCTTGTCCCTGGTTGAAGACTTCGTCTGGGCGGCTGATTCCACTGCGCTTCCCAGGTGAGCATTCCTCTCGTTCGAATTCGGCGCTCCTATCCTGCTTGGTTGTCGAGATCTATTTTATGGTGGAAGGGGAGGATTTTGTGGCTACAACGAAGTCTATCCGGCCAGGCGTCATGGAGCAGGCCGCGGTTATACTCGGAGCTTGATGGTGGTTTTGTCGGTCGTTGTGGTTGGACGAGATGCTGTACGCTTTCGAGCTCATCACAGGCCTCCGCGTTCGTTTCCATACCCGTGACCCCGAATCTGTACTGGCAAATCTGGGCCAAGGCCATTGGAACTTCGAGTGTCGAGATCATTTCCCCCCGGATTGACTTCCCTCTTTATCTTTTAAACGCTTAGATTACGAGGACTGTTCGCTGATGTCGCTCACACAGATGGGGTCAAGCTTCAACCTTGGTGGAAAATGTACTCTTCGTTCACGGAGGGCGCACAGACGAGTTCAACCAGTTCGCGTACAGCTCTGCTCCAGTCAACAACGACCTTCTCTACCTCCCCCTCACATCTTCGTTCGCTCTATCCTCCCCACCATGGCAGCTCTTGTCCAATCAAGGTCCACAGGTCTCCTGGCATACCCTCGCGCCATTCGATACCAAAAACCTACTGCTCTTCGGAGGTGTGGTCGGCACAGACGTCGAAGATGTCTCAACCGCCGACTCTGCTGCCCTCCTGGACATATCCAACAGTACATCCCCGTCCTGGAATATTGAGGCGACGGCGTGGGCCAACGAACCGGTCCGTCGCATGTATCACTCCGCAGTGGAGAGTGGAGGGAAGGTGTACATTGTCGGCGGAGTAAAGGCAGACGGTTCGGCAAACGCGTTCTCGGAACACTACGTATTCGACCCTTCCGGCCCCTCATTTACCCAGCTCTCCACCACAAACAGTCCTCCAGACTTGTACGGTCACGCAGCTGTCATGTTGTCGAACGGCACCATGATTGTCTTGGGTGGATTTTCCCAGTCTCAAGGTTATCTCCTCCCGTTCTCGACCATCTGGACTCTGGATACCTCCGCCTCAACACCCACCTGGTCGACCCTCAATGTGGCCACTACAAATCTTCCCACCCCCCGGCGCGGGTTTGTCGCGGCTGCTGTCGATGGCGGCAGGGTTTTCATCCAGGGTGGCGCCACCGGCGACATGCAGACCGTGTTCGAAGACGGATGGGTTCTGGACACCACGGAAGACCCCATGACATGGACCGCGGTGGATGCTCTGTCGCAGGTTGGACAACGGCGTGACCACTTTGCGGCGGCGATCGGTTCGAACGTTTTGTTCGGTTATGGTGCGTGTCTTCATACTAGGCTTCCATGATTCAAGCGGTAACTCATTCTCCCTCTTCCCTGCTTTCCGACCCTGTGTATGTCAAACCTAAAGGCTACGGAACGTCTGGTCCTGCCAACACCACCCTGCTTCTCTTTGATGCATCCCAAGGGTCGTTCGCAACTTCGTTTACGCCGCCTGCGGCCATCACGAGTCCCACCACGACCACACTATCCGACCCTAGCGTGACCTCGCAAACATCGGGCCCTGGGCACACCGGCTCAGCTACAAACGGCCACAGTTCTTCTCCCTCCTCCACGAACAGCGCGGGAGATCCCAGTGGGACCGGCGGAGGAGGCAACGGAGGCTCTGATCCCACGAGCGACCCACAGAAGTCTGGCAAGACTGCCGTCGCCGTCGGTGTCGTCCTTGGTGTTCTCGGCCTGCTCGCAGGAGGTGCCGCTGCGTACTACCTCAGCAATAAGCGCCGCTCATCCGACAGGTTCCACCTGCTCGGCGCATCGGACGACGACGGCAGCCCGCACCTCGGCCACGCGATCCCCGTCGCGGCTGCGGTGGGCACGCGCGAGAAGAGCGCCCCCACGATGCAGAACGTCCGACAGAGGCTCGCGGAGTTCGTGCCTGGGATGTCTACCATGCATCGGAGTGGCCGCCGCGACATGCTCGCGGACGAAGACACGCGGACCTTCGAGCAGACGTGGTTCGACGTCCAGCGCGAGGGCAGCGTGAGCTCGTGGGGGTCGGCCAACCCCAGACGGCAGACGCTCGGCAGCATGGTTCAAGACTCGCTCGTGTCGCTCCGGAACGTCGGCGGCGCGGTCCTCGCGTACGCTGCGGCCACCACGAAGAAGACGAGAGAGGCTAGTGGGACGTCGTCAGCGACGTACTGGGACGACAGCGATCCGTTCAACGAGAAGGGGGAGAAGGGTGCGTTCGTGGCCCTCCCTGGCCTGACGCGCGTGACATCGAGGCCGAAGGGTGGCAGGCAAGGGTCGTACACCTCACAGTGGTCGCAGTATCAGGACCCGTTCGCAGACTACGATGTCGAGTCGTTCAAGATGCCCGAAGAGGACGACTACGACCCCGACGCTGTTGAGCTCTACGGTGCCCCTCGTCTCAACGATCCACCCCCTCGGTCGATCATGTACAGTCGGGTCGCGCCTGCCACCACCGACATCACGCGTTTCACTCCCCTCTCTGAAAACCCGTCGTTTGGCACGATCGCAGACAAGGCGGCCTCTGACACCTCGCACACCTCACACACCACGTTGCCCCTCTACCATCCATCGTCATCGGAGAACACCCGCAGCTCTCACGAAACGTTGTCTCGCTCACCCCGCCGTCCGACGTCCATCTTGGATGCGAACCCGCCCATCACGTCCGCCATGCGCCGTTCCGACAGCTGGTGGTCGCGCTTCACCAAGACTCCGCTCCTGGATCGTTCGGTGGCGCGCAAGCCCGACTTTGAGTTCCGCGACCCGAACCCGCCACCGCGACTGGTGCCCATTAAGGAGTCGTCCGGCGGCTCGAGCTCGCTCTCGCCGGAGCCAGTACCAAAGCACAGCTCTCACAACCGCGAGACGTCAATGTACGCCAGCGTCCACCACGGCCGGTCCGCGACCTCCCTCCAAAGCTCGCGCACGGCGGACACTGCGCAGATCGACGCGATGGGCCGTACCATGGACATCATCCAGGGTACTGTGTCGTCGCACCAGTCGGAGGCGAGTGGGGACAGCAGCTCAGGCTCCTTCGGCCAGCTCCGGCCAGGCGAGCGGACAAAACTGGCGCTCACCGTGCCGACGGACGTGGAGACGACAGACGCGGAAAGCATTGGGTCGTCCTTGACCGAGTCTCCTACGAGTGTGCACTTTGTCCAGTCTCCTGCGCCGATCGCGCCAGCCGCCCAGTCTCGTAGACCGACTCCGCCAAGAAGGCCGACAGGACAGCACGTCGCTGCGCGGGTACAAGCGTTCGAGCAGAAGACGGCGCCCTCGCCCGTGTCGTCGGCTTCGTCGCTGCCATCCTCGACGTCGTCCTCATCACCCACCAAAGGCCACAAGAAGGCGAGCAACAGTGTGTACGGCCTCGCTCCGAGGGCCTCGCTGTTCATCGCAAACCCCGATCGACGGCTGTCGAGCGGGGAGTCATGAGCCCTCTGCCGATGAGTGTATCACTCGTCGGCTGGCCGCGATCTACCCTCTGCTGCGCTAGTATCTTGTTCCTTGTACTTTGTCTTAACTTGTGTTGTACTCTATTCCACCCCGTCACGACTCCCGGCCTCGTCGTTCCTCATCACGGTCCTTGGGGCCCTCCTCCTTACCCACGATATCCCTTGCGACACCCCCACCCCCCTATGACTGAGACCCGGCCAGCTCCATATACGCATGCTTACACATAGAGCCGTTCCGCACCGGGGTTTGCTGACATGGACAATGATGCCGACGCGGCCCCCTGCCGATCCATAATCCCTTCTACCCGCATTCGCTGCTCATCCCCCAACCTCCGCATCCTCGCCCCACTTACACGTTACGACCCCTCACGACCTTTTGTTGTTGGCGGATTCGCGCGAGCTCTCCTTCGCGCGCCCGCCGGCTTCTTACATTGTTCTACCGTTGTTGCCATAACCGTTAAGTTGCTAGTACTATATACGCTCACGACCTCTCACGCCCACGGACTTGTATCCTTTGTCTACGTACCCGGTGGCGACGCAGTCGCCTGCCTTGTTGTCCTGAAATCCGAATGTAGCTTTGTCTCGATAGCCCCCGCCCTCGGTCCGCGTGTGTTTCCATTTCGCACCGCCTCGTTGTCGTGTTCTCCAGGTCCCCCCATGCTGCCATGGCTGCTTCTGAACGCGCGCGGCACCGACGCGTGCCCGGCGTCGAAGCCTTGACGGCCTTGGCGGTGACGTCGCCGGCGTATGGCTGAGGCTCGACCGCGGGCCGCCCCCGCCGCGCCTCCTCGTCGGCCGCTCCGCGGGTCCGCAACGTGCATCAGCTGGATGCCGCCGTGTACTAGCGTGTAAGTACTGTACTTGTGCCGTGCCCAGGCTGGGGCACACAAGCACCGAGCCACACATGTAGCGGCAGGCGATAACGATCCTGCCGCGCGCGCGGCTGGCGGTGGCCAACGTTCCACGTTCCCCTCGCACTGGGTCCGAATCCGAATCCGAATCCGAACGCGCACCAAGCCTCCCTCCTGCCGCCCCCGAAGCTCCCGCGCGTGCGCGGCGCCCACTTGCAGCCAATCAACGGCTGTGGCTTGAGGGCCGCTGGGTTGCGGGTCGGCCGCCGGATCGCCACAGGTACCCTCCCCCGCCCTCCTACGCCCTCGCTTCGAGGCGCCCCAGCCTCTTGTGCTAGCAGCGTGTGTACCCCCTCGTGCTACGGAACATGCGCCCGAGCGCCATCTCATACCTATGAGGAGGTCCTGGGCGGGGAGTCGCTCCGACGGCGTGCGCGCGGGGGTGAGGGACGCCGCGCGAAAGCTAGGGCGATGGGGCGTTTATTGGGCTTCGAACGGGTATGAGACTTTGGACGTGGGCCCTTTGAGTGCGCGCCCCGAAGAGCGCCTGGGCACAGCTGGGTTGTATGTGGATCGTGGGGCTTTGCACGCCCCGCGCCAGTGCTAGTAGATGCGGACGGTGTGTGTATTTCAACGCGGTAACGTATGACAGTCGACGGCAATGTATGTACCCTGGCCTGCACGCCTGCAAGACTCGTAAGCTGGAGCTCGAAAGACGACACAGTGAGCACGCACCCCCCGAGCCCCGGACTCCGAGGACATGCCAGGGCCCGCGCGCCACCCCGCAGCACCGTACTTACTCGTTCCGGCTTCTGGTCGCGGAAGCATATCAAAGGCAGGGACGCGCACGGCGGGCGTTCTGTGTCCCCTCGCGCCTTGCGTCCAGGTTCGAATAGCCGAACGCGACCACCCTACCACACACTTCTCCTCCTTCTCTTCGAGCTTCGAAGTTGGCTGTTTCTGTTGCTGATACGCATGCGGGGCTGGGGTCCCCGAACGCCGCCGCGGCGCAGTGGAACGATGCATGGCGTGCTGGCGTCCGCGATGGCGATGGCGATGGCGCCGGTGCCCGCGCTCCGAGAACCACGTACGCGAAGATGAGTGTGGCCAACGATCGCGGCCCGGGGTGGAACGGCGCTCCCGAGCCCGTCCGTCACCAGCTGAGCAGAGCAGAATCCAGATCAATGTTCAGGATGAATTCGCAGCGACGATAGGCAGGACCGCACACCCCACCAGCACCACCGCCTGCACGGTCGCATTGAAGAGGGTCTCTCCGGGGACCGGGATGCCCACGGACGATCCAGGCGTCCCGCCTCGTGCGGCCGGGCGGCCAGAGTGCGGAGCCGCGGTGGGTTCGATGGGAGCAGGAGGCTCCGGAGTGCTCGCGGACGCGTGTTCTGAGGGATGATCAGCCCGCCGAACGGCAAACGGTGGCTGGGTGCCAGGTGGTGTGCCGTAAGCACTGCAGTACTGAGTGCTTGCGTTCCGAGCACGGAAGGGGGGCACGCTCGTCATGCGCGCGCAACTTGTTCCGAGACCCTCGAGGTCGAACGTTTGAACGCTGTGAGACGGCCTGCGGAGGACGTTCGACGTTCGACGTCGTTCTCGCACGGCCGCGCCCCGCCGCGCCGTCCACAGAAGGCGTCCTTGCCGGGTGTGCTGACCATCGAGCCGTGCAGCGGCGGTGCAGGTTTTAGGCTCGTGCGCAGCGCACCAGGGCGGGCTTTGACAGCTGATCGCAGGCTGGTGGTGGTGCTGTGGTGATTGAGTCTGGGTAGAATGCGGAGGATCAGGCGTGCGAGAGATGGTCCCGGGCGGCTGACGAACGAGGTGAGGGAGGGACTGCACCGCGCAACCGACCCAGGACGACGACGAGCACCGGCGTTGCTGCAGGGAGACGGAGTGCTGAGGCGACGGTCCTCCATTCGCGGTCGCCGTCGTCCTGACGTGCGAGTCGACGGGGCCGTCTTCGCCCGAGTCGGTCTCGCACCTTCCCCATCGGCGGCGGCGGGCGTCGGCGTTTGGCAGACCATGTCCAGGGTCGGAGAGTCGGGACGAGGGGCTGCCGGGTCAGTCCACCTACGCAGCGTACACGCTCAGGGCTGCGCTGCGGTAAGTAGCCTGTCGGCACTTACACAAGAAGCCCCCCCACCGCTCGCGTACTCACTTACGTCGTCCGTTCGAGCGCCGTCCGCTCCCGCGTGTCCTCGCACGACCTCGACGCCGCCCCGTGGCGCCCTTTGTTCTCTGCGCTCGCCCGCCGTCGTTCGCCTGGTTCGTCGCCGTCGTCGTCGCCGTCGCCGACCTCGTCATCCCGATGCCGCCGAGGGCGCCCGCGCCACGTGTGCGCCGCGTCGTTGCGCGCCCAGATTAGCTCGCCGGGCTCCAGCCGCCAGCCGCCCAACCGCCCAGCCGAAGGAGGCGCTCCCCCCGGTTGGTAAGCGCGCCCGTCATCGCTCATATAATCTTGTTCTGTTCGCCGTCCGTTGCCGCCCACCCCGTACCAAGCGCTCGGGAACGCGGCGGGGTCTCCGGGGTCCCGATCCTGGTGCAATTTGCCTTCGCGGAAATTAATGCGCAATTAACCGCAAAACAAATTAGCGCGCCGACGAACGAGGCCCTGGGGCCGGTGGACCTCCCGCGCGCGCCGGGCGGGACTGGCGCAACGTGTCCGCTCTGTTTGTGCGTGCCACGAGCCGAGGGGGGCACGACGACTTCCCTTTCTCCTTCCCTTTCTGCCCTCGCTGGGCCCGCGCGACGGCACGGCGCACGACGCACACCGTCCCGCGTGCGTTTTTTTTGTTCCCCGCCGTCTCGTGGGTCGCTCGTCGCGAGCTCCGGCTGTCTATATACCTGCGCGGTGGCGCCGCGCGCATCCCTTCCGGACATTACACCCCTCCGCCTCGCCGTTGTCCACCCGCCTGACGTTAGGGCGTAATTCGACCCGCACCCACCGTCGTCGCCGACGCGTACGTACGTAGACGTACGTGTCCCCGCCGTCGAGCGAGTCCGTCTGGCACGCATCTAGGGCAGCTATAACGAGGGGTCCCTTCTTCACAGATCCAGAAGGGCACTGGGCTGCCGAAGCACCGAATCTGATGCCCAGATCTCATGGGGTCGCACGGGCAGACGAGACAAGATGCACGGTGCCCGCCGTGTGTGTCCTGCTCGCGTGCCAACGGACAATTGCCCATGTCGAGTTGTCGGCCGGTCGCCGTCGCGACTCGCTCGAACATATGGCCGGGCGCGACGCGTCCACGCCCCGAGGTGCCCCCGCCCCCGCACTCTGCGCCATCACGTACGCTCGCAGCAATGCAGTGGGGGTATCTGAAGACGGCCCCAGGCCAACTACAACGGTCCTAGTCGCGAGGAAGAGCAGGGAAGAGCGCGCGGCGCGAGGCCACCCGAGTCGTGACAGCGCCGCGCGACCTCCACCCCGACCGGAGCGCCGGCTTGCGTCAGCGCCCGCATCAGATCTGGTGCCACCGGCAAGGGCACACATTATGGCCCGCACAGCTTCGTCCGATCGCGCGCTCTCGCTCCCCCTGCCCCGCCTCCCACGCAGCCTGCTACGCCTGCGCCCTCCGCGCGGCGAGCTGGATGGCGCGGTGGACGCGAAGCAGCGAAGCCCGGGGGGGCAGAGTTTGGCTTGGGTCCTTGGGAGCAGATGGAAGGTTGGGCACATTTTACATCCGACCCCATCCAGTCCTGCCGGGAATTGCCTGCCGCGCGGCCCAGATGCTGGCTATCCGGATCCGAGTTCCACGTCCACGTCTGTCCCACTACGCCGGGCGCCATCCAAGGCCCAGAGAGCCCGTTCGGGAAAGCAGTCGCCGCGCCGCAGAAGCCCAAGATCCGACCCCGCCATCACACGAGGCGGGCACGGCAGAGGCAGGTCACGGTGCACGAACGTACGAGGGTGGTATTCGGTTTATGGTACAACAGCACGATTCTTCTCTCGCCAGACGGACAGACTAGGGGCTCATGCCGCCTCGAGCTCCGCGACGAGCTTCTTCGACTCCTCCGTGTCCGCCTTCTTGAGCATCTATTGTCCTCCGCGCTCGTTAGCTCGTCGATCCCGCAGCACATCCCCGCCCGAGCCCGCTCCTCGACATCGGCGGCGGCTCGCAAAGGGGATAGCGGCCGCGCTCATTCGGGGCGCGGAGCCTCGCGGGCCGGACGACAAGCATCGCGGAGCACTCACCTCGAGCAGGTTCTCGACGTACTTCGTCATCGCGTCCTCCTTGGACGTGCCCTCGACGCCCTTCCATGCGTCCCTGAGAGCAACGAGCCGCACTCGGGTCAGCACGTGCGCCGAGATCTCCATTCTAAACACCGGCGGTGCGCCCTGACCGCCTAGCGAGGGTGATGAAACGATAAGCGAGAGAGAGACGCACCACTTCGCCTTGCCAACAAAGTCGAGCAAGCCTGGACGCGCAGTATTCACATCACCTATGGTGGCTGCGAACAGAAATGTGATCGGCCAAGCACAGACGGGGTCGCACGGCGGGGAGACGTACCCTGCTTGAAGTACTTGTAGAACTGTGTTCAACGTATCCGTCAGAGCGCGGCCGAGACGCGTGCGGGGAGCATTTCGTTAGCGTCGAGCCTCGGGCGGCGCTCCGCGGAGGCAACGATGAGGCGCGGGAGGAAGGGAGCAGGGCGCCGAGAGGAGGTGGGTACGTACGCTGAGCTGATCATCCTGGGTAGGCTTGATGGGGCCGTCCTTGGGAAGGCTCTGGATGATGGAGACGGCTTTGTCGAACTTGGCCTGAGACATGGTGGACGGTGATGGGGCAGAGGTGGTGGCTGCGGTCAAGGACGAGGGAAGAGCCAAGGTCAACAACGGTGAACGCACGGGAATGGGGGATGGGGTAGGGCGATAACGATCAGCAGGCGCACTGGGGCAACGGTTACAGGGGTGGTCGAGGCTCGAGGGGCGCGCGGCGCGGGAGGTCCCGCGAGGCTGAAGCAGCCCATCGATGGCAGCGATCTCACGAGCCGCGCCCGCTCGCAGCCGACCCCAGCGCGATCTCGCACACAGATTCCGCCGCGCTGCCCTCGAGCTCCTCTGCGCTCGCTCAAGCACGAGCGCAGAGGGGACAGCGAGTCCGAGACCACGACGTCACTCGGGCCGGGCCGGGCTGCCGACGCAACCTACCGCACGACCTCTCCCATGTTCTCGTCACGTTCAATCTTCAAAACTTCAACCCAACGACCGCCCTCGATGTTTTTGTCCCACCATGCGTACCCCCACCGCTCACCTACTCCCGTGGGCGTGCCTCCACTATCCCTGCCTGTGAAGTCCGCGTCGACTTCAGTGGCAAAAAGTGTCCAGGTCACACAATTCGAACCTATTCCGACGCAAGAGACCATGAGTGCATGAGCTCCGACCTTGTCTCACCAGCAGATCTCGCTTGCTCGTCCGTCGGGCGCGATACGGCGCGCGATCCCGTTTTGCAACTCAGCGGCGCCGCGCGAGGGCGAGCGCTCAGAGCGCTCAGATACACTCTCCACGATCCGAGGACCGACGGCGCCGCCAGCGACCGCGAGCGCCCGTCCAGGTCGCAAGAGGGCAGGCGCGCGCGGAGGCAAAATCCCCCTCGCCACGAGCCACGACGAGCGCGCGCTCTGCACCAGGTCCCACGACGAGCGCGATGTCGATGACGATGTTCTGGCGTCTCTGCCTGTCAGTACCATCGGCGCTTCCAGCTGAGCACTCTTCCTTCTCACCCTCGCCGACGGCATTTGCTTTCGTCGGCCGTCCCACTTGCAAATTTTCTGCTTGTACTCTCACGGGCCCCTTTTCGAAACACTTCTAGCGACCGGCCTCCGACTCCGCACTCGCGTGCAGACGACGCGCCGGCCTGCGCGCGTACATACGGGCCCGAGCCACCGCAGCGGCTACTCAAGTACTCAGTAGGCACTAGGCCCAGGCAGCTCAAGCGCGTCCGATTCTTCCGAACACGCGAGTCACAGCCCCGACCCGACCCGATGCGCAGGCATCCGCGTCATCGTGCACCCGGTTCGTGAACCTCCTCGTATTCTCGCTGATGCGCGGCGCATTCAGTATGTCGGACATCGCACCAGAGAATGTTCGGGAACGCCGGGGATATTCGATCGTCAGCACTTGGGGTGTACTTGCGCGGCCGGCGATTGGCAGGCAAGTCAACTGCTTCGACATGGTGTGCGCGCTGACTCGTATCAATATTCTCACCTCTGAATCGCCAGAGTGCGTCTGCGATGTGTCAGCGTAACGCAGCGCCGCCAGATGTCTGAGTAAGCCGAGTCTTCTCTCCAGGCCTGCACCGTGTGTCGCCGATTGTCCAGCATGACAGCAAGCCCCGATGCTGATCCCAGCGTTTCAACCCAATATTTTCTTGAACGGCTAGGTCGCTGGGTGCAATCCCTCGCAGCAATTTGGTCCCGCCACACACTAGCTTAGGCCGTGGCCCCGTTACAGTTTACCGAATGCGGGATACCCGCCGTCTCTGAGTAAGCTCGTACTTAGCTCTACGAAGATACTTACAGCACTGGCACGAATACATCATCATCATCATCAGCAGCAATTTGGTCCACCATGCGCACCCGACGCCTGACTCATCCGCGAAGGCCGGTACTCACTTGTGCGAGTGCATGACTAAACCGCCGCGTCGGCGCCCGCGTCATCAACGCCGAACTCCGGCTCCGAGCACCCTCGCGAGTCAGAATCATCCAGTCGGGGCTCAAGGCGCCGCACTTATCGTGCGCGGGACCCGAGCCACCACTCGGACGGGCAGGGCTCGTTCAGCGGCTCAGAGTGCCGCGCGTCCGGCATGAGGGCGCGCCACTCTGGCCGGCCGTATCCAGGCGCCATGACGATGCTTATTTGCGGCCACGCGTCCGATGCAAACCACATCTGGCATGGGTCAGCGTTATTTCGCACTGTCCCATGTCTTCCGGCGAGTTTTCGTCCGTATTTCATTGGGAGATGATCACCTTTGCTTGGAATGCGGAGGTGCATGTGTTCGTCGTCCTATTCAGCGCTGACGAGCTGTTCCACAGGGCCAACACGCGATGGACAGGCAGCGACGTCGGAGTCGGCGACTGGCCAATATCTATGGGTACGCAGCACGCGGCGCTGTTCGGCTGAGTCCACTGCCTCTCAGCATTCGGTCGACATGCCACCTCCATGGGTTTGTGAAGTTCCCACCCCGCACGGCCACGCCGACAGAAGAATAACATTCCGACGAGAGTCCCCACCCGACGACAAAGTGGCAACTGAGTTGCGGCGCCACTCGCCCGAAACGCCTCGCGCAGAGACTGCGATCAAGCGCGCCCGCCCGGCGAGGTGGTTTTCCGCGCTGGGCCCAGTACGCTCACATCACACCCGATCTCCGGTCCGGCTGCTGTTTCACAGGCTGGGTGCGTTGCCCGCACACAACACCCGATGCAGTGAGCACTAATATCGTCGCAGAGCAGAGATGAGCCCCATTCAGCCTCACGGAGAGACGACCTTTTTCTGATCTCGGGCGCGGTTCCGAGAGCGCACGGAAGGCAGAAGACCCGTACGATCGTACCCAGCGGTAGTCCGCAGCCTCGCCTCGTGCTATCGTACAACCGATGACTGTCCCCACGAACCCACGTACGGACTCTCCCTGTGAATCACACCGCGCGCACCGCCTCACGCGAAGACATTGTCCAGCCCAGGCTTTGAACTCACTACGCGCGCAGCGCCCCAACCGGGCGCACCGCGCTAGCACCTACCCCGAGTCCGAACGCGAAGCCCCGGCGGGTTCTGGATCCCCTTCTCCCCATTCTCCTGAACGGGCGGCTCGCCGGCACAGCAGCGACCCTAGCGCCGCGAAGTCGCTTGCTGCGATTTCGAACCACGTCCTTCGCCCGATTCTGGCGCGAAGTCGGAGCGCGCGTCTGACGCCGGCGGCGGCGTTTACGACAGTCCCCAGTCCTGCGCGCGGGTGCCGGTGCGCCTGGGGCGGAGGGTGTCGGCGTTGGAGTCCGATGCGCGAGGACGTCGTCCTAGCGCCGCGGGCGAGGTGGTCATGCCCGCGCTGGGGGAGGTCATTGATTGTGAATTGTGCGTCAGGACGACAAATTGATAGATGCTATGTGCGAGTGCGACGGCGTCAGCAAGACGATATGGCCTCGGCGACGTGGGGGATCGCCTCGGCGCCGAAGGTTGAAGTGAGTAATTGCATCACGAGCCTTGAGACTTGAAGGACGGCGCGCTGAGAGCTTTCATACTCAAGTACTCACGTTCCATTCGGGCAAACGTCGACTCCGATGTGTTTCGCAGCCCACGAGGCAAGCTCGAAGTGTCGTTCCGTCTACCTTGGTTCTCGGACACGCCCGTTGTGGGCCCGCGCGGCTGCCTCTGGATCCGCGAACGGCGGCAGAGGGGGTTGTATATTCCGTGTACGTGCGGCGACAGAGAGGGAAGAGAAGGGTGCGGGGAGGGCCTCGCGCCAGTGCCGAGTGCGCCGAGCGTGTCATGGACGATGTCGAGGGCTCGCTGACTGAAGGGGTTGCGTAGATCCTTCCGAGAGCTTGTATAGACTCGACTTCGTACGGATGCGGGTTGGAGGGGCAGGCTAGCGCACATGACACAACTCCGGAATAGATAGACGCGAAGGTCATCGGAAGACCTCCAGACACCCTGCCCTGCACGGAGGTTGTCTGGCATGCTGTGGTCCCGCGTCTGCGTGTGAATGAGAGCGCCGCGCCAGTGTGCTCCGTCGCACTCACGCTCAAGGTTTGTGCTTCGTGCAGACTGGCGCCCCCGGGCCCCCCTCTGCGGCCGTACGCAGACCCGTAGACCCTCCCCGTGCCACCTGCAAGGCGGCCAACGGCGTGTCGGGCGTCCTCCTTCCCCCGGTCGCGGAATCTTTCCGGAGCGGGAATCCTGCTCTCCTCGAACCGCATGGCGGTGCACGCTTCCCCGAGCACGGGGCGTGCACGTGGCAGGCGCGCGCGGGGACCTGCCTCCCCGCGCGCACGGGACACGGCACGCGATCCTAGGCTGCACACACGGCTGGCGGACACTTGACCACCGGGCTGTGAGCGTAGACGGATTGCGAGGAGGCGGGTGGACAAATGCGGCGAACGATGCGAAAACGAATGTTGATTAGGCACCGGAGCAAGGACTCAAGGAGCCCGAAGAGGGAGGGAGGTCGGACCATACATACGTTGGTTCTGTGCAAGTACGACGGCCAAGGGCGGTGCCTGTGCTCCCTGGACGCCGACTCCTGACGTAGCCATCTATCTGCCACCTCCGCGGGCCTGGCCTGGGCCCGTGTATGAGCCCGCGCGAGCCCACGCCGGGTGGGCGTGTTGCTTCTTGGAGCGTGCGCGACGCACGTCGCGGAGGTGCACACCCCCCGCGCCTCGCCCGCCAGGGGGGAATTGAGAGAGGACGCTGGTATCGGGAAGAAGGCAGCTTGGCGCATGGACGATCCTGCCGCGGTGACAGAACCTTCTGGCGCCTGACTGCGTGGAAGGCGCTCTGGGCACGAGGATCGCGTCCAGTGGATGGGCAGGGCGGCTGCAGAAGGAACCCCGGGAAGGGTGGGCCGGTTTGCGTATGTCCTGGAACTTGGTGGGGAAGCGGGTATGGTGACATGCTGGGCCTCGGAGCAGGGAAGGAGGTGGGAGTGCGGGGTGCCGGTTCCGGAGGTGGTAGGCTTGGAGGGACGCAGGGTCCGGTCGTCTGCTGTCTGTCGCCGGTCGGTGGCGCTGTGTCGTCCGGGAGCAGCGCGGCGGGAATGTCGCTCGACATAATGGGAACAACAGACTCGAGTCTTCACAGCTTGTCGGGTGCCGTACGAGCATCTGTAGGAGCGTGGCTGAGGAGAATAGGGTGAGAGCACCCTTGTACAGTCGGGCTCCGCGGTGCGAGCATATCGAGCTCAGCGCGGGAGACAAGGTTATAGAGTTGGGGCGCTCCGTTGGGACAGATCGGCGCAAGCGTGCTCTATCGACCATGCGACTGGGCGCTGTCGAACATGGGTCCCAGGCGCGGTCGTGGGCGGTCGTCTGGAGGGGAGGCCTCGCTGAACGGCCTCGGTGGAGGCGAACGCTCGACCTCGGTGAACCACAGAGCGTCAACGGCAGGAAGAGTGCCAGAGGGCGCGCTTGAATTGCAGATGAGATAACTCGTGGTGGCCTGCGACGGCGCAGCGGGCAGGGGCAGATACCATCAGGCGACCGTCAGAAGGTTGGCACTGGTGGAGAGAATAGCTGGCGTTCATCCCGGTCCATCGGAGGAATCGAGAGCGGGCTGGCCAGTCGGAGGATGGGCGCTGTTGGAGGATCCGACGGAAGACATATTGGGCGCGATAAGCTCTCGATGAGCAAGCGAAAGAATGCGCGGCGATGGGGCCATGCGGTGGAGGCCGACCGAAGGCTGAGCAAACCAGAAACGGGGTGCGAAGAAAGCCTGCTTCGAAGGGCATGTTGAAGATTTCCGGCTGGGGAGAAGGGGGTCATAGTCATGCCGGCTAACCAGATATGTGTGGAAGGCAGTCAATGGCTGAAATTGCGCACCATCTCCCTCGACGATGTCATCACTCCAAACATGCGGGCGATTAGGTCGGGAAATGATGCACCTAAGGCGACGATCCTATAGTTGATTGTTTCGCTTGTGAAAACCCGTTGTCTGTGGCCACGTTGGCAGCATCATGAGCAGAGCAAATTTCCAGATGTACGGTCACAAAGATGGCTTACTTGGGTCGAGTGAATTCTTTCCCCCAATCGTGCTGGGCAGCTGGCCATAGGGTAATGGTACCAATTGTGAGTCCCAATGATGTACAAGTTGTTGAACCGCCTCGGGTCTCACAGACTCGTAAAGTGGTACGCACGGCCATTCACAATCGGGGCATATCATCCGATAATGCATTTCTATACCGGAATGTCTAGGGTGGCGAGGACAATGCTGAGGATATTACATGGACGATTACATGGACGAAGGCACAGGCGAGCAAGCGGGCATCGGCGACACTGACCGATTATGGGCGGCTATCTTGCGCCCATGGGCGGAGTGGAGTAGAAGTGCCGGTCGGGGTTCTACTGAGTTCTAATATTCAGGCGCTTCTCTGCAAGATGACTCAACTCAGCCAGCTCCGCCGCCAGGCTAATCATTCGCGAAGGTGATCTGGGCGACGACGAACCTGGCTCTCCCGAACCCTCCCCCTGCTGTTCAGCACGCGGTGCACGCCTCTTCCTCGCGGCTGTCGACGGTGACCACCATGACCTCCACACGCTCTGCCCCGCCACCGACGCACCAAGAGGTTACGCGCAAGCTTTCTGTTCATAGCGCCGTCAAGCCCCCCACCAGAGTATGTGCCCCAGTCTCTGTGAGCCGCCAGCAGCGGCGAGTGGCTGTATGCTGTCGCTGCGCGCTGTCCTCCAGATGCTTAATCATTTTTGTTTGTGCTGACGCTCTTCTCTTCCGTGTAGAAACCCTCGCTACCGCCGCCCGGCACGGAATACGACTCTGATTCCGCACTCTCCCCTGATGTCATCGCACCCTCTCCCGCGGCCACCGCCAGTATGAGCGGAGGTCTGCTCGGTCCCGCAATGCTGCAACCCCCTCTCACATCCATCGCCGAACGGAGGTCACACAGCGGCGGCGAAGAATCCGAGGAAGACGACGATGACGAGGACGGTGGTTGGCGCACGTCGGATATGTTGGGAATACAACGGGGATCCCACGATGAGACCGTGATCAAGGCGGGATATTTGTGGAAGAAGGGTGAACGGAGAAAGGTGCGTGTTCGCGCTCCAGTCTGCGTTCTCCGTCCTTAATGAACCCGCTCCCCACGGCGTTCGCACTTGCCCGGACTTTGACCGCGGCTGTGATCTTGGCGCGTCGTAACGCTTTCGTCTGTCAGACGTGGAAGAAGCGGTGGTTCGTGCTGCGTCCTGCGCATCTCGCGTTCTACAAGACGAATGCCGAATACAAACTCCTGCGCCTACTTGACCTCTCCGAAGTCCACTCGTGCACACCTATTGTGCTGAAGAAGCACACCAATGTTTTCGGTCTTGTATCACCCACTCGAACTTTCTACCTCCAGGCCGAAACGACACCCGAAGTATGGGACTGGGTCGCTGCTATCAACGACACCCGGGTTGCCCTCATCTCGACTTCGACACGAAACTCATTGACGCAGCCTATCCCAATACCAACTACGCCCACAAACACTACCCATTTCCACCAACCTTCTAATCTCTCGTCTTCTCCATCACGCTCGCCGCAAACAAATCATCAATTGACTTCCTCGGACTCGGAGGACGCCTCTCCTAATCCCAACACTCCACGCTCTTTCCCCATGTCGCCCGGGCTTTCCATGGGGGAATCTCCTTCTCCGTCGAAGCCGGTACTATCAGGCTACCTCTTGAAGTGCGGCTCCAGGCGACACAATTGGCACAAGCGATGGTTCGTTCTTAGTGGCGAGAAGCTTGTCTATTCTCGGACCCATATGGTGAGTGCGCAGTCCCGCCCGATTCGCGAGCAATGAACGTGGGGACTGACGAGCGGCGTTCCCCACACAGGACTCGAAGCCGCATCGTCAGATCGCATTGTCGCTCGTCATCGACGCGTTGGAATACCGACTTCCCCCAAATCGTAGCCATCCCAGCGGCGTCGCATCCACAGCGCAATCACCGCCGTTATCGGCCACGGTCCCCGACGGGGCCGAAGCTGCGGGCGCGCACACGTTCAAGGTGGTGACGACGAAGCGGACGTTGCTGCTGTGCGCGCCGAGCGAAGAAGAGGAGATCAAGTGGCTAAGCGCGATCCGTGCACTCATCGCTCGTCGATCCGGCCAAGGCGCTGTCCCTGGCGAGCCGGACGTGAGCCCGTCGCCGCCGCATGGGTCGTCGATGTCAACCTCCCCCGCCGGTCAAAACACCCTCGGCACCGCCGCGGGCTCCATCCAACGCCGCCGCGACTCGATCGTCCGCCGGCTGAGCCTGAGCAATGGCAGCAGTCCACCACCACCGGCAGGCAGCGGCTCTGGAGGCCTCGGGGCCACGAGCGCGGGGGCGGGCGGCCCTGCGGAAGGCCAATCTGAACGGCAATCTCACTGAGCGCGTATGCGGGGGTGGAGGGCGGGCGGGGCGGTCGAGTGGGCGAGGGGCGCGCCGTGGGCGCTGGCGGTCGCCTCGGGCCCGCCGCGGTCTGCGTCGCGGGGTGGGGGCAGATAGCGATGCGGTGCATCGGGCAGCTGGGACGGCATCCCGCGTCGTGCCCACGCAGAGTCTCGATCGGGGGCGCTGGCGGGATCTGGCCGCGCCCAGCGCGCATGGGCGCGTGCACGGCTGTGGTCCTCAGACCAGCATCTCGAGCGCGTCGAGGTGGATGCTGCTGCCCTCGCGTGCTGCTGGGGCGCTGCAGGCTGTTCTGGGAACGTGGGAGCGATAGCGGAGGTGTGGCGAGGCAGGCGACGATGAAACAAGAGATGTACGATAGCATACGGGCATGCTGCCTGTAGCGGAAGCTGTGGGTATTTACCGACGTTGGGGGAGCAACGGCGACTTGAATTGCTTGTGTGAGCAGGCGAGGCTGAAACATCGGCCACGAAGTGAATCGCAGCGCAGCTGCGCGGTGCAGACTGGGAAGGCGACGGACATATAGCTGATGGCGCGCACCGGGGGTCGAGGCGCCGGATGTGTGGAGGTGGGGCAGGTGGGGATGGCGACATAGCGCGACATGTCCCTGACAAGTGGGCGTACGGACGATTCGGAATTGGGCGCCGGCCGCGATCACGTCCGAGCGATGGATCCGAGCGGAGGAGGAGAATTAGGTAAGCGCCCTTCCATGCGGATTCGCTGGGTGGAGAGGGTTCCAGCTTCGCGAGCGCCCGAGTCCGCTGCGCCCGTGCAGTTGGGGCACGCGGGTGCCGTCATTGGGACGCGCTCGGCGCAATCTGCACGTCGCTGCCCACGTAAGGTGGCTCGAGACGGCTCGCAAGTGGATGCGGGCTGGCGGAGGGGGTGCGCGTGCTGGCTCTGGGCGCGTACTGGGTACGACTCGGGTGGACGCTCGGGGGCAGTTGGGTCGCCGCGGGCGGCTGCTAGGGCTGGAGGGTGCTGGAGGCGCGCGGGAGGAGGAGGAGGAAGGGGGAGAGTCCGGCGTTCATCGACGCGCTCGCGGGGGCAGAATGGGCGGGCGTCCGTCGAGGGAGCGAAGGCGGACACGGAAGGGACGCCGGCAGCCTAGAACGCGGCCTCGGGCGGCTGCGCAGGTACCTGAGCGAAAACAAATGACACAAAATCCGATCTCGGCGGCTATGCGCTATCGGGATCCCTTGTGACCGCCGCCCCGGGCGGGCACGAGGGCGCCTGTCGACCCTCGTCGCGGGCTTCGCCTGCCATTCTGGCGCGAGAGAGTTTGAGGGCGCTCCTTCCATTCTTCGGCGCCTCCCTCTCCCGTCCCCGCCCTGTCCGTTCCCTCCCTCGTCCCCCGTCCCCAACGGGACCAGCGAGAGGCTCGAGCCCGGAGAGAACAACCCCGCCGCGCACTGTGCGCCAAGCAGGCAGGGCCAGCTCCTCCAGGTGCGCTCGGAAGGCAAAAATACGCCCGGGCGTTTACGTGATGGCGGGTCATGGCGGTGTGCGTGGACCAATAGCAGCAGGCGCGCAAACAAAGCAGGCGGGCTGTCCGGGGTCCTTGGGATAAGAGATCGTAAATAAAGGAAATCAACAAGACGCGGATTTCGCACGGTGTGCCCGGCGCCCTAGAGTACATAAGTGCTCTGCCCCTCGCTTCCCCCAACAACCGCCCACCACACCCCGCCGTCGGAGACTGTCCCTCCTCCCCTACCCCAATTCTGTACTCTACGCACACCCAGCCCTCTCCAAGCATGCCCGACGTTCCCTCCAGTCCTCGCAAAGCCGTCTCCTCTGTCTCGCAGCAGGCCCGATCCCAAAAGAAGCCCGGAGCGCCCAAGCCAAAAGGCGCCGTTCGTGCTAAGTCGGGCTGCTACACCTGCAGGATTCGAAGGAAGGTTCGTCGACGAGGCGCTCATCATCCTCCTCTGGTCTCTGACGCCCGTTACTTCCCCTCCCTCTCCCGCGCCCCCTTCACCTACCCCTATCTCCGCCTCCTGCAGAAGTGCGATGAGCAGCCCAACGAAGAAGGCGCGTGCCAGACGTGCGTCCGCCTCCGCCTCCAGTGTCTTGGATTCGGTGCGAAGCGGCCAGACTGGATGAGGGTGCGTCTTTCTTCTTGCGCGGTCCGCCCGTCGGCCATGTGCGGAGGCTCATGGTCTCGGTCTTCCCCAGGAGAACAACAGCGTCACCGAGCTGCGCGACAAGATCAAGACCTTCCTCGCCTCCCAGGGCATGATAAAGGGCCACTCCGGCTCTGGTCCCCGCACGACGGAGCAGGACCCCCAAGTCCTCGTCCTCGTCGACCATCTCCACACGTCGCCCTCTAGCCCTCCCACCCCCACCCTGTCCGCCACGTCGAGCGAGGGCCAGCAGCGGCCTCCGCACAACGGCATGAACACGTCGTTCGAGCGCGCCCCCGCCCCCCACTACCCGACGATGCAGCCCCCTCCCCCTGATCAACAGCACTACGGTCAGAGTATGTACCATTCCAATTTCATCCCGGTGGTGTGGTAGTGAACTTTCGCAGACTGGCACCAGCCTGGCATTTCTGAGCTGGCGGCTCACGACCCCGGGATGAATCGCCCGCAGATGCTGCCGAACGTGAACGACATGTTGTATCCCCCTGCTCCCGCCCCGCCCCAGCCTCACCCTCACCCTCCTATGATACAATCCCCTACATCCATAGTTTCCGCTTCCTCGTCCTGTAAGGCCCAGTACCGTTATTAGTGTATTATGAATGTATCATGATTAATGCCCTCCTCTGTTGGCAGGGCCTCATCGCGATGGTGCTGCATATCACTCGACCGCCGTCTCGTCAATCTCGACAGCCATGATCCCTTCAATATCAACACCAGCCTACCTCCCTTCGGACCAGTCGGCCGCGGTCGGATTCTACAACCACCCGCACTCTTCGTTGGGGCTGTCGTACAACACGAGCTTCGCGGATGAGGATGTGGACCAGCCCAGTCTAAGTCCAGACGGAGGGCACATACCCACAGTCGTGAACGGGTACGGGCTTTCCGCGTCGACTTATCAAGACCATCTACTGCGACATTACTTCCACAATGTCCTTCCAATACAGTACCTCCTCGCGGACTCGTCGATCACCAACTTCATGGCCAACCTCATCCATTCCTCGCAGTCGGCGCGAGAAGCGGCATGCATGCTCTCCGCGCTGCACCTCACCACGATGTCGCGGGCGGACCAGTCGGCGGTGCACTCGATCTACCAGCACATCCAGGACACGATGCTCGTCGAACGGCCGTACAACGAGGGCGACGCGATGGCGGGCCTGCACATCGTCTCCTCCTTCCTCTTCTCCGGCGGGCGCGGGAACTGGGAGGTCTGGCTCGGGATCGCGAGCCAGTACGTGCAGAACATCCTCAACGACCCGCGCTTCTACGGGCCCGAGGAGGCGCTCCGGCAGTGCGCCGAGTCGACGCGGTTCATCATCAAGACGACGATGTGGTTCGACGTGCTGGCGTCGGTGACGACGCAGCAGGTGCCGCGCTTCCTGGAGACGTACCGCGCGCTCTTCGCGGGCGCGTACATCGGGGACGCGCTCGCGGGCGGGGGCGCCGCGCCCGAGACGTCGATGCTGCCCGTGATGGGCTGCGAGAACGGGGTGGTGCTCGCGATCGCGGAGATCTCGAACCTCGCGCACTGGAAGGCGCTCATGCTCCGCCGCGGCCGGCTCTCGTACCCCGAGCTCGTCCACCGCGGGCAGGCGATCGAGGAGCGCTACCTCGCGCTCAACACGCCCGCGAACCCGGCGGTGCCGCTCCAGCCGGGGACGTACGGGCCGCACGCGCTGCAGTCGCACCTCCACAACGCGCGCGGGGCCGGGGCCGGGGAGGGCGGCGGGGACGTCGCGCAGCGGCGGCGGCTGACGAACAGCATCTTCCGGGCGTCGGCCAAGGTCTACCTGCACACGGTGCTCTCGGGCGACTACCCGGCCTGCCCGGAGATCATGGGCGCGGTGGGGGAGACGATCGACGCGCTGCGGGAGGTGCCCGAGGCGCCGAGCGTGCACCGGTCGGTGGTGCGCTCGGTGGTGTTCGGGATCTGCATCTGCGGGTGCCTGACGGACGACCAGCGGCAGCGGACGTTCCTGCTGCACATGCTCGAGCGACAGCAGCAGGAGAGCGTCGGGAACATCGCGGAGGTGATGCGCCTCATGAAGAACGTCTGGGACCGGCGCGACGAGGAGCGGCGGCAGGGGCGCGCGACGCCCGTCGACTGGCGGGAGATCATGCGCGAGGGCAGCGCGGGGCTCCTCCTGCTCGTGTAGGCGGGGCGCGGTGGGCGGAGGGCGTCGTCGGGGACCAGGAGGAAGTCGAGCTCGGCACGCCCGTCCAACGTTCCGCGCCCGTCGTCCTCGATCCGGTCAAGGCAAGCTCTATCCGGGACATCTCTCACTCCTCCGGCACGCCCCCAGTCTCATCCACCTTCTTCGCGACGCAGCGCACCCGGACCCACTCGGCCACCTGCCGCGCAGCGACATTGCGCAGCGCCTCCCCCCAAGCACTCCTTCTACTGGAACCCACGCAGCCCACGGCTGCACCGCACCAGCTTCCCAAGTCCAACCTTCTCGACCGCGCAATCTCGCATGCGAGATCGCTGCTTCGCGCTCCCACCCCTTGCCCTGCTTTCGTGCACGCACGCACCCCACCCGCGCTCAGCTCGCTATCACATCAGTATGGTTTTGCTGCTGCTCTCGCCTATGCTCATCAGAACCATTGCAGTCGTCCCCGTCCAGTAACGTGTATGATAACCCCAGCCTCGAGCCCACTACCCACGCCTCTACGTCACCATCGTCCATGCGTCCACGCGTCGCCTCTCTCCCAGATACAAAACCCCCAAGTCTGCATGCCGTGCGCCCGCCCGGGCCCGTCGTCGTCGTCCGTTCCCGTCCGCGTCGTTTATTCCCATCTCGCCTGTATTCGTCAGTCAGTCCGCCGCTGTCCGGTACCGAATCATACGCTTGCTCCCCCATGAACAGCCGTCCACCATGCACCGCACCACCACCCACCCCAGCACACCCGGCCCTCTCGTCCCACCCCGTCCAGCTCCCGACGGGCGCGCGCACACGCCCTCGCGCGCGCGTCCATTGGGCGGCGGGGTGGCGACGCACCACGCACCGCGCACCGCGCACGCAGGCAGGACGGCTTCTCTTCGGCTTCGACTCCCACGCCCGCCCGGCCCTATCGCGCCTTCTCCGCCCCCCGCCCCGAGCCCCGACGCCGCCTTCGCTCGCAGCTGCCCTCCACGCGGGCCCCTCCCGGCACGACCGCCGACGCACCCGGGCTCACCCGAAGCCTCCCCCACCGCGCCGCCCTCCCGCGAACCGCGGTTCCAGAATCCAGCCTTGGACGTGATGGGTGCACGTGCGCGTGCGCGGGGTTCACGAGTTCGAGCGTAGAGCAGGCGGACGCGGACGTGGAAAATGGGACGGTTGGACGTTGGCACGACCAGGACGACGGAGCGAGGGAAGCCCCCGGCGAGGACTGGGGCCGGCGCGCACCCCGACGACGGCTTGCGCACGGCGAAGGCCGGACACGAAGACGAAGACGAAGACGGGGGTGCTCGCGCACACGTGGGGCGCACGCGTGGGGGGCTCGCCTGCGACGCGTTGGCAGAGGAGAGAAGCGGAAGCGGGCGAAGGACGCGGCGGAGAAGGCGCACCTAGGGTAGTTGGCGGGAGGCACGACACGCGCCCCGCCCCGCCCTCGCTCGGTCGTCATCGCTGTCTACAGGACTGGGTATCCTGGACCGGCCCGGTGGGAGGAAGAAGCCTAGGACGGACGAAGGAGCGGGCACGACGCACGCTAGAACGCGTCGAACGTCTGCTTTCGAAATTCAAAGCCCGCGGCGGTCACGGAGGCGGACTGTTGGGATGATACCGGGACAAAGGCCTTGATGGGTCGGAGGAGGGACGGGCGGCGGGGGGGGCGGGCACGCGCGGAGAAGGGGGGTATATCTAACCGGCTCAGGCTGGCTCAGGCTGCGAGACGGCCGCGCGGTCAGTGCGTTCGCCCTAGCCTGCGCCACCACCCGTCGTTTGAGCTGACATGTCTTTGTACCGACTTCTTTCGATGCGCTCTTGCCCAACTCCGCTCTTCCTCCACCCCGCACGCCCGCCAGCGGGCCCCATCAGCAGCCCGGCGATCGTCATCGTCATCCGGCCCACGTCAGATCAGCACCCCCCTCGCCGCGGCGGGCCTGGGCTGACTCCGCGAGCTCCCCCCGTGCGGAGTCCGAACGCACCCGCGAGCGTAGATGGCGGCCGCTCGCGAGGGAGGGGCCCGCCTCCAAGCCTGAAGCTTTGAAGGCCGGCACGAGGCGCGTCAGGTGGATGCGATCGCACGCGATAGGACAATGGAAGAGTGGGGGCGCGGCACCCACACGCGCAAAGTCAGGCCTGGTGCTGCGGAGACCCTTACGGTGCGCACTTCGACGACCAATGAGTACACCACCCGCAGATGGAACCCGGAACGCCCGGTGTCTCTCGAGCGTGCGTGTTACGAGGGTGGACAGGGCCCGAGAAGGCTACGTCGAGGCTACTCCTTGCTCGTCGATCGGCACAAGCGAGACTCGGGAACGTCGCGCACACCCCGTCCGCGTCCGTCCGTGCGGCCATCTACTGCCGCGGCCAGCGACGAGCGCCCAGAAGTGGACGCATCGGGGCCATCGGCATCTGCATCAGGAGGCATCGACTGGCCGGAGGCCGCGAGGAAGATTCAGGACGAAGACGAAGACGACGACGCTGCCATCGCCGACACAACCTTCTCCAGCGCCCGGCCTCGCTGCGCGACCCTTCGCACCCTCGGCCGTCCCTTGTCTCATCGTTCTGCCCCTCGCCCTTCTCCTCCGCTCCAGCCTCGCGACGAGGGCAGCGGTCGACGGACGACGCCGCCGCCGTCGGCGTTTGCGCGCAGACCCCCGGTGCGTCCCCAAGTGCCCGGTCGGCTGCGGGAAGGGCGGCTGCAAGCTTCGCGTCGCGGTCAGGTGCGTCCCCGCTCCCATCCTCGAACCCGCACCTCTTTGTGCTCCGTCTGTCCGCCATCCCCCGCGTGGGGTCCCCGAGGCGCGTCCACGTACCCCACGCTCCTACTATCCGAACCGCGTCCGTATATTGCGCGCGGGCCCTCGCGCTGGCGCCCATAGGACGCGAGCGCCAGGGTCCACCGCGAGCTCTGTGTCCCCCCGGGGAGGCGGAAGTGTGGGGGACGATCGCGCGCCAGCTGCCCGTGTCGTTCATGGGGGGCTTTATCCGCCGCCTCGTGCGCGAACTTGCGCGCCCCTCCGGGTGCCAGGCACCGGGCCACCGGGCGTGCAGACCTTGTCTGGCATCGGGCCGTCTCGTACGCTCCCACCGGGGCACGGCGCAGGCAGGCGTGGAGGCTGCGTGCGTGCGTCGTGCGCCTGCGCCGTTCGGGTGAACTCAGCCTCGACGCTCGATGCTACGTGGGCGCTATGGGTCCCCGTCGAGCCCGCCGGGGCAATCGCGTGGGCGGGGCCCCCGCGCGTCCGATGGGAGCCCGCTGGAGGTGCTCGCTGAAGCTTCAGAGTTCGCCCCCCGGGCACGTAACGCGTCCCCGAGGGTGTCCATGCATCCACGTACGTCTGTGCGGGGGGGGGCGCTGGACAGTCGTCCACGGCGGCGTCCCACGGCGAGACGCCGGGAGAACGAGCGCCCAGTCAGTCCTTCTTCGGGCTTCCTCTTCGACGCGCGGGCTCGGAGCCGCTGGTTCTCCCGCGGGCCAGCTTCGATTACTTATGGACGGCGTCGGTGCGAGGACGGCGAGCGGCACACGCGCCTGCGCGGATCCCCTCCTGCGTCCTAATCGGCGCGAGGCTCGCGAAGGCTCGCGCGGCCGGGAATGGAACTCGGTCGTGGACACAGGGCCCGCCTCCGACCACCACGGGCGCTCTCACGGTTCGAGGACGCGAGCGGTGCGCGCTGCGACTCTGGGTGTGGTCTGGGGTGGCGCGCGGACGTTGTACGACCTCGGCTTCGGTGGTCGGCGTGTGCATGGACCGCGCGGGGGCATTAGGGGGCTGCACGCATACTTGGTCACGGCGACCTTGCCCTGACCGACCCCCTGCCGAGCCCCCTTTAAGGTTTTCCTTCATCTGTACTTATCAGGAAGCGCCTTTTGGTTCTATTCCCGTGTACGCTGCCTTCCACACAAATAGAAAAGAACTACGTTCCCTGCGCTGTCGCTCGAATGAGTCAACGGTGCCGACCGGCGACTTACTCCGAGCGCAGCTCGTCAGAAGCCCTCCAGGCCCCGACCAGACAAGCCCACGACCACCGCGATTTCACAGCTTCGGGCGACGAGCGCAATGCCGTCGTATAAAAAAACCATCCAAGTTACCGAACTCAATCAGAGTGCCACCTGTCAGGCCTTCAGGTCTCCCAGGCCAACCCACCCACCCATCGTGATGGACAGCGCGGGGTTCCGGGGGAAGTTCCCAAGGCCACGAGGCGTCACGCGCGGTGGGACGACGGTAGTGATGACAGATCGCCTCGGACATACGGCTGATGGTGGCCCGAGCTGCCGCGGAGAGGCTAGCCACACGCAGCGTCGTCGGGGGGAGCTTCTAGTGTGGCGTGAGCCGTCGCACGTTAGCTGCCGAGAATCCCCGAGATGGTGAGGGAACGGGATACGGTACTGCATTTGGCATCGAGCGATCAGCATCCGCCACATGCTGAACCAGTTTGAACTAGTGACTGCCTTACTTACTTGTTAGGGTAGGTTGACGGGATGCGAACGAGATGAGATCTGTTCAAAAAGCACCCGCCAGTGAGGGAGCACTGCCTGTGATGACCGTGCAACGTGGAGCGTGCTCGGACGTCTCGCGCTCGGTGACTTTGTTGGATGCGTTGGTGATCAACGAGCGATGGCCGAGCGCTGTCGGTGTTCACGGGGACGAAGAACGTGAGATGCTAATGACGGATGACACGCCGGCAACTGTTTGTCATGGCTTTTCCTTTACCCCGAGGGAAAGCGTCACCGCCGCATCTGACGCATGTGCGTCGGTCAGCGATGTTGAAATGCGGACTGTCGAGCCCAAGTTTGATCATCGTACGCACCTGTGCTCTCGTCCATCCTGTTCAAAGTTTGGTAAGGAGCAACAGCGAGCGAGAGATGAACGCAAAAAAAAAAAAAACTCTGCCGACGTTGCAAATTGCGCATCGCACGGGAGGTGCCGAGATACCCGAGTGCGAGACCGTGGACGATCTTTTGTCGTCATCTTCCAACAAACTTCCAGGCGGTACGGATC